TTGCAGGTGGTAGTCACTGCTGGTGAACATTATACAATCCTGGACACCTCAACTGGTAGTCACTGCTGGTGGACTTTATACAATCCTCGTGACTGCAGGTATTAGTCACTGCTGGTGGACTTTATACAATCCTCGTGACTGCAGGTGGTAGTCACTGCTGGTGGACTTTATACAATCCTCGTGACTGCAGGTGGTAGTCACTGCTGGTGGACATTATACAATCCTCGAGACTGCAGGTGGTAGTCACTGCTGGTGGACATTATACAATCCTCGAGACGTCAGGTATTAGTCACTGCTGGTGGACATTATATAATGCTCGCGACTGCATGTGGTAGTCACTGCTGGTGGACATTATACAATGCTCGAGACTGCAGGTATTAGTCACTGCTGGTGGACATTATACAATGCTCGAGACTGCAGGTGGTAGTCACTGCTGGTGGACATTATACAATGCTCGAGACTGCAGGTATTAGTCACTGCTGGTGGACATTATACAATGATCGAGACTGCAGGTGGTAGTCACTGTTGGTGGACATTATACAATGCTCGAGACTGCAGGTGGTAGTCACTGCTGGTGGACATTATACAATGCTCGCGACAGCAGGTGGTAGTCACTGTTGGTGGACATTATACAATCCTCGAGACGTCAGGTGGTAGTCACTGCTGGTGGACATTATACAATGCTCGAGACTGCAGGTATTAGTCACTGCTGGTGGACATTATACAATCCTCGAGACGTCAGGTATTAGTCACTGCTGGTGGACATTATACAATGCTCGAGACTGCAGGTGGTAGTCACTGCTGGTGGACATTATACAATGCTCGAGACTGCAGGTATTAGTCACTGCTGGTGGACATTATACAATCCTCGAGAATGCAGGTGTTAGTCACTGTTGGTGGACATTATACAATGATCGAGACTTCAGGTGGTAGTCACTGTTGGTGGACATTATACAATGCTCGAGACTGCAGGTGGTAGTCACGGCTGGTGGACATTATACAATCCTCGAGAATGCAGGTGTTAGTCACTGTTGGTGGACATTATACCATCATCGAGAATGCATGTGGTAGTCACTGTTGGTGGACATTATACAATGCTCGCGACTGCAGGTGTTAGTCACTGTTGGTGGACATTATACAATCCTCGAGAATGCATGTGTTAGTCACTGTTGGTGGACATTATACCATCATCGAGAATGCATGTGTTAGTCACTGTTGGTGGACATTATACCATCATCGAGAATGCATGTGGTAGTCACTGTTGGTGGACATTATACCATCATCGAGAATGCATGTGGTAGTCACTGTTGGTGGACATTATACAGTGCTCGCGACTGCAGGTGTTAGTCACTGTTGGTGGACATTATACCATCATCGAGAATGCATGTGTTAGTCACTGTTGGTGGACATTATACCATCATCGAGAATGCATGTGGTAGTCACTGTTGGTGGACATTATACCATCATCGAGAATGCATGTGGTAGTCACTGTTGGTGGACATTATACAGTGCTCGCGACTGCAGGTGTTAGTCACTGTTGGTGGACATTATACAATCCTCGAGAATGCATGTGGTAGTCACTGTTGGTGGACATTATACAGTGCTCGCGACTGCAGGTATTAGTCACTGTTGGTGGACATTATACAATGCTCGAGACTGCAGGTATTAGTCACTGCTGGTGGACATTATACAATGCTCGCGACTGCAGGTGGTAGTCACTGCTGGTGGACATTATACCATCATCGAGAATGCATGTGGTAGTCACTGTTGGTGGACATTATACAGTGCTCGCGACTGCAGGTGGTAGTCACTGCTGGTGGACATTATACAATCCTCGAGAAGGCATGTGGTAGTCACTGCTGGTGGACATTATACAATGCTCGAGACTGCATGTGGTAGTCACTGCTGGTGGACATTATACAATTCTGGAGATTGCAGGTGGTAGTCACTGTTGGTGGACATTATACAATCATCGAGAATGCATGTGGTAGTCACTACTGGTGGACATTATACAATGCTCGCGACTGCATGTGGTAGTCACTGCTGGTGGACATTATACAATGCTCGCGACTGCAGGTGGTAGTCACTGTTGGTGGACATTATACAATGCTCGAGACTGCAGGTGGTAGTCACTGTTGGTGGACATTATACAATGCTCGAGACTGCAGGTGGTAGTCACTGTTGGTGGACATTATACAATCCTCGAGACTTCAAATGGTAGTCACTGCTGATGGACATTATACAATGCTCGAGATTGCAGGTGGTAGTCACTGCTGATGGACTTTATACAATCCTCGAGATTGCAGGTGGTAGTCACTGCTGATGGACTTTATACAATCCTCGAGATTGCAGGTGGTAACCACTGCTGGTGAACATTTGATCTCCGAGGTCTGATGAAACGTGTAAACAACATTTTAATTTCTACCAAAACTTGTATTTGGACTCAGAGTGAGTCCATCTGTGTCTATTTCAAACAATTCTATTTTCATCTGAAACTTCATATATTCATCAATTCCACAGGCCTTTAACATCACTGTTTAGTTCTTGAAGAGCAACACATCTACATGGTTTGATTCACAGGTTTCCTCTACTATGTCTAATTCTATATTTACAGGTGGTATATGGTTGTTGTTGACGCGGTCGGATTAACCATGGTGATTCGTCGCGTTTCCTGTTGTTTGGAGTTGTTTTTATTAGAAATTCGAACTTCTGCATTTGTTATCGTGTTTTTCAACTAATGGTGCTTCTAAAGGTCATTGCATTTGTTTATCACAAATTGTATTAGTCTGTTGATTCCGTTCATGTTAAAGTTTGCTTCCATCTTGAAAACATTTAAAAGTCAATTAGAATATCTCAAGGTTTTCAGCCAAATTGACTTGTACATATAAATATTCTGATGTTTCAAATACATGTGTATATATATCAAACACAGTGGTCAATATTCTGAACGTTTAATCAATCAATGATATGACAGTGCAGGACTTGTTATTAATTCATGCGAATTATTAAAAATGTCAGCTTTTTATCATCAGTAAATACTACCTTTCTTTATTTTCCGACCCCTTCAGATAACTCAGGGGAGAGGGGGGGGGGGGGGGGGGGGGGGGGGGGTGGTGGTTAACGGTCCTCTGACTATAAAGACCTATATATGAAAGAGGCAAAATATGCCTAAAATAGATTGTTCAACTACTCTACAGCTTACATAGAAGACATTGTTGGTTCATCAAGACATTTTCTGCAAACTTGAAATCATATTCTTTAAACATGCACTACATAAATGCCATTAAACCGAACATATTTCTTGTTGAAAAGGCCTGTTACAGGCTCAGTATCAAGACACCTGGCCTTTTGGTTATTGTGAAGAAGTTGCTTAAGCATTTCAACACATTAAACCCCTATAATCTTGATATTTGGTCCAATATCAGCACCCTGGGCCTTTTGGTTATTGAGAAGTCATTTAAATATGTTAACACATTTGATACCTGTGACCTTGAAAGTGGGTGTATATCATTCATATTAACAAAGTTGGTAGCCCTTCATCCTAGCTGGTTACATGGCCTTTGAAGATTTTAACATGTTTGATCCCTGTGACTTTTCATGCAGATTAAAGTCATACCTATTAACTAGGGGTCCATCAACTTTCTGAATTTCAGAAATGATTCTCCATCCCAATAATGTTTTATACCAAATTTGGTTGAAATCCAATCAAGTATTAAGAGTAGTATGCTGAAGCAAACTAAGAAACCAAAAAGAATATGCACGACACATGGCACATGAAGACAGACGAAGCATGATGGCTATAGGTCATTTTGACCCTTCGGGTCAACCTAATGACCTAATAATATATTGAAATCTAAAAAAGACAGATCTCCAGACAGGACTGAGTAGAGAGGAATGAAACTGTCGCATGAGAAAACAGAACTATAAAATATGTTTGGTTTTAGTTAAACCTTTCAGGTTTCAATCAAATGTTGAAAAGGGTAATAACTCAATATAAAACTATCTAATAACTGCTGTAGAACCGTCTAGGTTTCTGAGCCGAACATAGGGCAATAATTCTCTCAAAACATGATTCAAAACCTAGTTCAAAACTTCATAACACAAACTACAATAAAGTCCAATCTACTTCAAAAATGAAATTCCTAAAAAAGTTTCAAAGAGAAACATGCGTATAAAAATTTGACAAAGATCTCTGTAGTATTTCTCAACAAATAACGATAACAAACTTTCATAGTCAAAATCTAAGATGGCTACCAGTCAACCATTTTTTTCCCTGTGCAGTCCAAAAATCCAATGGCACAACGACAAGGCAAAGGCAAACCTTAAGTCAAGTTTCAGCAATATCCTCCTAGTACTTCTCAATAAATACTAAAACTATCTTCAATTGTTAAGTCCATGAAGGCTGTCCTTCAGCCATTTAGTTTTTCTTGACTAAACTCAAAATTGGACAGGCAAAACAAGGGATCAACAGTAACCTATATATAGCTACCCATCAAGATTAAAAATATCAATCAAATACTCCTCAAGAAAAAGTGACCTCAATCTTCAACAGGGAAAACAAAGATGGCTGCCTGTCATCCATTTTGTTCTCCTAATCAGTAAGGGAACCTGCATATGAAATTTTCTTCCTGAAAAATTGTTATAACAAACTTTCACTGTCGAAATACAAAAGAGGGTCGCCTGTCCACTGTTTTATTTTTCTGGTTAGACACAAAATCTAACGGGTACAACTAGGGACATGGGGGAACCTTCAAAGGAAATCTGAGAGATCCTATCATTACTTCTCAAGAAATATTGATAAGAACATGTCTACAGATAAATGAATCATGGATATATAGGATGATCTCAATAGCCTACCATCTGATGATAGTGGACCAAGAAATGGAGGAGCGTTGAAAAACATTGGATGTTATAGTAAGTCATTTCAGAAAAACAAAAACAACAACAAAACAAAATTAGTTTGACAAGTATTTTATTACACTTCATCTGTAATATCTAATGTTACTCAGACAGGAAGGTATTATAATGTCTTCAGGTCAACACATAAGATTTGTTTAAGACCATGACAAACTTCATGTTAATATCATGAATTTTATGCCTTGTTTCCTGAAGTAAATATGCATTGCGTACACATCATCACCACAAGAAGCAAACTATTTGGGGAAAAAAAATAAAAAACTTATTTCAGCACAGCTTAAAGGGGCCTTTGCCTCCTCTCCCTCTCCCCTTCTTATCCCCTATTGGGGCTTTGTCCCTGGACTCTGAGAAGGGGGCTTCTACCATCTGCATCCCCAATTAATTTCTGTCGGTGTACACATCAAAATTGCCTGACATAAGAATGCATAAGAATTATGACTCTGAATTACTCTGCTAGTCTGACAGCATTTCAAGGTATTTAATAATCTGAGCACCACAAGTGAAATAAAAGTGTTCTATCAAACAACTTACATACTGGAAATTTTGTCAATTTGAAAGCAGGAAATTTTCTCATGCAGGGTTCAACACTAACCAGAGGTACATTATATTGTTTATGTGCTTGCTTGCCCAGTAGTAGGTAATCACTCAAATTTATCTACCAAAATGATACTTTAACTTTGACTTATGTAAAACATTTTCTTCAGTTGGTGTGTTCTTCTCATGTTAATGTCTGGTGTCTACGCAATGTCCTTCCCTATTTAGACGCTGTCCTCCTCTCATTTCCATGTCTAGTGTTGTCTAAAATGTCATCCCCTATTTAGACGCTGTCCTCCTCTCATTTCTATGTCTGGTGTTGTCTACAAATGTCATCCCCTATTTAGACGCTGTCCTCCTCTCATGTTGATGTCTAGTGTTGTCTACAATGTCATCCCCTATTTAGACGCTGTCCTCCTCTCATGTTGATGTCTAGTGTTGTCTACAATGTCCTCCCCTATTTAGACGCTGTCCTCCTCTCATTTCTATGTCTGGTGTTGTCTACAAATGTCCTCCCCTATTTAGACGCTGTCCTCCTCTCACTTCCATGTCTGGTAATGTCTATAATGTCCTCCCCTATTTAGACGCTGTCCTCCTCTCATTTCTATGTCTGGTAATGTCTATAATGTCCTCCCCTATTTAGATGCTGTCCTCCTCTCATTTTCATGTCTGGTAATGTCTATAATGTCCTCCCCTATTTAGACGCTGTCCTCCTCTCACTTCCATGTCTGATAATGTCTATAATGTCCTCCCCTATTTAGACGCTGTCCTCCTCTCACTTCCATGTCTGATAATGTCTATAATGTCCTCCCCTATTTAGACGCTGTCCTCCTCTCACTTCCATGTCTGATAATGTCTATAATGTCCTCCCCTATTTAGACGCTGTCCTCCTCTCACTTCCATGTCTGGTAATGTCTATAATGTCCTCCCCTATGCAGATGCTGCTCTACTCTAACTTTAATGTCTGGTGTTGTCTCTAATGTCCTCCCCCATTCAATCGCTGTCCTCCTCCGAAGATTCTTCTTCTGCCTCCAGTAACCACTTTATAAACGGTTGCATCTGTAACATAAACATCAGATATACAAGGTCTTCTCCTGCAGATCACTGTTACCATAGCATAAATACACTGTGGAAAAAATGTGAATTACTTTCTTCTAGTCTAGTCTAGCTTGTGACCCACCCAGTAAATAGAAGATCTGAGACACCCTTCTCTAACCTGCAACAAAACCAATAGACATTGCTTTCAGACAATCTATTATAATATTTTAAGATTTGCTTCAAATACATTTTGAAAATGTTTCATTTGAAAATATCCTTTATTAATCCTAAGATTACTCCAAAATAAAAGCACCATCTCACCTGTTGTTTGACCTCCACATGACCTTCCTCGTCTGGTATGGACTGGTGCCAGCGGAGGATCACCTGTTCTGACAGTAGGTCCACATCTTCATACATATAATGTATAAGCTTTACCAACACTCCGCTCATCCTCTCCTCCATTATACTGAACTCCTGACAAACAGTTTAACACATCTGTTTGAGTTCATCTTTTTAAGCAAGTGGAAATATTAATATACAAAGTATTGCAAGGGAAATAACTGTGAATTGACTCGTTATGATATTAATGTCTTGGATATGATGTCTCCTTGTTTATATAACTGCCTTTTTGTAATTTTTGTTGTTTTTCCTCTCAATAAATTTTCTCTGAAGGAGAGAAATCTTGGTCTGTTCAAGAAAATTCCAGTCTTATTTCATTTCCATTCTGAATTTCATAATTTTGAATAATTCCTTTCTATATTTGTACACCCTGTATTCATACGCAAATAAAATGATTCACACAAAATTAAAATGGATAATGGGACTTTCCTTCAGATTACGGGAAATTTTGCTTCATATGTGACTTTTTGATATCTTAAAAATAAATTATTAGTCAATGAAGAAAAATAAGAATGGATAATATATGAAAATGAGTCAGTAACAAGGAGCTGGAGAGTTATCTTCTCTGACAGAACCAAGAAAATCTACTGACAGAGCTGGAGAGAAACCCTCTCTGTGTCAGTAACAAGTATCTGGAGAGTTATCTTCTCTGACAGAACCAAGGAACTCTACTGACAGAGCTGGAGAGAAACCCTCTCTGAGTCAGTAACAAGGAGCTGGAGAGAAACCCTCCCTGTATCAGTAACAAGTAGCTGGAGAGAAACCCTCTCTGTGTCAGTAACAAGGAGCTGGAGAGTCAACTTCTGTGACAGAACCAAGAAAATCTACTGACAGAGATGGAGAGAAACCCTCTCTGAGTCAGTAACAAGTAGCTGGAGAGTTATCTTCTCTGACAGAACCAAGGAACTCTACTGACAGAGCTGGAGAGAAACCCTCTCTGTGTCAGTAACAAGTAGCTGGAGAGAAACTCTCTCTGAGTCAGTAACAAGGAGCTGGATAGAAACCTTCTTCTCTCTGTGTCAGTAACAAGTAGCTGGAGAGTTGACTTCTCTGACAGAACCAAGAAAATCTACTGACAGAGCTGGAGAGAAACCTTGTGTCAGTGACAAGTAGCTGGAGATTTATATTCTCTGACAGAACCAAGGAACTCTACAGACAGAGCTGGAGAGAAACCCTCTCTGAGTCAGTAACAAGTATCTGGAGATAAACCCTCCCTGAGTCAGTAACAAGGAGCTGGAGAGTTGACTTCTCTGATAGAACCAAGGAACTCTACTGACAGAGCTGGAGAGTTATCCTCTTTATGTCTCTATGTCAGTAAAATGAGGCTCAATAAACCCAAGAAACATAAACGTCAGAGCTGATGGGAAACCTAGATCTAGTACAGTCAGTAACAAATGGTTAGACAGTTGCCTTCTCTGACAGACATTTACCTCTAGTGTGTGTAAACAATCCATTTGTGAATCAGCACCCTTGATGTAGTTCTTTATCAAAGCCATATGTTTCTTCATAACCTGAAAATTAAATCATGTCCAATTCATTTAAGTTGAAGCAATTGAACCTTTTCTCTTTTACTTTTAAGATGAAGTAATTGAATCACTGATGATTATACACAAATCAATCTAATAAGGACAACTGAAACAAAGACACTTATGAATGAAAAGTTGTATATTGATAAAGAGATGAAGGTCAGTTGATAACAAAACCAACTGTGGACAAATAATTATACTTACCGCCTTTATATTGATGAGAAGTTGGCCACCATTGTGGTCAGGATTGTCTTTCATAGCAAGGTCTATTACTGCCTTTACCACCATACCATGTAGGTCATGGATATCTATGTTGTATGCATGTCTGGATAAAGTATAAGTAAAACAAAAGTCACAATGTTTATCAACATAGGTATATCTCTCCGAACAACACTTCCTGTTTTCAATAGAAAAGAAGAATTACATGCTGATTACCATCCACATAGAAATTACAGGTTGTCAAAAACATTGTTTGATGATTCTAGCTTGTTCAACACTTGTCACCTTGGATCGGGACATCTGAAATAGACCACTTAAATAAAAAATGTGACTTTCAACTCAATATGATTACAAAGGTTGAAAGATAGATTCAAATTCCTGACATGTTTAATCTAATTAATGAAATATTTTATCTAGCAGCCATCAGATAAAATGATGACTACAAGAACATACTTCAGTTATAGAGATGATATAAAATATTCTTCCATTAAAAAAATATGGTATGTGAGCCTTATATGTTCCCGTAGGCTCAGGGTGGTCCATCTAAAGTCAGTTAAAAGAAATTCATCCCCTCAAATAACATGCTAAATTTTGTGACCCCAGGCCTAAAGAAGTAAAATTAGTACCAAATATGGTGAACGTATAGATGATGATGCCATCAGGTCACAAAGACATTTGGTCAGACACAAAGGCCTTTGGTCAGGTCACAAAGATGTTTGGTCAGGTCACAAAGACCTTTGGTCAGGTCACAAAGACCTTTGGTCATTCACAAAGACCTTTGGTCAGTCACAAAGGCCTTTGATCAGGCACAAAGGCCTTTGGTTAGGTCACAAAGGCCTTTGATCAGGCACAAAGGCCTTTGGTTAGGTCACAAAGGCCTTTGGTCAGGCACAAAGACCCTTGGTTAGGTCACAAAGGCCTTTGGTCAGGTCACAAAGACTTTGGTCAGACACAAAGACCTTTGGTCAGGTCACAAAGACTTTGGTCAAACACAAAGACTTTGGTCAGGGCACAAAGACCTTTGGTCAGGTCACAAAGACATTTGGTCAGGTCACAAAGACATTTGGTCAGACACAAAGACCTTTGGTCAGGTCACAAAGATGTTTGGTCAGGTCACAAAGACCTTTGGTCATTCACAAAGACCTTTGGTCAGTCACAAAGGCCTTTGATCAGGCACAAAGGCCTTTGGTTAGGTCACAAAGGCCTTTGGTCAGGCACAAAGACCCTTGGTCAGGCACAAAGACCTTTGGTCAGGTCACAAAGACTTTGGTCAGACACAAAGATCTTTGGTCAGGTCACAAAGACTTTGGTCAAACACAAAGACTTTGGTCAGGGCACAAAGACGTTTGGTCATTCACAAAGACGTTTGGTCATTCACAAAGACCTTTGGTCAGGTCACAAAGACATTTGGTCAGACACAAAGACATTTGGTCAGGTCACAAAGACGTTTGGTCAGGTCACAAAGACCTTTGGTCAGGTCACAAAGACCTTAGGTCAGGTCACAAAGACGTTTGGTCATTCACAAAGACCTTTGGTCAGGCACAAATGCCTTTGGTCAGGTCACAAAGACCTTTGGTCAGGTCACAAAGACGTTTGGTCATTCACAAAGACCTTTGGTCAGGCACAAACGCCTTTGGTCAGATCACAAAGACCTTTGGTCAGGACACAAAGACCTTTGGTCAGGCACAAAGACCTTTGGTCAGGCCAATGTTTCACTAAGAAATTACATCCTGCTTGTGAAACAGTTGCCAGCTGAGAGAAGTACTGTAAATTACATTGTACAATAACTTATCTTTCCTCCTTATTTTTGCATAAAACAATACCAGTACTTACTTTAATGAATTAATCTCTAAAATTAAATTTTCTGTGCGGATGTTTTCTTCTTTAGCTCTAACCAAGGTGTCAAGCACTTCTCTGTAGAACACTGAAATGACAGTAACACCACAAGTTTTATTACATCCAGAATGTGTTTTAGGGGTGTAATGATATCTCAGGAGTGTTTCTTGATATATTGCACATGCATTAAAGATGGATGTCCAAAATAAATCAAAATCTGCAGAAGAATTGAAATATTTTAACAATAATAACAAGGAAACCTCAGTTAAAACAAAACCTTGATCAACTGTAAAAAAATAAAATTATGATTCTCAACTCATTGTAGCAAAGTTTAATAAAAATTAACTTGTATTGTCGTGTTTGTAGACATATGTCAATCAAGGTTACATGAATGTACATCCAGTGTTTGGAGGTTGAAAATTTAATAAATTTATGGTATAACTTATTCACTGACTGATTCGCCAGTTAATTGTTATGAACATTTTCCTATCATTCAATAAGTAACATTACATTTTTAGAGTCCTTACTTTTTTCATCATCTGGGAGTGATCCTTCAGATGACAGATCTGACTGGTCATCTGTAGCGATACTGCTGAGTTCATCCTCATCATCAGTTTTGTTGTCGAGACCCCAAACATCTTGAACTTGAGCCTCATCCTCTTCATCATCACTCTCCGTAGGAGGGTTGTACACATATGCTTGTCCACGAGATCCAAAGTCTGGACAACTCTCCACTAAAATACAAACCCTGTATATGTTTACAGCCTACCTAGGTAACAAACATCCTACACACAAACAGCCCACACGTTATCATTGTGGCAAAATTTCATTAAGATTAAGAAATGCTGAGTAAGTTTGTCAAGTATTTGGTCAAATCTTTACAAGGTGACTTTTTTCAACATATAAATTTTTACTCTATAATAAAACACACCTTGACAAGCTACAGCATCTGTTTTATCACATGTTGCGTCTATTTCATCACCAAAATCATCGATGTCCTCCACTGGTGAAGACTGTAGTACTGTTGCCTTGGGGATGGTCACATTTGGTCCTACTTTGACCTAAATCAGTAAAATATTATACACAATATCAGAAATTTTCAACTTCTTTTTTAAACTTCATTACTTAACTAATCAATCTTCCAGACAAACTTCAATTATATTCAATATCATAGTAAAATTTGATGAGTAAACGTCATTAATATTTACATAAATACAATTACAATGTACCAGCAAAACTGGAGTGTCTTTGTGACTTAGTTCAGATAATGACCTGCACATGTACTAACAATAAGTGAACAGAAAAAAAGAAAATTTGAGGAATTACAGTCCCCTACTGAATCTGGAATTATATGCCAAGAATGTACAGATGATGAATTTGTAGGAATTAATTCTAGACACTGAATGTTTGATGGACCGAACCTATTCAATAATGTGTGTTATTATTGCAAATGAATTAGCTGATGTACAATGGTAAGATGTGTCATTTTACTATTAAACTGTATCTGGCAAAACCATGTAATTCATGGTGTTTATGTTGCTGTGATATGTTAACATGAGTCTATTCTGATGTTGACAATGTTGCTGTGATATGTTAACATGAGTCTATTCTGATGTTGACAATGTTGCTGTGATATGTTAACATGAGTCTATTCTGATGTTGACAATGTTGCTGTGATATGTTAACATGAGTCTATTATGATGTTGACAATGTTGCTGTGATATGTTAACATGAGTCTATTCTGATGTTGACAATGTTGCTGTGATATGTTAACATGAGTCTATTCTGATGTTGACAATGTTGCCATGAAATGTTAACATGAGTCTATTCTGATGTTGACAATGTTGCTGTGATATGTTAACATGAGTCTATTCTGATGTTGACAATGTTGCTGTGATATGTTAACATGAGTCTATTCTGATGTTGACAATGTTGCTGTGATATGTTAACATGAGTCTATTCTGATGTTGACAATGTTGCTGTGATATGTTAACATGAGTCTATTCTGATGTTGACAATGTTGCTGTGATATGTTAACATGAGTCTATTCTGATGTTGACAATGTTGCTGTGATATGTTAGCATTTGTCTAGTTTTACATAGACAAGCCTTACCCCCCATGACAGGACGTTTCCTGCCTGAAGGTTGACTCCACTGTACACTAGTACATCGTCACAAAGTATAGAACTTTCAATATCACAGCCATCCTCTATCACTACATTGTCCCACAGGTAGGCGCCTTGTATCTTCACATTTTCACCTATAACCAGACACTGTCATTTAAACATTATCTGAAACTAGACGTGTCTTTGTGACACTATAGCTCTTGCTGACAACCAAGGAGAAAAGTAGAGATTTTTAATCCTATTGTTTTTTTTCATTAGGTGTACTGATAATATTTAAAACTGTGTCAAGTCCAGGTAATGGCTGCCAAATGTTGATGGTCAAAATAATTAATGACTCACTAAGTGAACCACAGTCAGATATTTACTCGCCCTGCATCATAATAAACCTATATTTTCTCTTTATACCCTATTCATCAAAGACTGAGAACCGTATTAAGACAGAATGGACTAAGGAATAAATAACAGAGTAATGGCTATGGGCAACTTCAAATGTCTGGGCCATTTTAGGGTAAAAGCATATTCAGAAAAGACATGATCAGTCAAAACCTGATCAATCATAACATGGTCAGTTAAAACTTGATCAATAACATGATCAGTAAAAACATGATCAGTAAAAACATGATCAGTTAAATCATGATCAGTTGAAACATGATCAGTTAAAACATGATCAGTTAAAACATGATCAGTAAAAACATGATCAGTAAAAACATGATCAGTTAAAACATAATCAGTAAAAACATGATCAGTAAAAACATGATCAGTAAAAACATCATCAGTTAAATCATAATCACTTAAAACATAATCAGTTAAAACATGATCAGTTAAATCATGATCAGTTAAAACATGATCAGTTAAATCATGATCAGTTAAAACATAATCAGTTAAAACATGATCAGTTAAAACATAATCAGTTAAATCATGATCAGTTAAAACATGATCAGTTAAAACATGATCAGTTAAAACATGATCAGTTAAATCATAATCAGTTAAAACATAATCAGTTAAAACATGATCAGTTAAAACATAATCAGTAAAAACATGATCAGTAAAAACATAATCAGTTAAAACATGATCAGTTAAATCATGATCAGTTAAAACATAATCAGTTAATCATAATCATGATCAGTTAAAACATAATCAGTTAAATCATAATCAGTTAAAACATAATCAGTTAAAACATGATCAGTTAAAACATGATCAGTTAAATCATGATCAGTTAAAACATGATCAGTTAAAACATAATCAGTTAAATCATGATCAGTTAAAACATAATCAGTTAAATCATGATCAGTTAAAACATGATCAGTTAAATCATGATCAGTTAAATCATGATCAGTTAAAACATCATAATCATAATCAGTTAAATCATAAAAAAACATAATCAGTTATCATGATCAGTTAAAACATAATCAGTTAAATCATAATCAGTTAAAAACATGATCAGTTAAAACATAATCAAAAACATGATCATTAAAACATGATCAGTTAAATCATGATCAGTTAAAACATGATCAGTTAAAACATGATCAATAAAATCATAATCAGTAAAAACATGATCAGTTAAAACATGATCAGTTAAATCATAATCAGTTAAAACATAATCAGTTAAAACATGATCAGTTAAAACATGATCAGTTAAAACATGATCAGTTAAATCATGATCAGTTAAAACATGATCAGTTAAAACATGATCAGTTAAATCATGATCAGTTAAAACATAATCAGTTAAATCATGATCAGTTAAAACATAATCAGTTAAATCATAATCAGTTAAATCATGATCAGTTAAAACATGATCAGTTAAAACATGATCAATAAAAGCTGGACAAATAAAAATGTCATCAGTCAAAATGTAATCAAAACATAATCAGCCATGTAATCAGTCCATGCAGTACACATTAAGTATACAGTATAATCTAGGGTACTCACCTATCCTACAGTTCTTTCCTATGACAGAGTGTGATATAATTGTATTACTGCCTACTGATGTCCCCCGACCAACCATAACATTCTCCTCCAACTTACAGCCCCTACAATCAGATACCCGCAAGAGTATTCAACACATTCTGTACAATTTTACAGCCCCTACAATCAAATACACACATGAGTATTCAACACATTCTGTATAATTTACAGTCCCTACAATCAAATACACACATGAGTATTCAACACATTCTGTATAATTTTACAGCCCCTACAATCAAATACACACATGAGTATTCAACACATTCTGTATAATTGACAGTCCCGACAATCAAATACACACATGAGTATTCGAAACCATCTGCATAATTTTACAGCCCCTACAATCAATAAAAAAAAAGAGACCAAGGGCTTACACAGACAAACCATACATTCAGTATCTTATACACGAAGTGGTCAAAAGTTTCATTTGAACTTTAAGCTGACCAATGACTACCAAAGTACAATCAGGTGTAGACCTTGGCAGTATAATGTTACGGTGTGTACCATGTTTGTTTCATAGTACATGAGATTACTTGTAAACAAGGTTATTGTGGACTTGTGGACAGACAGAGAGATGCACTCACAAAGACGTCTACTAAATGGGATTTAACATGTTGACAACACATCATACAAATTCATACTGTAATATAAGAAACAGGTTTCAAGTTAACACATCACAGTACTTTATATCAGTTGTTAATGGACTGTAACACATCTTCTATTGGTGATAAAGACCTGTGGTCCTATCAAAATGTTGACTCCTGTCTATATGTTAAACAAAAACACTTTCAGCTTTAATTAGGATGTAATTTACGCTGAGAAACAGTTATATGTGAATATCCGTTTCAAGAGGCCAACAAACAGAAGATTTGAAAATGGTTGTTTTAAAGAATAAAATTATGCCAGATATATGAACAATAACATATATTTTATTGCCTATGGGTACGTTTTGACTGTACACAAGTGTATCATCTGTATCAGAAACAAAATCAGTAGAGTTTTTGTTGTATTCATTTATCAATACCAAGCTTTATTACATTTGTATACACCAATGCTGCCCTGGAGAAGACTGACCTTGCTAATGTGATGTCCTTACTAAGGTAGATATTATGTCGGCCGTATGACACTGTCGACTCACTACTGTTAGTATTATCAGGAACTAGCGGGTACGTCCATCTACTCATAATGTCCTGACTGAAAAATAGAACAATCATGCATCATTGTCAGGATAAATTTACATAGCTTTGACTCATACAAAAAAAAATACACTGATAAATATTTCTGTTTAAGGGGGATACATGAACCGCATACTGTTTAATCTTTATTTCATATTTTAACTTCCTTTTTTAATTTATAGCATGCTTTTGAGCAGAACCAATATGTTAACTTAAACATAAACATATTGGGAGGTACACAAGAGCACAATTTAATAAATGTAAATTATAGTGAATATTTATATCGTTGTAGACCTTACCTAACAGCATCATACATTATTAGGTTGGATATTCGTGCTGCATACTCTTCATTAACTACATTCACATAAATACTATTTCCCATGATCTGTAGAAGAAAACAAAATTTCTTTGATTTTGATCAATTTTACCAAATGTATTTATACCATCTCTGCTTCACTAATAATAAATCTTTGAAATTACTTTAATTTGTATAGCTGAAATATAGTATAAAATACAGTGTATGGCTTTTTTTTTGTTCATGAGCAGTGAAATTCAGCAAAGTCAATGTTCTAAATGCAGTTTTCAGGAAGTAGTAATTACCTCCTCGTTGATGAGGATACCCTTAACAAAGTCATCACGTGTCTGATAGTCAAAGTTGTCTGTGAAGAGTTGAGGCACCTGTGGGGAGCAGATACTGATGTGACAGTCCAGGAGGTCATATCGTAAACTGACATCGCTGTGTTCGGTTATCACTTCCTGTTAAAAGAAGACAATTAAAAAAATATGGGTGTAAATTTGAACATATCAAGTATAAAGGAAAATGATGTGTGTGATTTTTAAGTTATATAAGGAGCAAAACAATAAGAGGCCCCATGAGCCCGAGTCGCTCACTTGTTCTGAAGATTAATTATACAGAAGACTTGGCCAGTTTGTCAAGTTTAATTTTTGCAAACTTGAAAGCCTATTCCTCCAGCATGACACTACACATACAAACACTATATACCAGGACCTACTGCTTGTCGACAAGAAGAAATGCGGAGTCCTCAACAAAATCATTTCAACAAACTTAGTAGTCCTTCATACAAACAGGTTAACAGCCCAATATCAATACAGTGGGCATTTTGGTTGTTGGAAAAAAATGTTTTAAAGATTTCAACACATTTAACCCCTGTGCCTTCAAAATTGGGTCAAGGTAATTCATAAACTATCTTAATAGCTCTTTACAAATCTTATTACAAGTCCAATATCAGTACCCTAGGCTTTTGTTTGTTGACAAAAATTGATAAAAGATTTTAACAAATGTTAGCCCCCGTGACCTTTCAAAACTGGGTCAAGGCCATTCATTTAACATTCTTGGTAGCTGTTCATCTCTTCATGCTACAGGCCCAATATCAGTATATTGCACATTTTGGTTGTTGAGAAAGGTTGTTTTAAAATTTTAACATACTTGACCCCTGTTACCTTGAAAACGGATCAAGCTCATTCATTTGAAAAACTTGGTAGCCCTTTCATCCCACCATGCCTTTTGGTTACTGAGAAAAAATTGTTTGGGTAAGTGAGCTCAAAACAATTTTGATAAAGTATAATAGTCAAATTTTCCTAGAATCAGCATTCATATTACACTATATTACCTACCACTGGTGTGTGAACTTTTGATTCCCCGGTTTCTTTACACTAGTTTGTCAAAATTTGTTTGACAGGCCAATTTCTCTATTTCCCACCAGTATGTCAACATTTGTCTGATTGCCAGTGTCTATTTTTACCACTGTTATGTCAACTCTGTCTGATTGGCCAGTGTCTCTACTTACCACTGGTATGTCAACTTTTTTCTGATAGGCCAGTTTCTGATAATGAAGGACACGGCTAGATGGCTGTTCTATAGCAAGGACAAGGTCATCTTCACGACAGCGTGTACAGTGAGTGGGTGGTGTCTTCTTCATCACCATCGTCATCACAGTGTTTTTATCTTTTTCGCGACGCTTTCTGTAAGACAGTCAATGATAAGTAATATGTAAACCAGCTGACCATCCAATTTATAACAAGATGGGAATACTATTCTCATAATTTTGAAACACAACTAAAATTTTCTAACCTATCTTATAATAAATCATGGTTCAATATACAGGCATTTCATTTTATAAAGCACATGAATTAAAAAAACAAAAAAAAAAAAAAACAGGTCTAAAATATTTATCAATACACTGGCTTTTCGTTAAAGTTAGTTAAGATCAAAGTATCATGACAGTGTTTCAAAATGGTAAAGAGACATTATTTGCAGGCGGACTCCAAAGTAGTAGAACCTAAAAATCTGATGCACACAGAACAAGCTGTGATTTTGATATAATGTTTGTGCACTTTTCCAATGGGAGCACTTTTATACAGGTTTTCAAGTTATCCAAATTTAAACACATCATCATCTCACTTGTGCTGCTCTACAATGTCCTGTAGTTTGACATTAGACACCACATCCCCAAACACGAGTATAAAGTCACTGCGGATAATAGACTTGGCATCAATTTCTCTGAGTGCTTCTCCCATGGATAAACATCCCTCAGATAGCACTGTCGATACGGAGCAGGGAGAGGTACTATCACTCCACTTTGAGTTCCTGAAAGGAGTTAAAACTAAAATTACTTGAGGTATTAAAATTGCAGCAAATTTCTCTAAAGGAAACAAATCCAAGAGATTGATGAGCAGATAATAATTATATGTGTTATTGGTATAAAACTATTTGTAATATTTCAAAATTATTCACAATAGCAGTAATTTACTTGGATAAGTCTACTGTACTAAATCTTATATTGTCATCAAATTGGATTATGGGAACTTTTTAATTAGATATACAACCATTTTTAAAAGTTATAAAAATTAATCAGGTAACAGTAAAAAATGGAACAAAGCAAAATAAGCGAAATTTTTTTTACCGAATATGAGAGCGGATTTGTTCACCAAGATGACAACAGAATATAAATATGTCTTGAACTCCAGCTGCACACAGACACTCCAGGGTATACTCCAGCATGGGTACATTGGCTACAGGCAAAAGTGTCTACAACAGATATATAATTATAATACAGTCTAAATGAAGGTCTTTGCCTGAGTTTTGATCACCTTCTGATGTTCAACCGACAGTATTTGTAAAACCTCTCACATCATGTAGGGACATATTATATATATATCATTATAAGAGTGTAGAAAGATGCCAAATTAGAGTCTGGAATGGTGTGTTAATTGGACAGAGACACTTCCCTTCCCATATGTGCTGCCATTTTTTTACAATGGTTAAAAAAACAAAACAAAACAAAAAACCCAAAACAAAAACAACTATTGCCTTGGACTGCAATGAAGAAATCTGGTCTTAGAATGTACTGATACATATTATAAGTTAAACTTGAAGAGTACGTGCTTAAATAAACAGAATGAGTTTATTTCAAACCAAAATGAAAGAAGTATCTGTTTTCCTAATGGCATAAAGGTGCGTCATCTGCTCTTTGGTTTATCTCCCTTTAATTGATGTTCAATATAAATTGATTGGTGCTACATGTATCCAGGGATGTATAATTGATGTATCCCACTTTTATGTGATAAATAAAACAAGGGACACTAGAGAGATCTTGGTACCCATTATTGTTTCATCTTTGTTTATTCTTTGAAAGTTCTTTCTCTTTTTCCCCTGTTTTAGCTCTTAATTATATGAAATTTGAAATATTATTAATAGTCTTTAACTGTCAAATCCAAGACGTTTGCCTGTTGGGTTCTTTTTTTCTGGTCAGTTCCAAACTTAACAGGGCACAAATAGGGTTATCAGTCCCAAAAGGACACAATGAAGAACCAAGGGGAACACCCATATCAAATCTGAGAAAGATCCATCCAGTACTTTTCAAAACATAGTTGTGAAAATCTTTCATAATGAAATCCAAGATGGTTGTCTATCAACTATTTTGTTTTTCTAATCAGTCTAAAGATTAAAAGGCACAACTAAGGAGTGAGCTTAGAATTATATTTTTTCACCTAATAGCAATAACAAAATAAGGAGCCTTTCGAGCTGACCAGTTTATAAGTCAGTTTTGAGATTAGTTTCAACCTTTGGAAATTATGCTTGTCCTACCTTCTTCTGGTTTACAGTGAGCATGTGTATAGTCCATAAATCTTGCTTAATTGAAGATTTTTAAAGTATTTTACATCCCAATGAGAGTTTCAGCAAATCTGTAGATCTTACATATAAAAGCATGTCACAGATTATGGGTAAATCTCCAAGGTAACAACAGACTATGCAGTATCACTACCAAAAGATCTAAGATTTATGAATGAATTGACTAAATAATTAGGAAACTAATTAGGAAACTACGGCTTTTGATCCAACTCGAGATTCTGATATTTCTTCAGATGACAGACAGATGGGCAGACAATGGAAACTAACTGTGCATGAAAGGTGACTAACAGTGGAATTAAAATGTGTCTTGTTTCAACTATGGTGAAAAAATTTTAACGTTCAATGTAGATACGATAGGTTAACGTAATTTACACTCTATTCAGGCTTTGCTTCTTAATCATCATAGTATATGGGAGATAACTCTTCCCATTAAGTCATGCAGGCTGTCAATTAAACTTATTGAAATTGCATCAGCTTTATACATAAGATGTGTTAAAATAGTTGGCATATCATTTACCCTTGGTTTCTTTTTTGAAATTGGTGAAAATCTCAAATCGAAGCTGTCTGCTATTACTACAGCTTGTAAGACATCTTCTTGCTTGAGATCCTCACGTTGTCCCTTCGACTTCGGAGCCATTTTCGCAATTTAGTAAACTTCCGGTTTGACGATTTCCGGAAAAATCCAATGGAAAAACAAAAGGGGTGTGGGATTACCCTGTGAATCGTTCCTGGTATCCATTCTAGAGGGAAATTTTATCTTCGATCCACTTCATTATGCTATAGAAAGGTAACGAAAATCAGGATTTGTTATCCGTTAACTTAGAAAGTAGATAAAAAGTGACGCCGATTTGGAATCGCCCTCAAGGGGATTCAGAAGAGGAAGAGACGGTGGCCAACAACAAGGGAAACTAATAATTGTAAGTACACTCACTTTTTGTTTTGTTGGAACGTTTTGTACTAAAACTATGTAGTGTCATATGACTTTCGGACGCGTTTTCTTCTTGATATTCATCTATATATTTGAAAGCCGAGTATTTCTTTTGTGTAATTGAGCCTCTCATGTCACCAGTTTTGACGGATACGGAGCCAGGAGTGTCGTTACGATGATACCAGAATTTTTTACAGTCTGTGTCATATGGATACATATCGTTTTTAGAATTTTAGAAATCGTTAAATATTATCCACTTTCTGCACAAATAGAAAACATGTGTATGTCCAAGACAAATTTCACTAACTGTTAACAAATAAAGAATTTCCAGAAAAGACTTCGCATTCAATGGTGAGATGGTCATGATATTCTGTTATTTTTTTTCAAAAACATTAGGTCTATGTATAACATATTCTTTTTAAGCAAAGATGATTTATTTATATAATATTAATATTATTAAATTATTTGTATTAACTGACGCTCACGCTTCACTAGTAAAGCATAATATATTTTTTGATAAAGAGAAAAGTCTTAGTCATCTGAACATTTTAGTCATATAACATACAACTTTTTCAGTTTTGCATTTAGTTGTATTTACATATCAAAGATAAGAGACCTATAAAACATTATATGCAGTAATAAAATTACCAATGAGTTCAGAGACAATTGACTGTAAATGTACTTTTCTAAATTGTCACATTAAAATTGGTAATGTGACAATGTTTTAAAATGTAGATCACTCAATACATTTTAATATGCCGCCGGAGGCGGTCGTATATTGGCGTCATCTTCTCTGTCTATCCGTCAGTCCGTACGTCCATTTCTTGTGAACGCAACTCCTCCAAAACTAATCATCAGATTTTCATGAAACTTGCTCAATGTCACTACTACAATGAGTAGATGTGCATGAAGGAGCAATTTTTTGGTTCGTTGAGTTTTGTAAGATTTATGCCATTTTCAACTTTGCATCTGTAGTTTGCTCATAGAGGAGCCTTGTGAACACAACACCTCCTAAAATAATCATCAGATTTTCACAAAACTTACTCAATGTCACTACTACAATGAGTAGATGTGCATGAAGGAGCATTTTCATTTTTGTACTTTGTATCTGTAGCTTGCTTTTAGTGGAGCTTTGTGAACGCAACTCCTCCTAAATTAATGATAAGATTTTCATAAAACTTGCTCAATGTCACTAGTACAATGGTTTGATGTGCATGGGCGATTTTACGGTTCATTGATTTTTGTAAGATTTATGCCATTTTATCTTTATCTTTTTATTTTGTGGCAGCATATATTGTGTCCACAGCACTCTTGTTATATTTTAACACATCTCAAATGAAAATAGATTAATCAGTTAGCATAATTCTGAGTATTCAAGTGAAACAGGGATACTTCGGTCAGTTTTCAGCCCTGTTGATATTTTTCAGATGTTAGTAGCATATTGCCTTACACATATGGTTAGCAATCCTAATTATACCTACTGATTAATGATATATAAATGTATGGACAAAAGAATTAAGATTCAGTGAAAGTACAGCAAATGTTCTTGCTATATTATTCAGTATTAGGAAACATTTCAGATTGGTAATCTTCAGAAAGAAACCTATGTTCCACATTTCTGTTACAACTTTGTTCTTTTGTTAGGTCACTTTTATCAAATAAATTGTGATGGCCAGTGACAGGTATATATATTCATAGAAGTGACATGTACAACTAGGGTGAAGCCTCGTGAAGGAGGAGTAGTGCAGGAGTCTAAAGTGCAGGTTACCTTATACTAGTCTCAATTAGTAGGAATTACCCAAAGGTCAAGAGGCAGATTGTCTGCCTTGAGAGCAAGACATCCCTAGTCTGAGTCCTAGTGGTGGCAGAACGTGTTTTTTTCCTTCTTGCTATTATGCACCAAGCTGTGAAGTGTACCAGTAGATGACCATCAAATTGACAGTGGGATAACGATATTCATCACTTATCACTGTGACTAAATTCATCATCTTTCCATTATTTTTTTGCCCACCATTATGAGATCATCTATGGTTCGCCCAGAGCAGTAAACTGCATATAAAGTCCAGAAGTGGCAGCCATCTTGAAAGTCCTGTCAAATTAAAATGTAGCAATTAAAAACTATATATACACAGGACATGGACTGTTAATGTTGATAAATAAAAATTTCAATAGGATGCCTTGTGAAATTGTTTAGTTTCTTGTATATAACAATCTTCAATGGTCCTAATTCAAAAAGCTCAGTATCAGTTATCTTGAATAAACCAATCAAACCCATACCATAGCTGCCTTTTGATTTAGTCATTTCCAGAGTTGGTTTGGTGATTATAAGTTTTAACATTTGGAAATTTTGTTAGCCTACCTAAATCCAATCTGTAGTCAACATGTTTTTATTCAATGAAACTAATTTCATTCAAGGTTACTAGCATTTTCTGGACAGCCATCTTAAAACAGTTTTTATGTATGAAAAGAATGTCACCCATTTCTGACTGAATCTTTAAAGGTAGCTACTATAATAAGAATGGTAAACACAGGTGGAAGTAATGACCAATACTGTGAATAATTTGTAAATATACTGTACATTTCCCTTCAAAATCCCAGGAAGGGATCAAATCCTCTAATTAGGTCTATATATACAGCATATGATACAGCATACCTAGTGAGACAAAGACAATTTGGCGAATTAGTCTCTCACTGAATATGAAATACAATACAACCTTTATCCTAGATGTAGGTCAAAGGTCAAGTGTAGGTCAGACACACCGCCTCAACAATGTGAAACCATCCCTTAGTGAGAAATCCTAGTGACAAGCTGTTTATTGTTGGAGATAGAGCTCAGTCTCAAAACCAAAAGAATGGATAAATGGACCTAGCCAAAACTATAGGACCCCTACCCTGACCCCCAAACTGTTCCAAAATGGGAGATTAATAATCCACTCTTTGATGTGGCTATGTTGTTCTTGCTGATGTTTTCTTCAGCATCTGTCACACTGTTGGAGTCTCACCAAGCTGAAAATCATACCCAAGTATGAAGTTCCAGTGACTAGTATTGTAAGAGATCATGCCCTGGCAAGATAGCAGTAGGATGGATGAATGGACATCATATAACCAAAACTATAAAACTATAGGACCTGTGAGAGGACTGATAATCTATGCTTTGATTTATCTAACCATACTGTGTGTTGTGTTTGCTGTGGTCTTCTTCAGCAAACACCTGTCACATTCAGTGAGTTTGGTGACTTCAAGGTTTGAGTCACAGACCCCAGATTTTCCTGTGGGACTTCCTTAAATTTTGAGGACATACTTTGCCTTTTAGAAGTGGGGACCAACAAAACTTTGGAAACAGTATAGATGTTGTGGAATTGCCTGCAAAAATTACTGCACAATGGACCTTCCCTCTACAACTCCCACCCCTTCCTCCATCAAGTTCCAACTCCTGGTCTACAAGCAAAAGTGTCTACCAGACTATCAAGGGTCATTACTACAACAGTGCTTGTCTAAATTGTATAAACAGTTAACATTTTCCGATGTGAAATACATGTGGAGTAGTTGTATATGGAGACCAGAAATACAATAATCATTATAAAGACCTTATCTGAAACATAACCCATATGTCCCTGCCTAACCTTTATGGCAGTCTTCACCTGTATAAATAGAGAGTCTATGCATTTAGTTTTATAGCAAAGAGTGAAATAAATCTGAAGATTTTATTTTTTCGGTTTGAAAGCTTAAGGAAATTATAAAATAAAATTTAAAAAAACCACTGGATATATATCTGCAATATTATGTAGAGTAAAGGATACAATGTACACATATATATTACACTTGTATGAAATTTCATAAGCTTATCAAGCACGTTCTTATGAAAGCCACATGTTTAAGAGTATATGGCTATAGGCGAGAGTTTGTGATAAGATCACCAAAGATAGTAATAGAAATGGCTTTGATGTATTACCATTTTATTCTAACTTGATGTTGAAGCCCAGGGCTGGTGGTTGTTAAAGTTGATGTAGCTTTACACCAAACTTGTAAATGTAGGAAGTAGTTGGTATGTTTTTATCTTATTAAGGCTAGAATATTTTGATAATTATTGGAAATACATATGCCTACTCATGCGCCAAGGGAAATTAACATTTTTTGTAACTTTTGTAACTTGTGTAGAATCTGATATCAATGCCTGGATTAGTTTAACAGATAGATTACATAGGAATTATCTTTGTTTTTAATGTTGCTATATGTATTAGCTAACGAACATCTAGTCTGAAGAGAGGGTAGTGAAGAAGGTAGTCCTATGTGTGGAGATCATTATATATGTGGATTCTCATGTGATTGGGTTAACATTGTGACCCCTTGACAATTAACATACACTGATTCTACCCATGGCTTTCCATGGCTCCCAGGCTCAGTAGCCACGTATACATATGCTGTGTATAGAAGTACCTATGTCATCGTTGAACACATGGTTTAAAAAAAAGTATATAAAGTTGACAGCTGAAGGTAGGCCGGAGAATTTTCATGTGAATGGATAGATATACTGAGGCACACAAATCTGAGGAGCATCTTACACTCAAATATTTAATTTGTCCACTGATATCCTCCATTTCTGTGACATTCCATTTTTCAGGATTTGATACATACTGTGTTTATTAAAAGACATTAATTGGACAGAGAAACATTGGGATTTCTACTTCAAAAACAGCCTACATATTGGCACAAAATGGATCATTTTCATTTCAGACTGTTTGACATGACTCTTAAAAAGATATGCTGTGTTGGTGCTGGGTATGTAGGTGGCCCTACCTGTTCTGTCATTGCCAGTAAATGTCCCCAGTTAACAGTTACTGTGGTGGACCTGAGTGAGACCCGTATAGCACAGTGGAATTCAGAAAATCTGCCGATATTTGAGGTATGTCTATACTTTAATTAATTGATTAATTAATTGATAAGAAATGCATACATGCATAATCATCATACAGATACAGGTATTCCATTGTTACATATTGTCCATGACAGAGATTGATGTCAGGATGTAGCTCTAGGTCACTATGATCTTGTCTTGAACTGAGAAATCCAAGTACAATTGAAGCTAAATGCTACAGATGTAAAATTATTTATATATATGAACATGACTTTTTACCAGAGATGTTCGTTAGTGTTACAAGTGTATGTACATCACAGAAAACTTAAACAGAGTTACATGTATATCACAGAAAACTTATACAGAGTTACATGTATATCACAGAAAACTTATACAGAGTTACATGTATATCACAGAAAACTTATACAGAGTTACATGTATATCACAGAAAACTTATACAGAGTTACATGTATATCACAGAAAACTTATACAGAGTTACATGTATATCACAGAAAACTTATACAGAGTTACATGTATATCACAGAAAACTTATACAGAGTTACATGTGTATGTATATCACAGAAAACATTATACAGAGTTACATGTGTATGTATATCACAGAAAACATTATACAGAGTTACATGTATATTACAGAAAACTTATACAGAGTTACATGTATATCACAGAAATTTTATACAGAGTTACATGTATATCACAGAAAACTTATACAGAGTTACATGTGTATGTATATCACAGAAAACATTATACAGAGTTACATGTGTATGTATATCACAGAAAACATTATACAGAGTTACATGTGTATGTATATCACAGAAAACATTATACAGAGTTACATGTGTATGTATATCACAGAAAACATTATACAGAGTTACATGTGTATGTTTATCACAGAAAACATTATACAGAGTTACATGTGTATGTATATCACAGAAAACATTATACAGAGTTACATGTGTATGTATATCACAGAAAACTTATACAGAGTTACATGTATATCACAGAAAACATTATACAGAGTTACATGTGTATGTATATCACAGAAAACATTATACAGAGTTACATGTGTATGTATATCACAGAAAACATTATACAGAGTTACATGTGTATGTATATCACAGAAAACATTATACAGAGTTACATGTGTATGTATATCACAGAAAACTTATACAGAGTTACATGTATATCACAGAAAACTTATACAGAGTTACATGTATATCACAGAAAACTTATACAGAGTTACATGTATATCACAGAAAACTTATACAGAGTTACATGTATATCACAGAAAACATTATACAGAGTTACATGTATATCACAGAAAACATTATACAGAGTAACATGTATAAGAAAGAGAACTAAAACAAAGTAACGTGTGTATGTTTATGACAGAAAACATTATACAGAGTTACATGTATATCACAGAAAACATTATACAGAGTTACATGTATATCACAGAAAACATTATACAGAGTTACATGTATATCACAGAAAACATTATACAGAGTTACATGTATATATCACAGAAAACATTATACAGAGTTACATGTATATCACAGAAAACATTATACAGAGTTACATGTATATATCACAGAAAACATTATACAGAGTTACATGTGTATGTATATCACAGAAAACATTATACAGAGTTACATGTATATCACAGAAAACATTATACAGAGTTACATGTATATCACAGAAAACATTATACAGAGTTACATGTGTATGTATATCACAGAAAACATTATACAGAGTTACATGTATATCACAGAAAACATTATACAGAGTTACATGTATATCACAGAAAACATTATACAGAGTTACATGTATATCACAGAAAACGTTATACAGAGTTACATGTATATATCACAGAAAACATTATACAGAGTTACATGTATATCACAGAAAACATTATACAGAGTTACATGTGTATCACAGAAAACATTATACAGAGTTACATGTATATCACAGAAAACATTATACAGAGTTACATGTGTATGTATATCACAGAAAACATTATACAGAGTTACATGTGTATGTATATCACAGAAAACATTATACAGAGTTACATGTGTATGTATATCACAGAAAACATTATACAGAGTTACATGTATATCACAGAAAACATTATACAGAGTTACATGTATATCACAGAAAACATTATACAGAGTTACATGTGTATGTATATCACAGAAAACATTATACAGAGTTACATGTGTATGTATATCACAGAAAACATTATACAGAGTTACATGTGTATGTATATCACAGAAAACATTATACAGAGTTACATGTGTATGTATATCACAGAAAACATTATACAGAGTTACATGTGTATGTATATCACAGAAAACATTATACAGAGTTACATGTGAAAACATTATACAGAGTTACATGTGTATCACAGAAAACTTATACAGAGTTACATGTGTATGTATATCACAGAAAACATTATACAGAGTTACATGTGTATGTATATCACAGAAAACATTATACAGAGTTACATGTATATCACAGAAAACATTATACAGAGTTACATGTGTATGTATATCACAGAAAACATTATACAGAGTTACATGTGTATGTATATCACAGAAAACATTATACAGAGTTACATGTGTATGTATATCACAGAAAACATTATACAGAGTTACATGTGTATCACAGAAAACATTATACAGAGTTACATGTGTATGTATATCACAGAAAACATTATACAGAGTTACATGTGTATGTATATCACAGAAAACATTATACAGAGTTACATGTGTATGTATATCACAGAAAACATTATACAGAGTTACATGTGTATGTATATCACAGAAAACATTATACAGAGTTACATGTGTATGTATATCACAGAAAACATTATACAGAGTTACATGTGTATGTATATCACAGAAAACATTATACAGAGTTACATGTGTATGTATATCACAGAAAACATTATACAGAGTTACATGTGTATGTATATCACAGAAAACATTATACAGAGTTACATGTGTATGTATATCACAGAAAACATTATACAGAGTTACATGTGTATGTATATCACAGAAAACATTATACAGAGTTACATGTATATCACAGAAAACATTATACAGAGTTACATGTGTATGTATATCACAGAAAACATTATACAGAGTTACATGTGTATGTATATCACAGAAAACATTATACAGAGTTACATGTGTATGTATATCACAGAAAACATTATACAGAGTTACATGTGTATGTATATCACAGAAAACATTATACAGAGTTACATGTGTATCACAGAAAACATTATACAGAGTTACATGTGTATCACAGAAAACATTATACAGAGTTACATGTGTATCACAGAAAACATTATACAGAGTTACATGTGTATGTATATCACAGAAAACATTATACAGAGTTACATGTGTATGTATATCACAGAAAACATTATACAGAGTTACATGTGTATGTATATCACAGAAAACATTATACAGAGTTACATGTGTATGTATATCACAGAAAACATTATACAGAGTTACATGTGTATCACAGAAAACATTATACAGAGTTACATGTGTATGTATATCACAGAAAACATTATACAGAGTTACATGTATATCACAGAAAACATTATACAGAGTTACATGTGTATACAGAGTTACATGTGTATGTATATCACAGAAAACATTATACAGAGTTACATGTATATCACAGAAAACGTTATACAGAGTTACATGTGTATCACAGAAAACTTATACAGAGTTACATGTATATCACAGAAAACATTATACAGAGTTACATGTGTATGTATATCACAGAAAACATTATACAGAGTTACATGTGTATGAATATCACAGAAAACATTATACAGAGTTACATGTATATCACAGAAAACATTATACAGAGTTACATGTGTATCACAGAAAACATTATACAGAGTTACATGTATAGTATGTACACAGAGAGTTACATGTGTATTATATCCACAGAGTTACATTATACCACAGAGACATGTATATCACAGAAAACATTATACAGAGTTACATGTATATCACAGAAAGTTTATATACCACAGAGAGTTACATATATACCACAGAGAGATACATATATACCACAGAGAGTTACATATATACCACAGAGAGCTATGTACCACAGAGAGTTACATATATACCACAGAGAGTTACATATATACCACAGAGAGTTACATATATACCACAGAGAGTTACATATATACCACAGAGAGTTACATATATACCACAGAGAGATACATATATACCACAGAGAGTTACATATATACCACAGAGAGTAGAGAGTTACATATATACCACAGAGAGTTACATATATACAATAGAGAGTTATGTACCACAGAGAGATACATATATACCACAGAGAGCTATGTACCACAGAGAGTTACATATATACGACAAAGAGCTATGTACCACTGGGAGTTACATATATACCACAGAGAGCTAAGTACCACAGAGAGTTACATATATACCACAGAGTTACATATATACCACAGAGAGTTACATATATACCACAGAGAGCTATGTACCACAGAGAGTTATATACCACAGAGAGTTACATATATACCACAGAGAGCTATGTACCACAGAGAGTTACATATATACCACAGAGATCTATGTACCACAGAGAGTTACATATATACCACAGAGAGATATGTACCACAGAGAGTTACATATATACCACAGAGAGCTATGTACCACAGAGAGTTACATATATACCACAGACAGCTATGTACCACAGAGAGTTACATATATACCACAGACAGCTATGTACCACAGAGAGTTACATATATACCACAGAGTTACATATATACCACAGAGAGCTATGTACCACAGAGAGAGTTAAGATTACACCAGAGAAAGGTCTACCAAAAAGATTTATAGATGTATCACAGACAGTCACACATCAGAAAGCTATACCGGAAAAAGTCCTACCAAATAAAGTCACATACTCTATAAGATATTGATTCTTCCTGATCTGTCCCCTTACTGGACACCTGTTCATATCACAAAAAGTATACCCAACCTTTCTCACAGGAAAAGTGTATGTTACTGGGAAACGTACTGTTTATTTGATATTTGAATTGTTTGGAAGACTAGATGTCATCTGTATGCAAAAGATCAAAATGTTACTACATGGTGTTTGAAAACACATATTGTTGACAAATGCATTGCTATGAGAAACTGATGCTTATGTCAGCTTATGTTATAAATAATCCTAAAAATAGGGATAAAATTTATCAACATTACAAATAAAATTGTAAAATCATATGTTACCATACATGATTAAGGACATTTCATTATAAACAAACCTGTATTGTTATGGTACAGCCAAAAAAGTTGGTCGATTCCTCACCAACACATACATGTGTCATTGCTAGAACACATCAAACTGGTCATTTATCGACAAAGGTGGCCGTGTAATCTTCAAAACGTCACACTTAAATCTTTTACAGCTGGTAGTTGTGTTACAAGAACTTTTATTCTATTGACATTACCAACATAAAGAAAATGTTCAGAAAAAAACACCTGTATCAATTACACAATTGTATTTGACCACTGTTTCTATATGTTTGTCTAGGACTGACCATAAACTCAGGAACATTTGAAAATTCACTAAATGGCAGATAACATATATCTTTAGGCTACACTGTTCTATTGCTTATGATTGTTGGAAGGCTGGTAATGATATCACGATTTTGAGTTCAAACTCTCAGGGCCTGGGGAATTGTTTTAAAAGATTTATTTTCATATCTGAAGAGTAAATCATATCACAGGTTTTGTCTTCGGGATACTCGTTTTAAAGAGGAAAAAAAATATGAACAGAAGTGAATGGGGCTGTGAATGTGATATTAATTCATATAAATTTCCTGCTTTAGAAGTTGCTGGATTTATGGGAAAAAAAATTGAATTTAAGGTAAACAAGGAAAAGAAGAACAATGTTGGTAATTTCAAGGTGTTTGATTTAAGTATTGAAGGTTTCAGAATAACAATAATTATTATTTAATGTCATAATCATATAACTAAAATTATTGATGAATTTGAAATTTTAACCAGTAATCCAAAAGGTAGATAATAGTTATGTAAGATAATAAAAAATTCTTAGTTTTGTTGATATGTTTTGAGAACACCATGAGCATATCAAAAGATGTACAGTGTACTTAGAGAAAGAGTAAACCAATTAAAGAAATAGGGCTATCAAATCTTTGATTTGAAATAAAATTTAATGAATATTAAGAAAGAAAAGGGCTTATGGAAGTAGAATAGTTCATTACTACATACCGGTACATGTTAAGAATCACTTAATTTTAGAAGTTTTGTTGATGGCGGCATGGGGAAAAACTCGAGTTACTTAAAGGAAACAGCAAAATATTAGAGAGGATGATCCTAGAAAATTGATACAGGAACTAGAGATTAGAAAATTATCGATATAGCGGACTGACAAACAAGGAAAAGCTTGAGGCAGATATAAAATAAAGGGAAACATTGTAAGATCAAGAGCAAAAAGGATAGAGGAAGGAAGAAATTTAAAAGATAAATTTCTTCAGCTTTAACAAAATAGGAATTACACTTAAAAAAAATAATTTCCTGATAATATAGACAGAAAACAATTGAGTAATGCAAGACCAGATCAAAATTTTAAAAGGAAGTAAAAGATTTTTAAGAAAAATTAGATGATGTGTAGGCAAATGTGGTTGCTGTTAATTTTGATAGATTTATCTGAATCAGTGTAATGTTCCAAATCTAGCTGATATAGAATCAAGATTAGACACTAGTATTAAACTGGAAGAAGCAGGTAACACCTGGAGTAAAATGAAAAATAATGAGAGCCCAGGTTTGGCTGGTTTTACTTCGTTGTTACATCCTTGAAATTTGGTTTTGACAAAAACAAACTTTTTATTACAAGAAGACCGGGAATTAATGCATGCATACCACAGGTAGTTAAACCTTGACATTTCATTAAAAACTGGCACCCTATATCACTTTTCAATATCATATGCAAAATAGCATCAAGGTTTATATCAAATAGGTAAAAGTCTGTCTGAGGTAAACATTTAGAAAATGATCAAATAGGATTTTTACCAGGGCATTGACATAGTGAAAGGTACTAGACTCTTCTATAACAAAAAGGTAACAAACTTTACTGAATAAAGCAATATCACATGGGTGCTTCATATGAAAGGGTTTGAAAAAGCTTTTTTGCAACAATCTTGATGGTCTACATTTCCTTTTGAATGCATCATTATAGGAGAATTTGGCTTGGACCATTTGTTTATAAAATTTGGGATTTAGAAAATAGTCAGTGATCAATGGTAAACCAAGAAAAGTAAAATTGGAAAAAGGAAAAATTAAAAAGAATGAAACAATTAAGATTAAATAAGAAAATAAAAGTATTCATACTCAACATTTCTTAGCAGAACACACTACAAAAGTGTCATCCCAGTAGAGAGTCTATTCTCTCTGGAGTTCTCATTTGCTCTCATTTTTCATTACAGCCAGGCCTGTACGATCTCGTGAAGGAATGTCGTGGCCGTAACCTATTTTTCTCCACCAATGTGAAGGAAGCCATTGTGGAAGCTGATCTTATCTTCATTTGTGTTAACACTCCAACAAAAAACTTTGGAAAAGGCAAGGTAGGTGACGTCACCAGAGTTTCTGTTGGAACAGAAAAATTACTGAAGGTTGTCACGTTTCTGTCACATGTAAATAATAGGATACCACAAACTTATTTCTACTGTAGTATTAATTTAGGCTTCTCTGTTAAGTATAAAAGTACATTGTACTTTATTCCAAGATACTTGATTAGATATTTTGCTGATAGAATTTTTATCAGACAATAAAAAGTGTAAATGAAAAAAAAGTAAAATTTACTTTGTTGTCCTATAAACAGTATTAGATATGTTTGTAATATTTTGTATCAGGGGAGAGCAGCAGATCTTGTCCTATAAGCAGTATTAGATATGTTTGTAATATTTTGTATCAACGGCAGGCAGCAGATCTTGTCCTATAAACAGTATTAGATATGTTTGTAATATTTTGTATCAGGGGAGAGCAGCAGATCTTGTCCTATAAGCAGTATTAGATATGTTTGTAATATTTTGTATCAACGGCAGGCAGCAGATCTTGTCCTATAAACAGTATTAGATATGTTTGTAATATTTTGTATCAGGGGAGAGCAGCAGATCTTGTCCTATAAGCAGTATTAGATATGTTTGTAATATTTTGTATCAACGGCAGGCAGCAGATCTTGTCCTATAAACAGTATTAGATATGTTTGTAATATTTTGTATCAGGGGAGAGCAGCAGATCTTGTCCTATAAGCAGTATTAGATATGTTTGTAATATTTTGTATCAACGGCAGGCAGCAGATCTTGTCCTATAAACAGTATTAGATATGTTTGTAATATTTTGTATCAGGGGAGAGCAGCAGATCTTGTCCTATAAACAGTATGAGATATGTTTGTAATATTTTGTATCAGGGGAGAGCAGCAGATCTTGTCCTATAAACAGTATTAGATATGTTTGTAATATTTTGTATCAGGGGAGAGCAGCAGATCTTGTCCTATAAACAGTATGAGATATGTTTGTAATATTTTGTATCAACGGCAGGCAGCAGATCTTGTCCTATAAACAGTATGAGATATGTTTGTAATATTTTGTATCAACGGCAGGCAGCAGATCTTGTCCTATAAACAGTATTAGATATGTTTGTAATATTTTGTATCAGGGGAGAGCAGCAGATCTTGTCCTATAAACAGTATGAGATATGTTTGTAATATTTTGTATCAACGGCAGGCAGCAGATCTTGTCCTATAAACAGTATGAGATATGTTTGTAATATTTTGTATCAGGGGAGAGCAGCAGATCTGAAGTTTATAGAATCTGCAGCACGGATGATAGCAGAGGTATCAAAGAATTCCAAAATCGTAGTGGAGAAAAGTACTGTCCCAGTGAAAGCTGCTGAGAGTATTACAAACATCATGAAGGCAAACATCAAACCTGGTGTACAATATCAGGTAGGAGTCCACAGGACAACATCATACCTTGGTACAATATCAGGTAGGAGTCCACAGGACAACATCATACCTTGGTACAATATCAGGTAGGAGTCCACAGGACAACACCATACCTTGGTACAATATCAGGTAGGAGTCCACAGGACAACATCATACCTTGGTACAATATCAGGTAGGAGTCCACAGGACAACATCATACCTTGGTACAATATCAGGTAGGAGTCCACAGGACAACATCATACCTGGTGTACAATATCAGGTAGGAGTCCACAGGACAACATCATACCTTGGTACAATATCAGGTAGGAGTCCACAGGACAACATCATACCTTGGTACAATATCAGGTAGGAGTCCACAGGACAACACCATACCTTGGTACAATATCAGGTAGGAGTCCACAGGACAACACCATACCTTGGTACAATATCAGGTAGGAGTCCACAGGACAACACCATACCTTGGTACAATATCAGGTAGGAGTCCACAGGACAACATCATACCTGGTGTACAATATCAGGTAGGAGTCCACAGGACAACATCATACCTGGTGTACAATATCAGGTAGGAGTCCACAGGACAACATCATACCTGGTGTACAATATCAGGTAGGAGTCCACAGGACAACATTATACCTTGGTACAATATCAGGTAGGAGTCCACAGGACAACATCATACCTGGTGTACAATATCAGGTAGGAATCCACAGGACAACATTATACCTTGGTACAATATCAGGTAGGAGTCCACAGGACAACATCATACCTGGTGTACAATATCAGGTAGGAGTCCACAGGACAACATCATACCTGGTGTACAATATCAGGTAGGAGTCCACAGGACAACATCATACCTTGGTACAATATCAGGTAGGAGTCCACAGGACAACACCATACCTTGGTACAATATCAGGTAGGAGTCCACAGGACAACACCATACCTGGTGTACAATATCAGGTAGGAGTTCACAGGACAACACCATACCTTGGTACAATATCAGGTAGGAATCCACAGGACAACACCATACCTGGTGTACAATATCAGGTAGGAGTTCACAGGACAACACCATACCTTGGTACAATATCAGGTAGCCCACAGGACAACACCATACCTTGGTACAATATCAGGTAGGAGTCCACAGGACAACACCATACCTTGGTACAATATCAGGTAGCCCACAGGACAACACCATACCTTGGTACAATATCAGGTAGGAATCCACAGGACAACATCATACCTTGGTACAATATCAGGTTAGAATCGATTCTAGTACATTTTGTATCATCAACTGCTACCTAGTTGTCGTGGTTGTTTTACCGTTTTTCAATTTAAAATAAATGTGAGATTTCATCCAATATGGCATACCTACACTATAATAGTATCTGATTGATTATATATCAATTTAGAAGATAAGGAATATTTACAGTACCACATGAATCCTTATACTTATTGCATTATATATCAACTCAGAAGATAAGGAATATTTACAGTACCACATGAATCCTTATACTTATTGCATTATATATCAACTCAGAAGATAAGGAATATTTACAGTACCACATGAATCCTTATACTTATTGTGTTGTATGTTAATTCAGAAGACAAGGAATATTTACAGTACCACATGAATCCTTATACTTATTGTGTTGTATGTTTATTCAGAAGATAAGGAATATTTACAGTACCACATGAATCCTTATACTTATTGTGTTGTATGTTAATTCAGAAGACAAGGAATATTTACAGTACCACACGAATCCTTATACTTATTGTGTTGTATGTTAATTCAGAAGATAAGGAATATTTACAGTACCACATGAAAGCATTTTCCTTATACTTATTGTGTTGTATAACTTCTAGGTACTGTCCAATCCTGAGTTCTTGGCTGAGGGAACTGCTGTTAATGATCTTGTCTTTCCTGATCGAGTCCTGATTGGAGGAGATCCCTCGCCATTGGGTCAGGAAGCGGTCCAATCCCTTTGCTGGATCTATGAACACTGGGTCCCCAAGGACAAGATCATTACCATGAACACCTGGTCGTCAGAACTCTCTAAACTGGTAAGGGTTTGTATTGTGACCTTCAGAAGACCTTGGGGTTTGTATTTTTTACACTTGTACAGATCTTATACCTTTTATAAATTGAGAAATGACTTGACCCATGTTCTAGTTTATTGGGTTATAATGATTACAAAACTTTATATATCTATAAATATTTTCTACATTTAGTGTGCTTGCTATGTAATTAGACATTTTCTCAACTTCAACAAAGCTTTTTCTTTGTATGTATTTGTTGAAGATTAAGTGTTCGTGTAGGACCATAAATGTTGTTATAGTTGATATTCTATAAACAAATATACTGGTAATTATCTCTATCCTACATAGCTTTTAATTTAATGAGAAAAGATACATGTACCACAAAGGAAATATTCAGTTATTATTGTATTACATTTGTTACTCAAATCTAGAGATAGCTGTTATCAATCACTGATACATATGTCAGATATTGGTAAATATGAAAGAAACTACCCCAAAACACAGTACATATTATATACTACAAAAACATTAAATGTAAACATCAGCAGATATAGGCAGCTAACATCACTAACAGTCATGGTTGACTTGGTTCTAGGCAGCGAATGCTTTCCTGGCTCAGAGAATCTCAAGCATTAATGCTATGTCAGCCATCTGTGAAATGACAGGAGCAGATGTGTCAGAGGTGGCCAGTGCTGTAGGCAGGGACACAAGGATAGGAAACAAGTTCCTCAAAGCCAGTGTTGGTCAGTGGTCAGAATTCTTCATCAACTTTATTTTGACATTCTGTTGTATATAAATATATCTTACATTAAAGTGTCACATAGTTCTGATCTTTATATACACTGTTGTCAAGTAAATACAATATTGTATACACCTAGTTCTGCTTGTATATCATTTTGTGTTTCAATTTAGGAGATGGTGACTATCTTTTCAGTTTTACATTTTAACATTGTTTTATGATGCTTATTAATCAATTTCTGTTCAACTGAATTTTAATTTGCTAATTTTCTTACCTGTATCAATGTATGAGTAAGTGAAATGAATACACAGGATTCACATGTAGGGTAGACTTGCTATACATATATGTTTAACCCTACCTAGCTTACAACCAGCAATGTCCCTATGTATTGTGTTCCAGTGTCTTGTAATTCTCATCCACTGTCTCTTGTCCCTGTGTATCATGTTCAAGTGTCTTGTAACCCTATATGTCTCTAGTTTCTATGTGTCATGTTCCAGTGTCCTGTGACTTCATGACAATTGTCCCTGTGTATCATGTTACAGTGTCTTATAACCCTATGTCTCTTGTCCCTGTGTATCATGTTACAGTGTCTTATAACCCTATGTCTTTTGTCCCTGTGTATCATATTCCAATATCTTGTAACTCTCTGTCTCTTGTCCCTGTGTATCATGTTCCAGTGTCCCATGACTTCACGACCCTTGTGCCTGTGTATCATGTTCCAATATCTTGTAACCCTATGTCTCTTCTCCCTGTGTATCATGTTCAAGTATCTTGTAACCCTATGTCTCTTGTCCCTGTGTATCATATTCCAATATCTTGTAACCCTATGTCTCTTCTCCCTGTGTATCATGTTCAAGTATCTTGTAACCCTATGTCTCTTGTACCTGTGTATCATATTCCAATATCTTGTAACCCTATGTCTCTTCTCCCTGTGTATCATGTTCAAGTATCTTGTAACCCTATGTCTCTTGTCCCTGTGTATCATATTCCAATATCTTGTAACCCTATGTCTCTTCTCCCTGTGTATCATGTTCAAGTATCTTGTAACCCTATGTCTCTTCTCCCTGTGTATCATGTTCAAGTATCTTGTAACCCTATCTCTCTTCTCCCTGTGTATCATGTTCAAGTATCTTGTAACCCTATGTCTCTTGTCCCTGTGTATCATATTCCAATATCTTGTAACCCTATGTCTCTTCTCCCTGTGTATCATGTTCTAGTATCTTGTAACCCTCTGTCTCTTGTCCTTGTGTATCATGTTCTAGTATCTTGTAACCCTCTGTCTCTTCTCCCTGTGTATCATGTTCAAGTATCTTGTAACCCTATGTCTCTTCTCCCTGTGTATCATGTTCAAGTATCTTGTAACCCTATCTCTCTTCTCCCTGTGTATCATGTTCAAGTATCTTGTAACCCTATGTCTCTTGTCCCTGTGTATCATATTCCAATATCTTGTAACCCTATGTCTCTTCTCCCTGTGTATCATGTTCTAGTATCTTGTAACCCTCTGTCTCTTCTCCCTGTGTATCATGTTCAAGTATCTTGTAACCCCATGTCTCTTCTCCCTGTGTATCATGTCCCAGTATCTTGTAACCCTATGTCTCTTCTCCCTGTGTATCATGTTCTAGTATCTTGTAACCCTCTGTCTCTTGACCTTGTGTATCATGTTCTAGTATCTTGTAACCCTCTGTCTCTTGTCCTTGTGTATCATGTTCTAGTATCTTGTAACCCTCTGTCTCTTGACCTTGTGGATCATGTTCAAGTATCTTGTAACCCTATGTCTCTTCTCCCTGTGTATCATGTCCCAGTATCTTGTGACCCCATGTTTCTTGCCCTTTTGTATCATGTGCTAGTGTCTCGTAACTCTATGATCTTGTCCTTGTTCCAATGCCTCAATCATATCCCTGTACCTTTTGTCATATCACTGTCTCATGTCACTATCATTTTATACAAATCTTTGAGCTTCACGTCCCTATGAATCATGTCATTTTGTATGAGTGTCATGTCCCTGTTTCATGTCACTGTGTATATGTCCTGTAGTATTATAACACTGTTTCATGTCACTGTGTATAAATCCTGTAGTATTATAACACTGTGTTTCATGTCACTGTGTATAAATCCTGTAGTATTATAACACTGTGTTTCATGTCACTGTGTATAAATCCTGTAGTATTATAACACTGTTTCATGTCACTGTGTATAAATCCTTTAGTATTATAACACTGTTTCATGTCACTGTGTATAAAACCCTGTAGTATTATAACACTGTGTTTCATGTCACTGTGTATAAAACCCTGTAGTATTATAACACTGTGTTTCATGTCACTGTGTATAAAACCCTGTAGTATTATAACACTGTGTTTCATGTCACTGTGTATAAATCCTGTAGTGTTATAACACTGTGTTTCATGTCACTGTGTATAAATCCTGTAGTATTATAACACTGTTTCATGTCACTGTGTATAAAACCCTGTAGTATTATAACACTGTGTTTCATGTCACTGTGTATAAATCCTGTAGTGTTATAACACTGTTTCATGTCACTGTGTATAAAACCCTGTAGTATTATAACACTGTTTCATGTCACTGTGTATAAAACCCTGTAGTATTATAACACTGTGTTTCATGTCACTGTGTATAAAACCCTGTAGTATTATAACACTGTGTTTCATGTCACTTTGTATAAATCCTGTAGTATCATAACACTGTGTTTCATGTCACTGTGTATAAATCCTGTAGTATTATAACACTGTTTCATGTCACTGTGTATAAATCCTGTAGTATTATAACAATGTGTTTCACGTCACTGTGTATAAGTTCTGTAGTATTATAACACTGTGTTTCACGTCACTGTGTATAAGTTCTGTAGTATTATAACACTGTTTCACGTCACTGTGTATACGTCCTGTAGTAGTATGTGTAATGAAGCATGTAATCCAGCACAGTGTGACTGTTGGTGCTAGCACTGGTTTTTTTTCAAGCTTTGGTGGTTTTTCAGGATTTGGTGGTAGCTGTTTTCAAAAGGATGTTCTCAATCTAGTCTACCTTTGTGAGTGTCTCAACCTGCCTGAGGTTGCTGAGTACTGGCAACAGGTATGTTATATAAGTTGTAAAATCAAGGAAGTAAATTGATCAGATAGAACTAATTGATAGTTCATTACAGTGATAGTTACGTATCACCTAAAAAGTTGTTAACACAGCGAAGTAAATTAATTAAATAACACCAATTGATATTTCATTACAGTAATCTATAGAATTACTGATGTATGGACATGAGATAGGATTTTATTATGTTTTGGTTGGATTTATTTGGAGGTAATGTGAACTATATCCAATAACTGAGCATACAATCAGAAAAATAAAATGGCGGAAAGGCAGCCATCTTGGATTTTGATTTTGAAAGTTTGTTATTGCTATTTCTTGAGAAGTATGTATTGGATCTTTCGTAAATTTCATATGTAGGTTCCCCTTGGTACCAAGTTGTGCCAGTTTGATTTGTGGGATTGATCAGAAAAGAAAATGGCTGACAGAGGGACATCTTAGATTTTGACTTTGCAATTTTGTGATCACTATTTCTTGAGAAGTACTGTATAGATCTTTCCAAAATTTCATATACGGGTTCCTTTTGGTCCATTGTTGTGCCCATTTAATTTTGAGTCTGATCAGAAAAACACGATGGATGACAGATGGCCATCTTGGATTTTTAATTTGCAAGTTTGTTATCGCTATTTCTTGAGAACTACTCAATAGACCTTTCTTGAATTTCATGTATAGGTTTCTTTAGGTCCCTAGTTGAGTTTGGGACTGACCAGAAAAACAAAATGGCCAACAGGCAGCCATCTTGGATTTTGCTTAGTAAAGATTGTTATTGATATTTCTTAAGAAGTAACGAGTGGATATCTCTCAAATTTCATATGTATGTTCCCTTTGATTTCTCTTTGTGCTCATTTGATTTTGGGACTGATCAGAAGAAACAAAATGGCTTCCAGGTGGCCATTTTCAATTTGGCAGGTAAAGATTATCATCGCTTTTTCTACAAAAGAATGTTCATAAGTCTTCATATTTATTCATGAAATTTATCATTAGCCACTCAAAAAGTTGGTCTCTGTTATACCATGAAACTGATCTACAGGAATTTTCAGGTGGTTGAAGTCTAGACATTATCATCCTTCTTTATTTAAATTTAAATAAGTTGACCACATACTTGTGAATTTATAAATCTCTGCTTCCTCCTTAAGTATCTCTGGTTTGGAAAAAAGCTTTTTATTTGTTCACAGGTGATCAACATCAATGATTACCAAAGGAGACGATTCGCCAATAAGATCATTGAGAACTTATTCAACACTGTGACCAACAAAAACATTGCTATCTTTGGGTTTGCCTTCAAGAAGGACACGGGTGATACAAGGTTTGTTGAAAATTTTTGTAAAATTTGATTTACTTTTAAATCTGTCTATGATCATCTATATTTTATAATAATAATAACACAGAGCCTTTGCTTGAATCACATGTATCAAAGATAGCTCCAACTGAAGACTTATAATGCTTTGCTTTGTGTACTTCACAGGTAGAATCAATAACAAATTGTACAGGTAAAATCCCACATCTAGAGGCAGAACTGTTAGGCCAAAAAGCAAAGAACCATAATCTATTATCAAATCAGTTAAAGGCTTGCTCATAAACTTCATAACTTTTATCAAATCCTTAAATATTCAACAAATATGGGATTTGTAAAGACCAGATTGAAAATCTACAGGCTCTTTAAAACCAAATAAGTATGTTGATACATCTGTTTATCTGGAAGTCTCACAATTGTCTGTTATGTTTCTACAGAGAATCGGCTGCCATATATGTCAGTAAGTACTTAATGGAGGAGGGGGCACGTCTCAGGATATATGACCCTAAGGTAGAAGAAGCACAACTCATGAGGTAAATAGCACATACAGAAATATACACAAAAAAAAAAATCCAAATGTAAATAAATGAAATCTGTAAAAATATATACAGAATACAAATAATTTATGTCATGAGCTGCAGGATATACAGATAGTGTAATAAGTACATGTGGTAGAGTGTATAGTGTAATAAGTACATGTGGTAGAGTGTATAGTGTAATAAGTACATGTGGTAGAGTGTATAGTGTAATAAGTACATGTGGTAGAGTGTATAGTGTAATAAGTACATGTGGTAGAGTGTATAGTGTAATAAGTACATGTGGTAGAGTGTATAGTGTAATAAGTACATGTGGTAGAGTGTATAGTGTAGTAAGTACATGTGGTAGAGTGTATAGTGTAATAAGTACATGTGGTAGAGTGTATAGTGTAATAAGTACATGTGGTAGAGTGTATACAGATAGTGTATAGTGTAATAAGTACATGTGGTAGAGTGTATAGGTTAATAAGTACATGTGGTAGAGTGTATAGTGTAATAAGTACATGTGGTAGAGTGTATAGTGTAGTAAGTACATGTGGTAGAGTGTATAGTGTAATAAGTACATGTGGTAGAGTGTATAGTGTAATAAGTACATGTGGTAGAGTGTATACAGATAGTGTATAGTGTAATAAGTACATGTGGTAGAGTGTATAGTGTAATAAGTACATGTGGTAGAGTGTACATGTGGTAGAGTGTATAGTGTATTAAGTACATGTGGTAGAGTGTATAGTGTAATAAGTACATGTGGTAGAGTGTATAGGTTAATAAGTACATGTGGTAGAGTGTATAGTGTAATAAGTACATGTGGTAGAGTGTATAGGTTAATAAGTACATGTGGTAGAGTGTATAGTGTAATAAGTACATGTGGTAGTGTGTATAGTGTAATAAGTACATGTGGTAGAGTGTATAGTGTAATAAGTACATGTGGTAGAGTGTATAGTGTAGTAAGTACATGTGGTAGAGTGTATAGTGTAATAATTACATGTGGTAGAGTGTATAGTGTAATAAGTACATGTGGTAGAGTGTATACAGATAGTGTATAGTGTAATAAGTACATGTGGTAGAGTGTATAGTGTAATAAGTACATGTGGTAGAGTGTATAGTGTAATAAGTACATGTGGTAGAGTGTATAGTGTAATAAGTACATGTGGTAGAGTGTATAGTGTAATAAGTACATGTGGTAGAGTGTATAGTGTAATAAGTACATGTGGTAGAGTGTATAGTGTAGTAAGTACATGTGGTAGAGTGTATAGTGTAATAAGTACATGTGGTAGAGTGTATAGTGTAATAATTACATGTGGTAGAGTGTATACAGATAGTGTATAGTGTAATAAGTACATGTGGTAGAGTGTATAGTGTAATAAGTACATGTGGTAGAGTGTATAGTGTAATAAGTACATGTGGTAGAGTGTATAGTGTAATAAGTACATGTGGTAGAGTGTATACAGATAGTGTATAGTGTAATAAGTACATGTGGTAGAGTGTATAGTGTAATAAGTACATGTGGTAGAGTGTATAGTGTAATAAGTACATGTGGTAGAGTGTATAGTGTAATAAGTACATGTGGTAGAGTGTATAGTGTAATAAGTACATGTGGTAGAGTGTATAGTGTAATAAGTACATGTGGTAGAGTGTATAGTGTAATAAGTACATGTGGTAGAGTGTATAGTGTAATAAGTACATGTGGTAGAGTGTATAGTGTAGTAAGTACATGTGGTAGAGTGTATAGTGTAATAAGTACATGTGGTAGAGTGTATAGTGTAATAAGTACATGTGGTAGAGTGTATACAGATAGTGTATAGTGTAATAAGTACATGTGGTAGAGTGTATAGTGTAATAAGTACATGTGGTAGAGTGTATAGTGTAATAAGTACATGTGGTAGAGTGTATACAGATAGTGTATAGTGTAATAAGTACATGTGGTAGAGTGTATAGTGTAATAAGTACATGTGGTAGAGTGTATAGTGTAATAAGTACATGTGGTAGAGTGTATAGTGTAATAAGTACATGTGGTAGAGTGTATAGTGTAATAAGTACATGTGGTAGAGTGTATAGTGTAATAAGTACATGTGGTAGAGTGTATACAGATAGTGTATAGTGTAATAAGTACATGTGGTAGAGTGTATAGTGTAATAAGTACATGTGGTAGAGTGTATACAGATAGTGTATAGTGTAATAAGTACATGTGGTAGAGTGTATAGTGTAATAAGTACATGTGGTAGAGTGTATAGTGTAATAAGTACATGTGGTAGAGTGTATAGTGTAATAAGTACATGTGGTAGAGTGTATAGTGTAATAAGTACATGTGGTAGAGTGTATAGGTTAATAATTACATGTGGTAGAGTGTATACAGATAGTGTATAGTGTAATAAGTACATGTGGTAGAGTGTATAGTGTAATAAGTACATGTGGTAGAGTGTATAGTGTAATAAGTACATGTGGTAGAGTGTATAGTGTAATAAGTACATGTGGTAGAGTGTATAGTGTAGTAAGTACATGTGGTAGAGTGTATAGGTTAATAAGTACATGTGGTAGAGTGTATAGTGTAATAAGTACATGTGGTAGAGTGTATAGTGTAATAAGTACATGTGGTAGAGTGTATAGTGTAATAAGTACATGTGGTAGAGTGTATAGTGTAATAAGTACATGTGGTAGAGTGTATAGTGTAATAAGTACATGTGGTAGAGTGTATAGTGTAATAAGTACATGTACTATAGCATACGAATAGTATATTTACTCTCAGTATAATGTGGTTTTATCTGTTGTAGTGAGTTGACTCAACCAAACATAATGGATGACCCTGATCAAGGTAAATATACAAAGTCATCCTATTAAAATGTAAAATATTCATTAAATATCTCTGTATAACTTATTTATGTTTTTATTTATTTTTACTGATTTTTGAGAGATTGGAGTGTGTTATTAATATGCTGTCCCTGATATTACAGTGAAGGAGCTGGTGACTATTTGTAAGGATCCTTATCAGGCTGCCCAGAATGCTCATGCTGTTGTTATCTGTACAGAGTGGGATGAATTTATTGTAAGTAGCATCTAACATTTCCATTTGAATGAAACTTCTGGATTAGACAAGGAGAATTTAATTGTGATGTGGTGGCATAAAGTTTCTTAAAATCACATAATTGAGTAGAATAAAAAATTCAGACATTATAAAAAAACAACTTTAAAACAACATTATATGATAAGGAATTATATTTTTTCTTTGAACACCATTTTGTTTCACTTACACATAAATGTGCTTTTATTCATGAGCTTTCATGTATTTAATCAAAACTTCATTAGCTGGCAGGAATAAAACCAATTTCTAATTTTGTTTAATCAGGCATTAGATTACAAGCAGATATACCAGAGTATGCTGAAGCCAGCTTTTCTGTTTGATGGTCGTCTGATCCTAAAACACCAAGAACTCCAAGATATTGGATTTCATGTTGTAACTATAGGCAAGAAACTTCAGCGTTCCAATGTACACAGACCTATAGCAGCCAGCTTAGGAGGCGCCACCATACACTAAAGGATTGGACAAACAATTTACCAATAGCACACTGATTCGTTGTAATCCAAATGAAAGAAACTGGGATCAAAAAATCTGTTTCTTCACCAAAATACTGAAATGATGTTTGATTATGTTTTCAGTGAGGGTGATTTTAAGATCAAAATGTTTTTATCATTGTAACTTTTATGTTTTAGGGTCAGGTGTGTTCCTATATTACCTTGATAAATGTATTTTTTACTGATGTCACAATAAGTTCACATTTTACATAAAATAAGGTGCGTATTAAATGAGAAAGCAAACTTAAAACTGTTCATTTTTACATAAAAGGTTCATTCTTTATACTGTAACCCTTATCTGGTTAGAAACAGTCCTATTAATTTTTTATTATGGTTATGTTATTTGGTAAAAACTGAAAGGAGAAATAGAATGCAACTATGAGAGATGAGAAATGAAAGGTTGTATATATATATTTTACATTGTTACCCGGTCGTTTATTTGCAAGCTTGCCTATTATTTGTCTGGCATGTAATATTCACAATTGGTGCTTAAATATGAGATTTTATTTGCATAATGTTACTATTGTGGTATCAGTTGTTGTGTCTCTATGTAATGGAGGATGTCTTTATTGTAAACAAAATATATGCTCTAGTGTTATAAAGATATTACGATATTAGTGCATAATGCTACAGTTACTGAAAAATACCATAAACAGATTTAATTTGAGCAGTTTGTTCCTGTTGTTTCCTCTCTGGAATCTGTGGTTTAATCCTTGTTCTTAACAACTTTGGTATTGTGCAATTTCTTATACGTCTCATTGAAAATTCTATGTGAGAGTTAGTTGTCACTTCTTGGATATGTAGTTTTCGGAGCGCCGTGAAATGTGGTACAACTAGTGCTGGTATGATTAAGTTGGTTGGTGCCAGTTCTTCAGTTCAGTTGGAGGTTATTGAGTATGTACCTTGTGATTTGCTTGTTTTAGCATTTGTTATTTGCATAATCAACATTAATCTTCCTATATTATATCTACATTGTTATGTAGAAGGATTGATAACAAATCGTTGTTTATGGCCATTGTATATGATGTGTTTATTTTAAAACTTTTCTTCAATTTCATTAGTTTTGTATTAAAATCATCTAGATCTAGTATAGTTGAAAAGATAACATTAATTGAATGAGACCCATTAATAGATATGAGGACCAGAATATCTTTTTTAAATGAAGAATTCACTACCCTACGATTTCCACTGTCCACATGCACTGCCTTGTTATGCTAATTCGATCTGTCTTTTTAAACAGATGACTGTATTTGTTTTTTGTACTTTCCCTGTACTGATGACATTTCTCTCTCATTTAATTATTTATCTATCTATCTCTCAACAGAGTTGGTGTGGAATGTTTTACTCTCATTGTGTGTATCTGTCATCTAACTTGTAAAATTTCTTTGCTATTACAAAGAATAAGGAGGTTTTCCAACAACGAAGTCACCTTAAATATAGAACAAAGCAATTCATTTGTCTTTTCACTTCACTGGGGTAATAGTGTTTATCTCATAGCTGTTATTATAGGTCTGTTTTACATGTTTTCACTTTTGTCATTTTAATTTTTATAAAGCCTCATAGTATCAGATTTGTTTTTTAAACTTGCCCATTTCCTGAATATTTCTTTCTCCTTCTCTTCTTGAAACTTGTTTCAAATGTTGAAACTTTGAAGATAAGTTCCATTACATCTTATGACAATTATCAATTTATCAAAAAACTGATAGTTTTGATGTACAGCTGATTTTCTTTGACTTGGTCTTCTAAAAAAAGCAGGAGCAAACCTGGGATGTAGTGTTATAGAACTGACAAGAAATGTTGTACAAGTTAGCGGGACTTGTTCCTTTTGCACTTCTAGATAGATGATGAGAATTAGTGTGCACTCTTCAAACAGTATTTTCTAATTGATATATGGTCTTGTAAACTCCTACCATTGATATTAAAAGGATAGAATTACTTTTTTCACTGATTTAAACACAATATGGTTGTTCTGAATTTGTATTTTGTTCCTTGATTTAGTCATGTTATGGAGTCAAAGGGGGGAAGGGGGTGATATTAGATTTAGTGAATTTTTTGCTGGAGATATGTACTACAACAGATTGCATCATCCTTCAAAAATTGGTTAATTTACAAATAACATACACTCATATACCTGTAAAGATATAAGGAAGATATCTCTATCACAAATCATACTAATTATATAACGATAAGGACTCAAAAGCCATGCGACAAGTGACAAGTAAAGCGACAAGCAAAGCACAGTTCAGAAATGAGACTATGTACACATGCATTGTGAAGGATGCAATCCGAGTCCTGTCAGTCAAAAACTAGCAGACTGTTTATCTCACATAAACAACTGATGCCTCAAATTTGGTCAATGCATGCATTTATTTTTTGGAAATATGATATTCATATTGCAAATGAAAAGAGGAAAAATGTTTGTGTTATTTTCTTATTTTTAGTATGTTACTCCAAAATAAAGCGCTGCCTACTGCTCGCATCCAATACAATGGGGTTATTATTCATGGAATAGTTCTGTGCCTCTGTAAAAGCAGCAAAGCTATTGCTATGACTGGTTGTTTATTGAGGAAGGGAGATAACTCTTCTATTGGCACGCTTTTGTTGTTTCACTCAATAAGGAATATTGATATCAGACCAGAGCTACTGCTCACATTGTTATACTTTTTCTGTGGATATTTTGTGGGTTTTTTTATTTTCACTCAAATTTACCTTTACAGCTATTTTGTTAAAAACTTCCCAAGGTTTGACATTGATTTTTAACATAATTTTTAAATATATATATATATCAAAAGTATATACGTTGTATATATAAGTTTTTGAATAGGATATTGAAGGTAATACACATTTTGTTTTCAAATCCTTGATAATGTATTTATATCCTAACATGCTAGAAGAGAAAATTAGTATATTTAACAGTTTGAAAAGATCTGAATATATTTGTATAGTATAAACAAAATAAAGCACAATTTTTGATAGTTTGAATATATTCATTTAATGAGAAGAGTTGTCCTTTAAGAATGAAGGTTTTGTATAATTGATTCTCCAAAAAAGAGAGTTTTGTATACAATATCAATGTTGTTATACTTACATTGTGTTTCCTCATTATAGCCATCCCAATTTTTTTAGTTGTGCAACTTTATCACAATTCTATACATGTTTGAGTAAATAGTCGCTTCAGATGATGGTACTGTCACGGATTCCTCTATTTTGTATTCTAACTAAGCTTAATGTAGACATAGGCAGTCTATAATCCAGCCATCGGTGATCAGTAAATAATTTACTATGATTTATAAATATATTGTTTTTAACTGTTGCTACATGGTATAACATGCAGACAAATGTTGACAACAAGAGCTTGTTTTTACAGTGTTTATGATCGTAGTACAAGTCGGAAGTATTACCAAAGGGAAAATATTACTGAGGCAAAGTGAGAAGTATTGTGAAAAAGAGTGAAAGTTTTATAGAGATGTTACAATTAGAAAATGGTGACACTACCATTATCTAATCAGTTATTTAAAAAAAAGATGGATAGTGTACTCTGTGTATAGTACATTGGGGGTTGTTTTAATAATTAAGAACTTGTATATATTATAACGACAATATCCATAAGTTGTATACATTTTTTTTCTAAAAGCAGCATTTGATCATTTTATAATCATGATTATTTGTGTATCACATCCTTATGTAAATACAATGTTTCTGTTTTGTGTAATACAGGCTTTACACTTTACCTACGCAAACCGTATTTCTGGTGTGAAAACAAATTAAATTTGTTGTCATGTCATGCCAATCTACAACACTAGTTATGTTCTTTGTACCTTGTAACATTGAAGTTTGATGTGGATAACATTGAACTAGTCACAAAAATGAGGTTGAAAATATATGCCGTTGCTAAAATCAAATAAGTTTAGGTTATGTTCACAATTGTAAAGAAATTTGAATAAGTTGTTTAAAGTGTAAAAATTCTAATACATTACAGTAAATCCATACAAATTGATATGTTTAATTGTTATATTATATCGCATTCATTGATCATTTCTTAATTACTGCAACAGAAGAAATTTGATGAGTAAACTATTGTTAAAGTGTCCAAAATTGTGGTGTAGAGGACACTTAAATAGAAGTTGTGAGTACATGTCATCATATACAGCAATTAATGCAGAGTTGATCAAAATAAAATGGGACGACATTATGGATAATTCTGACAGCATCAATTTAAAATTAGATTAATTACAGACGTATACTAAAAGAAGTGAAAGAAAACTATGTGCTAATAACGGTCATTACAATAGGAAGAAACAATAAGTACAGCTTCCAAAAGAAGCCATGATTATCTAAGAAGGCAAGAAAAAGTAAGGATGTAGCAACAAGGAATGATTATAATATGGTCAGAAATTAAGTAAAGACACTAAACTCGTAAATTCCGGAAACAGTATGAATATTGTATTGCTAGAAAAGTCAAAGCAGACCCAAAAGCAATCTGGACTTATACAAAATCAAAATCCATAATAACAAATATTGGCGATCTCTATTCAAACCCAGAAGATAAGAATTCACCAAAAACTACAGTCGATAAAGATAAAGCAGATATACTTTGTAAATTTTTTCAGTAATGTTTTTGTGAAGGAAAGAGGAGGAAGTCACCAAAAAGCCTCCAAAAAGATCTAGATACAATGTGTAAATGGACACATGGCTCCTCAAAGTGCACCTGGACAAATGCAAACACATTAGATTGTGTAATGAGACAGGACAGGAAACCTTCGCCTCAACATATCACCTCAATGGGACACGCAGACAGTAACCAAGGGAAAGGATATAGGCGTTATAATTGATTTCAATTTATTCTTTGATAATCACATAGGTGAAAAAAAGTAAAAAAAAAAAAAAAGCTCCATGTTTGCTCTTCTCAGGAGAAAATTCCAGTTTAAGGGTCATAGGTCTTTTATTCCTTCATACAAATGCCTCACAAATAGATTACGCGAGCCCCGTATGAGCACCATATAAAAAAGGAACATCGATAAGATAGAGGGAGTAAAGTGAAGGGCAACGAAGAGACTTCCAGACATGAGTAACATCAGCTACAGCCACAGACTGGAGAAACTAAATCGACCCACATTAGCCTTCAGAACAGGAAGAGGAGATATGATAGAAATTATTAACGGAGTATACGACCAGGAATGCTGCAATTCAGTACTGTTATGGGATAACGCTGCTTAATGACATAGCTGTCCAGTAAACCCAAAAACAATATATCCAAAGCGTTCTTCGACCAAATTAAGGAAAAACTTTTTTTCAATTAGATCGGCAACCTTTGGAATAAATTACCTGAATGTGTCATTTCAGCAAGTAATATTAACAAATTCAAAAATGAATTAGACAAACACTGGAAAAACCAAGAACAGTTCTTTTATAACAGAGTCGCAATCATATAATTTCCTAATTGTAAACATGATGTACATTTGCAAGAGGTTTGTGTAAAATAACTGTAATATTTTTAATATTTCAATATTTTGTGTAATGTATTTTTTTGGAGTCTGATATAGAGGATGTGCATATAAGTTCTGAACCGGAAATAAACTTCTCTTATCTTGTACTAGCATTGGCTAGTGGGAATTTCCCTTTAGTGGACCGTCAGAGTGTCTAGCTACAGCCTGAAGTGACTGGGTATTTTTCATCACTCCTTCCTGTTACACTAGGCACTAAATCCTGTACAAGAAATATATCATTTAAAATCATTAATGAATGGATTAGGAAGACACTACGTCATGCCACGACCAACTTAGACCGTGGAGAGGTCAAAGTAAACAGTAGGCTTGTCCATATTGTGTATCCTGTCAACTATTAAAGTTTTGTGCCATTGACAACTACTGTACAGTTCATATTCTCCTCACGGTAACTACCCAAAATATGGGTTCTAGTATGTATCCGTGACAAGAATTTCAAGATTAACTCAGTATACCGCTGACACACGACTGTTCTAAATCTTGTATCATTGACAACTTTCCGATAAATCTGTATCTATAAAAAGTAGCTATGTAGTCAGCTTTTCCTGATTCTGAATTTTTCTCGGTATAATATTGTTATATAATATATGGATACATCTGTCTTGTCTATATGTGCCTTAGGTCCCTGTCGTCAAGGTTCCGTAGTATATTTTATGAAGATAATAAATAAAGACAGAGACGTATATATATGTGTTATATACGTCTCTGATAAAGATAAAGATTTTTCTTATCTTTATTTCTCTCTGTCGAAATTCAGTAATTTATAAATACAAGTTCGCTATAGATAATGGAGGGTATATTTTATCCCGTACACCAAGGAAAGACAGGCTAGTTTTTTCCCTTTACACCGCGTAGGTAAGGATGCGATGACTCGATAAGAACGTTGCATGTACACGCTAACAAAATGATGCAACTAGTGTGTTTTCTCTTGCTTTTTGTACTTTTTGACGTAAGTTACTACGTGCGTCAAATCTTCATCGTCATCACTTCGCTTATCAGACGGAGATCCTCGACGAAGCACCTACTTGAGAGCAGCGAGATTGAAGGTCGGTTTTGTAATGAAGATAGAAATTTAAAGCAAGCTCGTTTTCAATTTATGTCCCATAAGATCTTATATAAAATATGAATTTTCGAACGAATAGCGTGTCTCAAGAAAAGTAGTTTGGTTAGATAGCCAAGTTACTAGGTCTCTGTTCAGCTGCTCATTGATGAAATGGAGGCAAGTCTTGTTAATTGAGAAAATAAATAAAGCATAGTTAGCTTTACCAGCGAGTGGATTTTTAGCCAATTTTCGATATCTTGATTAGAACTATTTTATATAGTAAATATACATACATATCATTTCGTAAGTAAGGTTCATTCAATCAATAATATGTTTTAAGCAATGATACAAATAGTAATTTGATAATCATGCATGGAAATTCAAACTAGCTTAGAGTTACATGACGTTTGAACTCAACTTCTACATCGCTCCCTTCTTCACAAATCTTTGATCCTAAAGACACACACAATTCTTATTCATCCAAAGTAGGAATGAAAACATGGTATGCTCCCGCTGGAGATTGAACTAGCAACCTACTTTTGAGTGACTGTTCAATCTATTGATGCAAGTTCAAGCTGTATGACATCTACATTTGCATAAAACACAAGTATTTTGATTCAACAAACACCTGTTGTTCTGACTCCAATATATGAGTACCAGCATCAGTTGTTTATAGATTTTATCTTTTCCAGGTATTGTCCTTCTGAATGACCTGAATTTCCAATTTCACAAGACAAATGACTTGGTTCGGTGTTTTATATTTTTGTTGTCGTTTCCAGGTATTGTCCTTCTGAATGACCTTGATCTTCAATTTCACATGAACAATGCACGGTATTTGCGTGAATGTGATTTTGGGCGTACAAGGCTGTGGATAGAAAATCAAGTCATTGGGAAGATTGGTGTTGGAAAGATGGTGAAGTTAACCAATGCTGCGGCGAGTGTGCGTTACCGAAAGTCTCTTCAGCTCTTTAACAGATACAGAGTTGTCACCAAGGTTGGTGTGATAGAGGTGTCATTATCTAGACAGTTGTTTATAAAGGTATTGAAAAACATAGTCATGTATTTTTTCTTACTAAAGTTTAAGTTGACTGAACAGTTGAGATTACAGAGATTTTTTATTATGGAACAATACCTATCTAAACTGAAATATTTACTTTAAATCATAGAAGTTTTGTTAAGATAATGTACATCATTAAAACAAGTCCATAAACCAGTTCTTTGATTTTCAGGTTATATTTTGGGATGAAAAGGCATTTTATTTGGAGCAGCAAGTTTTGCGACAACCAGACAATTTTGTCTGTGCTGTAGTTATATGCAAGCAGTCTGTGATAGGATGTTCTCCAGCCAGTGTCATTCAGAAATTACCTGGACATTCCACTATTACATCACCTCCAATAACTCCAGAACTAGAAACTCTCTTTGAGTCTTGGCAACACTCGAGTGATCGCCTAAAGAAACAGTCATAGCAGACTCAATCATGTCCACACAGAACAAAACTTTCACATTTCCATAATGTTAACATATTTTTAAAATTATGATTTATTATATTTTGTACCATATGCAAAATGTTACAGGTATTGCAGATTGCTTGTCAAGTCAATTACAGGAATAACATTATTTTAACAGTGTGTGTCCAGATATGAAAAGAGGGCCAACTGCAAAAAATTCAAATTCACTAACATGTTGCTTATATTTCAGAAGTTACATCTTTGTGACTTTTTATTAGAACAAGCTTTCCTCAGTAGTGGTAACTACGTTTATAGAGCAACAGATAGGTTTGTTTGTTCAACAGTGGAGGAATTGTAGTTCTTTGCATTCAGACAAGGACTCTAACCCAGACCTCTGGGGACCAGGACTCCAAGCCAGGCCTTTTGGGTCAGACCAGGACTCCAACCTAGGCCTCTGGGGTCAGATCAGGACTCCAACTAAGGCCTCTTGGGTCAGACCAGGACTCCATCATAGGCTTCTTGGGTCAGACCAGGACTCCATCATAGGCCTCTTGGGTCAGACCAGGACTCCATCATAGGCCTCTTGGGTCAGACCAGGACTCCATCATAGGCCTCTTGGGTCAGACCAGGACTCCATCATAGGCCTCATGGGTCAGACCAGGACTCCATCATAGGCCTCTTGGGTCAGACCAGGACTCCAATCCAGACCTCTGAACTCTAAAACTGATGATCTTACCAATTGATGAGCTAACTATTGGTATCACCAAGAACAGTTGTTTCATAAATGACTTGATGACAAAAGATTGATGATATATTGAAATGATGTTGACTGAATTCAAGAGTATGAATGGTTTGATTCAGGATGCTTGTATTGAAATATAATATTTATTACTGGTATGACGTACACAGTTGACGTGTCTTGCAGAGAAAGAGTGGGTCTAGTTGTAAGATAAAATATTTCCTTTGTGTTCGATAAAAAATATTTCCTGTGTGTACCTTTAATGGTTGGTTTTATTACTATGAATTTAAGTTGGTTAAAATTTTATTATTTCAATACTTGGTTATATACTTTTGTGTTGATGAAATGTTGATTACTACTAAATAAATAAAAGTTTACAAAATAAATGTTTTAACTTTATCATTCATATAGAATAGTTTTTAGTATCAACAAGAGATACCAGAGGGATCTTGGTGCTAACCATTGTTTGATCTTTATTTGGTCTTTGACAGTTGGATCTTTTCCCTTCTTTTCTCTGTTTTTCCTCTTAATAATAAGAAATTTGAACTTTAATCCTTTGCAGAAATAGTGATAATAATCTTTAACTGTCAAATCCCAAAATCAAATGGGCACAACTAGGGACCAAAAGGAACCTACACATGAAATGTGAAAAAGGTCTATACAGTAGTTCTCAAGAAATAGTAATAAAAGAAACAAACTTTTAAAGTCAAAATCCAAGATGGCTGCCATGTTGGCCATTTTGTTTCTCTTATCAGATCCAAAATCGAATCAACACAACTAGGGACCAAGAAAAACCCCTCCATATGAAATTTTAGAGAGATCCAAAGTGTACTTCTCAAGAAATAGCAAAAACAAACTTTACACAGCAAAATCCAAACTGGCGGTTGCCAGACTTGTTTCTCTGATAAGACCTAAAATCAAATTGTCGCACTTGAGGGAAACTACATATTAAATTTGATAGAGATCCATTGAGTACTTTTCAAGAAAATAGCAATAAAAAAATTGTTCACGGATGGATCAACCATGGATGTTGGGTGAATTGAATGTTGTATTTTAGATAATTTATGTTATTATGTTATTTCAAAAATAAATATTTAGAAGATAAAGAAATCTCAAAAGAAGTGATTCAATGCTCATTAGTATACTTGTAAATCTATTCTGAATTATTTCAACTCTTAATTTTATAGATATTAATGTTGTGATTAATGTTTTGACATATTTGACAATGGCTGTCATAAGTACCAATACTGAGGAAACCTTACACAGGGGCACTCCATGGAGCCACGGACTAAATATCAGGACACAGGTTCTTTCGGTTTTCTAGAAGTTGTTGAAAGTTTGGAGACAGATAAACAGATTCTGCACCATACCAAAATCTCAGTCACTTGGTGACAATAAGCGAATAAAACAGAAGTCAGAATGATTAATAAACCCAAGTTTGGGTTAACCTTTATTACAGCTTCTATATAACTTTATTAACACAGCACCAAAAGAAATCAGCGCACAGTCTAAAACTAGAATTGTGTACCTGTAATAATGAACACTGCTGTAAAATATATACATTTAAAGTAAAATACAAATATTTAAAGTGGCAAGACTTTATGTACAGTTTACAATATGACTAGCCATATCCTCATAACCATAATATGACAGCCCAGTGAACTCAAACCTTGTAACTTTCTCAAAAATGGGCCATTCATTCCCAATGTATAATACTTAAAACTTGATACCCGTGTGACAGGGTGACTTTAATTTCAGAACATCAGTATATAAATACTCATAAAATAGTCACTTGGTCCAAATGTATAATACCGGTACTTGGAACTGTCTTGTATATTTGATACCCGTGTGACAGTGAGTTTGACTTAGAACATCAGTATATAAAGGTATTACATATTTGGCAGTATACATCTTTTTAATAAACTTGTTAGTTGCTTACCCTGCCTATTTTGGAGGGAGACAATTTTTGACCTTATGCAATGAAAGTGTGTCAAAAGTAGGTATATAGATATAATTTTCCAGATCGAGGCTTGACAGTTTTAATTGCACAATTTCTGCATGGAAATTTCCAAAAAAGTTTTCAAGTTTGTCTTAAATGGTTTCATTGCTTTGATTCTATATGGCAGTAGGATTTTTATATGTAATATATTATATTTTATTTACAAAACTAATAGAAAATTATATAATGGTTTTTAAATACAATTATTTATTATTCTATATCAATAAAAATATTAAATGGAATTTTTTTTTATACACTATGATGAATCTCTAGAACAACATTAGGAATAAATTTGAAGGATTTTCAAATAATTAAGTAAACACTTGACCAAAACTAACATACAATATATACTATGCTATTAGGAATTGGATAAAATGTAAATAAAAACAAGAATTTATGAAAAGCTTTAAATACTTTCATTGCATAGTATATATTTTGGATCTATCTATCTTGCCAACTATGTCAGGATTACCAGGTTTCGATACAGACACAAACTCATGAAATAACTATTCTATATTTAAACCAATCTACAATGAAGAGATTCTGATCTGGAAATCTAAACTACAAAATAGTATATATTTGTCTATAGGTACAGATATCTTCAGAACAAGATAAAGTTAACAGTAGCTATAGGTCTAAACTAATTATATAACTACACAAAATCATACCTACTACATGTATATCTTTATGTCAATCACATGAATTCTGTTTGTATATGACACTACAGGTATTTTATGACAGGTATCATATACATATACAAAAGAAAAATGTAGGTGCACATTGTTATATACAAGTAGCATTATCAATGTATAAATTATCAATGATTCCAGGATTCAACACGACACAGGTAAAATTTTCACTGTAACAGTATGTGAAGTGAAGAATTCTAGTGACTGTTGCCACTGATCAAATGTTGTGGGAATACAAATAGTAATTGTATCGTTTTCATTTAAAATACATTTTTTTTCTTTTTTTTTATGAGAGAATTTCTTATACAAAGCAAGGATATCAGTATTTCAAAAATATTATGAAGGAATGCTTCAGTTTAAGAACATGTATATTTGTCAATAACATAAAAGATTTCATGTTACGATCACAATACACAAAAGTTACAAAACATATTTTTAATACCTGACACACAAGGTAAAACTATAGTAATATCATACCAGATATATATATTGTTTTAAGTCTATATAACTTAAATTCATCCTTTATGATGGAAAATACACTAACACCATCTTTGTATAGTTAATTCAGAGATTATTTTGGTACCGACATTACTGATAACCAATCTTGTACATAATTGTAGAATGTGAATGTGAGCTTGTTACCAACAAATAATGGGGAATTCATGATTTCAAATACTGAATATTAAATTTTCAAAACAACTCCAGTTTTGTCAAAATTGATTTGAATACAACAAACTAACAAATTGGTAAATAAGATATCATAAAATGACCAAAGAGACAGGGTCACTCCTGATGAGATCAAACAGTATACAGAATCATTCTAACCTGTGATAAATATAAAAGTAAGTTTAAAATAAAGTTGATTTTTTTTCAAGTTGTATGTTAATGTCAGAAGAAAAGTATCAGGTATGCTATTTTTATTTGCATTTGTACATGTCAAGTTAATCATTCTCCATCATTTACATACAATTTCAGGATTTTCAAACTTTGGTTGTACTGAGATTAAAGCTGAACAGGAATACTGACATCAGAGGTGATTGATTTATAGTCATTTTGCTAAATCCTTCATTACATTGCCGTTATTTTTTATATTTGATTGGCGTTACTTCCCTTCTTCCTGATCTTCATTGCCTTCAATCATTTCGTTATGTATTTTCATGATGTCTTTGAAATACTTGACTGTCTTCACCTTGAGCTCTAGAGTTGCGTCCTCATCACAGAGAAAGATGGTGCGTGGGTGTTGCTGGAATGCGGACACTGTCCACATGTGACTGACACCCTCCTCAATAGCCTTGTGGAGGGCATACGCCTTATGAGCACCCGTGATCAGAATCATCACCTGGACAGAAAAACGAAGTAGACAACATATTACTTAACCATTATAATATTGTCATACACTTACCAATGTATTATCATACTCTACCAATACATTTTGTATGATTATACCATCAAACACTTCCAATATCATCATCTTCTATGCCAGTAAATATTGTAAACATTATTTCATTTGACCAAGGTTAGCCAATTTTGAAGTTTCACAAGCCATATAACAAAAAAATTCAAATACTAAAGTACATTATTTAATGAATTACGAGTCAATCATTGAAGTTGCTACCCATTTTAAAATTCCACAAAATTTCATATATTCATACAAAGTAACATTTACTCAGGGGTTAGGGTTAATACTAGACAGTATGTGGTTTACGATTTTTACTGAATAGCAATATATCTGGATGGATTACCTGGCAAGAGTTTATGGCAGAATTGTACTGATTTTTTCTGAGAGACTTATAACTCTAATGCTGATGTGGATGCTGATACAAAGTAACAAATTTGTTTCACTTCTGCTCAAAAATTAATTTTCAAAAAACTATGTGAGAAAAGAAATACTGATAGGTTTAACATCACATTTAACAAATTTTCACACATCTACAGGTATTCAAAAATTTTGACATTGCACAATAAAATTTTGTCGTTTGGTTATGTATTTATGTCAACCAGAACCTCTTTCTGTTTTTTTTCTCAAAATCTTATCTAATTTATTGATTAAATATCTTATATATGCATTTTTTGAAAAAAAAGAGTAAATACTAATATGATTTTTAAACTTACCTCCCTAGCATCCATGACTGTACCAACCCCAACCGTTAGTGCTTGATGAGGCACCTTAGACAAGTCACCCCCAAAGAAGCGAGCATTAGCTAGAATAGTATCCTGAGCTAAAGATTTGATCCTTGTCCTTGATACTAGACTTGACCCTGGCTCATTAAAAGCGATGTGACCATCAGGTCCAATACCTTAAAGATAGAAATTGGAGAAGCAATTGATTGCAATCAGTGTTAAAATCCATTAACAACAAATAAATACTATTCACAAAAAAGTTATCTTCAATTTCAACACTATATCTATGTGATACTTTAACCGTTTGTTCTGTGCCACTTGTTGTCCAGTATAATCCTGATTTTGTCAGACCAATTTGTTAACAACCACACAAGCTAGAATCACATATTTTCTTATAAGTATTTAAAATTCTAAAATTGGATCTAATATCAAGAGTCAAAATTATGTTTAAATATTGAATATCTTAATATAAAAGTAATGTAATTCACCCCATCACCCTTTATTTTGGAGGGACATGTTCATTAATAATGGTAGACAACACTGAGAATCTGAACCTTAATAACTTTAATTCCATTGAAATTAACTTGAACTTTTCACTGCCATCAACAGATTGAACGAGTAATATCAAATACCAAACATAGAAGCATCCTTTCAGTGTTACTTTAGGGAAGATAAACATGACAATCTACCTCCAATAAATAGTTCTATCCCTCCAGCTTCTGTAATCTTCTTCTCGTAGTCCTCACATTCCTTCTGAACATCTACAGCATTGCCATCGAGGATGTGGGCATTCTCTGGATTAATGTCAATGTGCTTGAAGAAGTTGTTCCACATAAAGGAGTGGTAGCTCTCGGGATGATCACGCGGTATTGCTGAAATGGTACAACTGAAGGATAACAGGACAAAACTGATCTGGACTGGATGTACTAAGGGAATGATTGTTGTGAATTTAAAACGGAGCTAATTGAAATCTTAATTGAATTAAAGACAAGACAAGTATATTACAGGTATGTCAAATGTCTGACACATAATCACCAAGCTGTTTCTTTGCATCACGCATTCACTATCATCTACTTGTAATAAAGATGTCAACATAATCCTACAGTAGAATAAACTACTGAAAATTGTTCTGAGAATCTTACTTACATTGATAATATTCTTCATCAAAAATTCATAATCTGAATTTGTAGTGACTGTATTTCACAGCATTGGATGTCATGGTACCAACATTGTACTAGATAGTTTATATACATACCTACATATTCGTCCATGTTGAATGTTTTGACATACTTGAATGAGAGGTTTCCAGCTTTGTAATACTCTATGAGTTTCCTATATGTTCCCAAAGGTGTGCTACCTACAAACAAAAACATGTCAGGTAAAAGGTTATTCTCTGGTAATGTGAGAGGTTGCTGTAAAGCCGTAATATCATAATTCCAAATGAGATATTGTAGTCGTGTTCCTATAATAAATACACTTTATTTTAATTGCAAAGTGTTCATATCATCTCTCATTCATAGCAAAATAAAAATAAAACTTGAATTTGATTTTGGAGCTGAAAAAGAATGATTCTTTATTAATTCTACAAGTTAAAGCACAAGAAGGCCATTGGAAACAGAAATTATATCTTGGAACCAAAAAAGATGTGTGGTGAAAACTTTTTAAAAGTGGATATGATGATGTTTTGTATAATCCAAATCATATTTAAGTTCCAAAGTGGATGTTTTCTTGCTAATGAACTATTTATGTTTTCATAGATGATGTAAACTTATAACTAATCTTAAATCAATCTTATACAAAGGGAGGAATGAACTATTAAAAGTTAACATGTAAGTCAATTAAATTATTTAAAATGTGTTCAGTTAGACCTATGTCTAACTTACATGTTAACTTTTAATAGTACAGGTGATTTTGTTCAAGGTAAGTGACAAAGCTGATCTATAGGTGAATGATAACAGATAGCCAGGTGAAAGAAGAATTCGCTACATAATAAAGTTACATAGTTTTCAATGGGAAATCCATAAGAGAAACCTAAGAGTAAAGAAATAATGGCTGCTGACAACTGATCCGTAACAGAAGATATTTGATCACAAGGGAGAATCAAGAATATGATATTTAACTGTAGGAGCCCTGGAGCCTTATCTTAACCCATCTCAAAGTACAGACATGTGAGAAACAGGAGAGTAAACTGTTTACCTGTGGGAAACCCCAAAAGCAGAGAAGTCACCTATATGAAGGCTGATAAAAAATATACTGCTTTATTTTCCTGTCAGAAGCTCCGATAATGGAATATTTACCTGTGAAAACCCCAAAAGCAGAGTACTTATCTATAGGAAGGCCAATACTGCAACATTTACCTGTGGGGAGCCCTGACAATGAAATATTTACCTGTGGGGAGCCCTGATAATGAAATATTTACCTTTGAGAAACCCCAAAAGCAGATTACCTGGTACTTACCTATAGGAAGGCCAATACTGAAATATTTACCTGTGGGAAACCCCAAAAGCAGAGTACTCACCTATAGGAAGGCCAATACAAAATGTACTGCAATATTTACCTGTAGGGATCTCTGATAATGAAATATTTACTGTGGGGAGCCCCAGAATGAAGTATTTAAAATGTACCTGTGGGGAGTCCGAGAGTAAAGTATTTGTCCGGTCCAGGTTTAAATGCCAGAATCCTCCTTCTGATGTACTTGGCTGCCCAAACACTGACATCATCATAGTTATCAAGGATTACCAGCCTCATCTGTAATAATAAGTAATTAATAAATATGCTATGATTTCTTTTCTGGTAAAAATTGCTGGGATCCAATGTTACACTGGCTCTTACTAATCAGACATTTTTACTCTATGCACTTCATATTCAACAGATTTACAACTTACATGTGTACACAATATAAAATCTACTGGTTCTCATACCTGTGTTTCTTACTCCAGTTAAAATGTTAACAGACAGATTTAGTGCAGCGTCACTACTGTCCCCTGTATATATATCAGTATATAACTCCTGGTCAACTTCACATCTAACCTGATAAATGAAGCAATGTCACTGATACAGCATTAACATAGGCGATTTTCCCGTCAGTCTATACATGTATATATATACATTGAAACTTATTTACATAGGTTACACTTCATGTGGGAGAAAGTTAACACACCTGTACTAAAGATAATGGTAAAGCTGTCTGTTAACATGTTAAGTATATTTTGACATTGAAAGATAATTCAGCGATAGGTATCACTGGGTCAGACATGATAAACGTATTGACAATTTTAAATCATGAGATAAGAGAATTTTCTTTTTGAATATACATCAAAGTGAATCACCATGCAGTTGATATCCATGTTCATTGAACATATTCCTTATAAGAGTGATACTTTTGATGAATAGTAATTTATAGTATATAAGTTACTGATAAAAGTTCACTGTTAAGTCAACTGACCATTAATACAAGGTCACCTACAGGTCATGAGCAGAGATATACATACCATCAGTGACCTTAGGTGATCCTCACATACAATCTGTTTCTACTTTCTGTTTCCTATATTGGACCTAACAGTGATTCATCATATTGATCTAAACACTGACGTTGTAGGAATCAATATCAGACATGATAACAATGCCTTACATGGTTAATCTCTTTATATGTAAAACCTACACTTGTGTCAACTTAAGTAAATGCTGGTTGCCTGGTATTGTGTACAATCATTTTTTCTTTATTTCTTTTCATGTATAAATAAATCTACAGACAAAATGATACTTTTTCATGCTAGAAATTTAAATCTTTACTCCACAGCTATTCTCATGGGAATGTGGTTCATATCTGCGGCCCCCAATTTCTAATATATTGATCATCAAAGTAGCAGAAGTATAATTTTCTCTTACAAAACAGGAGTGTATTCATTACATATACTGCTTATATATAAATTATTATGTACTCCCTAATATGGGGTATCCATAATCATATGTATGATCTATAAAAAAAAAACATATTTATATACATACGTATATCATAAATCAATAGAAAAAGACAATAGAAAAGGACAATAGAAAATGCAAAGTTATATATAATGTCTACAGCTAACCTTATTGACATTCGATTCTGTAGTGACCGATCACCATTGGAAATACAGTGAAATATGAACAGTATAAGCACTATTGATATCAGTGCATGCAACTGCTTAATCATGGCACGGACATACACTATGTATATTATACTGATACAGATATCTGATTATATTATACGTAGTTGTTCATTTGTTTAAGCTATTTTTTTCAACAAGGCAACACTTTATGAGATTGAAATCAATTCTGCTGACAATGACAACTTTGTACGTGACATCCGTTCATATTCATTACAAAAAAAATATTTCAAAAGAATATGTACACAGTAGTGTGGTTTCCTTTGTCCAGACTCCAGTTGTCTACATCTAATAACTACATCATACATAATAGATATACTGACAGGTATCCTGCCTATTTATATTGTATAAAAGCAAAGACACTGAGTATACTTGGTGAGACAGGTGTACTTGTCAAACCCAGCTCTAGCCTTTATCTCCTATAATGTCAACTGCTTACCTTGAACAGCTGATCAATGTTGTGGGAGGAAGGGATGTGCCACCAATAGGTCGTTATGTTATTTTACGACATATATTAAAATACTTATTATGTAATAATGTTATTTTCATTCATAAAAGGTTACTTCAGCTGCCATGATTTCATATGTGAACATTAAGTAGCGGGAAAGAAACAATAAAAAATAAATATTGCAAATTTGAAAGTTTTGCGACAACTATATCGGATTGCGATGTTGTCAGCATGGCGTCTTGCAGACAGCTTTTTCGAACTTTTTCAGTTCTTAAATTTCGTGCTAATTCAAAAATCAGTAACTGTCGGTTACTTTTAAAGAATAGTTTATATAAAGTGGCACCGGATAAATACACCAGCGTCAATAAGAGCTGGCTACTAGCGACTTGCTTTCCAATAGCATGGTCTCGAGTTGGACTGATGAAATTTGTGTTCGGGTCAGGAATGTCCATATCAACAGTCTCATTTCTATCGGTTGCATTTTGCTCTGACAGCGCTGGTGAGTCCGTGAATCCAATTTGTATCGCATGTTGGTTTCCTTAGAAACGTACCATTAGTATTTATTGATAATTTATTTATCAGAGGGTTCCATATGACCTTCAAGTTTATGCATTTTATGTAATCTGATATTTAATCAATTACTCAAATTATTTAGTATATTTTTTAGTATAATTTTACCAATTTTGGGAGTAATTAATAAAACAAAGGGTTAAAAATGCATGGTTTAAAGAATAAGGAAAAACCCTGATTTTTCAATAACCTATTGAAACTTCCTTACAATATTGCATCATCATTCTTTTTCATCTTTTTCATGCATATGCTGTTGATGTACATACCTGCCAAGTTGTTTATAAGGAATTATTAACTTGTCCCATCTTTTACAATTTAATAACACAATTAATGTAGAAAACCAATGAGGTCAAACTACAGTTAGCTCTCTTTTGGTCTCTAGCTGGACAACTTTATCGTATCATTAAAGAAAACCACTAGCTGTGGTTATATGGTGACCTGTGTACATGAATTCTCATCATCTGCATAACTTCCTCATTCACAAGTCTTTGCTCTGTAGAAAACCCAACAGTCAATGGCATCAGATACAATGTATGTGATAAGAAGGAGAAATAAAAAAAAGTTCTGATCCTGTTGAAGCTTGAACGAAGGTTGACTTTTCAGTCTCTAGCTGGATTCCTTATCACTTCACTATAGTAAAATTCCCACAAGCTGTATAGTTAAAATCTATATAAAACAAGTGTAAGAAGAGAAGGTTGGGATGGTCTCTGTTACATGCAATGATCAGGGTCATCTAATGAAGTGCAGGCTTCTTTACAAATAAAACTTAATTGAACATATGTTGTTTCCATTTAAAACAATGATTTTAATTTCTTTTCCAGAAGGTTTCTTCCAGGCTGTAAAACAAGGAAATGTAAATGAGATTGAAAGGTAACAAATAAGAGTAGTTGAAAGAAAACCTCATGTTTAGAGGTAGACAAAACTCATTGATGTTAGATATTTGTCTGAGGTAAATTTGAGGGTGTAATTTGTAAATTTATCTAAAAAGCATTAATTTCTTTGATTATATATATCTGAATATCTTTGTGAAAATTTAGAAATTAATTGCTGTGACATGGCAAGTGTGAATGTGTTGATAACATATAATTGAAATTTTACTTAGATGTAAGTGATTCTCATTCATTGCACAATTGTTTGAATTCTGCCTTGCATTTGCAGGTTTCTAAAGAGTGGTGTTGATGTGAATCAGAAGCATGAGCTTGGTTGGACAGCTCTTCATGTAGCATCAATAAGTGGAAACCTCAGGTGGGACTTATTTACAGGTCTTCTTTAAGGTGAAGAACCGTTGACCTCACAAGATTGCGAGTAGATCTTCATGTACTTAGTGAGCTAATGCCTTCGCTTCAGTCAAATTCAAACTACACACAGGTTAAATCTTAGTACAAAGTTGTTGCTTTCAAGGTTGTAATTCTTAATAGTATTGTTATAAATTCATGCAGATTTTGCATCCTTATATCCATTATCTCAAATTTCTGTATAATTTCCAAAACATGCTGATTATACACAGGAAATTTTGTCTCCTGACTGATCAGTGAATTTCCCGAAATCCAAATTAATGAAAAAATAAACCTGAATTAATGTATCTGCATGTGATTGATATAGGAATTTTTAGTGACATTTTGAGTACCAAGGTAGCTGTGATCACTATTGCACTGACAGTGTGACTGTCATGATGTAAGCTTCAGACCATTTTCCCCTACAACATGGGTTTGCGATGCACTGATAGCCACAAAATAAGGTCTGTTAGGTTAGTTGTTTGCATAATTCCTTCCAGCATCATACTAAAACCTCTACAGTGCTTATGATGATTATTGACCTCCTAAATGATATGAAATGAAGGTTCTTTTTTATTTCATTTTTGATATAGACATTGCACTTTGGTGAGGGACACTATAATAAAATGTTATGAAATCACAGCATGATACATTTATATTGTTAACTATTTTAATTGGCTTTCTTTTTTTGAAATATAGAGTTGTACAGTTATTATTGAAGGCAGGTGCAGACCCTTGTGCTCGTGATGAATATACAAACCACATCATGATAGCCAGAGAGAGACGCTTCAATGCAATGCATGGTAAGGAGTTGGTTGCATTGTTTTGAACAGTGTTTGAATTTCTTAGCAGGGCTTCAAAACATATACTATAAGTGTTGCCAAAGTAACATTTTAGTACAATGGGTAATTTTGGATATTTGTGTGATTTCTTTGTCAATAGATAAAAATATTAATTATGAAATCCGAGAAAAGTGTTGGACTTCTATCTGGAAAAAAGGGTTTAGAGTAACTGAAGGAATTTCAGTCCAGCAAACATGATTATCAAGCATATTTATGTTTAATATTAAGGAGAAATTTGTTTGTGGATCCTTTTTGGCAAAATTTGAAAGAAAAGTTCAACATGAGTTATAGCGAAATGATTGCTGTGTGACATTTTCTAGTGCTGACAATTAGGGAGCAGGAGTTCAGTGATCGACTCCACCCAAGGGCCTACTTCAAGGACTGTACACCCCTCCACTATGCTGTTCTCATAGATGATGTTGACATTGTCAAGGAACTCTTACAAGCAGGTAGATCTGTAGTCTTAAACCTTCACTACATTGTAGATGTCAAGAAAATCCAACAGGCAGGTAGATCTGTAGTCTTAAAACCTTCACTACATTGTAGATGTCAAGAAAATCCTACAGGCAGGTAGATCTGTAGTCTTAAAACCTTCACTACATTGTAGGTGTCACGAAAATCTACAGGCAGGTAGATCTGTAGTCTTAAAACCTTCACTACATTGTAGGTGTCACGAAAATCTACAGACAGATAGGTCAGTAGTCTTAAAACCTTCACTACATTGTAGATGTCCAGAAAATCCTAATGGCAGGTAGATCTGTAGTTGTCAGGAAAACCATACAGATATGTATACGTTATTATGTGTGTGTATGTAAAATACTATTACCAGGTAATCCTTATTTACTGACTGAGAAGAAGATGCAAGGAAGTGTGACCTTCCTGACAAGTGCTCCACTTATCGCTAAATATTACTAATTTTAAATTTGCACGTACAGCGCACACTTTTTTGGGCAAACACTGTCGTGTAAAAAAGGGGGTGCGTATTATATGCAGGAACATGCCACTTTAGGGGTTATCATTCTCGAGTTCTCTGTCTGCCATATTGGATTACCTCCCTTGACATAATTATATTTAGAGTCATTGGTCATATATGATAGATTGAACATGAAAAAACAAAGAATGAAATAAATTTTGAATGTTTTAATGCAATTCATTATTTTTGTATATATAAAAAACAACTTACAACTGATAAATCCTTAGAGCACTAAGTAGGAATCAGTTCATAGCATTGAAGTTACTTTTCACTAACACGGTCACCGATCACTTTCGTAACTATGTGTGAAACAAACACAGTCACTGAAATCCTTTGAATTCCTCCTCTGACTGGCAGCTTACTACAAGATCAAGAATGCATTCATGATGGGGCAGTGTTTCATATCATCCGAGGTCTACTTGATCAGTGTTGTTATTTTTCAGCTCATTTGCTCAAATAACTCGCCTGAATAGCTATTAGGGTCATGACACTAGGTCAGTACAAACCATGATGGGATGAAGGACTATTTCAATTGATTGACCTAGACCCACATGTCAAACATGTCAAATATGGTAGAATCTTCAAACAACTTTAACAACTTCTCAATAACCAAGAGGCTAAGGGTCCATATATTTAGTCAGTAGTATAATGGGACTAAGGAATGCAAAGTTTGACCTTGATCTTATGAAAATCTTCAAACAACTTCTCATTTACCAGGATGCCAAGGGTAATGATATTATGCCTGCAGCATGCTGTGAAAAGGGCTACCTGGTTTGTTCAAGTGTCACCTGAGTAATATATGGAAACATCATTTATACACAGGGTCATGATATGGAGCTTATAGCATGTATGAATTAACAGTTTCTAACTTCATTCAATTGGATTGCCTTCACTTATGTGCTAAGTTACAGGGGTCAGATGTGTTAAAAACAGGCAGCATTTCATTAAGAAAGAGGTTCCAAGTCATGAAAGGCCTGTAATATGCTGGAATTAAATAATACATTTTGTATTAAATTTGTTCAAATAAATGACCTTTTGATCCACTCTCAAGGTGTCAAGAGTCAAATGTGTTGAACTATTCGAACAACTTCTTCTCAATAACAAAGAGGCCCAGGGTCATGCTAATTGGTCTGTTGAAATGGATGACCTAAACATTCTTTAAAGGTCATGAAGATCAAGAAGCAAAATTCTGAAGGTTATAGCATTTTGACTTCAGTGTGTGAAAAGGAAATGCTGCAAACTCAGGTCAAATGATCTTCAAGGTCAAATGTGCCAAAATCATCATACAATCTCTTTTAACATCCAAGAAATCCCGAGTTTCCTTTTTCTACCTGCAATGTGTAAACTGAAAAGGAGAAGTATGATGTTTGGAATGAAGATGAAGGTAGCTAGAAGGAATGAAGATGAAAGTAGCAAGGATAATATCTTCCAATATGTCTATCTCTTTATAAGCTGCAAAGAATATGAGCAATACAAGCCCATTGGGACTCTTGTATCTTCTCCAAACACGTTTTTTCAGGTGCTAAAAAGAAATGGCTTCCATTTTTCTGAGTACTGATTGTTTATTTTTAATGATTAAAGGTGCTGATCCCACATTGGAAAATGCAAATGGCCATAATCCTGTTGAATATGCCAAGAGCAGTATGATGAAAAAAGTGATCAAGGAGGCTACAGAAAAGGTTTTGTCTCATTAAATCAAATTTCTACCATCTAAGGAAATAGAGAATTCACTGATACTTTCATACCAAAAATGTTTAAATAGAAATTTAATTTCAGTTAAAAAATCAGTCTTATGACTAAAAATGGTAAGATCATGTGACTAATGTCTTAATCACATGATTTATGATTATGTCTAGATCATGTGACTTATCATGAGCAGGACTATATGACTAATTATGATCTTGAAGCAATGTTTTTGTTGTGTGAAGTGGGGATTATTTATATATTTATTGATTTATTTTTCAACAGAGTAAGATGTTTATGCCCCCAAGATAACAATGGCTGATAAAGCTGATATAGATCCCTTGTGTTTATTGATATATTGATAGCAGTGTCTGCTGGCTGTTATATTATTGATAATGATTTTAAAGTGAATATTATATTAAGATATTTCCTGTTGTAAAAGATTAAGATGATTTCTATTTTAAAATGAAGATTGTGATAATTTTGATAGTGTACTTTAGAACAAAAGATTTCAGTCAGTACAGGTTTAAGTTGACTGATAAAGAAAATAATTCTTTCAGTTTCTTGTTGTATGTGGTTTTTTTTGTAAATGATATATTGTTTTTTACAGTATAAAGTGATACAGGAGCAGAAAGCAGCAGAAGAGAGGAGACAATTTCCTTTGGAGCAGCGACTGAGGGAACATATTATTGGACAGGATGGTGCAATCAATACTGTGGCAGCAGGTTGGTATTACATTGTTGGGGTAAAGAACAGTTTTGATTGAATGTTTGTATCCTCTTACTTTTGTAATAAATGTGCCTGGTATACTACCTATTTATATATTAATAGTATGTTTGATGTGCTATATTTAGTGTACAGGTAACAAGCAGTTACCTTTCACTTATATTTTCTGTTGATAATTATATTAGCATCCAAGTTATCCAAGTTATGTTCACACATATATATAAGACCAGTGGTCACTGGCTGAGGGTCTCTTTTTCATTTCGCTACTCTTGGTAGTGGTTGACAAGGTAGTTTACCTATTTTTGAAATTTGGACCTCGCTTCACTTGCTGATACAGAATTGCTGGCGTAACAGGGAACCTGGGATGAGCGTACAGCATGGGTATTGGCACGGTGCAGTGTACACTGAGAAATGCCAGGAGCGCTAGGCAAGAGACGCCGACGTAGTTGCCTACTAGGAGGTTCCCGATAATTCTGTATCAGCAAGGCAGTGGCCACTACACATACCAGATGTGCAGGAGCATACAGTTAATACATATATATATGTGTGGAAATGAATTTGTCTATCGTATAAAATATGTAAATAAATTTCATTCGTCATTGTACTGTTGCAGGTCATTTATACTAATCGTGTCTGTGGGAAAGAACCAGAGAAAAACATTACACTTTGTATGAAGTATAAATGGAACACCTGAAAAACTAGGCTTTGAATTAATTTGAATGGTTACTGGTACTCATTACCAGACAAGTACTGTTATAAATTGTTAGCTTTTTATGTAAACATCTTTCTTTTATACATATTTTTGATCTTGACAGCGATCAGAAGAAAGGAGAATGGCTGGTATGATGAGGATCATCCCTTAGTGTTTCTGTTCATGGGATCATCAGGAATAGGTAGGCTAGAATGAAATGGTTTTCTAAGTTTTACCTTTGTTAACTAGATTAACTCTGAAATTTTTACCAGCATGTTATCACGCCACTGTGTATGTCACTGTTGGATCAAGGGAGCAGGGTTGTTTTCGCAAAACCTCTTTGAAATTGTCCAGTTGGTATGGAATTATTTCACAATAAATGACCCAGTTCTATGCAGAAACACAGAACATTAATGATACTCAGCCAGTTAGTTTTGGACAGGTATGGCATGCCCCCTTAAACTACAGTTATCAAAAATTCTGTAGTCCAGCTTCAGTCCTGATCTGTGCCTGGCAATTCCTTGCAGGTTCAGCTGGTCCAACTATTTCACCTTTTAATCAAAAGCAACCTTGGTTCAGTTGAAGCCATATGTGGCATCAAGACCAAATTCATTTCCATGCTACTGAAAAATTTGGGGGATGGGGGATGGAAATAGAGGTTCGGCTTTGTGAACACGTCCATCTTTCAATCCGTCCTTTTTTGTCCGAAACCATTATTCTGCCAAAAGTTGAGGTTAGCAAGGATTATGAAATTTGGTGTATACATTAATTATAGTAAGAAATGTGCAGATAACCATAGTCAGGGCCCACAACCTCTTAATCATTGAATAACTGCCTAAATTAAAATTTTGTTTTCTTCAAAGTTGTTTTGTGGAAGTGTGCATTTGTTTCACACATACATTCATCTCCTTTTTTAATGGATTACTGTAAACTGTCTATTTTTTGCAGTTACAGACTTTCTTTAATTCTGATTTACAAGAAGTGCATGGTGATTAACTTTTAACAAAAGAAACATTTTTGACCATACTCTTATCATTGTTGTTATTGGAAAGGAACTTGGTTAGAAGCATGATTGTACACACATCAAATATATAGAGGAGATGAGTTATGAGAAATGGTTATTTAGATACTTCCCTATTCTATTTAATCTATACCTATACCCATCATGTGATTTATAAACACTGTTTTCTCATTAATGACTGTTCACATTTTAGCTGTTTCTGGTTAGTACTAAACTGTTAGCTAGAGATGCTATTTACTAAGAGGGCTTATATTACAGGTAAAACAGAGTTAGCCAAACAATGTGCTAGATATCTACATAAGGATGTGAAAAAGGTATGTACAAATATTTTCCTTGATTAACTTTACACAATTGAGACATATACTTTGTAAGGCTTTATGTAAAAGTTTCATGAAGATTCTTCTCTAGAAGAACTGATAGAATAAGTATAAATGACTTGGTCTTTTGACTTTTCCTTATCTATTTTATGGGCCAGCAGTTTTGTACATTTTAAAACTTTGCAACTTTATGTGCCCTATTAAAGAAAATGACATGTATTTTGGAAATTATAGAAATTATATTAATACATGTCACTCCTCTAATTTCATCTAAAAAATTGACCAAATTTGTGTTTAACATTGTCTAGATTAGTTTCTACTTGAATTATGGATAAAAGTTCTACACCCATAGATTACCTCCCCTGTACTAGTGTTAAGCTGCTCAGCATTTTATTTAAATACATTATCTTCTACAGGGTTTTATAAGGATAGACATGTCAGAATACCAGGAGAAACATGAGGTATGTATCTAAACTGTTCTGTTATACAATTAAGGTTTCATTATACTGTTCAAACATCTTGAGGATGACTAAAATTTGTTATACCCTACAGGTAGCTATGTTTATAGATTCCCTGACTGTTATTTGTTATACTCTACAGGTGACTATGTTTATAGATTCCCTGACTGTTATTTGTTATACCCTACAGGTGGCTATGTTTATAGATTCCCTGACTGTTATTTGTTATACCCTACAGGTGGCTATGTTTATAGATTCCCTGACTGTTATTTGTTATACCCTACAGGTGGCTATGTTTATAGATTCCCTGATTGTTATCTGTTATACCCTACAGGTGACTATGTTTATAGATTCCCTTACTGTTATACCCTACAGGTAACTGTGTTTATAGATTCCCTGACTGTTATTTGTTATACCCTACAGGTGGCTATGTTTATAGATTCCTTGACTGTTATTTGTTATACCCTACAGGTGGCCATGTTTATAGATTCCCTGACTGTTATCTGTTATACCCTACAGGTGACTATGTTTATAGATTCCCTGACTGTTATTTGTTATACCCTACAGGTGGCCATGTTTATAGATTCCCTGACTGTTATCTGTTATACTCTACAGGTGGCTATGTTTATAGATTCCCTGACTGTTATCTGTTATACTCTACAGGTTGCTAAATTTATAGGCTCCCCTCCTGGATATGTAGGACATGAAGAAGGTGGACAGCTCACAAAGAAACTAACAGAATGTCCAACAGCTGTTGTATTGTTTGATGAAGTTGACAAGGCACACCCTGATGTACTTACCATTATGCTTCAGTTGTTTGATGAGGTCAGTAAATCAAATCTTTTATTCAGTAAAAGTAATATGCGTAGTTATAGATGTGATTACATGTTGCTTTAAACACATACTTTTTTCAAGAAGGTAAAAAGGAACCATGAGGAATATCATGACCACTTTTTGTAACTTGGTTGAAATGGTTAAAACAGCACAGAAATATTCCATGATGAATGAACGGATGGACTTGTACCAGATGTTTGAAATGGTTCATGTAAAGCTCAAAATGCACATTTCTGGAATTAGTCATCAAAAATAAAGAAGGATTAAAAAAATAAACGCATCAAAAAATATATTGTAACCTTTACTGAATATCATCATTTCAGAAAATATGTGCATGCTACGACCTAGTTTTTTGTAGAAAGGTGTTTTGGACAGGTCTGATTAATATTCCACAGTCCAGTCTTATTCCCAGTCTGTGCCAGAAGTCGCAAATTCAGCCAATTTAACCATTTCAACCACTTATGCAAAAGCAACCATAATGTCTTAAGTGCTTAATAGAGGCTGATGTTAAAAGAGATGGTAGACACAGGGTTGACTCCCACCACCAGCTAAATATGCATGACCTCTTTAGATTTCTATAACCCACCATATGTACCATAAATAAATGAAAAGTTAATTAAAAGCTTAAGAACCCATAGTAGTTATCATTTCTTTAGAAATGAAGGTGATTTCAGGTATGTCATTTGGGCATCTCTGAAACAAGCAAGCATGGCGGCAAAGGCCAAATACAACAACTGGTTGTTACTGTTCATTGATCTCAACCTTGTATCTTCTTCATGTGTGTCTTATTCAGGAATAAACAATGATTGAAGTCGATGGTTCCTTATCAAGCATAACAACAAAGTAACAAATATTTCATCAAGTTTTCCTTTAATTCTATTTGGAATTTGTAGGAGTTGAAATACTGCTACATCGTCATTTACTCCAAAATCATGTGGTATTTTGATGAGAGTTATATCTTTAAGATACAGCGCACAAAGTCAAAGAATGGATTAACTTGACGTCATTTGCAATAACTCCAGCTGTATTTTGTGTTAATTTAAGGGTCGTCTCACAGATGGCAAGGGACAGACAATTGATTGTAAGGATGCTATCTTCATAATGACATCCAACCTTGCCAGCGAAGAAATAGCAAATCATGCCCTACACCTCAGACAGGAAGCAGCTGATTTGTCAAAGCACAAACATGTAGGAAAACTGGGTATCTATCACTCACCTTTGTCCTCTATATTTTCTTAGTAGGAAATGGTAATCTGATTTGTTCTGGTATTGTTGAATCAATTGTGATATCAATTTCAAAACTTAAAGAAATTGACGATTTGGTGGCATGTAATGTCAGCATATTCCAAAGTAAATAAAAACAAACTTGATTCTTCCTTATTCAGAGGATCTAGAGGCCACCGAGAGGATCACCATATCTAGACGTTTTAAAGACCTTGTTGTACGTCCGATTCTTAAGGTAATGTCACCCACGCAGCTTTCCAGTACACCTCCTAAATGTGGTAAAGTATTGATATTCAGTGCCTGTAATGTATATGTTATTGGTCCTAAAATGACATCAACCCTTATTGTTGATGAACCGTAAAAATCATTTGAATTATTAGCCAATCATCAGGGTTCCCCATTGTCTCTTTTTGTGTCGGTTTGATTTTGGGATTGATTAGAAAAACGAAATGGCTGAAAGGCCGCCATCTTGGATTTCAACAAAGAAAATTTGTTATCACTCTTTTTTGAAAAGCATTAGATGGACCCTTCTCAAATTTCATATGAAGGTTCCCTTTGGTCCGTAATTGTGGCCTTTTGATTATGGGACTGATCAGAAAAACAAAGTGGATGTCAGGCAGCTACATATCTTGGATTTAGACAATGGAAGTTTATTATCACTATTTCTTGGGAAGTACCGGATTGTATTTTTTTTTTCAAATTTATTCTGTAGGTTCCTAATGGTGCCTAGTTGTGCCCTTCTGATTTTTAGACTGATTAGAAAAAACAATATGGCCGACAGTCAACCATCTTTGATTTGGCAGTCAAAAATTATTTTCTAAACTTCTTAATTGATTAATTTTCAAATAATTATGAGCAAAACAAGAGGAATTAAAAGAAAAGAAGAGAAAAGAACATATAAAGACCTTGTTTGAAAATCTACTTGATAGGATGTCAATTAATATGGTTATCTACTATGTCAGCTGTTCTTCCTCATCTCTGAGAGAATGCTGATTTTGCATACGTGACTGTATCCTTTAAACAGTGATGGTCTGTAGATTTCTTAGAATATATTCATTTATTGTATAGTGATTTTGGCTGCCATGAAATATGTTTATCGAGATAATTATGTATGACATGTATATTGTATAATTAACTTTCCATTCTTCTAGAGAGCATTCAGAAGAGATGAATTTTTAGGAAGAATAAATGAAGTGGTGTACTTCTTACCATTTTCACGATCTGAGCTCAGTAAACTGGTGAACAAGGAACTTGAGTTTTGGTCAGAACAAGCCTCGAAAAAGCATAACATTAAACTGATCTGGGACCACAATGTGGTGGACGTTCTGGCTGATGGCTATGATGTCCACTACGGGGCCAGGTCAATTAAGTATGAGGTAAGATTATGAACAAGAGAGCAGTTCAATTGAAATAATAAGATAATTGGAGGTTAAGTTCAATGCATGTTGTTACCAAGGATTTAAGTCTGAGCTAGGAAGTAATTTCATTAAAGTTAAGGACAAGTCACTTTGGTGTGTAAAGAATTCAATATTAATTGTAAGAGTGTTGCAATGTCAGGGTCAGAAATTTGAGTGAGACATATGTTCAACATGTCATTTACATCCAAAAAGGAACTAAAAAAATATGTTCTCAACATAAAAAGCTGAAGTTTGATCAAAATGTACAGATCTTGCTAACAAGACTTCAGTACATGTACTGCTACAACCATTTTAGGGATAATTACTTAAGTCAGGATTTTTTTCTTTCTAAACTGTTATGTATTAATCCATATGAAATCTACAGGCTCCCGTTTACATCCTTCCCACTTCCACTACAGGAAGAATTTAATTTGATTCAGGTTGGGAAAGTCTACTTTCAGTGGATGATATTACTGAACATGTTTCTTTCTTGTTAGGTGGAGAGAAGAGTGGTATCACAGCTAGCTATGGCTCATGAGAGGCAGATGATAGAAAAAGGGTGTGTCATCAAGATTTCAACTGTCAATGCACCAGACATGACAAAATCTGGAAGCACAGTGTCGTCACCTGATGGCAGCAAGGAAGTGGCCACTATAAAACTACAGCTTCTGAAGAAGGGCAGGAAAAATGAATATGTTGATATAGATTTACAGGACAGCAATAATCCTTTTACAACAACATTTAAATAGAAAGATTAACTAATTTATTTATAAAAAGGATCAGTTACTGATGAACCAACCTCACATTCAGTTCAAATCAAACTTTATGGATATGTGTTGATATGAAAAAGTGAGCTGGTCTTCTGCTACTAAATACTGTACTGCTGCCTGAAAATGCTCTCATTCAGTTCAAATGTCATTATTCAGTTCTCTTTAAAAGACTGTGTCTAAAAAGGGTTCATGGGTAAGGCTGTACAGTGATCTCTTCAGGATTTCAGGATTGTGCTGTGACTAGCTTTTACATTCCTTCTGGAGAAAACAGTAGCATAAAGTGTACCATTAGAAAGATATAATGCATGTCTGAGAAGTTAAACCTTCAAATACATAAATGCAAATTACAATTATGGTTGGTTTGGTTTATGCACAACTAACTCCCTAAAATCAAGATGGTTTCTTGTATGCTTATGCGATGGTGCTTTGTTTGTCTACTTTTTCTAAAAATCGCTGCAAGTCATCAACGATAGAGCCAATTTTGACCACATTTGGTCATGAGCATCCTTGGGGAAAAATTAATCAATTAGGTGAAGGGGAATCTGTTGTGGACCTTGAGGGAGAAGGAATGGTGCTCAATAGTGGAATAGAGCAGATTCTTTAAAATCCTTCTTGTGATGGAATGCAAGGATTCTGTCCCAATATCATCTGAAGAAAAATCAACTTTGATTTGAGTAAACAGAGGGAGTCAGCCCTACAGCAACTTCTTTATTAAGATCCTTCTTCTGAAAGAATCCCTGGGTATCGTCCCAGTTTTGACTGGAACATCCTTTGATGAAAAGGAATAATTTTTGCATAAATACTGGGTCTGGACCCCTCCCCTCAGGGTTGAAACACAAATGAGGAATTGTTAAAAATTCTTTAAAATTCACCTTCTTTTGTTAGAATGTCATGACTGTTTTTCAATTTTGTTTTGGGCATTATTGGGTGAAGGGGAATCAATTTTGTATAAGCGTGGGTTTTGGTCCTCAGGGATTGGGTTCCTGTAGGGGGAAATAAACCAAATTATTTATATTTTTTTTTCTGTAGCAATACAAAAATTGTATCCCAATTTGGTCAGAAGCATCCTTTGATGAAGAGGAATCAATTTTGTATAATTTGTTGGTATCAGTCCCCAGGGGTGGGTCCAATATGAGATGTATACCCAGTTCTTCAAAATCCTTATGATGTAGAAATGACAGTTTTTTTTTAATTTTTGGTAGGGGCATGGCCCTAAGGGAAAATCTTTAATCTTATGAATCATTTTCCTTTAGTTTCAAAGCAAACCAGGTAAACGATACAGGCCCTTTGGACCTCATTTTTTATCATTCTCATAATTCAATAGGTACCAAGGGAAACCTTCATGTGAAATTTGGGAAATATCCATGAAGCATTTCTCAAGAAATAGCAATTAAAATTGTGTGCAAGGACAGCTAACAGATGGACGACAGTTACAGGATGATTTGAATAGCTCACAATTTTGTGATGGTAGGCTATATTACAGGAATATGTGCCATACTATTAGCCGATACAATATTAAAAGTATTTCAAAAGTACAATGTTTAAGTGAATTAACAATAAATTACAGTATTCCAAAGGTCATGTACATCTTCTCCCAACTACTGTTTGACACAATTGTAATGACATCGGACAATGGACATATGAGGTGAGCTAATCTAATGATGTTATGTCTAATAATCAAACTTGACGTTACCATATGCAATGTATATTCCACACAATAACAATGAAACACAAAGAAATTCAGCATTATCCTTAAAAAATGATTTAATTTGTACTTTAGTAGCATAGAATTTCATACAATGACAGCATTTAAGAGATCATAAATAAACAACAAGAGATCCCAGAGAGATCTTGGCGCCCACCATTGTTTGATCTTTATAGAGATCCCAGAGAGATCTTGGGGCCCACCATTGTTTGATCTTTATAGAGATCCCAGAGAGATCTTGGGGCCCACCATTGTTTGATCTTTATATGCTCATTGAAAGGTGGATCTTTCCCCTTCTCTTCTTTGTTTTTGCTCTTAATGATAAGACATTTGAACATTCTTTTACAGAAATAGCAATGATAATCTTCACCTGCCAAATCCAAACTGGCTGCCTGGAAGCCATCTTGTTTCTTCTGATCAGTCCCTAAATTACTTGGACACAATTAGGGACCAAGGGGAGCCTACATATGAAAGTTCAGAAAGATCCATCCATTGCAAAAAATAGCGATAACAAACTTTCAGTCAAAATCCAAGATGGCCTCCTTTTGGCTATTTTGTTTCTTTTATCACACCAAAAACCAAATGGGCACAATTAGGGACAAAGGGGAACCTACATATACAATTTGAGGAAGATCCATGTAGTACTTCTCAAGGAAATAGTGATAACAAAAATTGCTTACAGACAGATGGACCACAGACGCAGAGCAATTTGAATAGCCCACCATCTGATGATATTGAGCTAAAAACAAACGTACATACAGCTCTGGACTAAATCGTAGGTGATGTACATGTAAATAGTCACATCTCACTCTCAAGGTGGACATCCTACCATTAGGATACAAGGAAATTCCCACTAACTGAGACTAGTAAGGTGACCTGTATTTTACTTTTACAGATACCATTTATTCCAGCTGATACATGTACATCAATCAATATGTTTTCTTCATCTTGCAATCCAGACAAGAGATCCCAGAGGAATCTTGGTATCCACTATTGCATGATTTTATTTGTTCATGAAAGGTTGGATCTTTTCCCTTCCTTTCTCTTCTTTCTGCTTATTTACTGAAAATTAAACAAAATTTGGCAATTCCTCAAAGAAATAGCAATAATATTCTTTAACTGTCAAATGAAAGATGGTAGTCTGTCAGTATTTTGTTTTTCTACTCCAAAAATTTAAAGGGCACAAGGGACCAAAGGAAACTTACATATCAAACAGATCCATCGAGAACTTTTCAAGAGAAAGCAATACAAATGTTTCTTGCAAATTCAAAGATGGCTGTCTGTTGGCCATTTTGTTTTTTCCAAGCAGAATCAAAACAAAAAGGGCACAACTAAGTACCAAAGGAAACCTTTATATGAAATTTGGGGAAAATCCATTCGGTACTTCCGAAGAAATAACTTTAACAAACTTGCATTGTCAAAATCTAAGATGGCCTCCTGTCTGCCATTTTATTTTTCATTTTCTTGCTTTCTGAGATAGATCCATCAAGTACATTTCCAGAAACAGCAATAAAAAGCTGTTATTATCAAAATCCAAAATGGCCACTTCTCCACCATGTTGTTTTTTGGATCAGTCTGAAAATGGGACAATGCACAACTAGGGACAAAGAAGAACCTACAAATAAAATTTGCAAAAGATTGATTAGGTACTTCTCAAGAAATAGCAACAACGAGAATTCTTTTATGACAAACAGACCACAGATGCAGGGCAATCTGAAAAGCCATGATGGGCTAAAAACAACACTTTGATTTATTCCCCATGCTGTATCAGCAGGTACAATAAATATCACATTTTCACAGCTACAAAATACATATTCCTGATTATATCTCGATAGATGCCTTCATTGATAAGAGAAATTCTGTTTGGATTAACTAACAATATCTGATAACAGTACTACCATATAAACAAGATGTCTGTCCATTAGGTAAAACTAAAATAAATCAGAATCAGTTTCACTGTTGAACTTTGTCCTAGGAAAGATAAATGCATATATTGCAACTATTTGTGGCCCTCACCCAGGGGATAACCATTTGTATACAGTTGATTTGTCTTTAACTGTAAGTAGTTCACAAACCATTGACTTTACCACCAGTCACTATACAAGGGTCACTTTTCTGTAACCATGCTGATACAGTCAATGCATTAAGGATATATGGCATGGTAACCTAATGCATATGTACAGGATGTTTAAGTAGTTAAATGTTGAGCTCAAAATTCATAGTTACCAAATTTTTCTGTAAAACATCATAAAACAATGAACCAATAATATAGTGTGTTCAATTTCACATTTTTAATCATTTTTACATGGAAAAATATAAGTTTGACAAAAGACGAATAAAAGAATTATTCTGTGCAGAAACTTTTTGACATAATAAAGACATCTAAGCAGAACTTTTTATGAAACCTATTTTCTTTACGCACTTACAGAAGTAAGAGCATTAATGGCCTCTTATATACTGTGGAATCATTAATCTGATGGAGTATTCTTTTTTCAATTTATCTGTTGGTACTCTTCATTCATGATTTCATGTGTCCACAAACTATTGAATTAGTATAAATTAATTTATTGAACAAAATTTTCATGAAATTTTCAGTTTTGAAAGCCAGGAAAAATTATCCACACAAAAGAGTATGATTTTACAGTAGATATACATATACAAAAATATGATGTATTTTAGATTTTTATAACAAATAACAATGTAATTAATTCAGTAGCAGTAAATAGGATTATGAATAAGAAATTCTGCATCAACAGATGTTTATTTATAATCAAATTAATAAAAAAAAGTTATCTTTACCAATTACTTTGCTTAATGAAACATGGAAAGAAGCGAAAAGGCAAAGTCTGGGATTCATGGCTGACCTAGATTTATCAAGTTTGGAAAGTGTAGATAGTGAGATCCAGTTTCAACTGGCCTAAACTAAATGCCTGATATTTAACTGATTGTATTTCAACATCAAACAATGCTGACCTATATATATATCAAATATCTATACTCTTCCTAACCAAATACAGGAATATATATATTCATCACAGTATGTATAAGTCAGAACTAAGGAAATGTCAAGCAGTGGTACATCTGTACAATATTTCAATATTTTCAGCAGAGTAGAGTCATGAACCAGATGTGTAAACAATATTGTCGTCAAGTATACAAAAATATATTTGCTGGGTGAAATGAATTATAAAGGGAGATAACTCAAAATTAATTACAGTTCTAATCAAAACTGGGTAGAAACAACATATTTGGAATCACTCTGGCAATAATTGTGCACAGATATAACAAACTGATGAAATATAACTGGCAACAGCACCTCTGCTTAAAGCTATACATTTATAAAAATGATATTCACACTCAAACATTACAAAAACCATGCAAGCATATGATACAACAAATCTGTTTATCTGCAATGTCAACCTTGAAAGTTAATTAAACAATGAAGACTCCTTCAAAATGAGGATCATATCCTTTTGATATCATTGTACATTTGAACTTCAATCACACGAGCATAAATTCCAGAGACTAGAACCAATGCTGTGGTTCTTGATGTAAGTTTGGGTGTTCCCGATATCCCCTGCTCGGATACCACCCGGTATGCAGGGTGATTGAGGGATAGGGGCTCACAACACAAGTACCAACCACAACAAGCTCAGCATATGTTGGTTGTAGGTGTATTAATCTCATCTAGACGAGACGAGATTAATAAACCTACAACCAACATATCCTGAGCTTGTTGCGACTGATACTTGCATTGTAAGTCACAAAAGTTTACTTCTGAATTGTCCTCACAAAGAATCACCATCAGAAATAGAGATGAAATGCTTTTAATAAAACATGTCAATATACATATATATATATAATGCAAGGTACTGTATACCTCCCAATATATTGTGTACTTTTCTCTGGAGAGGAAGATGCAAATTATCTCATGAAGTTATAGAACATACAAAATCACTTAAATCATCAAGGACCTTGTTCATACGGTGACACAGATCATGTTGACTGTATATGACTAATGTATATTTAACAATAACTAATGTTGGTAATTGTATTAGTACCTACTCTTAAAACAGGTCTGTGCTTAACTTTTATCATAATACTAGACTGTTAGGCCAGTTGATATGACCAGGTCATAAATATCGTGAGACATATAAAACATGTAACAGTACTTTGGCATCATTACCAAATGTCACAATTTGTGGACTCGGCAGTGAAAAATACCCAGTCAGAATTTGTCTGATGAAGAAATCATTGACAGATTGATTTAATCTTATTCAGATACCCATGTTATGGTAAATGTATTGAACTTGTTTGTTTACTTCATTACAACATGACCGCACGTTAATATCGCCAAAATATATCTGATCAGAATCAAAATGTATGTACAGAGAAATTTCACCCATTGAATCAGATAAACAAGTAGAAAACTAAATTTCTATATAGAATGAAAATTCCAAACAAGGAACTTGATGATATGATAAAAAGAATCTCGATTGACAAGGTGCCATTGTACTGGATGCACAATATTCTAATATTGTATGTTGTTTAACATGTACTATAAACCAACTTTCTTTGACAGGTAGAACTTTCGTAGTCTCAGTAATATCACAAGTTTGTAGCGATATACCTTTGTATATTGTTCCATAATTATGGCATTTAAATTGTTCTTTAAATTCTTCCTTACATAAGCCTTACCTGGGTATATTTGGTAGCTAATTGTCTATGGCAGTTGTGCTTACTGGAGGACTGAGGGACATGGGTCAGTAGTGACCTGTTCATATAAGATCAAAACAACTTTTGACATCTTATTAACAGCATACTATATCTAGAGGGATAAACCAGTCTAATAAAATTCCAAAGAAGGTGTTTTGTGTTTTTGTTAAGACAGCAATGTGAAGGTCAATAAGTGATCCAGTTATAGAATTCAAGTATTCTACTGATCTCGGGGACTCCACTTAAGTGGTCCGTGAAAAACTCAAGGGAATAAATTATTTTCGACACTGAATTTAACTTTGAATTAAAACAAAATGTACTGTACATGTAGGTTCAGGATAAATTACACATCAGATAAATAGCTATCACACAGTAACTCTGGTTAACTATGAAATCTGTCTATTTCATGTCCATTAATTTTTGTGATGTTGCTTTGATCATGAAACTGCGAAGATAAGTCGCCTGCAAAAGAGGGTTGTTTTAAAGTATACTTTAAAAAACCTAAATGAAGATGTCATATTTTAACAAATCCTTTTCAATCAGACAGAATGTCAAGAACACAACACACTGTACTTTGAATTAATATGTAATTAATCTACATAATTTTCTCTGAATTGTAATTCTTTCTGAAGAATCCAAGGTGGTTGCATCTGGTTACTTCAGACTGATCATATTAGCTGACCTCTTCAGAATATGAATTTTGCCCCTGATGTGTCTAGATCCCCATATTTGCCCCCTCCCCCACCTCCACAGCTGCCAGGAGGTTCATCATCCTCATCACGTCGCTGCCAATTAAACCAGGAAGAAGTGCTTGCTGACCCTGGCCTTTTTATTTGGCTCTTCTTTCGTGCCATAGTTTCTTGTTCCTGGGGAAAAAATCAAAATAGAATAAATGTGTTTTTCAAGAGACAAACTTTTAAATTCTAAATCTTTTCAGAGTAGGCAGGAGGTAATTATTTTAAAGTGTATGGAAATAAAGACTTTCTTTCCATAAATGCAGTAGATACAGCATGAAGTCAATTTATTTTACTCTTTGATAAATCTGTTATACAGTATACCAGATGCTAGACTAGAAACATTTACCTGTAAGAACATAGCATTGTCTTTACCGAGAGTCATCCGAAGGTCCATACGGAGTGGAGGGTCAACATCTTTAGATAAATCTGTTATACAGTATACCAGATGCTAGACTAGAAACATTTACCTTTAAGAACATAGCATTGTCTTTACCGAGAGTCATCCTAAGGTCCATACGGAGTGGAGGGTCAACATCTTTAGATAAATCTGTTATACAGTATATCAGATGCTAGACTAGAAACATTTACCTTTAAGAACATAGCATTGTCTTTACCGAGAGTCATCCTAAGGTCCATACGGAGTGGAGGGTCAACATCTTTAGATAAATCTGTTATACAGTATACCAGATGCTAGACTAGAAACATTTACCTTTAAGAACATAGCATTGTCTTTACCGAGAGTCATCCTAAGGTCCATACGGAGTGGAGGGTCAACATCTTTAGATAAATCTGTTATACAGTATACCAGATGCTAGACTAGAAACATTTACCTGTAAGAACATTGCATTGTCTTTACTGAGAGTCATCCTAAGGTCCATACGGAGTGGAGGGTCAACATCTTTAGCTTGAAGAGATTTGTTCATATTCAGTTCCTGTTTCTCTGCATTTTTTGTATCAATCCTTTTGTAGAACAAAACATAAGCTGTGTCTTTTGTAAATCTTTGTGTAACATCACAGAAAGAGCTATAACTTGCATGTGAGACACGATTGTCATTGAACAAATACCACTTGTCCTGCAAAAAGTCTACATCATCCTCACTTTTGCAGTTGTGGAGGCTATCACAGATTGTATCAGGATCACAGAAAATGGAGTGACGTGCATAGGAATAGTAGTGGCCACAATCAGAGGACGTTCCAGAGTGGACCACCACCCCACATAGTCCATACACCTCACCTCGTTTTGTGTTCACATTCACACCACACTGCTCTATCTGTCCAGTTACTGCACTACGTAATGACTTTCTTTTATTAACATCCTCTTTTGAAGAAACTGGTGGATTTTCCACAGGAAGGATCAAAGTTCTAGGGTATTTGACCTCCTGGAATGTCTTTGATCTTGTCTGGAGCTTCACATTATAGGAGAACCTAAGAAGAGTGAGGATGAGGTGATCAGGTGCCTTGAGCACCTTGAGTTTCCTCTCTCCATCCTGCAATCCCCCACACTTATCACAGTGGTACTTATTGTCACCTGTCAACTTCTCTGGTTGTAAGTAATACTGAAGCAGATCATTTAGATGGAGCTGTTTCACTGCCATTGTCTTAGGCTTTGGCGATGAACTGTTAGTGGTGGAGGAGTCCTTTGGAGGCAATTCCTCTCCTGATTTAGTCTCTTCAGAATTTTTCTTATCATCACCACCAACTAGTGTCATGCCATCACCAGAATTTTCTGTGTCAGGAAATGCCAGAGGGATGTCAGAGAAATGTTCCATTCTTGAAGACTCACTCATGCAATTTAAACAGGTATAAGTTGTAACCATTTTCCCACCAAAGTGTTCACGAACAGTTGTTTCCAAATCATCATCAGACTTTTCTTGACTGGTTGCCATGGTAACATCCCCATCTTTATCCTTGCCACGGTTATTGGTCATCTCTTTTTTCAGATCCAAGACTTCTTGTTCATGCAGCTGATCAATCAGGTATTTGAGAAACTCTGAGCAGTCCTGCTGGTGACCTGCTGTGAACCATGGGGGTCTTGCTGTCCGCAGAAAGGTCATAGCTGCATATGCAGGTCTCTGAGGTACAAAACAGAGATTATAATAACATTTAGTTTCCCTAAATAATCATTAGACAATTTCAGCAGTGACAAATCGTAGAGATATAATGATTGCATATGTATGGTGGACCCTCAGTTATTCAGACAAATTCATTCTCCACTAAAGTTGTCCAGACTGCAAGTTTTGTCAACTGGCCAATCTACCAAGATTTGTCTCCTTTGATTACACTAACATTGAGTCGTCAGTTTTTACTGAGAATACAGGTATTTATGAATGTCTTTTATTGTCTAACTGTATTTCATTTTCATAAATGATTGTATATGAACTAAAAATTCAGAAGTGAAAGCTGTTGTTATCATGGATAATATTGAATGTCTGTTCTGTATCAACACTGATATTTTACTCACAAATATGATATATCTATTGATTCCTGCTTTCTAAATATGGTATGCACTGCATCCAAATTATTGCCGCATGTTTTGGATGGTAATTTCTTGATAAATAAGACAATCTGGAACTAATTTATTTATTTTGTTTTTAGAATCATGTGAGTCAGTTAAATTCACTGCATAGTGAGCACTTAACCTATTATATACATGTGGGAGACTCAATTATTTGAAAACTATAAAATACTATAATTAAAAAACTGAAAACATATATCTGTCTCTCAATGCATTCATATGCAACACTTACATTATGAAAATCTGTGACCTGTTTTCCTATGTGAATGATGGCCTCATTGTTATTGATCAAATTTCACTTCATATTTCTATGATTTGCATCAAATGTTAATTTAACTTCTTTTGTTTATTTCATCTTAGGAATGATTCATGTTGTGATTACTATAAACACTTAAAATACAAAATATCTACGAAACAACAATAATATTCTCTCATTAAATATTTGAAAACAAGAATGGACAAAGGCTTTTTCTTTGGTGGTTTTTTCACAATTAATTAATTTTGACTTGTAGAAAAGAAAAAAAAAATATAATAAAAATCCAACTGACTCTTACATCAGTTCAACAGGTGAATACTTTGATGATCTGGCAGTGGTTGCTATGACTACACAGTGTCCAGCAGTATGCTTCACACGGTTACAAAAAATATGCAAACTATTGCAGGATTATCACTATGAAAATTCCATTCCATTCCAAAAAAGTAATTCTGAATCCTGCATTAAAATTTCTGGACTGATGAGTACAAGTAACATTCCTAAACATTTCTGTCTGGACTGTGAGTTTTGTGAACTATTAATTTCTGCATTATCCTGGGTCCACTGTTTCATTGTGGAGAAATGATTACCATGGTACCTGTAGATATTGACATACCTGTGTATGGCTGAGAAATGCAAACACATACTGCAGCTTCACCATCAGGGGTTGACATGGAGATGGGGCATGTGCTAAAACTGCTCTCCTAAAACTGAATATTAAGTATGCTCTTATATAAATGACACTCAAATTGCAAATGATTTATTAAATGTTTTTCAAGCGCAAAATTTTCGCAATAAAACAAAAATGAAATTTTTTAAGCATTAAGAACTTATTTAAGGCCTTAGCCATCAAATTTGTTTATGATGAAAAAAAGTTTAAGCAAACAATAAAAAGTGTCCCAGGATATGCATTTTTACTGCTGAGAGTACATTTAAATGTTTATCACCAATGTGTGTTATAGGGCCATGACACGATTCGTTGAAAGATCATTACATCGTCATTTACATGACAAAACTTATCAATTGACTTTATGATTAAGTATCTTATATTTTCTAAAATTGTTTCAACAACACATTGGCAATTTAAGGTATTTAGGATCAAGCAGTTGTATCATATCTCTTATATGTAGTATTGTCTCTACGATTGGAAATATTGTAGTTATGTGGTGGTTAGTCAAACCTTAATGATTCCTGGTAACACATGATATTATCATTGTAAAGCACTTACTCATCACACATATACAGTGTCTGTATGACACTGTTAAGGAAACAAGTATTTCCCAGGTTGAAGAGCCCCGTTTTGCCAGTCTCTGATTTCTGTGTGACTTTAGATATATAATTAGCACTGTCAGATTTTTGTGCTGTCCACTTGTTTTCCTCCAACTTTGTCCTCATAGAATCAGCATCAGGTTTTGGAAATTCCTACAACAAAGAAACCTCATAGGCTTATACTGCAAACATTTTATATGTGTACATAGAATGTAACAGAGCATCATGGCGTTTTGGCCAGTCTAAATGTACTGTAAATCTTCTGTTGAAACCCTTTTTCCTTTGGTCCATTTTAAGTATAAATCAATAATCATTTAAAATCTTTTATCATCAACAAAACAGCTCAACTTTTCTAGAGCCATATCATTATGAAATGTTTAATATTTCTGCTTTTCACAACCCAGGTCATATGCCACCATTTTGGGTCACATGATATATTTACATCACATTCATTTTACTTGGTTATGCTGTTATCACATCTGGTTATAATGCTTTTTATACTTTTTATTTACAAAATGACACAACAGTACATCACTGCAACCATCCTGACGTAAAAATGGATTTATTCTTTAAAATTTAATTACTCACTTTGTTTTCAGCCATAATGAAAACTTAAGTCACCCATTCCTGTTGCAATTTCACATCACTTATTTCTATTTTCAGGTTTGGTCATCATTTTCAGTATTAGCCACACAATGATAAAGTCATTAGCACAATTACTGACCTTGAAAAGCACCAGCAGAGAATCATACAGGTCAGGGTATCCAGCATGAAGGTACATGCAGCAGTGTAAGACATCTGCTATCCTACTCAGTGCATGTTGGGCATCTGCAGATTTCTCCTGTTTTAACTTCCTGTATATGACTGGTACCATGGGAAGTACCTGCAACAAAATACATTATCGCTAAATGGTTGTTCCATTACTGTCTTCATTTTGTGATGCACCCATATCTGGCTATAAGCCAGACCATATCTACTTACTATTCTCAAGAACAATAACAGCTACATCACTATTCCCTAGCCTTATTGTCCTGTAATAAACTCAGTCCCTGACACTGAGTGAGATGTAATGTGTTGACCCCTGAACTTATTGTCATGTGATAAACCCAGTGAATGACACTGAGTCAGATGTAATGTGTTGACCCCTGAACTTACTGTCCTGTGATAAACCCAGTCAATGACACTGAGTCAGATGTAATGTGTTGACCCCTGAACTTATTGTCCTGTGATAAACCCAGTCAATGACACTGAGTGAGATGTAATGTGTTGACCCCTGAACTTATTGTCCTGTAATTATTCCAGTTCCTGACACTGAGTCAGATGCAATGTGCTGACCTCTAGGCTTGTTGCATGATAAAAATAGAAACCAAATGCATGTATGCAATCTTAGTAGCCTGAGTGAAAGTAGAATACAGTATCAACTGTTCCTACCAACCCGAGATGTTTGTAAGATTGGAACAACAGTAGCCTGAGTGAAAGTAGAATATAGTATCAACTGTTCCTACCAACCCGAGATGTTTGTAAGATTGGAACAACAGTAGCCTGAGTGAAAGTAGAATACAGTATCAACTGTTCCTACCAACCCGAGATGTTTGTAAGATTGGAACAACAGTAGCCTGAGTGAAAACAGAGTACAGTATCAACTGTTCCTACCAACCCGAGATGTTTGTAAAGTTGGTGTTGTGGAATCAATCAATTCAGACCTTACTTTAAAAAGCAAAATCTGGTGTCAATATAATTAAAAACATTAATACCTTGTGGAATGGCTCTGGAGAATGTTGAAAGCTGAACAGCATATGGGATAAAACATTGATTGCAGAATTGCGAACAAAAGGGAAGGACACCTTCTCAAACACCTGCAGAGATAAAAAAAAAAGGCTTCAAATAAAGAACTTCAGTACAAAGCTAATCAACTTTGTTAAAATTATCCACTAATTTCATAGATTAACTGCATAAATTAACTGCATGTTGATTTTACTTTTAACTTAAGTGTAATTATAAAAACAACTCCCTAGTACATTGCACTGAATGTGTAATACAATATTAAATTATTAGAATGACAATTACTAACCTGTTCAATCTTTGTCTCTGTAACACTGATTAGAACACTGTATCGTTTCACTGATGCCAAACCCTTTAGGAATGCTATAATCCACTGGTCAATATTTCTAGCTGTGGGCCACTGCAGCCAATCAACAATCCTCTGCAGGGCTGCGGTCATGCTGGCATTATCAATGTTCGCATTGTTTATTGTGAATTTCACGATAACCTTTAACATTTCTGTTGGTATGTACTGGGCAAGAGCACCAAGACAGAAAGATGGTTCAACACTAGCTTCATCAATAGAAGAAATTATACCAAAGATTGCTTTAAGTGACATCATTACCACCTCAGTGTTGCTTCTGTCCCAAATATCTTTTATCAGACTAGAGACAGTTTCTGCCTCAAGCACATACTGATGAACATCTTCATGGCTTTCTGGAACAGAACAGATACTAAGTCCATCTATAAGAGCTACACAAAAACGTCCGGTAAAGTCTCCCTTGGGAATACAAGAACGAAATTCCTTCAGAAACTTGGCAAAATTTGAAAGGCATGGAAGAGAGGGATGTTCTCTGATGTAACTGATTGCCTTGGCTTCAATAACCTGCATGTGGCCGCTACACACCGACGAGCGCTGTAAGAGAATCATACTCTCATGAAGAAGAGAGACTGCATTTGCTTCATTTCTGTAGGTACTGGATAAGAGATTCAGCAGAAATTGACGATTAAAATATTCTTCAAAGACAGACAGATTGTATTTGGCCCACAGCTTGTACACAGACAGTCCCTCACTTATAGCTACATCTGAGTCTCCCTCCAAATACCATTTAACCATCAGCTCCAGGACTGACTGTATCACCTTCACAGGCTGTGGGTGAGAACCTCGTGCAGCTATCTTCTGAATCAGTTGTTTTTTCAAGCTGTCTGGATGTGTAGAAGACAGGATTCCAACCAATATATTGTCCATCTTGTTTGTTCCAAGACATCAATTTATACTTCTGATTCAATCTGAAAAAAAGCAACCTAAAGTGTTTGAGGAAAACGTATTGTTAAGTACTGACAAAAGTAAAACTGAATGATTTGACAGAAATTCTTTGGCATGCTGAGTTGCCCTACTAGCATGACCATACCAAAGGACAATTTATAACAGAGATGATCTCTTTTCAAGTAGGAGTAGAAAATGCAGAATTAACTTTGAAACTCAAATGTGATCAACACATTTTTATATTGATACCGATTTTCCTTTAACTGTTTTTGTTGTTCAGTCTGCTATTTTTTCATTTTTAAGTTCAACTGATCAGTATATCTTAATCGGTCGCGTGTTCAATCCCTTGCTAGTAAATCGTGATCAGGAACGTGTGAAATTTATGACATCACTACATAAGTACTTACATTACGCTTCGTCTTGTTTCATTAAAGTTTTTTATATGAAAATTTAGTACTATGGTAAAAAATTATCAAATTAATGTTGGACTTTTAAAGTACAGGAGTAATCATAGGTACATTGTATTTATACACTAGTCAATCGCGTGCAACCTATTTTACCAGTGATATACTGTATATGCCCACTGTCATTAAACATACGGTTATTACAGCCAACAGTGCCTCCAACACTCTAAGGTTTTGACAATTTCTACTTGCGTCTTATACTTACTTATGTTTACCACGGTTTCATACTCAAGAGTCGTTCAAAACATCGGCTTCTTTTTTTTTCCTTTTGGACCAGTCTGCTTGCTTGTCATTCTTGATAGACGTTTGTAATCTCTTTTGTGAAGAGTTCCCCTTTCGCCTACCAGCTTCGAAAATCTCTTTCTCTCGCTTAAATCAGAGTCTGACCAAAATTGATGAATTTATAACCTTGGTCATACATATGACAACTTTAGAAATTGTAGGAACTTCAAATATTGGATTTAAAACACCAAGCCGCATTATTATATTTTTAGATACATGTACGTATTGCGGAATACTGACGCGTACTAAAGACACGTATAATTTCACGAATGGACCAAAGCTAGCGGAATACATCGGATCGAAACACGGTGGCTTAACTTTACTGTTTTCAAAGCGAGAGAAATGCAAATCCACAATTTAAGGGTGTTCAGTAAACATTAATCGCTTGAAAAGAAGAGTAGGCTTGTTGAACATGTAATTATTATTTTATAGCTTGACTTGCGAATATTGGACATTGTCCGCAGTCCCAACTTCGTAAACTAAGCTTGTCAAACAAGAAGAGTAGCTTATTGAATACTTCAAGTTTTAGATAAATTAATACGAGATTTCACAGATTTTCCCTCGCCAACCATCGCATAATCTTTACTTGTTCTTTATGTTCCCTTCTTTTATCAAATTTAAACAATATCTGATTCAATATATATTCAACAATTTTATGCATACATATATTACATGCACATAAAGGACAGATAACAAGTTTTGAGCTTATCTTTAATAATTTCTCCCTTCTTTTCAGTAGTTTCCTATCTGTCCCAGTGATTAGGTACAACTAGCTAGGGGTCTAGGGAAATTTACACATGAAATCTGAGAATATCGTATGGAGTACATCTCAAATATTTGAACAAATTGTGAAGCTGTCAAAATCCAAGATGGCCACCGGTCGGCCATATTTTTCCTGATATGAGTCCCATAATCAAAACTGCACAACAAGAGATTAGGGGAAACATACAGATAAAATTTGAGGAAGATTTTATAAAACTGGTCTATATTTGAAGTTCGACGATAAACTGGCGGTAGACGACATAACTGGACCACACCCATTACGGCGAGATTTTTACACATCATTCAATGTCTTTTGAAAGAAATGAGAGTAAAACTTTAGTTACATGAGTTAAAAAAACCAGCCAGTTATGTGGACAATGTAATTACCGGTGACGGTGTTTAATGTCGATGGGTAATTACATGAATCAGTCGATAAGATGATACGGAGTCACCAAATAGAAAAATGAAGGAATAGAATGTTATTATTATCCTTTTTTGTGAAAAAAGTAAGACACGATGAAACATGAAGTATTAGGAAAGGATGTAATGGAAAAATGAATAAATAGAATGTTTTTGTTTTTGTCCTTTTTAGTGAAAAACGTAAGACATGAAGTATTAGGAAAGGATGTTAAAGTTATGAAGGAAAAGTAGTGAAAAGAATAGTGGAGGAAAGTATCACCTATGCCATGCCAAAATCGATATCTAAACGGGGATAACGATAACATTTGTGCATCAGGCTAAAACAACCATTCGAATCTTTTCCAGCAGATCATACAGTTTTGAAAGCAGAAAAAACATCAAGAATTTTTTATCGGTTCAGACTAAATCTACTATAAGACAACGAACCCGAAGCTCGACGATAAGACGATATCGTAATAAAAAGTGGTCATTGGTCTCCTCATCTTGATTACAAGAAATAAATGGCTGTCGACAAGATTTCTACGACATATCGGTTTTTAAGAAGCAGAACTTTTATTTATAAGTTGTACACACATACGAAGATTTGTTGCCAATCTCCGTAATAACCGCCTCATGTCCTGAAGGCCCGACAGTCTATTTCTGGCTATTACATAATATCCGTTGTCAGTTTAACATGACACCTCAGTGGAAAATAACGGGTATTAATTAACATGATTTGAACATTTTCGTTACTTCAGTATGTATGATCATGGACTACTTGTAAAAAAGGTTTGCCATCAAATATATTTTAGTTTTTTAAAATGTTATGTCAGCGTTATATACGTCTCTGGTCATGTCAAACAGATTTTTGTAATTTACTTAACCTGACACTGAAGAATAGGAGATCATTGTCATATTTTGAAGACTAGCTTGTGATACTTACGGAATACTTTTGAAAAGGTGATCAGTGTGAGAAATATAAAATTATCAAGTTCTCCTTGACATTTAACTGATAATATTCAGAATTGAAATCAATTTTCAGTTTTATATATATATTTATATACATATGTTTCTTATTCAGGGGCAAATTATGGAATGATTAAAGATCAGTGAGATGGAAGATGAGGTCTCAGATCTGGGATTTGTCAGTGTTAATAGTATTCATATTGGTAAGATATGTAATAAAAGAGTGTTGAATTAAATCTCTCATGTAAAGTCATACTTGAATATTTGGAATTGTCTCATTATTTAAGGTTAAATGGATACCTCTTTTGATTAATTCACTAATCAATACTTATATAACCAATTAACGACATCATCATGTTTGGTAGACTGTAAAATTACTGATGTAAAACTTACATAAAATGACAACTGCAAAGCCACCTGTTATTGTTTAGCAGAAAACCAATGCTTACTCATCATATAGCCACCTGTTTGAGGATGGAGAGTGCAGTTTGTAAGTATAATATACATTACCTACAACAGAACTAATCTTCTGCGTGAATTAAAAATATTATCGCATTGCTGAAAATCAGTCTTTGACATGGTGTTCCCTTCGTGTACTTTTCAAAATCATTGTCCCGTTATCTCAAACTCAAAGATGAATACGACAGTTTGTGATTAACTGATGCTGTCATACTATTTGCTTAGTGCATACATAATGTATTAATGTTTAGTTCCATAACTAAGAAAATTGAATAGGTCAAACAGTGTAACTAGTATGGAATGACATTAGTTAGAATGTACTGATATTAAGGTCTACTGTAAACGTGTGATATTTGTTTTGTTTTCAAGGTTTGCACGTTTTGAGACCAGTGCTGGTGAAGTCCTGAATGAGTACTGTTACAAATGTTTACATACTTCTGATCATGAATATCTCCAGGATTGTATAAATCCTTACTGCCATGATCCGAAGTTTGTGTTAAAGGAAAATGGCAGTTTAACATACTATAATTGTAGGAGAGGTTGTGGTGGGCAGCCTTTAGGTAAGTTTTGTTTACTTCTACAGCACATTGGATATAAGATAATAAAAATGGTATCGTGTATCCATGACTTTGTAATTCTCATGTACTTTTAGGTCACAAGAGTCTCTTGGTCACTGATTCAGTTGAAGACTCATATCTGACTAAATGTGATTGATTTCTTGTAAAAACTTTAAAAAATTTGAACCTATGCTAAAATACAACTGAATGTACTTAAAAGTCACCTCTCGTTCACAACAATTTGATGATTAGTGTGAAAGGAAATCACTGTACCAGTGAAAACATTTTAGTGAAATAAAACCATAATTATTTATGTGAGAAAAATATCCTATAAATGGGTGGCAGAGTGTGACATGTGCCTGTTTGGTGAATCTTTGAGAGAAAAATACATGATTAACAATAAATGAGATTGTTTTTTATTGTCCAGCCTGTGATGCACCAAAGTCGATTGATAATTTGGAATGGTCCTGTAGCGAAGATAAAGAAAATAAACTGCTCTCTAGGAAGTTTTTGCCCTGTCAGACATGTCATGCAGTCTGTTCCCCTGGTTACCAGCTAAAGCAACCTGTGACTATTTCATGTGTGCAGAAAAACTTGACACACTTAAGCTGGAACACCACTGAAGTCAGGACCTACTGTATCAGCATTGAGAAAAGTATGTTCTGGTATCCACACTGACAGCTCAGTGTACAAATAGTTTATGGTATGATGTTGTCTGTCCATGTGTCTGTCCTTATATTTGTTTACTGGGAAAAAAATCACAATTACCTTGTCTTTAAGATAAATAGTTCTGGATTGAATTTTAGCACAGATGTTCAGAACTAATTAAAATCTGAGTCTTATAAGGGATTGTGTTCCTTTCAGATAACTAGATCTGATCACAAGAACAAGGTCATAGTTGAAAAGAAGTTCTTATAACACAATCAGTAGAAGATTTAAGTGTGACATTTCAATAACTACATGGTCACCTTCCTCAGATAAATGACCAGTGTGGAGTGTACTGCCACTGACAAATGTTGTATACGAGAGATGGTACAGAATCTCAAATCTTTGACCAAACAATGCATTACTGAATTGACTACAGTATATTGTTGCCATTTCGTGTATTTTTTGGTCTGTAACCTGTCACACTATCTATGACCTTAGTATACGTAGTCCAACCAAAAAAGTTGGTTGATTCCATACCATCCCGTACACTACATATGTCAGTGCTAGTAGGCTCCACACACTGATCATTTGTGTGATGAACATGACCATGTAATCATGGATAGTCACACTCTAATCTCCTACTGATTGTGTTATAAGAATTTCTATTCCATTGACATAACCAACCTGAAGAAAATGTTCCAAAATACATGGTCACAGTTGCTAAAAAGAGACTTTGTCTTACAAGAACCTCACAAGTTCCCTGTATGTAAAATATCAAATACTCTGTATATAACCCAGAATTTGATCATTTTTGGTAATTTTTCATGGTTAAGGTTTCAAAGCTTAAGATCTCAGAGACCAAATTTTTGACTTTCATAATTAAGTATGAGATATCTTTGTTTATGAAACCATGTTGCCAGAGGTCAAAGCCACAGTTGAAATTTATGAACCAGTATATTTAACTAGAATACCAATGTGATTGAAAAGTTATAACAGTTATAATGTTTTTGATGAAAGTCTTAACCTCTTGTTGTTATAAAGCTTCATGATTTGATAAAGGCATGCAGTTGTTGAACAAATAAATAGTTTTTTCATTCAGAAAAATAATTCAATTCTTTAATGAACCTCTAAATTCATATTTTTTTCTTTATTGATATGAATTTAAATAAATTCAAACATTTTTTTAATTAATGTCTGAATACACTGCATGATTTTTGATTATTTTCCTATAAAATTTATAATGTGAGAAATGAAATTATTATTGAAAATATATTGATAAATCTCTATATGTGCAGTCTGTGGTACTCCTGGCATCCCTGGTGTGACCTTGGAAGATTGCGAGACCTATGACGAGCTTGACCCCTCTACTGGTCAATTCTCATTTTATCAGGATTGTACCACTAGGTGCCACCCTGGCCTACATCAGGTGTTCAGTGTCAACACATCTTGTGGAGAGGATGGCAACTGGAATCATCTAGAAAGACTGGGAAAGATGTGCATTGATCCCTCGCTAGGTAAACCCCAAGTTGTTTAATTGGCATTAAAAGACAGAAAATACAATGTTGGGCTCATCTTAGCGTTGTCTTGCCATGTCTGGGACATGTCCTTGGGTCTGCTGTTACTCCAGTTGACCGACTGTTTTCTACTCCGGAATCCCTCCATTCAGGCTAGCTAAACAAGGCTCTCACACCCTATTTTGGGAATGGGGCCCGGGGCCCTTAGAATTAGGAAAAATAATGGTGTTTTCCTTGGAATTGGGAAAACTTGGGGTCTAAATTGGGTAAAAAAGATATTGTTTTGCATTGGGAATTCGGCCCCAAATCTGGCAGATTGAGAGCCCTGTTAAAATCCCAATTTACTAATATCAACCTCTGTAATCAGGGCTTCTCTCCAAATGAGCCAAATGGTTTGGTGCCAATACTGTTAGTTTTAGAGAGGATTATCTGTACTTATTTCATCACATGGAAATGAATTAGGTTACAAATATTTATAAATAAACACATTGCAGGTTAAACAAACAAAGTGGTACTCTTAAGATTTCCCCAGAAGTTTGGCCTCTGATCTTGGTAATCATTTGCTAGGTGAAATATATCTTTAAACACCCTGGAAAAAAAGTGTAAACAGGTGTTAGTGTTAATACTTAATACTTATTAAGACTGATTTCCTTTTAAAATGAATAAATGATTATGAAACTGTTGAAATGATAGGACTTTTTCTACTTTTGTTATTGCTTTTAGCTGATGAGTCGACAGGGAGCTGTAGGTAAATGAATTGATTGTGAGACTAAGATGACAGGACTATCTCTAACACTGTGAGCTGTAGGTAGTGATAGATTGTGAGACTAAGATGACAGGACTTTCTCTAAGGCTTTGAGCTGTAGATAGTGACAGATTGTGAGACTGTGAGATAACAGGACTATCTCTAAGGCTGTGAGCTGTAGATAGTGACAGATTGTGAGACTGTGAGATGACAGGACGATCTCTAATGCTGCGAGCTGTAGATACTGATAGATTGTGAGACTGTGAGATGATAGGACTATCTCTAAGGCTGTGAGCTGTAGTAAGTGATAGATTTGGAGACTGTGAGATGATAGGACTATCTCTAAGGCTGTGAGCTGTAGTAAGTGATAGATTTGGAGACTGTGAGATTATAGGACTGTCTCTAAGGCTGTGAGCTGTAGTAAGTGATAGATTTGGAGACTGTGAGATTATAGGACTATCTCTAAGGCTGTGAGCTGTAGTAAGTGATAGATTTGGAGACTGTGAGATGATAGGACTATCTCTAAGGCTGTGAGCTGTAGTAAGTGATAGATTTGGAGACTGTGAGAATATAGGACTGTCTCTAAGGCTGTGAGCTGTAGTAAGTGATAGATTGTGAGACTGTGAGATAACAGGACTATCTCTAAGGCTGTGAGCTGTAGATAGTGACAGATTGTGAGACTGTGAGATATCAGGACTATCTCTAAGGCTGTGAGCTGCAGATAGTGACAGATTGTGAGACTGTGAGATAACAGGACTATCTCTAAGGCTGTGAGCTGTAGATAGTGACAGATTGTGAGACTGTGAGATATCAGGACTATCTCTAAGGCTGTGAGCTGTAGATAGTGACAGATTGTGAGACTGTGAGATAACAGGACTATCTCTAAGGCTGTGAACAGTAGATAGTGATCGATTGTGAGATGATATGACTATCTGTAGCACTGTGAAATGTAAATATTGATAGATTTGGAGACTGTGAGATGACAGGACTATCTATTGTCTCTGTTAAGGCTGTGAGTTGATGAACTCAACAGGGAGCTGGAACTGTACTGGTACTTGGTTTAACAGTACCCATGTGTCCTCAGGGGCATTTTGTCAACTTGATTGTGGGCAACTTGAAGATAATGGGAATGCTGTTCTGTGTAACAATACACATTTGTTCCGCTTACATGAAAATTTACAATATCCCTTCTGCTACAAGTATAAAGGTAAGTGAAAATTTACATAATTTGAGTTTTCTTTCAATTTGTATGAATATATCACTACTTTTTTAGAAGTACTGGCGAGATCATTCAAAGATTTCAAGATTTCCTTTGTAAATTGTTTTTTTCTAATCCATATTTACACATTTGATTTGCAATTGCTCAGAAAAAGAAAGGCCAACAGATACCATCTTGGATTTTGCCAATTTGAAATTATGATCACTAAGTAATAGAAAGTATTGGACAGGTTATTTTTTCAGATTTCTGAGATAAGCTAAGTAATCTGATTATACCTTTAATAAATTTGTGTTACCAAGATCATCATTAGAGTGGAGATGTGAAGATTTTTTCTATATCGTGTATGAGAAAATTGAACTCATCAGTAATATAGCTGAATGCATGTGGATTTTTGATGCTCTTAAGTACACACACAATATCCATATAAAAATGAGTTCTATTTTCATCATTGTTTGCATCATGCAGTTCTTTCCCAAACTTTATCACCACTATGCTCATCTATGTGCAGAAGCTAGTGCAAATGAACAATGATCTGTATCATGATATATTTGATTCTAACATTTGCTGACTAAATCAAGTCAGTGTTGCCATTTATGGATTTTTATGCTCCTTGAAGGGAGAGCATATAGTCGCCACTTTGTCTGTCCGTCCATCATAATTTTGTCCATAACATAACACAAAAACTATTAGAAGTATCAACATAAAATGTTATAGGTAAATAGATCACAAGGAGAAGTGCAGTCAACAGAACCATCTTGCTCTTTTTGCATAATTTAGGAGTTATTGTCCTTTGTTATTTTTCATACTTAAATTTTGTCAGGAGTATTACATTAAAAATATAAGAGGTATCAACATGAAACTTCATAGGTAGATAGATCTCAACGAAAAGGAGGGCAATACACAAGTAGCATAACCCTCTTATTGCACTTCTTTTTTATACTTAAATGTTATACCATTCAGGGAGCATAGCCTGTCTCTGACGACCCTTGTTTAAAATGAAATAAACTGAGGACACAAATCTGTCATATTTCTTAATGAATAAAAATGTTAGTATGTTTGATTTTTTTCTGAATCTTTATCTACATGGATTGAATGCAAAAATAATAAATTAATGTATATTATGGAGAAAGTTTGTCGTAATTTTATTTTTTTCAAAGTATTGTGAATGCTTATACACATAATCTCCCGTTGAAGATAATCACAATGACAGGTGTTGTTTTAGGGTAATGCTGCACAGCAGACAGGGACAAACTTTTAAGGAATCAATCTGATTTATATTCTTGCATCAATAATGAACACATTTTATATATTGCAAGATTGAAACATGAATGAAAAAGAATGTATTCCTTCAATATATCCTACAGATATAGTATATCATGTTTAAGTCTTCAGATTATATAGTGGTTGCATCATATGATGAGATAATAACAGCATTTATGAATTATGAAAATGATGTTAAAAAACTTACATATTTTTATGAAAGACATCAATTTTTCATTTCAGATAGGAAAGACAGGGCACGTGAAAGTAAGTCAGTTAATTTCAACTTATTCAAAATATCAAACATTAAATATCATATTGAGCATTCCAATGTCAGGAACTCTGATGAAAATCTTATTGTTTTATTTGTGTTTTAAGCTACCATCTGTTTAGCCCACTCTCATCAGATGGTGGGCTGTTCAAATCACCTTTCTTCTGTTGTCCATGGTCTATTCATCGTCTGTCTGTAAACATTCTTGTTATCACCATTTCTTTAGATATACTGGAGGGATATTCTCAAACTTATATGTAAGTCCCCCTCTGTCTCTCTTATGCCCATTCAATTTTGAGTCTGATTAGTGACACAAAATGATGGACAGATGGCCATCTTGGATTTTGACAGTTGCCCTTTGTTATCACTTTTTCTTGAGAAGTACTGGAGTGAAATATTTCTCAAACTTGATGTGTACATTCCCGATGATTCCTAGTTATCTCCCTTTAGTTTTGAAATTACTGAAGTAAACAATATGGCTGACTGGATACCTTCTTGGATTTTGGACAGTATAATTTGTTACTGCCTTTTCTCAGAAATTTCTAGCACCTTTTGATACAAGTTTAGACTTATCTATATTGTAGAACCAATTAATGAATTAAACTGCATTATACAGTCGTTTTGTCCTTATAGGATGTTTCAGTGATGCCAAGGGCGGGTAATATCATTTTAATCAGTAAATATTTATTTAGACATTATTTTTCAATAAACTATATCAATTTAAAATGCCTCAATAGAGATGGCTTATTCTATAAATCTGAGAGAATTGTAGCGTTGGCCTGATTGTGATGTCATAAAGTTTTAAGCAGAAATGTATCTCATAACTGATAACCATCTTTATACAGCATATATGTATTGTATATTGTTTTTCTCACATGTCTTTATTAATTGATTAACCAGTTTTTAAGTCTGAAGGATGCAGTTTCACAATTTCTGAACTTGGAATCATTAGATGGCTTAACATTAACATATGACTTTATGGATCTATTGATCACACACAGCTGCCAGACAATTACCACACACAGCTGTTAAACAACTACCACACACAGCTGTCATACAAGTACCACACACAGCTGTCATACAACTACCACACACAGCTGTCATACAACTACCACACACAGCTGTCATACAAGTACCACACACAGCTGTCATACAAGTACCACACACAGCTGCCAGACAATTACCACACACAGCTGCCAGACAAGTACCACACACAGCTGCCAGACAATTACCACACACACAGCTGTTAAACAACTACCACACACAGCTGTCAAACAACTACCACAATGAGCTGTCATACAAGTACCACACACAGCTGCCAGACAATTACCACACACACAGCTGTCAGACAACTACCACACACAGCTGTCATACAACTACCACACACAGCTGTCATACAAGTACCACACACAGCTGCCAGACAATTACCACACACACAGCTGTTAAACAACTACCACACACAGCTGTCAAACAACTACCACAATGAGCTGTCATACAACTACCACACACAGCTGCCAGACAATTACCACACACACAGCTGTTAAACAACTACCATACACAGCTGTCATACAACTACCACACACAGCTGTCATACAAGTACCACACACAGCTGCCAGACAATTACCACACACACAGCTGTCATACAAGTACCACACACAGCTGCCAGACAATTACCACACACACAGCTGTTAAACAACTACCACACACAGCTGTCATACAAGTACCACACACAGCTGCCAGACAATTACCACACACACAGCTGTTAAACAACTACCATACACAGCTGTCATACAACTACTACACACAGCTGTCATACAAGTACCACACACAGCTGCCAGACAATTACCACACACACAGCTGTTAAACAACTACCACACACAGCTGTCAAACAACTACCACAATGAGCTGTCATACAACTACCACACACAGCTGCCAGACAATTACCACACACACAGCTGTTAAACAACTACCATACACAGCTGTCATACAACTACCACACACAGCTGTCATACAAGTACCACACACAGCTGCCAGACAATTACCACACACACAGCTGTTAAACAACTACCATACACAGCTGTCATACAACTACCACACACAGCTGTCATACAAGTACCACACACAGCTGTCATACAAGTACCACACACAGCTGTCATACAAGTACCACACACAGCTGCCAGACAATTACCACACACAGCTGCCAGACAAGTACCACACACAGCTGCCAGACAATTACCACACACACAGCTGCCAGACAATTACCACACACACAGCTGTTAAACAACTACCACACACAGCTGTCAAACAACTACCACAATGAGCTGTCATACAACTACCACACACAGCTGCCAGACAATTACCACACACACAGCTGTTAAACAACTACCATACACAGCTGTCATACAACTACCACACACAGCTGTCATACAAGTACCACACACAGCTGCCAGACAATTACCACACACACAGCTGTCATACAAGTACCACACACAGCTGCCAGACAATTACCACACACACAGCTGTTAAACAACTACCACACACAGCTGTCATACAAGTACCACACACAGCTGCCAGACAATTACCACACACACAGCTGTTAAACAACTACCATACACAGCTGTCATACAACTACCACACACAGCTGTCATACAAGTACCACACACAGCTGCCAGACAATTACCACACACACAACTGTTAAACAACTACCACACACAGCTGTCAAACAACTACCACAATGAGCTGTCATACAACTACCACACACAGCTGCCAGACAATTACCACACACACAGCTGTTAAACAACTACCATACACAGCTGTCATACAACTACCACACACAGCTGTCATACAAGTACCACACACAGCTGCCAGACAATTACCACACACACAGCTGTTAAACAACTACCATACACAGCTGTCATACAACTACCACACACAGCTGTCATACAAGTACCACACACAGCTGCCAGACAATTACCACACACACAGCTGTTAAACAACTACCATACACAGCTGTCATACAACTACCACACACAGCTGTCATACAAGTACCACACACAGCTGCCAGACAATTACCACACACACAGCTGTTAAACAACTACCACACACAGCTGTCATACAAGTACCACACACAGCTGCCAGACAATTACCACACACACAGCTGTTAAACAACTACCACACACAGCTGTCATACAAGTACCACACACAGCTGTCATACAACTACCACACACAGCTGTCATACAAGTACCACACACAGCTGCCAGACAATTACCACACACAGCTGTTAAACAACTACCACACACAGCTGTCAAACAACTACCACAATGAGCTGTCATACAACTACCACACACAGCTGCCAGACAATTACCACACACAGCTGTTAAACAACTACCATACACAGCTGTCATACAACTACCACACACAGCTGTCATACAACTACCACACACAGCTGCCAGACAATTACCACACACACAGCTGTTAAACAACTACCATACACAGCTGTTAAACAACTACCACACACAGCTGTCATACAAGTACCACACACAGCTTCCAGACAATTACCACACACAGCTGTCATACAAGTACCACACACAGCTGCCAGACAATTACCACACACACAGCTGTTAAACAACTACCACACACAGCTGTCATACAAGTACCACACACAGCTGTTAAACAACTACCACACACAGCTGTCAAACAACTACCACAATGAGCTGTCATACAACTACCACACACAGCTGCCAGACAATTACCACACACACAGCTGTTAAACAACTACCATACACAGCTGTCATACAACTACCACACACAGCTGTCATACAAGTACCACACACAGCTGCCAGACAATTACACACAGCTGTTAAACAACTACCACACACACACAGCTGTTAAACAACTACCACACACAGCTGTGTCATACAACTACCACACACAGCTGCCAGACAATTACCACACACACAGCTGTTAAACAACTACCATACACAGCTGTCATACAACTACCACACACAGCTGTCATACAAGTACCACACACAGCTGCCAGACAATTACCACACACACACAACACAGCTACCACACACAGCTGTCATACAACACACAGTACCACACACAGCTGTTAAACAACTACCACACACAGCTGTCATACAACTACCACACACAGCTGTCATACAAGTACCACACACAGCTGCCAGACAATTACCACACACAGCTGTTAAACAACTACCACACACAGCTGTCAAACAACTACCACACACAGCTGTCATACAACTACCACACACAGCTGCCAGACAATTACCACACACACAGCTGTTACAACACCACACAGCTGTCATACAACTACCACACACAGCTGTCATACAAGTACCACACACAGCTGCCAGACAAGTACCACACACAGCTGCCAGACAATTACCACACACAGCTTTCATACAAGTACCACACACAGCTGCCAGACAAGTACCACACACAGCTGCCAGACAAGTACCACACACAGCTGCCAGACAATTACCACACACACAGCTGTTAAACAACTACCATACACAGCTGTTAAACAACTACCACAATGAGCTGTCATACAACTACCACACACAGCTGCCAGACAATTACCACACACACAGCTGTTAAACAACTACCATACACAGCTGTCATACAACTACCACACACAGCTGTCATACAAGTACCACACACAGCTGCCAGACAATTACCACACACACAGCTGTTAAACAACTACCACACACAGCTGTTAAACAATTACCACACACAGCTGTCATACAAGTACCACACACAGCTGCCAGACAATTACCACACACAGCTGTTAAACAATTACCACACACAGCTGTCATACAAGTACCACACACAGCTGTCAGACAACTACCACACACAGCTGTCATACAACTACCACACACAGCTGTCATACAAGTACCACACACAGCTGCCAGACAATTACCACACACAGCTGTTAAACAACTACCACACACAGCTGTCAAACAACTACCACAATGAGCTGTCATACAACTACCACACACAGCTTTCATACAAGTACCACACACAGCTGTCATACAAGTACCACACACAGCTGTCAGACAACTACCACACACAGCTGTCATACAACTACCACACACAGCTGTCATACAAGTACCACACACAGCTGCCAGACAATTACCACACACAGCTGTTAAACAACTACCACACACAGCTGTCAAACAACTACCACAATGAGCTGTCATACAACTACCACACACAGTTGTCATACAACTGCCCACACAGTTGTCGTACAACTACCACACACAGTTGTCATACAACTGCCCACACAGTTGTCGTACAACTACCACACACAGTTGTCGTACAACAACCACACACAGCTGTCATTCAAGTACCACACACAGCTGCCTGCAACCTCCACACACAGCTGTCATACAACTACCATACACAGCTGTCATACAACAACCATACACAGCTGTCATACAAGTACCACACACAGCTGCCTGACAACTGCCACACACAGCTGTCATACAAGTACCACACACAGCTGTCATACAAATACCACACACAGTTGCCTGACAACTGCCACACACAGCTGTCATACAACAACCACACGCAGCTGTCATACAACAACCACACACAGCTGTCATACAAGTACCACACACAGCTGCCTGACAACTGCCACACACAGCTGTCATACAACTACCACACACAGCTGCCATACAAGTACCACACACAGCTGCCTGACAACTGCCACACACAGCTGTCATACAACAACCACACACAGCTGTCATACAAGTTCCACACACAGCTGCCTGACAACTGCCACACACAGCTGCCTGACAACTGCCACACACAGCTGTCATACAACAACCACACACAGCTGTCATACAAGTACCACACACAGCTGCCTGACAACTGCCACACACAGCTGTCATACAACAACCACACACAGCTGTCCTAACTATCAAAACATGGTGATGAGAGATTACATATTTCATTCCTCATGGATAGAAAAGATCAAAGTTTACTGAGCAAATAAAAGTGAATACATTTGTTGAATAGTTAAACACAATGTGTATAGTTTGTTCTTAAGCAATCAATTAATCACATAGGATTGTAGACAATATTTTTTCATGAAAATATTTCATTTTAGGGACATATTTTGTTGATTTCATGAACAACCAATTATTAGTGAAAATAGCATGCCCACTGAAATATCTGACTGTGCAGTATATGACTGGAAAAGCTTACTCTAATACTATACACCTTATTAAATCTAAACTAATGTTGTCTTTACAGATAATGGGTACAGTATTTATGTCGCAGTAACTTTGATCTCACTTATGTTGCTGTCAGTGTGTAAGTGCAATGGATGGGGGAAAATTGTATCCATTCAAAGGAAATGCAGACTTTGGATGAAAAATTGTAAGTAACATATGTAAGTTTTGTACCACTTCATCTTATATTAAAAATTACCAGGTTAGGGTTAGAACCTGGTACACTTTATTTTGAGATAAAGTGGTAAAGGTTAGAACCATTAGATAAAGTGGTAAAGGTTTGAAGTGCCATAATTTTACCTTGAGATAAAGTGGTAAAGGTTTGAAGTGCCATAATTTTACCTTGAGATAAAGTGGTAAAGGTTTGAAGTGCCATAATTTTACCTTGAGATAAAGTGGTAAAGGTTTGAAGTGCCATAATTTTACCTTGAGATAAAGTGGTAAAGCTTAGAACTGCCATAATTTTACCTTGAGATAAAGTGGTAAAGGTTTGAACTGCCTTAATTTTACCTTGAGATAAAGTGGTAAAGGTTTGAACTGCCATAATTTTACCTTGAGATAAAGTGGTAAAGGTTTGAAGTGCCATAATTTTACCTTGAGATAAAGTGGTAAAGGTTTGAACTGCCTTAATTTTACCATGAGATAAAGTGGTAAAGCTTAGAACTGCCATAATTTTACCTTGAGATAAAGTGGTAAAGGTTTGAAGTGCCATAATTTTACCTTGAGATAAAGTGGTAAAGGTTTGAAGTGCCATAATTTTACCTTGAGATAAAGTGGTAAAGGTTTGAAGTGCCATAATTTTACCTTGAGATAAAGTGGTAAAGGTTTGAAGTGCCATAATTTTACCTTGAGATAAAGTGGTAAAGGTTTGAACTGCCTTAATTTTACCATGAGATAAAGTGGTAAAGGTTAGAACCCCCTAAATCTTACCATTAGATAAAGTGGTAAAGGTTTGAAGTGCCATAATTTTACCTTGAGATAAAGTGGTAAAGGTTTGAAGTGCCATAATTTTACCTTGAGATAAAGTGGTAAAGGTTTGAAGTGCCATAATTTTACCTTGAGATAAAGTGGTAAAGGTTTGAAGTGCCATAATTTTACCTTGAGATAAAGTGGTAAAGGTTAGAACCCCCTAAATCTTACCATTAGATAAAGTGGTAAAGGTTTGAACTGCCATAATTTTACCTTGAGATAAAGTGGTAAAGGTTTGAAGTGCCATAATTTTACCTTGAGATAAAGTGGTAAAGCTTACCATAATTTTACCTTGAGATAAAGTGGTAAAGGTTTGAAGTGCCATAATTTTACCTTGAGATAAAGTGGTAAAGCTTAGAACTGCCATAATTTTACCTTGAGATAAAGTGGTAAAGGTTTGAAGTGCCATAATTTTACCTTGAGATAAAGTGGTAAAGGTTTGAACTGCCATAATTTTACCTTGAGATAAAGTGGTAAAGGTTTGAAGTGCCATAATTTTACCTTGAGATAAAGTGGTAAAGGTTTGAAGTGCCATAATTTTACCTTGAGATAAAGTGGTAAAGGTTTGAAGTGCCATAATTTTACCTTGAGATAAAGTGGTAAAGGTTTGAACTGCCATAATTTTACCTTGAGATAAAGTGGTAAAGGTTAGAACCCCCTAAATCTTACCATTAGATAAAGTGGTAAAGGTTTGAAGTGCCATAATTTTACCTTGAGATAAAGTGGTAAAGGTTAGAACCCCCTAAATCTTACCATTAGATAAAGTGGTAAAGGTTTGAAGTGCCATAATTTTACCTTGAGATAAAGTGGTAAAGGTTAGAACCCCCTAAATCTTACCATTAGATAAAGTGGTAAAGGTTTGAAGTGCCATAATTTTACCTTGAGATAAAGTGGTAAAGGTTTGAAGTGCCATAATTTTACCTTGAGATAAAGTGGTAAAGGTTTGAAGTGCCATAATTTTACCTTGAGATAAAGTGGTAAAGGTTAGAACCCCCTAAATCTTACCATGAGATAAAGTGGTAAAGGTTAGAACCCCCTAAATCTTACCATGAGATAAAGTGGTAAAGGTTAGAACCCCCTAAATCTTACCATGAGATAAAGTGGTAAAGGTTAGAACCCCCTAAATCTTACCATTAGATAAAGTGTTAAAGGTATGAACTTTGTACACTTTATGTTGAGATGAAATGGAAAATGCTACAGCTGGCATTTGCCGAGCTCAACTGAATTCCTCCAGCTGATGGAGAATCTTTTGAATCTTTTGGCTGGCACAAGCCAAAGACTGTTGAATGCCTTTGACTGGCTGTATTGAATGGCTTCACCTGGCTGAGTACAAGACCATTGAATACCTTTGGCCAACATTGTACTACATGTTTCACATTGGTATCTAATGATAAATGGGAGGATCACCTCAAAAACTTGTTCTAGATGCACTATCATCAGGATTGAAGAGTGAAGTTTAATTAGATAAACCCTATGAAGTAATAGATGGAGCCACACTAAAAGTTCAAACTCAAGACTGACTGAAATGATTACACAAATGAATACATATAGCAACAAAAACCTTTCCAAAATGCTAGCAAAATATTGTTGATTGTATCTGTATTGAATGCTAGCAAGGGACATGCATCAACTTAACAGTTATTCACAGAATATTTGTTACATAAACTCTCAGCTATATAACAAATATCCACCACACTATATGTACTTATATGTTTTTGTTGTAGGGAGGTCATATGTGGTTGGTCTATCCATAAACAGTTCCTATTGTTGTTATTGGGAAATACGGGAGGGATATTTCTCAGATTTCAAACGTAGCTTCCTCCAAGTATGATCGTTTAATTTTGACACTAAAGTAGAGTGAAAACGGCCACATTAGCTTTTTGAAAGAAAGAACTTATTATCACTGTCTCAGGATTTTCACCCTGGCTGTTTCTTAACAGATCTCCTTGGACTCTAATTGTGCAGTTTTAAGACTGATTGAAAAAAATTTTGTAACAGGTGGCCATCTTGGATTTTGAATGCTGACATTTGTTATCACTATTAGTTAATGCATGCATGAATCTTTCTCGATTTTCTTACATATATTCTTCTTGATTAATGTATTTGCATAATTTCACTTTTATTGAGAAATGAAAAATTCATGGTAAGCTTCATGCCATTATGAACTGTAACAGTTTGGGAAAATGTGTATGTGGAAAAAGGAGAAAAAGGCAAAATCTGTCACAAGGATCGTACTTATACATATATATTTTGTTTTTTTAGATTCAGGAGAGTGCAGTAAATATGCAGGTGTTAATCCTGGTCCAACCGCTGCTGGTGTTAATCCTGGTCCAACCGCTGCTGGTGTTAATCCTGGTCCAACCGCTGCTGGTGTTAATCCTGGTCCAACTGCTGCTGGTGTTAATCCTGGTCCAACTGCTGCTGGTGTTAATCCTGGGCCAACTGCAGCTGGTGTTAATCCTGGTCCAACTGCTGCTGGTGTTAATCTAGATCCAACTGCAGCTGGTGTTAATCCTGGTCCAACTGCTGCTAGTGTTAATCCTGGTCCAGCCGCTGCTGGTGTTAATCCTGGTCCAACCGCTGCTGGTGTTAATCCTGGTCCAACCGCTGCTGGTGTTAATCCTGGTCCAACTGCTGCTGGTGTTAATCCTGGTCCAACCGCTGCTGGTGTTAATCCTGGTTTATCTCCTGGTGTTAATCCTGGTCTTCCTACTGATGGAGTTGATCCAGATAGGTTGTTCCCTGCTGATAATTTTGACTCATTTGGATCTGCAGAACTTTTTGGTAAGTCTTTAATTTTTAGCTCACCAATCTCAAAGAGCTATTATGGTATATTTCAGCATAGGTCATCCCTCTGTCTGTTTATCAACCTTTTTCCTAAGGATTGCAACTAGTCATGAATGCTTAGGTTGATTTTGACCATAAGATGTCAGAAGCCTTCCTTAGGAAAGTTGAACAAATTTTGTATAAATGGTGGGTCTCTGGCCCCTTGAGGCAGGAAGGATGGAGCCTAATAAGGGAAATACAGCAAATGGTCTTCTGTAGAAGTGTCAGGAATCTATCCCAATTTGATCAGAAGCATACTTAGGTGAAGGGGAATCAGTCTCATTTAAATAGTAGGTCTGTTCCCTCTGGGTCGGGAGGGACGGGGCCAAATAATGGAAACAGAAGAAATTTTGTAAAATCCTTCTTTTTTTTGGAATGCCTTGATTCATGTTCCAATTTGGTCCGAAGCATACTTATTTAAAAGGAATAAAATTTTTGTATCAACCAAGAGTCTGACAGAGATTTCAGGCCCTATAGGGTAAATGTAAGTTCTTAAAAATTCCTCTTTCTTACAAGGATATTGTCAAAGTGTTTTTTATGAGTGACGAATTTTACTTCTGTTTGACAACAAGCTCAGAAAGCAATAGGGAAATTATCAAAGAAATTATTTATGATATTTGAAAGTCAAATGATTGAATAGTTGAATTAGCCAAGTGAACAATGCAGGTCCCTTGTGCCTCTTGTATTTATTGAAACTAGAAATTAAGTATATTGATTATACTTTGATATCAAGTAATAGATACATATGTAATATATAAATATTTGCTCTGCATCATATTTATGTCTACAGAATGCCACTGTTGTGAGAAAGTTACAAAGTGACATGATATCATACTTGTATCTTTTTGTTGCAAAATGGGCTGTTCTAAAAACTTCCCATATTTATGTATGGACTGTGAAATATCTCTATAATACCATCAGCTTATAGCTACTGGCTATACAGAAACCCAATAAAGCTTTATCAAACTTGAACAAAAATATAGCAGTGAGTGTTAATGACCATGACTTACCAAAATCGTATTAAGCCATGCTAGAGTAGACATTGATTTTGAGATGTTTTTTTTTTTTTTAAATTCTACTCCTCTAGAGTGAATGAATGGATGTTGCCCAGATCTGATCTAAAGCATTCTCTGGTGAAAGGGAATCAATCTTGTAAACACATAAGGCCTCAGACCCCTGGGGCAGGAGAGTTGGGGCCCAATGCGGGCAATAGAATAAATTCTTAATAATCCTATTCCTCCTGTAAGAATGAATGGGTATCATCCAGACTTGGAGGGATGGACCTCCATTGGGGAAATGTAAATTCTTAAAAGTCCGTCTTCCATACAAGAATATTGTCCAGATTTGGTCTGAAGCAAATTTTATGAATAGAGAATCTGTTTTACCAAAAGGCCAGGATCCAATAAGGAAATTATTTCAGAAATTATTTTTATGAAGATTATAGAGCCAATGCTGTAGTCTTTAGTAGTGGATTACAGTAACTTCGCCGCCCGTCTGGATACCGAATGTATGCAGGGGATTAAGGAGAAAGGGAAAACTTAGAGTAAAGATAACTCAATCCAACAGGTCGAAGGGCAGGTTCCTCAAAATTTGTTAAGGTAGTCGGTGAATAAATTTTGAGGAACCTGCCCCCCGACCTGTTGGATTGAGTCATCTTTACTCTAAGAAATTATTTTTCTTACATGTATTTGAAAATTCTTTTTTAAATATACAAAGTTAAAACATCCAGGTGAGCGATATAGGCCCCTTAGGCCTCTTTTTACTGTAGATTTTTAAGTCTCTTTAGTAAGGTCGCCAGCTTGTATGTGATATATTAAGTTTGGGTAAATGGCCTTGATAAGATATCATTCATCGTTTCTTATTTCGTTCAAGATTCCACACTGGATGAAAAGTTACTGAACTCTTGTGAAGGAGACAGCCTGATGAACGATGCTAATAAACTTGAGGATCCTTTGTCCAGTTATGATACATCTGAGTGTAGTACAAGATCTAGTGGTGATGGACTATCCCAATCTTTACTATAGGTCGAAGTATCCAGTGAGGAATGATTCTGTGAGCAAAAGTCACTAAAATTTTTGCCAGTTATTGAAATTCTTTGTAATTTACCTATCTAGGGTAGCTCTGCAGGCTATAGAGCATAATATTTGTACCCGAAATTCTTAGTGTATGAACACAGGAGTAGGAGAAAGAGACCATTCACTTTAGATCTAACATCTTCTTTTCTGAAACAGATACTTTTTTATCCTCAATGAAACACTTTTGCAAGTGATATTAACTTGGGTTACATCCGTCCATGTGTTCTTGCATTTGCTTTTCCCGGCACTAACTCTGTTTTCAAGCTAGTACTTCCCTAGTGCCTTTTGCTGTGGAGCAGCTCTCATGTTCAATACAATGTCTGCTAGAAACAGAAAGGCCGAACTACAAATTGCGGTTGTATGGGTCATGACTCCAAAACCGTTAAATATAACTACCTGAAACTTTGTACAACTATCATGCTAGCATTTAGGTAACGTCTTTTGCTATGGAGGAGTTCTAATACTTTATATCTAACCATGGAAACAGGTAAAACTAAAAGTTGCGTTGTTTTGCACATACATCATTCACATCCTCTCTGAAACCCATCCATCCCTCCCATCCATCTCTCAGACCCATCCCTCACATTCATCTTGGTTTGATAGGTATTTGAGACAACCTGATATAATGGTTATTAGATAGACAAAAATGTAATATTCAAGATTCTGAGTTAAGATATCTAAGTAAATAATCTGTGTCCAGAAAACTGTTTGAAAAAGTCATATAGCAATTCATAAAGTAACATATCAGAAATTGTAGAAATGGTAACTTTGTATGAAATTGTAATGACTCCTTCTGTGTGATTTAATATTGAGATGAAATGGGAGAGTTATCTCTTTGGAGAAATGTTAGATAAATGTACTGTTTGTATAGGATAATCATATTGGTAAGTTGTTTCATTGTTCTACTGATCAGTCAGGTAGTTGAAGAATCATAATTGTTCTTGAACTGGTATCGGTCTTAATTGAGGCCCCACTGAGTATACAGTATTGTTCTGGCAATAAGTCCATGTCATAAACTCATCCAAATTAAGTAGTTGTTAGAGTATGTTCCCTCAATATCCTGATAACTACAATACTATCTTTGCTTCATCAGAAGCATTGAAAATTTTATGGTGTGATTCATGGAAAAAAATTGGTCGTATTTAATATCTTATAAAAATGTAGATCCATATCATTATATGTATTATAGATTTTTATTATTCAATTTTATATAACTTTTATTTTTACGCTTTTTATCTTTGATCAAGAATTCCAACTACCAGTACTTATTTCCAGTATGTTTATACATATATCTCAGCAAATTTTCAGCAATATTTGGTAATTAACAACATTGAACCTTTCATAGCATACTTGTGCTTAGCTTAAATCTGATCAGGATTAGACATGTCGGAGTGTATAGGTTTGTGTGATAAAAACATGTGCCTATTGGTATTAGCCTAAAATGGATCAGGATGAGACATGTCAAAGTGTAGAGGTTTGTGTGATAAAAACATGTGCCTATTGGTATTAGCCTAAAATAGATCAGGAAAATTAATTTAGATTGTATAGGTTTGTGATAAAAACATGGCTGTTGGTATTAGCTTAAATTTGAAATTTTACCCTGTTTTTATAGACATGTCTGCTTTACTTGTGGTTCCTAAGCAGAAATTATTACATTGTATATAATTTATAATACATTTTATAGCAGATCTGTGATAATGTATTTTTTACCAAGTGGGACAAATAGTTCTTTTTTAATTAATTATTTTTGATTTTAAACATTTGGGAAAAATGAAACTTGGCCGATATTTTTGCATATGATCAGAATGATGAGAGAGTATTCTATTATTTTGTTATTGATGTAGAAGCAATGAGGGCATGATACAAGCATATTAGTACAACTGTGATAACAGGGTACCCATTTAATCAGTGCAACTATACTGCAATAAAGTTACAAAACACATATGTGTGGAAATGAAATGTAAATGAATAAAACTCCCACTATCTGACAGCTCTCCTGATCCCAGAAGGCTACAATATTATGATCAATGTTCAACAGACGTCTAATACTCCTATAAGACTTCGAATAAATGTAATAAACATATTTTTTGAGACAATTCTTTGTGAAAGACGTTTTCCTGAAATAAACAGAGAAAACATGTTTAGAAATTTGTTGTTGTTCCTCTAAAAGTGTTGGGGTGGGGTTGGGGGGTGGGAGTTACAAAGCATGAAGCCATGGTTTTGTTTTAAATGCATTTGGGAACAGGAGATAAAAATGTGATGTATTTTCAGAAAGAACATGCTGTTTTCCTGAAGGTCAAATAATTACCCGGTATGTGCTAAAAAAATCTTCAAACAGTATAAAATAAAAACAGTAATTAGAAGTTTTGTGCAAAGTAATTAAAATTAATTGACAATATTGCTTTGTATATTTTTTAAGGAAAAACATGCAAAGGTGAAAATCTGGTTTTAATTGAAGTATTGTAAAGTGAACGTAAATGAATTGTTTACACTTGGTTTTATTAGTACAAAGGGACTGCCACTTACACTAAAACCCACTGAAGCGAAATTTCAACTTTCAAAATGGCTGTCATGTTCCCCGATAACCACAAAAATTCAATGTTCTTACAAATGCTGAATCAATATGCTTACATGAATGCTAAATAATAGATATAAGTTGGTTCACACATTAGACCACCTAATCTGGAATCAAATAAAACTTCTTCGTCCCGGAATCTGATGTGCCATGTCAATATTGGTCTACATCGTGCAGTAATGTTGTTCTAATTGTCGAAGTCGACCATACCTGATGCCTTGAAAAGGTTGGTAGGGAAATCTACATTACTAGAGGTTTGTCTGTCAAGTAGGACACTGGCAATAATAATCCTTTATAGGGTTATTGGCGTCGAAGCTGTCAGGCTGGTTTCAAACATTTTACTTTACACTGCTCTAATGCCTGCAGTGGATCTAACATTATACAATGTCTCACGAGTGCTGATAGATCCAGATCTCCTAATCACCATCATTACTGAAGTGATCACTATGTAGCCAGCTGCTGATGATATCTGGTAAGTGCCACAGCATATTGTCCAATGGTATTCCATGTCTAACTATTGAAAGTCACAATTATCCACAGTAGCAACTAGTTTTACAAATAGTTACTTGGCCTTCTGGTGAAATCTGGCTCATTTGTTGTGAACACTAAGGTGCATTTTCATTTTGGCAGCCAGCTCCTTATCCTTTACGTCTTGCTCTTATGTTTTAACATATATGGGTACTCAGATTCCATTAAGACAGGCTGTTACTATTCTAATAAGTGTCTCAATGACATCAATAAAAATCGTTGGAGACAAGTTGTGTTTTGAAAAACAGCCATTGCTTGAATCGTACATGATATGACTCCACTACCCATCTGGATTTAGTTATGGGTTCTATCAAGGTTAGCTTTTAGGTTGACATAATGAGTCTTCCCAAGTTTTGGATGGCATATTTGTTGTTAAACCATGTGATTCCAAATCTGGCAAAACATCCTGAAACCCTCAATCAACAAGGTCATCTTTCTCCAGCCAGGAAAGACTATCCATGATGGCTTTTGTAATCTTTGCATCATTATTAAAAGTCCCACTATGTCCAGAATCAGACAGGGCTTTGCTCGTGAACTTCTAATAGTTCTACTTCTTCTGGCCACAGTAAGAGATTCTCTGGAGCTTGTGATCAGAACTCTTAGGAATAAAGATATAAGTGCCATCAAGTATGGCAATCGCCTGCTGGCCAAGAAATGCTTCTGAGAACACAGTGTTATGCTCCAGAATATTTTCTCTTGTAAGATGTTCTTCTCCTAGCAGCAAAGGTTATTTCTAATGCTCTTACTATGGAATGAAATGTTTTTGAGATACTGGAAACTGACATGTTAAAAAGAGTTTAACACCATTTCCATGATATATCCATCTTTATTTTTACACAGAACAACAGTAATGCATTCTTGTGGTTTGGAGTGTAGATACGAGTGCTAATAGAGTATGAACAATAAGGGCGAACTTTTAGAAATTGTGTTCTTGTCAAACCAGTCCAGGCTTTACAATCTGCATCATCCAGAGAGGAGAAACCGACAATAAAAGATGACTCCTACTTTGATAGCATTTGTGATATCTCCCAAAGATCATCATTGATTTGCTTTTACCTGGAAGGTTACAAGCTTGGAAGTCAACATTTATCTTTCATCAGTGCAGATTGTAACGTTAGGGTTAAGATCTTTCTCTACGAGATGATGTGAACAGATGTGTGAAGACCAAGGACTCCACAGCTTGTGACAAAAGATGAGTTGGTTTTTTGTGCACTTGGGCAATATGGTCGAGTTTTGATTAAAGCTCTTTTTGCGTGGGAAAACTGGCCATAAAACAGATCCTGTATGGACATTTCACATCAACATTTTCACCTTCTGGTTGCAGCTTCTTTTCTGATACTTCTTAAACCACTTACCACATAAACCAATCTCTTGATCATCAGTAAAGTTATTGCCATCTGCTTTTAAAACATCAAACAACCAATTGTGGTGGAGAAGTCTTATATTTTCAGCAGATTTCTTGGTTTTAATGTCTCTCCTAAAGACAACTTAGCAACCTGCACCTACACATCTACCTCACATTGTGAGAATGGTACTGTACTTGGTGTTTAAAGTCACATCAAAAGAACAATTGATAATATAGGGATATATGGGGTATATGATATATTATTGGAAGATTTGTATAATAACTATCGGTCATAAAGTATATTGTATTTAACATCCTAATTATAATTGACAGATATAGGCACTCAAGGAGATGTCGGCATTACTTGTATACATGATAGGGGTTATTATATGATAGGAAAGACGTGTACATGAAGGTTTGGAGTGTAACTGGGTGGTCGCCTATGTCCACCATCGTTCAACAAGTTGTTGGGGTGATACACATCAAAGTAAAAAACCAACACTTTTGCACAAATGGTGAAGTTTCGATCTTTGATCAGGGTTAGGGTAAGAGATAAAGCTATCTATATGTTAAATAACTTTGAATGGACTGAATATGGAAGATGTTCACAATGCCATTTGTTCACAAAATTTAACATTTTTCTCACAAATGCTTAAAAAATAATAATATCAGCAGTATACATACTGTTTTAGTATGTTGGTATTTACTTTATGGTTCGAACTTTCCTATTTCATTAAACTATCAGCATTCATAGTTTAGTAATTAAGTTAAAATAATTAATTATCTTTTATCTGTTTTGTGACTATCAGCGTTCATAGTTTAGTAATTAAGTTAAAAGAATTAATTATTTTTTATCTGTTTTGTGACTATCAGCGTTCATAGTTTAGTAATTAAGTTAAAATAATTAATTATTTTTTATCTGTTTTGTGACTATCAGCGTTCATAGTTTAGTAATTAAGTTAAGATAATTAATTATTTTTATCTGTTTTGTGACTATCAGCGTTCATAGTTTAGTTATTAAGTTAAAATAATTAATTATTTTTTATCTGTTTTGTGACTATCAGCGTTCATAGTTTATAGTTAAAAGAATTAATTATTTTTTATCTGTTTTGTGAATTAAGTTAAAAGAATTAATTATTTTTTATCTGTTTTGTGACTATCAGCGTTCATAGTTTAGTTATTAAGTTAAAAGAATTAATTATTTTTTATCTGTTTTGTGACTATCAGCGTTCATAGTTTAGTAATTAAGTTAAAATAATTAATTATTTTTTATCTGTTTTGTGACTATCAGCGTTCATATTAAGTTAAAATAATTAATTATTTTTTATCTGTTTTGTGAATCAGCGTTCATAGTTTAGTAAGTTAAAATAATTAATTATTTTTTATCTGTTTTGTGACTATCAGCGTTCATAGTTTAGTAATTAAGTTAAAATAATTAATTATTTTTTTATCTGTTTTGTGACTATCAGCGTTCATAGTTTAGTAATTAAGTTAAAAGAATTAATTATTTTTTATCTGTTTTGTGACTATCAGCTGTTTAGTTTAGTGTTAAAATAATTAATTATTTTTTATCTGTTTTGTGACTATCAGCGTTCATAGTTTAGTGTTAAAATAATTAATTATTTTTTATCTGTTTTGTGACTATCAGCGTTCATAGTTTAGTAATTAAGTTAAAATAATTAATTATTTTTTATCTGTTTTGTGACTATCAGCGTTCATAGTTTAGTAATTAAGTTAAAATAATTAATTATTTTTTATCTGTTTTGTGACTATCAGCATTCATGGTTTAGTAATTAAGTTAAAATAATTAATTATTTTTTATCTGTTTTGTGACTATCAGCGTTCATAGTTTAGTAATTAAGTTAAAATAATTAATTATTTTTTATCTGTTTTGTGACTATCAGCATAGTTTAGTAATTAAGTTAAAAGCCTAATCAGCGTTCATAGTTTAGTAATTAAGTTAAAATAATTAATTATTTTTTTATCTGTTTTGTGACTATCAGCGTTCATAGTTTAGTAATTAAGTTAAAATAATTAATTATTTTTTATCTGTTTTGTGACTATCAGCGTTCATAGTTTAGTAATTAAGTTAAAAGAATTAATTATTTTTTATCTGTTTTGTGACTATCAGCGTTCAAAAATTTAATTATTTTTTATCTGTTTTGTGACTATCAGCGTTCATAGTTAAATTAAGTTAAAATAATTAATTATTTTTTTTATCTGTTTTGTGACTATCAGCGTTCATAGTTTAGTAATTAAGTTACATAATTAATTATTTTTTATCTGTTTTGTGACTATCAGCGTTCATAGTTTAGTAATTAAGTTAAAATAATTAATTATTTTTTATCTGTTTTGTGACTATCAGCATTCATAGTTTAGTAATTAAGTTAAAATAATTAATTATCTTTTATCTGTTTTGTGACTATCAGCGTTCATAGTTTAGTAATTAAGTTAAAATAATTAATTATTTTTTATCTGTTTTGTGACTATCAGCGTTCATGGTTTAGTAATTAAGTTAAAATAATTAATTATTTTTTATCTGTTTTGTGACTATTAAGTAATTAAGTTAAAAGAATTAATTATTTTTTATCTGTTTTGTGACTATCAGCGTTCATAGTTTAGTAATTAAGTTAAAAGAATTAATTATTTTTTATCTGTTTTGTGACTATCAGCGTTCATAGTTTAGTAATTAAGTTAAAATAATTAATTATTTTTTATCTGTTTTGTGACTATCAGCGTTCATAGTTTAGTAATTAGGCCTAAGTTAAAATAATTAATTATTTTTTTTATCTGTTTTGTGACTATCAGCGTTCATAGTTTAGTAATTAAGTTAAAATAATTAATTATTTTTTAATCTGTTTTGTGACTATCAGCATAGCGTTAAATAATTATTTTTTATCTGTTTAGAAGTTAAAATAATTAATTATTTTTTATCTGTTTTGTGAAAGCGTTCATAGTTTAGTAATTAATTAATTTATTTTTTATCTGTTTTGTGACTATCAGCATTCATAATTTAGTAATTAAGTTAAAATAATCAATTATCTTTTATCTGTTTTGTGACTATCAGCATTCATAGTTTAGTAATTAAGTTAAAATAATTATATTATTTTTTATCTGTTTTGTGACTATCAGCGTTCATAGTTTAGTTTTAAGTTAAAATAATTAATTATTTTTTATCTGTTTTGTGACTATCAGCGTTCATAGTTTAGTAATTAAGTTACATAATTAATTTTTATCTGTTTTGTGACTATCAGCGTTCATAGTTTAGTAATTAAGTTAAAATAATTAATTATTTTTTATCTGTTTTGTGACTATCAGCGTTATAGTAGTTTTTAATCTGTTTTGTGACTTAGCGTTCATTTTAGTTTAAGTTAAAATAATTAATTATTTTTTATCTGTGTTTTTTCGCGTTATAACGTGTATTCAGTTTGCGTAATAACGTGTTTATTTGTATTATTACGTGTTTATTTACGTTATAGCGCATTTTTTTTGCGTTATTACGTAAAAAATCACGTTACTTCGGGTTTATTTGCGTATTTACATGTTTTTTTCGCGTTATTGCATGTTTCCACGTTTTAAATTTTTTGCTTTGACACCATTAGGCTTTCGTATATCAGTGAGTGGTCTCGAAGGGCAAAAAAAACTTGAGACCAACCTCTATGGGAAATTAGCATTGCTATTATACCTGTCATATCCATAACATGATTGCTGACCCCTTGGGCCCTCCTGGCCCCCTTCTCTTGGTCCCAAATAGGTTTAGTCAGCGACAGTTTGCAGATTTTATATTCTGATCCCCATCTGCCTGGGATTGTTTCTATAATAGGTGATAAGAATAGAGGAATGATCTCTTCCACACTAGCAGAGTATGTACATTCAGATGTGAACATTTTGTAATTTTATTTCTATAAACGGATAGATCACATGACTTTTGACCCAAAGCACAATCCTAGGTGGCCCTCCACACAAACAACCAAACAACTTGCAAATATTGGTTTTCAAGGCCCATACCAGAAATAGGTCTATGTATGTATTGCAAACCAAAGTGTTGTTCTATTTTTAGAAACAGATCATATGACCTTTGACCTTAAACCCTGTCTTCCCCTCCACACAAGCAACCTGTGTATCAAATGTGGTCACCAGTGGAAGTTATTGCGCAGAAACCAGAGTCGACAGAGAGACGGAAAGACAGGCATGCTGCTGTATAAAAATAGACATGTCTCCACCACGTTATCACACGTGGAACAAAATGTTTGACATCTGTGACCATAAAAGATTGTCAAGATCTTCTATTTGGACAAACTTAAACATCCTAATCTCAACATTATACAAAGCTTATAAATATCATGACCTTTCATCATCAAGAAAATTTGTACACATTTGACCTTGGAAGGGGGTTATGGTAACTCATCATGCCAATGACCAAATATTACTGGTTTAACCAATGCTGTTTGGCTGCTAAGAAGAGGTTTTAATGAACACCAATCCCATAAGATGTGTAATAATTTTAGATTCGCATAAAATTTTTGCAGAAATCGAAACCGAAAGTACCAGCAAAATCAAGTCTGTCTCTGCCCTCAGACGGCGCGTCGATTTACCCAATAACACCAATAACACCCAATACTACCCAATAACGCCCAATAACACCCAATAACACACTTATGTCATAAATAAATATATAAATTATAGATAAGAGAGAAATTAACGTTTTTTGCAATATGTTTGTATCTGTACCGTTATAGGTCCCTTTTTGCTCTGCACTAAACATCTGAAGGAAAACTTAAATAGGTTTTTAGAAAAGTCCGGCACCCCTCTCAAGGATAGGATCAGAATAACTAAGTCAATATTTGGTAAAGGAGTGGTGTTTGCCAGAAATGAGACCTCCTTTCCATTGAAAAAGGACGATATGTCATGTTATTTTGATTATTTTCCAATGTTTAGGGCATATTGGAACAAGTTTATGGAACCAAAATTGCTGGCTTATGTGATACGTCCATTACAAAACCATCTGATCTCAGACTTGTGGACCAACAATAACGCAGAATCTATAAACAATAGACTGAAGAAAGAAACCGACTGGAAATTGCAAAAATTACCAGAACTCATTACAAAACTGACAAAAGTATCCAACATTCAAATTTTTAATCTGAGGCGGACCTTACACAAAACAGGTAACTGGAAACTTGTCGATCACAGGTCTGAGATCAATCCCGATGTGTGGTGCGAAACTGAAACACAAGATAAAGAAAAGTTGTTTGTTAAATTTCTTCAAAAGAAAAAAAATGAAGGTAAAAGACACAATGGTAAAATCTAAAAACGCCTCCTTCGCCTGTGTCAAACCCAAAGACGCGTGTGGCAAAAGACCAGGGCAAAGGAGGCGTCAACGTTAAGAAAAAACCAGGTTTAATAAACTGAAGAAAATACATTTGTAATTCAGTTGATAAACCACACATCTGGTTCAGTTTAAGATAAAACTAGCTTTTATATAGTGGGTTCCTGGTCAGGTTGTTTTACTATGGAAGCTGTTCGGCTTTATATACAAACATGTATAGACTAGAAAATTAACATCTGGTACACATAAATACACATAAATGTTTAGTTTATAAACAGAAGGAGTTTTAGGATGTTTCTCCAAAAATGGTTTTAAATTTTCGTAAGCTGGACATCGTAGTATAAAATATTTTATACTCTAGCTCAGTATACTGTCCACTCATTATTATTACCATGTAATTAAAACATTAATGACGATATGGTATAAATTTGATGTAATTTGTATTAAATGCCATTAATGTATATTAATTGTCTGGAAATGTTTTTGTCACTGTGTATGGTGTGGATGACTGCTAGGATACGATTACCATGATTACTAAAGGGGTTGTATTGAAAGTGATCATATGTCTTGATTTTACTGTATATGTTTATTGTTACCTGGTGATATTGATGCAGAAATAAAATATAACATATTAAACAATTCTTGTTGTCAATTGATGTAATTATTTAGTTATGGTATCCTTGACAAGATGCAAAGTATAAATGAGTTATTAACATAGTGGGCCATGGTGTGCCGAATTAACTATCCATTTCGTACCTATTAATCTTTCGACTTTTTATATAAAGTCAAAGTTTATCTAAAATATTAACATTTGCACCGTGGTATTCCTATTTTACCCTGATGAGTTGCGCAGCATGTCACATGATCGCCCCGAATGACGATCAGATCAGCTGGGAAGTTTCCGAATGACGACTTTGCCGAGTGTGATCTCTCGCCACTCTAATTAAATATATGCCACTATGCAAAATTTTCACAGACGATAGACTATTGAATAACATCTAGTTTTGTGCCATAAGTCATCGGAGACGTCATTTTCTCTATATATTTCATGTATTTTGAGATCTATTCAATAATTTTTTTCACCTTTGTTTTTAACGAAATTTGACTAAATTTTATATATGAGTATGGAATTAAATTTACATTTTACTGATAATATTTTACATAACATTTCTTATATTCGACATTAAATTTGGTTTCCACTTCCCCGCCAATAATTCCCATTTCTTATATAACCGTTGAGTTAATGATGACATTTCGTAAAAGTTGGTACATATTATAACCTTTTATATCTCTGAAGTTTCTTATCGAAATATAATGTAATTATTATATGGAGAATATACAGACAATGTGTAAAATTGCATTATTTATAATTGACCAAAACACGTCTCATCGTCAAAATGACAAATTAAAAACGTAAAATATACACAAAATATTCAACCGATACCTTGATGATGACTCTTGGCACATAGCCTAGTCGTGTCGGCTAGTATATAACTATTGGGTAGTTATTGGGTGTTATTGGGTGTTATTGGGTAGTTATTGGGTGTTATTGTGTAGTATTGCGTTTTATTGGGTAAATCGACGCGCCCCTGTCAGACGGCGCGACGATTTACCCAAATATACCCAAATACACCCAAATAACGCCAAATCGTACCCAAATATACCCAAATTCGTTCCCGCTTCATTTTTGTCCGTTTCTGCCCGTTAGCCTATATGGTATTACGGGATTTATGTGAATTGCCTTAGTAAATGGAAGCTAAAATTAGACAAAGATAGTCTATTTGATCATGTGTATATCGTTTATTAGTAATAAAATATCATACCAGAAACGTATCTATAACAGATTTACGACCCTGATAATACAGAGTCCGTTACGGCCCGTTCCTGTAAATCGATTTGGCTTTATTTGAGTATATTTTGGGTATATTTGGGTAAGATTTGTCTTAAATTGGGTATATTGGGGTATATTTTGGGTATATTTGTGAAAGATTTGGGTGTAATGGGGTGTATTTGTGAATGATTTGGGTGTATTTGGGTATCCCTGTCAGACGCTTAGTGTAGACGGCTAGTAGTGCAAAGGTAGCCATGATAGTTTAAAATCAGTTGCAGTTAAGTAAATAATGCAACACATGCGCATTAAAACACGGGGAAACCCAACGGAAAAACCTAACGTAAAGTTTGCGAATCTGTGTCAAAATAACGCTCACTATTCTATCAACAACGAAACCATCAGTAGCATTTTAATAGTCTTTATCAGAGATGTATATGTGTTATATATGTCTCTGATCAAATGTATGGTGAGGTTATTGATTACAAGATCGTCGACTGTGAAAAGAAAATGAATTTACCAGCAGCCAGATATACGCATTAAGCTGGTAAGTATACTCATAATGACCAGAGACCTGTCGCTGTAAACACAGATCCCTGGATAGAGGATAGAAACCCAAGAAATTTTAATTTAGTACAGTGGACAACGTATCTGGTATTTATCTGAGAATTTGGTGAGTGGAGGGCGGGGGGGGGGTGTACTACTTGGATTGGGGACATATTCTCATTAACTGGACTTGCTGAACACCAGACTAGTAGCAGAGACATTGAAATAAATAAAGTTGCATTGGTGCCCACATACATTGAGAGACTCGGGAATAATACTTAATGTTACTTTCACAAGCGTCGCTGTAACCGCAGGAAACTGGATGTAATGTGTAGATTACACATAGTTTAGCTAGTTTTATATCAGTTCCGGATATTACGGATTCTTCGTCTCCGTAATTCAGCCATTACACACCGCGCCTTAATTTCTTGTAGTATTATGGGAGAGTCGGGTTTTGTATAAACATGTGAAACAACCCTTGTTGTTATACTGCTCATATCTTAGCGGGGAATACACCATACTTGATGACAAGTGACTTTGTTGAGGTCAGCTTTTGTAAGAATTTGCTGTAGCATATTTGTTAGCTAGGGAGGGCTATTTACATGTTTACATATACATGTAGCTTGATCAATTGAGTTTAAGTCTAGTAAGCTAGAGGTCTTAGGTTTTAAATCTTTCCAGATACACTAAAATGAAAAATAACCCCTGCTACATATAAATGGTACAGTGGCAAGTTCATGTACCTTGATATCTTGTAGAAACAACAGAATTAACACATGCTGAACTGATGTTTGTGACAGGAATAAAACTACAGAAAATTCAACCCTAAAGTCATTTTAGTTTGTGATAGAATATTTACTTTCCTATTAAGTTTTAAAAAAACAGTATTCCACAACTTTTACATTTCTGTCCAATACCCCTCAAATTTAGAATCCTGATACAACCTAGTCCAATCCAAGTTTAATCCACTCCTCAACAAGATTCACCTTCTGTGGATACAAAATTTGAAATAGGGGATTGTCAAAAAATCAAAATCTGTTAAAATGAGATAACCCATTGATGCAAGTTAAAAAGTCTTCAATTAATGTGGTGTATTTATTCATTAAATATTGATGATGGGGGCCTTGTTCTTGTTTGATATACATTTCCAATTTTGTTTTTGTTTCCAATGGACAAATGTGAATGCATTTATGTTATCACTTTTGCAACTTGATTGAAGAAGATGCAGTATGGATTTCAGTATTGTTATTTAAAAGTGTGGACAGTTACTGTAGTCTGAGAGTTAAAGGATTGAAAACTCAACTGTAGAACTATTTCACCATGACTACTTGTGTTGTATATATATCAGGTAATCATCTGCAGCATACTTTATATACTCATGTACCTTTGTATACATTTCAGATTTTTTGGTTTCATGTGAATGGCTGTAGTAACCAGGTTGTGTCTTTCAGTAACCCTGCTACTGGTAATGTTATTTATACCATACAACAATATGTATACAGGTGAACATGTAACACACATAAAAAAAACATGCAGCATTGCATACAGGGAAATTGATTACTTACAGAAGAACAACAGAATATGTACATGAACATATGTACATATTGGAAAATGTTTTATAGAAATTATATCGCTACATGGAAAATTTATTTACATACAGGAACAATAGATTACATACAGGAAAACACCTTACATAAACAGTATGTTAGCTACAGGAAATACATATTACATATAGAAAGTAGATGTTACATACAAGAAATATATGTTACATACGAGAAATATATTTTACATACAGGAAGTACATATAACATATAGAAAGTAGATTTTACATACAAGAAGTATATGTTACATACAAGAACATATTACATACAAGAAGTACATGTTACATACAAGAAGTACATGTTACATACAGGAAGTACATATTACATACAGGAAGTGGATGTTACATACAGGGAAACCAGATAACATACATATACATTTACATCTTCATTCTTACGAAACATGTACCTACTGATCATCGTTAATATATTTACAGATACCATATTAATATACATTTTCATACTTACTGTACTTACAGACACCACTTCAAAATATATCTTCATACTTACTGTACTTACAGACACCACTTCAAAATATATCTTCATACTTACTATACTTACAGACACCACCTCAAAATATATCTTCATACTTACTGTACTTACAGATACCACCTCAAAATATATCTTCATACTTACTATACTTACAGATACCACCTCAAAATATATCTTCATACTTACTGTACTTACAGACATCACTTCAAAATATATCTCCATACTTACTATACTTACAGATACCACCTCAAAATATATCTTCATACTTACTGTACTTACAGACACCACTTCAAAATATATCTCCATACTTACTGTACTTACAGACACCACTTCAAAATATATCTTCATACTTACTATACTTACAGATACCACCTCAAAATATATCTTCATACTTACTTTACTTACAGATACCACCTCAAAATACATCTCCATACTTATTTTACTCACTAGCAGCTAAAAGATTAGTTTCTTGACTGTTTTGTTTGTATAAGCATGGGCACAAAAGTTCAAGGTTGAGTTTGCACCTGCTTAAAACAACAAGCTTCAGAAAGGTGTTATATAACAGCAGAGTCTCCTTTTGACAAGTTCATTCTTCTAAAAAAATATATTTTAAACCTCTTTTTTGCAAGTGTTGTAAGAAGTCATATTATTTCACCATTAATCTGTCTGCAAGATTTCTCCATAGAACTGGAAGGCAGCAACCAAGTAGATATATTTTGTCCTTTATGTTGATGATTTAGTAATTCAATACTGTAGGGTATTTTGTTTGATAAAGATCACAACAGTTTCGTTTCCATTCACTGCACTCAGTTGTTATAAGTGATTAAAGAACCAATAAGTATTGTTTTGACTAAGTACTCGTTGTTCTTTTTCTCAGGGGATACATTTTGTTGTTGGTGAAAAATATTCAGATTACCTGTTGTCAGGAGAGACAGGAAAATTGTAAGTAAATTTAGTACACTGTAATATCTTTCCAGTGTTAAATGTCTACAGTAATTAGTTACAGTATCATTCTCCATATGTATGAAGATTTACATTTCTTTATCAAAAGTGCTTAGTTAATTTGGTAATTAGAAAAGTTGGCATATAGTTGTACCATTATCATATATATCTACATCACTTTGGCAAATTTTAACATAAAAAAATGTATGTGCAGTATTTATCTCCCTTGATAACATTAATCACTTACTTGTTTTTAGTATCTTTAAAACATCAAGTGAAGACGAACAACTGTGTCACATTTGTCCGGATGATGTTTATGGCCAATGTGGAGTAGGTGGTATCAACTTGGCCTGTAAAGAACAAAATGAAATCAACAAAACCTCAACACAATATCCCTGGTGTAACTGTGGTCCAATTGTAGGTAAGGGACTAGCTCCTGTACACATTTTCTGTCTCCCTGATTCTCCTTATCACAAGGATTTGTCTCACCAACAAACCTCAATGTTTTGGAGAAATATCATCTGTATCACAAATGTGTCCTTATACTATACCTGAAAGTGTGTGTCATAATTAGAATGTCTGTACATTACTTGAATGTCTGTATCTCACTTGAATGTCTGTACCTCACTTGAATGTCTGTACCTCACTTGAATGTCTGTGTCTCACTTGAATGTCTGTGTCTCACTTGAATGTCTGTACGTCACTTCAATGTCTGTACCTCACATGGATGTCTGTACCTCACTTGAATGTCTGTACCTCACTTGAATGTCTGTGTCTCACTTGAATGTCTGTATTTCACTTGAATGTCTGTGTCTCACTTGAATGTCTGTGTCTCACTGGAATGTCTGTGTCTCACTTGAATGTCTGTACCTCACTTGAATGTCTGTACCTCACATGAATGTCTGTACCTCACTTGAATGTCTGTACTTCACTTGAATGTCTGTGTCTCACATGAATGTCTGTACCTCACTTGAATGTCTGTAATCTCACTTGAATATCAGTATCACATGTGAATGTCTGTATAACACCTGAATGTCTGTGTCACACCTGAATATCAGTATAATAATTGATTGTCAGTGTCAAATTGAAATGTCTATATCACACCTGAATGTCTGTGTCACACCTGATTGTTTGTATGACACCTGAATGTCTGTATGACACCTGAATGTATGAATCACACCTGAATGTCAGCATCAAACCTGAATGTCTTTGTCATACTTGAGTGTCTGTATAATACTTGTTTCTGTATAATACATAAATGTCTCTATAATACTTGTTTCTGTATAATACTTGTTTCTGTATAATACATAAATGTCTGTATAATATGTATAATACCTGAATGTCTGTATAATACCTGAATGTCTGTATAATACTTAAATGTATATGTCACACCTGAAAGTCTGTGTCACATTCAGTGTCTGCAAAATACCTGAATGTCTGTATAATATGTATAATACCTGAATGTCTGTATAATACATGAATGTCTGTATCACACCTGAATGTCTGTATAACACATGAATGTCTGTATAAAACATGAATGTCTGTATAATACATGAATGTCTGTATAATACATGAATGTCTGTATCACACCTGAATGTCTGTATCACACCTGAATGTCTGTTACACCTGAATGTCTGTATCACACCTGGATTTCTGTATCTCACTTTAACATCTGTATCACACCTTAATGTCTGTGTAACACCTGAATATTTGCATCACACCTGGATTTCTGTATCTTACTTGAACATCAGTATCACACCTTAATGTCTGTGTAACACCTGGATGTCTGTATCTCACCTGAATGTCTGTATCACACCTGTATGTCTGTCACACCTGAATGTCTGTATCACACCTGAATGTCTGTATCTCACTTTAACATCTGTATCACACTTTAATGTCTGTGTAACACCTGAATATTATATATTGGCTGAAAGAGTAATAAAATATGAAACTTTTCCTGTATGTATAGGTTGTAACTCACTGCCAGAATATGACAATGGAAGGTACAGGTGTTGGCCGTTTGGAAAAGTTACTGGATCTGTGTACCAGACATGTGTACCTGAGTGTGTGGCTGGGTTCATTCTGTCCAAGGGTAACCAGCTGAGATGTGGGGAGAACAAACAGTGGAATGAGACTGTGGTGCCACCTATATGTATACAAGACAGTAATGTTTTACTCTATATACATCATGATTTAACAGCTTCACTATCAATATCAGTGTCTTTTCATACTAAAGACAATGGAGAGGAATAGAAAGTGTTGTGGTATAGTCAGGATAATATCAAATCATCTATCACTATAATTCATCTTTAATGCAGCCATTATTTTTCTCACTAATTCATCCTTCACTTCACTACTTCCACTAATCCAGTCATTACTACTTCCACTAATCCAGTCATCACTACTCCCACTAATCCAGTCATCACTACTCCCACTAATCCAGCCATCACTACTCCCACAAATCCAGTCATCACTACTCCCACTAATCCAGTCATCACTACTCCCACTAATCCAGTCATTACTACTCCCACTAATCCAGCCATCACTACTCCCACTAATCCAGCCATCACTACTCCCACTAATCCAGTCATTACTACTCCCACTAATCCAGCCATCACTACTCCAACTAATCCAGCCATCACTACTCCCACTAATCCAGCCATCACTACTCCCACTAATCCAGTCATCACTAATCCAGCCATCACTATTCCCACTAATCCAGCCATCACTACTCCCACTAATCCAGCCATCACTACTCCCACTAATCCAGCCATCACTACTCCCACTAATCCAGCCATCACTACTCCCACTAATCCAGTCATCACTACTCCCACTAATCCAGTCATCACTACTCCCACTAATCCAGCCATCACTACTCCCACTAATCCAGTCATCACTACTCCCACTAATCCAGCCATCACTACTCCCACTAATACAGCCATCACTACTCCCACTAATCCAGTCATCACTACTCCCACTAATCCAGCCATCACTACTCCCACTAATCCAGCCATCACTACAACCACTAATCCAGTCATCAAAGGTGACATATCTAATGTGATATTGATATCTAATGTTTTTAATTTTCTTTGTCATCAGCTCCAAAGTTAGTAGTGACACTTCCCCCTATAAGGAACCAATCAGCTTCAATACGTTTACCACCTAGCAGTGGTGTGCAACCAGAAAATGGAACAGATCAGCACAGAGACTCAGATGTGTTAAATCCAGGTAACATGATTAATTTCTAAAACTGAAATGACATAGTTTCATGGAAGAAAAACTTGAAAATGATATATGCCTTATTGTCCTCACTAAAGCTTTTTTTAAAGATTTCACAACATCTGAATGAGAATCAATGGACAATTGTGAAGCCGCTATGTTAAATCATTACTGATGTCATTTTTTACAATTCTTTACTTACACTGATTATATCTGACTGTTGGTGTAGTTTGGGTTTTCAAAAATCTTCCTTGAAAAGGTAGTCTGACATTTTCTGACTTAGACTCACCAAGATTTACAGGGCAGATTTCACTGAATTTGCAAGTTCAAGGTCTCCATAGACAACAAAGAAAATACAGTCATGTTAAATGGAATCAGATCATAATTCAAAGACAAAGGTGATGAAACAAGGGCAAAATATGAACAAAAGAATGATTTGCATGGTCTGTCTGAGTAAGTAGGGTTCCAATGGAGAGCAAGGTAACCACCAATGGAACCACCATATATACTAAGGAACATTAAATATGCTCAGCTTCATATCACACAAAGAAATGTCTTAATTCTTGATGATATCGTTATGAAAAGCACAAAACTTACCTATAATCTTCATCATCTATAGAAATCCTGTGTTTGTCTGTCAGTTGCTGACAACTTGCAATGAAATTATGATACTGGGAAAAAGCCTTAGAATAGTGAATCAACGGTGACTTGTAAATATCATAGGTTTGGGGTGCAGAGTTGTTGCTATCCAGAAATAGAAAATTCAGAATAGGGAAACAGTGTGCTAGAAAGTTGTCTTTGATGGTTTCGTTGTAGGTGGTAAGCAGCTGATGTAGCGCAGTTCATGTAATTGATTTCCAATTCTGAAGAGTGTATAAGATGAACATAGACAGTAAATATCTTGTTATTTAAAGATATCATCAATATATCTGAAAGTGAAATTGAAGGACTTTGCAAGGTCTTTGTGACCTATTTTGCTCTATGAAAAATTCATATGAAAACATAAAAGAGTATGAGAGGGGCAATTAGTTCTCATATTACGCCAAAGTCTGTTGGAAGATCTTAAACCAAACTCGACGAAGATATTGAATTTGAAATTTGATCGTTTTGATGATCTCATCCTTGGTATCTTTTTCTTCATTGATTTTTTCGCTAAGTACATTTTAGTATAATTCACAACCAAACATAATCAAGGATTTTGATATCAGATCTAGCACTTTGATAGAAATTTTGAAACAGAATGCTAAGCTTTTAGAGCCACATGAAAGGGGTTAGTTATTGTCAATTTTTTGTCAATGAGGAAATTACAATGACAATGAGCAATGTCTGTTTAAAAGGTACTTGGATACTGGATCTTTAAACTTAATTTAAGGATTGCTCATAGTTCAAACGGTTTATAGGTCATTGTAAAAGGCATCGTAGCATCATTTACAAAAAAGTTTGCTGTGAGTACAGATTGTCTCGGATAAAACAGTTGACACCAAACTTCCGTTCCAAAAATTGTTTAAAACTTTTCATCATCTGATATTTTTAACTGGCATGAGATTGGGATTTTGTACATGTGTGAACAGTCAAATTCTATACATTCATCATTCAAATATGATGTAGACCTCGTGGTTTCTGTGTCTGTGATTACATCTCATTTGAAGAGATGTCAGAAGGAACCTCTTTGCACACTAACTTTGGTTCAAAACTTTTCCTTTAAATGAAGTGTATAAAGCCATTATGTGTCCGTAATGTTGTAATGTTGACACAGTTCACTTCAGAACAAAAACCATTCCTACGTAGTTTGTCATTTTGTTTCACCAACATACATTAAACCACGTACTAATATCATGGTGAAGGTTATATCAGGCTCATTTCTCCATACTAACCTAAGTTTGATTATCTTTTTTTGCCTTATTTTCAGATTTGATTGTGATATTAGCTGTAGTGATCGCTTGCGTGGTTGTATTTGTGATTGGGTTACTACTAAACAAGTTTAAGAAGAGATTGTGTTGTTGTCCAAGAGGAAGAACGTACACAGGCAGAGGTAAACATTTAATATGCTGTTACTTATAACTGGTAAATATACAATACACTGCTCACTAATTACAGATAGATATACAATACACTGCTCACTAATTACAGATAGATATACAATACATTACAGATAGATATACAATACACTGCTCACTAATTACAGATAGATATACAATACACTGCTCACTAATTACAGATAGATATACAATACACTGCTCTCTAATTACAGATAGATATACAATACACTGCTCACTAATTACAGATAGATATACAATACACTGCTCACTAATTACAGATAGATATACAATACACTGCTCACTAATTACAGATAGATATACAATACACTGCTCACTAATTACAGATAAATATACAATACACTGCTCACTAATTACAGATAGATATACAATACACTGCTCACGAATTACAGATAGATATACAATACACTGCTCATTATTACAGATATATATACAATACACTGCTCACTAATTACAGATATATATACAATACACTGCTCACTAATTACAGATAAATATACAATACACTGCTCACTAATTACAGATAGATATACAATACACTGCTCTCTAATTACAGATAGATATACAATACACTTCTCTCTAATTACAGATAGATATACAATACACTGCTCACTAATTACAGATAGATATACAATACACTGCTCTCTAATTACAGATAGATATACAATACACTGCTCTCTAATTACAGATAGATATACAATACACTGCTCTCTAATTACAGATAGATATACAATACACTGCTCACTAATTACAGATATATATACAATACACTGCTCTCTAATTACAGAAAGATATACAATACACTGCTCTCTAATTACAGATAGATATACAATACACTGCTCTCTAATTACAGATAGATATACAATACACTGCTCTCTAATTACAGATAGATATACAATACACTGCTCTCTAATTACAGATAGATATACAATACACTGCTCTCTAATTACAGATAGATATACAATACACTGCTCACTAATTACAGATAGATATACAATACACTGCTCTCTAATTACAGATAGATATACAATACACTGCTCACTAATTACAGATAGATATACAATACACTGCTCACTAATTACAGATAGATATAAAATACACTGCTCTCTAATTACAGATAGATATACAATACACTGCTCACTAATTACAGATAGATATACAATACACTGCTCACTAATTACAGATAGATATAAAATACACTGCTCTCTAATTACAGATAGATATACAATACACTGCTCACTAATTACAGATAGATATACAATACACTGCTCATTATTACAGATATATATACAATACACAGCTCACTAATTACAGATAGATATACAATACACTGCTCACTAATTACAGATAGATATACAATACACTGCTCTCTAATTACAGATAGATATACAATACACTGCTCTCTAATTACTGATAGATATACATTACACTGCTCTCTAATTACAGATAGATATACAATACACTGCTCACTAATTACAGATAAATATACAATACACTGCTCACTAATTACAGATAGATATACAATACACTGCTCACTAATTACAGAAAGATATACAATACACTGCTCACTAAATACAGATAAATATACAATACACTGCTCACTAATTACAGAAAGATATACAATACACTGCTCTCTAATTACAGATAGATATACAATACACTGCTCACTAATTACAGATAGATATACAATACACTGCTCACTAATTACAGATAGATATACAATACACTGCTCTCTAATTACAGATAGATATACAATACACTGCTCACTAATTACAGATAGATATACAATACACTGCTCACTAATTACAGATAGATATACAATACACTGCTCTCTAATTACAGATAGATATACAATACACTGCTCTCTAATTACAGATAGATATACAATACACTGCTCACTAATTACAGATAGATATACAATACACTGCTCTCTAATTACAGATAGATATACAATACACTGCTCACTAATTACAGATAGATATACAATACACTGCTCCCTAATTACAGATAGATATACAATACACTGCTCTCTAATTACAGATAGATATACAATACACTGCTCACTAATTACAGATAGATATACAATACACTGCTCTCTAATTACAGATAGATATACAATACACTGCTCACTAATTACAGATAGATATACAATACACTGCTCTCTAATTACAGATAGATATACAATACACTGCTCTCTAATTACAGATAGATATACAATACACTGCTCACTAATTACAGATAGATATACAATACACTGCTCTCTAATTACAGATAGATATACAATACACTGCTCTCTAATTACAGATAGATATACAATACACTGCTCTCTAATTACAGATAGATATACAATACACTGCTCACTAATTACAGATAGATATACAATACACTGCTCTCTAATTACAGATAGATATACAATACACTGCTCACTAATTACAGATAAATATACAATACACTGCTCACTAATTACAGATAGATATACAATACACTGCTCACGAATTACAGATAGATATACAATACACTGCTCATTATTACAGATATATATACAATACACTGCTCACTAATTACAGATATATATACAATACACTGCTCACTAATTACAGATAAATATACAATACACTGCTCACTAATTACAGATAGATATACAATACACTGCTCTCTAATTACAGATAGATATACAATACACTGCTCTCTAATTACAGATAGATATACAATACACTGCTCACTAATTACAGATAGATATACAATACACTGCTCTCTAATTACAGATAGATATACAATACACTGCTCTCTAATTACAGATAGATATACAATACACTGCTATCTAATTACAGATAGATATACAATACACTGCTCACTAATTACAGATAGATATACAATACACTGCTCTCTAATTACAGATAGATATACAATACACTGCTCTCTAATTACAGATAGATATACAATACACTGCTCACTAATTACAGATATATATACAATACACTGCTCTCTAATTACAGAAAGATATACAATACACTGCTCTCTAATTACAGATAGATATACAATACACTGCTCTCTAATTACAGATAGATATACAATACACTGCTCACTAATTACAGATAGATATACAATACACTGCTCTCTAATTACAGATAGATATACAATACACTGCTCACTAATTACAGATAAATATACAATACACTGCTCACTAATTACAGATAGATATACAATACACTGCTCACGAATTACAGATAGATATACAATACACTGCTCATTATTACAGATATATATACAATACACTGCTCACTAATTACAGATATATATACAATACACTGCTCACTAATTACAGATAAATATACAATACACTGCTCACTAATTACAGATAGATATACAATACACTGCTCTCTAATTACAGATAGATATACAATACACTGCTCTCTAATTACAGATAGATATACAATACACTGCTCACTAATTACAGATAGATATACAATACACTGCTCTCTAATTACAGATAGATATACAATACACTGCTCTCTAATTACAGATAGATATACAATACACTGCTCTCTAATTACAGATAGATATACAATACACTGCTCACTAATTACAGATAGATATACAATACACTGCTCTCTAATTACAGATAGATATACAATACACTGCTCTCTAATTACAGATAGATATACAATACACTGCTCACTAATTACAGATATATATACAATACACTGCTCTCTAATTACAGAAAGATATACAATACACTGCTCTCTAATTACAGATAGATATACAATACACTGCTCTCTAATTACAGATAGATATACAATACACTGCTCTCTAATTACAGATAGATATACAATACACTGCTCACTAATTACAGATAGATATACAATACACTGCTCACTAATTACAGATAGAATTACACTGCTCTCTAATTACAGATAGATATACAATACACTGCTCATTATTACAGATATATATACAATACACAGCTCACTAATTACAGATAGATATACAATACACTGCTCACTAATTACAGATAGATATACAATACACTGCTCTCTAATTACAGATAGATATACAATACACTGCTCTCTAATTACTGATAGATATACATTACACTGCTCTCTAATTACAGATAGATATACAATACACTGCTCACTAATTACAGATAAATATACAATACACTGCTCACTAATTACAGATAGATATACAATACACTGCTCACTAATTACAGAAAGATATACAATACACTGCTCACTAAATACAGATAAATATACAATACACTGCTCACTACTTACAGAAAGATATACAATACACTGCTCTCTAATTACAGATAGATATACAATACACTGCTCACTAATTACAGATAGATATACAATACACTGCTCACTAATTACAGATAGATATACAATACACTGCTCTCTAATTACAGATAGATATACAATACACTGCTCACTAATTACAGATAGATATACAATACACAGCTCACTAATTACAGATAGATATACAATACACTGCTCTCTAATTACAGATAGATATACAATACACTGCTCTCTAATTACAGATAGATATACAATACACTGCTCACTAATTACAGATAGATATACAATACACTGCTCTCTAATTACTGATAGATATACAATACACTGCTCTCTAATTACAGATAGATATACAATACACTGCTCACTAATTACAGATAGATATACAATACACTGCTCTCTAATTACAGATAGATATACAATACACTGCTCACTAATTACAGATAGATATACAATACACTGCTCTCTAATTACAGATAGATATACAATACACTGCTCTCTAATTACAGATAGATATACAATACACTGCTCTCTAATTACAGATAGATATACAATACACTGCTCACTAATTACAGATAGATATACAATACACTGCTCTCTAATTACAGATAGATATACAATACACTGCTCACTAATTACAGATAGATATACAATACACTGCTCACTAATTACAGATAGATATACAATACACTGCTCTCTAATTACAGATAGATATACAATACACTGCTCTCTAATTACAGATATATATACAATACACTGCTCTCTAATTACAGATAGGTATACAATACACTGCTCACTAATTACAGATATATATACAATACACTGCTCATTAATTACAGATATATATACAATACACTGCTCTCTAATTACAGATAGGTATACAATACACTGCTCTCTAATTACAGATAGATATACAATACACTGCTCTCTAATTACAGATAGATATACAATACACTGCTCACTAATTACAGATAGATATACAATACACTGCTCACTAAATACAGATAAATATACAATACACTGCTCTCTAATTACAGATATATATACAATACACTGCTCTCTAATTACAGATAGATATACAATACACTGCTCACTAATTACAAGGCAATAATAAATACATACATTGTTATCTTGTTACAAGTTTATATTTAATACAATACTTATTAATTACATGCACATATTAGATACATGATAATCAGAAGATTTTGTCACATAACAACTATGTACAGAATATTTATTATTTACAATGAGATTTTATTTTTCTCTACCTGTCTCACTGTAAATGAACAATGTGTACATGTGTGATACAAATGAACAGGTCCAATACAATTACAATGGTACACTGTTTAAATAAACAGATTTTATTTGTATAAAGTCTACATGCAGTATATATGGTAATTTAGAAATAGTTAAGAAAACAATATCTTGACAGTGTGATTGATCAACATTTAAGAAAATTTTCAAACAAAGTGATAAACCCAAAGTTCAAATGACCGTGGCTGTTAATGAGATGATAAACATAGCAAAAATCAAATGTTACGCTGTGAATTATGTGTCTGATAGGACTTTGTTTCTCCTTCAGTAATCAGTGTTTTATCAAATGCTGCATTTACAGGGGAACCTCCTGAAAGTATTGTTGTTGTGACTTCTACAGATCCTTCTTCACATGGAAGTTATGAAGATATCCCTGAGGAAAAACATTCCCTTCTTTCAGTAACCACTGAAACACGTGATGTGATTGAAGTAAAAGAGAAAAAAGAAAATTCTGAAAGTTCTGGTTTAGGTATAAAGAGTTTAAATACTTGTAGTTAATTAGTACCTTACAAATTGACAATAACTGTAAATAGCAGAGAGCATTTACAATACCAGGGATCAAACCTGGGTTGTCTGACTTAAAAGTCTGATGTTCTACAGATTGAGCTAAAGAGAAGATTAGTATATTGTGATTAGTGTTTTCCAGTAAATAACTCATCCTTGAATTTTGAGGGTTACAGGAATACTGGTGAGGGTGCCTAATTACATCCTAGATGTTAGAATCATGGCTTGCGGTTAATAAGATCTCGAGAATAAGAGGGAGGATCAGCTCAATATGGCTTGTAAATAGTACTTAATATAGTCTCTGGCAAATTATTTGAGATAAGTAATGACCTGTATTTCTCTTTTAAAGAGCTAAAGTATACTAATATCTTAATTCTGTTTCAATATATTTGATGGACACTCTTGTAACTTCACAATTTTTAAACATTTAAAAGGCGAGTGATACAGGTCTATGGAACCTCATGATTTTACATCCAGTCCCTTGAAGATAGCAAATATTTTTTGACTTCTTGCGGATACCTGCCATATATCATATCATTTGCATAACTGTGGTGCTATTTCACCTCCTAGTTAAGCTGTACAAACTAACAAATTTCTTATAAACAAAAATGGAACAGAAAATGGAACTATTCCTAGATTTTGAAATACTCTAATATGTTAACTGTCCTACTTTTTGACTTCGGTTTTGAAAATAGAGTCCACCCATTTCACCCAAAATTACTCTAAATTATCCTGATTGTCCTTCCTTGGCCAAGAAAAAAATATGGCAGGTATGAAGAAACTTAGAAGTCTGGTAGATTTTAATGCTGAAGTCAACTCATGTAAAACCAAATCTACAGGTAAATATTTCAATCATCAAGGGGCACATTAATTCAGTTTCTCCAAAAATAGATTTAGATCAATTATGAAGCACATTTGTTAAGTGCATGTACATCTTTGATTTGGATGTTAATTGTTGACTAATGTTTATTTCCAGCTGTTTGAAAATTAGTGTTTTAGGATGTTGTTCTATATCAATATAAATATTCCTGTGTGAAATTGTTCATTTACATACATGTGAGTTCATAGTTAACTATTAAATATTTTGGTTCTGAAATATAGCCAATCATGTAAGTCAATGGTTGACAATGGTTGACAATGGTTTATGGTTAACCAAGATCTGCAACATTGCCTTTCATGGTTCACCGTGGCCTTACATGATTGACCATAAAAACCATGGTAACCATAGTCACATCTGATAGAAGTAGTTGAATGAAGTCAGTATGATGTCATATTTCCTGATTTTCTTGTTTCCATGGGAATGGATAAGAATAAATACTTTATCTAATTTTTTATGAAAATTACAGGGTCTGCAGGAAGTCACTTGGAAGATGGATATACAATCTATCCTCACTTGCCAAGTGGTCCAATTTCTTTACCAAGGAGTTGGGTCTCTAGTCCAGACATGGCAGTCGCTGAAGGTAGATCAGTTCTGGGAAATGTGTGATCTGTATGAAAAAAATGAATTTTGGTTTCAGGTTGTACAGTACACATGCATTATGATTTATTAGTGTAACTTTGAGCTGTTATGATGGATTTTCAGGTCAATGAAATTTACTGTAATTCACTCTTGTTTCCATAGTAACAATGACCTCCCCATCTGTACCAATAAATCTTCTCATTTACCAGTGGTCCAAGAATCTCTGTTCCCAATTTCTTGACAGTTTATGTAAGCCAGGTATGGCAGTAGCAGGCCATAGAACTGTTATAGGGAATCTGATATCATTTGAGACATTAGCCTTTTACAGAAAGGATTAGGGCGGAGAAACTGTGTCACTTATATGCAGTTTTATTCAAATTATCTGTATAAACACTCAGTGTAACTAATTCTGTTAAGGAAGGCATTATTTAAAAGTATCCTTAGTCTTCTTCTGATTGGCCTCACCTCATTAGGTTTATAATGAACAATGTCACATGACATTTAATTACCCTAATTAACCATGGAGTTGGATCAGTTGCAATCAATACAATGCACACGAAGTGGTTGTTTGATTTCTCAAGAATGGTCGTCGGGACCTGGGCTATTTAACATGGATCAAGTTTCATGTTTCTGAATGAAGCAGAGAATTTTATGAGATATTGATTGAGTGTAGAAATATTTGCTTGTTATTAGATTTCATGCAAACTTTTATGACCAGGAATAAAGCAAAATGAAATCCTCATCTATACTGTTTGGTGATTCTGACCAAAAGCATGAAAAGTAACTAACCACATGTGATAAAAATTCATCACAGAAAATCTATGTCATCTATTTGAATGTTGAATCATAACAGGGAAGTGAGAGACAGGATTAATACTCTTGTACTTTAACATTGTACAAACCTTGTACACTTAATACAAGTACCTGTGTTAATGAATAACTTTTACTGTTTGTATAGAACAAGACCAGCAGCACAGCATCCCAAAAAGTGGTTCTCGTTTGTCAGATTCAGAACTGTGTTTACAATCTGCTGAATGTTTGACGGACTTGAATGAACTTCATACATTGGGTAGGTTCCCATGCATGATTTTTTTTAACTTCCAAAAATCACTTGTACAACATATCTTTGTTTTCACATGCTGTCAATTTTTTCTGAATGGTTCAAGTCAAACCTTTCTAAGTTGTCTGTTTGTTAAATATCATTGTGATTTGGTATATATTTATTTGAAGCAACTAAAAGTTGAAAAAGAAAAAAAAGAGCCCTGAGAAGAAATTTCTGGACTATATTTTGGTTCTGTTTGTACATTTGTATAAAGATATGTTTGTCAGTCAATGTTTCTAATATTCACAACCCACACGGTTTTCAGGTTCAAGACGTGGTCCTGTTGGTTGTGATTCCTTGGATACACCTGCTGTTAGTCAGGCAGGACAAGATGATTCTGAATTTCTCTTCACTCAACAAGCTGTGTTGTGTAATTCAAATGGAAAGCACTGTGAAGACCAAGACAGTAATCAAATACAAACCAATTCTGCAGAATCTCCTCCAGTACCTCCTCCTGTGACAAGTCAAGCCTCACCTGTTCCATTGATGGGAGAAGATGACCTTCTCCAAAGAGGTGGTCACCAGCGAAGGGAGACAACTGATCCTTATCGCACTGGTGGTCACTATCAGCATGAAGCTTCTGCAGACCTCCAGAGATGTGATGTATCAGTAATTGGTAAATACCTTCTGAAAGCATACTGTGCAACATGAATACTTGTTGATATTTTTATTGTTTTGATCTGTTTTTAAGTCATGACCTAAAGCCATTGTGTTTTTTGTCTGGTCATGTGAAGTAAACCATCAGTAAACTCTTCCTTTAAAATACTACTCCTGTTTAAATCCTGTATGGACTTCAACTGAATTAGCTCTGAAACCTCATTAGCAAGGGCAATTGTAAATTGTAGAGGGTTGTCCTCAGATCCAATAAAGCGCAGGGATTTTTTTGACAAATGTAGGAAAAATTATGATATAACTTTCCTTATAGATACACATTCCATTAAAAAGGTTGAAAACTTATGGAAAATAGAATGGGGATATGAGGCATGGTTTAGTTCATATGTATCAAACAGTAGAGGGGTAGCAATCTTGTTTAAAAATTCTTTCGGATTCTCTTTGTTGTCCAGGAAAGAAGATGCAAATGGTAATTTTTTAATGGTAAATATTCATTTAACCTCATGCGATTGGAACTTAACTCTAGTAGCAGTATATGGACCAAACAGCACAGATGTAAACTTTTATCATCAACTCTCTCACCACCTTGAATTTTGTGAAAATACGTCATTCATTATAGGTGGGGATTGGAATGCACCACAGAATTATTGTAAAGATATTGTAATCAATCAAGGTAAATTATAGATATTGGGGATTCTTTTGATCTTGTAGATATCTGGTGAGAGCAGCATCAAGATGTAAATTTTTATACTTGGGATGGTCCAAATAGGAAACAAGCAAGACTAGACTATTATCTGGTATCCTCTGATTTAATCTCTGCTGTAACAAAAAGTGACATAGGCATAAGCTATAGATCAGACCACAGTCCAATATCAATAGTGTTAGAATTTATTAAACGAAAAAGGGGAAAGGGAACATGGAAGTTTAATAATAGTTTGCTGAGAGATCCAGACTATACAGATTTAGTAAAGGGGTAATGTATAAATGAAGTAGTTAATCAATATGCAGAAAATCCTGAGGTAGAAAACAAAGATTTGTTGACATTTAGTATCAGTGACTCTTTATTATGGGAAACCATGAAATTTACTCTTAGGGGAAAAACTACTGCTTATACAGCACAGAAAAAAAGAGAAAGGGAAGAAAAACAGAAACCAGATTAGAAACACTACAAAAAGCAAAATATAGACAGCTAGAACTTATTGAAGAGGTAGAGAATGACCTAAAACTACTGTGGGAGAGGAAAATAAATGGTATTATTTTAAGGGCAAAATCAAGGTGGAAAGTAGAAGGTGAAAAAAGTTCCAAATATTTTTGTAATCTGGAGAAGAGACATTTTCAGGAAAAACTAATTCCGAAACTTATAAAAGATAATGGACAAGAGATGATTGATTTAGAAGAGATTACTCAAGAACAGAAACATTACTACGAAAAATTATATACAAAAAATACCGCAGAAGGAAATCAGCATATTTTTTTGATGATACAAATCCATTCATAAAAAAATTGTCTGTTGCAGAAATTGACGAATTAGAAGGTAAATTAGAATACAGAGAGTGTCTCTTCTCAGTAAAAGGTATGAAGAACAATAAATCGCCTGGTATTGATGGATACACTGTAGAGTTCTATATCTTTTTCTGGCCAGATATTCATTATTTTTTTATACGGTCTTTAAACCAGGCACATATAGGTGGTCAATTTTCAATTTCACAACGACGTGGTATAATTACATGTATCCCTAAGGAAGGAAAGTCTAAGTTGTATATGAAAAATTGGAGGCCCATAACTCTTTTAAATGTAGATTATAAAATTGCATCATCTGTTATTTCGAATAGGATAAAGAAAGTTTTAGATACTCTTATTAGTGATACACAGAAAGGCTTTATAAAAGGTAGATATATAGGAGAGTGCACTAGATTGGTTGCAGACATAATAGAAAATACTGGAAAAAGAAATATTCCAGGACTTCTTTTATTGATCGACTTTGAAAAAGCTTTTGATTCTTTAGATTTTGGTTTTATTTTTCAATCTTTACATTTTTATGGTTTTGGGCCTTCAATTATTAAATGGATTAAAGCTCTGTATAAAAACAGTTCTTGTTGTATTTTAAACAATGGGCATTGTTCAGAATTTTTTGATGTACAGCATGGGGTAAGGCAGGGCGACCCTTTGAGTCCCTATATATTTATTTTATGTGTAGAACTACTAAGTTCAGCTTTAAAAATTAATCCAGATATAAACGGCATTAGTATTAACAACTCAGAATATTTAATAAACCAATTTGCAGAAGATACATCTTTTACACTCTCAGATGATCCAGTGTCCCTTGAAACAACATTAAATATTTTGGAAGATTTTGGAAAAGTATCAAGACTTAAAATAAATTTTGAAAAAACTCGGGCAATCTGCTGATTAAAATAAAAATTATACAACTATACTTTAAGTTACCAACTTGATAAACAGATATATGCACATGTTTTTTTGTGTGAAAATATAGTATATTACTAAGTACATGTGTATACAAATTTATATCATTATGTGTAAGTTGTATAGTACAGTATACTATTACAAAGTATGTGTGTATACAAATTTATATCATTAAGTGTTAGTTGTACAGTACAGTATGCTACTAAAATGTATGTGTGTACACAAATTTGGATCATTGTGAGGTGAGATTGTATAGTTGTATGTGATTATGGAGAAAAACTTCAATAAAAAAAAAAAAGTTATCTGTTTGTTAAATATCATTGTGGTTTGGTATGTATTTATTTGCAGCAACTAAAAGTTGAAAAAGAAAAAAAAGAGCCCTGAGAAGAAATTTCTGGACTATATTTTGGTTCTGTTTGTACATTTGTATAAAGATATGTTTGTCAGTCAATGTTTCTAATATTTACAACCCACACGGTTTTCAGGTTCAAGACGTGGTCCTGTTGGTTGTGACTCCTTGGATACACCTGCTGTTAGTCAGGCAGGACAAGATGATTCTGAATTTCTCTTCACTCAACAAGCTGTGTTGTGTAATTCAAATGGAAAGCACTGTGAAGACCAAGACAGTAATCAAATACAAACCAATTCTGCAGAATCTCCTCCAGTACCTCCTCCTGTGACAAGTCAAGCCTCACCTGTACCATTGATAGGAGAAGGTGACCTTCTCCAAAGAGGTGGTCACCAGCAAAGGGAGACAACTGATCCTTATCGCACTGGTGGTCACCATCAGCATGAAGCTTCTGCAGACCTCCAGAGATGTGATGTACCAGTAATTGGTAAATACCTTCTGAAAGCATACTGTGCAACATGAATACTTGTTGATATTTTTATTGTTTTGATCTGTTTTTAAGTCATGACCTAAAGCCATTGTGTTTTTTGTCTGGTCATGTGAAGTAAACCATCAGTAAACTCTTCCTTTAAAATACTACTCCTGTTTAAATCCTGTATGGACTTCAACTGAATTAGCTCTGAAACCTCCTTAGCACAGGGCAATACTTTCTTAAATTTAGAATGTTGATTCCATCTCTGGAACTGAGTGTTGGGGTAACTAGTTTTTAGGTCACAATTCCCAAAGGACTAAGTGGGCTTCTGGCGTACCATGATGTCTGACGTTTGTATAAACCATGGGTCTCAGCTCCTTTGGTATAAGGGGTGATCCCAACAGGGGAAAGAGCGCAAATTCTTTAGTTCTTCACTGGAGAGTATATATTTACATTTTATCTATATTTGAGCATGCAAAATCTCTCGCATTAAATTTTTGAAAAGGTATAAGGCAAGTATGCTCTTATTTTGTGGTTCTAATAGAAATAACAAATGTACAGTATCAAGGTTGATAAGAGGAGTTTGGCCTTGACCTATCAAATGAACATCATAATATTTTGGCAATTTATAGGTAAAAATTTTGCTTCCAATAATAGCATGATGTTTTCTTTTACAGAACCTGGTGAATGTATGACATTTTGTGACTTCAGAAATGAACGGAATGCTCTAGAGTTCTTTTCAAGCTTAGATACAATATTGGTAGCAGATCCTTGTCAAACACAAAACTGGTTGGGAGTTTCCTGTTGGATTTTGCACCAATACAATATAGAACACTTGCCTGAGTGTCTTACAGGATTGAAGTAAGTAATAACAATACTAATCACTCACTGGTATTATGGCAAAGAACAGCCTTTTCGCTGTTCATTCATCTGACCTTTAGTCTATACCAGAATGTCAAGTATGTCTGTCGCTTTATAAAGATGACTTTATCACATAATCCCCCACTATCAATGTCATAATACCTATTGTTTTCATTATAATGTGTGTAACATGAACTAGTAAAATGTGATTTACTAAAGATTCCCATTGTTGCCAATGTGATGTCATACCTTTGGCATGTCAGCTGCATTGTGATATCACCAAAGAAATATTAATTAAGAGTGAGAACATGTCAGATTTTGTCAATGTGATGCATTAGGCCAAATGGGCCTGAATCACTCACCTGTTCTGCAGACTTTGTCAGTTTATTAAGTCAATTCCCGTAAACTTGAAAGCCTGATCCCCAAGCATACAATTGTACAAATACCACTGTCTATTTGCTATTGAAAAGAAATTTTAAATTTTCAACAGATAAGATCACTGAGATCGTGAAAATGAGTCAGTTATTTAAACAAACTAAAGGTAGCCTTAAGCTTACACACCAGTATGCTTCTTGCCACTGTCAGTACCAAGTGCTATTTGGTTATAGAGAAGAAGTAATTTGAAGTTATTAACGTATTTGACCCTTTGACCTTAAAAGCTAGTAAAGGTCATTCCTTTGAATAAACTTGTTAGTCCTGTATTCCAGCAAGCAACAGGTCTACTATGCGTACTATGGGTCTTTTTGGTTATTGAGAGGAAGGTGTATGAAGAGCAGAAATACATTTGTTGGTAGCTCTTCTTCCCAGCATACTACAGGCTTAATATCATTACCTTGAACCTTTCAAATATTAGAAGTATTGACAAGTCATTTGAAGATTTCTACACATTTCACCCTAGTGACTATGAAAGCTGCTCAAGGACTTTGAATGAACTTGGTAAACCTTCATTTCATTATGCTTCAGGCTTGTATCAACACCAGGACTATTGAGCTAAAAATATTCTGTTTATAAATGTTGGTAAAAGAATCAAATTTATGTGATAAACAGAATATTACATTCATGTTTTTTTTCAAATATTGAAAGACTGACGTAGAAAATCTTATATTAGCTTCCATTCATAAGAAATTTGTTAAACTTATCACAATGCTTTTTATTTTACATTGCCAGAGGCTGAATAAAATGAAAAAAATATGAAACCTGTTTCATAAACCTCATATGAATGGACACCCATATAAGTTCTTCTGTGTCATTCTGTCTGTCTGTCTATCAGTCTGTCCATTACTTTGTTGGAGGTATGAAGGACTGTTTGTATAACTGTGTATATGTCCTTCATCAGGGGATAGAGGTTTGATTATATTAACTCTGTTTAAATTTTTCTTTGCAGAATGACCATGCAAAATCCACCTCCAGGAAATGCCTACTTTGCCTCTGTGATAAATAACTACTTTGTGAAGCTTGGTATTAAGTTGGGACAAGTGTTATATTTTTATACACAGAAATATCCTCATTACAAGATCAAACAGGTCTTTCAGCAGCACCATCCTAAGTGCCAATACTGTGAACAATTTTATGACAAGGTTTAATTAATATGATACATAGAATACCTTATTACTGGTCTGGTCCATCCCCAGGGATGAGATGTATACTGACCTCATCTGGTCCATCTCCAGGGATGAGATGTATACTGACCTCATCTGGTCCATCCCCAGGGATGAGATGTATACTGACCTCATCTGGTCCATCCCCAGGGAGATATCTCCAGGGTTGAGATGTATACTGGACACATCTGGTCCATCCCCAGGGGTGAGATGTATACTGGCCACATCTGGTCCATCCCCAGGGATGAGATGTATACTGACCTCATCTGGTCCATCCCCAGGGATGAGATGTATACTGACCTCATCTGGTCCATCCCCAGGGAGATGTATACTGGCCACATCTAGTCCATCCCTAGGGAGGAGTTGTATACTGGCCTCATCTAGTCCATCCCCAGGGGTGAGATGTATACTGGACACATCTGGTCCATCCCCAGGGATGAGACATATACTGGACACATCTGGTCCATCCCCAGGGATGAGACGTATACTGGACACATCTGGTCCATCCCCAGGGATGAGACGTATACTGGACACATTTAGTCCATCCCCATTGATGAGACGTATACTGGACACATCTAGGCCATCCCCAAGGATGAGACATTTACTGGTCACATCTGGTCCATCCCCAGGGGTGAGATGTATACTTGACACATCTAGGCCATCCCCAGGGATGAGATGTATACTGGACACATCTGATCCATCCCCAGGGGTGAGACGTATACTGGACACATCTAGGTCATCCCCAGGGATGAGACATTTACTGGACACATCTGGTCCATCCCCAGGGGTGAGATGTATACTTGACACATCTGGTCCATCCCCAGGGGTGAGACGTATACTGGACAACCTGGTCCATCCCCAGGGGTGAGATGTATACTTGACACATCTGATCCATCCCCAGGGGTGAGACGTATACTGGACACATCTGGTCCATCCCCAGGGGTGAGACGTATACTGGACACATCTGGTCCATCCCCAGGGGTGAGATGTATACTTGACACATCTGGTCCATCCCCAGGGGTGAGACGTATACTGGACACATCTAGACGTCTGTGAAGTTGATTCCCTATTCCTTATTCCATTATTTATTCGACGGTGCAGTTGATTACTTATTCCTTATTCAATTACCTAACGGGTATTCGAAATTTTCATTCCTAATTCAATACCTATTATTTATTCATTTAAAAAAATGATGAAATAACACAATAAATGTTTCTAAATAATTATTAAACATGCTCATTCTATTATTCCTCTTTTCTATTACCGTGTACATATTCAGTTCACTTTTCTTAATCCATTCCCTCATTTCTTATTTGATATTACCATTACTTATGAACAACAAAAAAATAGTTTTAAATGAATGAATAAACGTTTTAATTGCATTTTCCACCTATACAACATATGTAAAGTGTTCATTACTTATTCCAATCCTTCATTACTTATTCGATTTATTATCATTTATAAATAATGTAGATTAAATGGAAACTTTAGGAAATCTCGTCAGGTCATGTGAATACGGTCCATACAAAATGGCTGCAAGATGATTGGCAAATCTATAATTGAATTATGAAATGTTTTAATGAGTAATGTCCTTCTGTATTGTCCGGTATGTAGAAAAAATATTGTTGTTTTTCCCCTCCACTCGGGTGTACCAATTTAAAGAAGATTTCAATTCGATACCATTGTGATTTTTATGTGTTTAAATGCATACAGCTGTCTATCCTATGCAAATCTAAGCTTAAACGGTATGAAAAGTGACACTAGTTAATATAAAATGACATTTACCTATGTCTACTTGGCACAAATCATAGAGGCATAAAAAGAAAGACCAATCAAATTGAAGCATTTTGTAGGAAAAGAGACAAACATAAACACCATTGTGAACATATACATTATGGCTTCTCTCATAAATTTCCTAACTCATTCATATTAAAATACAAAATGTCAGATAACACAATTTTAACTCAACATACACAATTTAGGTACCATTGTCATCGTTAAGATATAAAAACAACACATATAGAAATCCAGTTCATTTACATTAATTAAATTCGTAACAAAAATCAAAGTAAAGGTAAGAAAAAATGTACTCCAAATGTCCATCACCAGGGATAAGATGTATACTAGACACATCTAGTCCATCCCCAGGGATGAGATGTATATTGGCCTCATCTTGCCCATCTTTATTGATAGGATTTAGAAGTCCCATCTCTTAAGTGAGATGTTCAACGATCAGATTTGTGCTACGTCTGAAGGTGACTTCTATACTGGTCTTATCTTGCCCATCTTTAGGAATGAGATGTAGAGGGCCCATCTCTTTAGGTGAAATGTTTACTGATGTAATCTTGCTTATCTCTAGAGGTAATATGCACCATAAACATACTTTAGTGCAATCAATTTTTGGCTTGTTTTCACTTTTTGGCAAATGATGGCACATTGATGAATTTGTACATCAGTTATTTTGTTTTACATAACCAATATAAAGAAGTAAGTAGCAGTAAAAAAAGTGCTAAAATAATCACTGCTGAAATGTTTACAACAGTATGTACTTGCCCATCTCAGAAGAGGATGAGATATCAGCTGCCTTAAAGAGTCCTGCAGTGTAGAGAAGTTGGTATTGTGCGAACATAGGATATGATCTCCCTGGACAGGAGAAGGGAACAGGGAAGGAATGGGAAAGGGGCAGAGGATTAGTAGAAATAAAGAAGTTTTAATGAAATGATATAAAAACTCTCCAAGATAAAGTAAATAAAAAAAAACTGCTACATTAATGGATACTATTGCAAGGGAGATTACTCTAGGGTTCTAAATCATTTGCCATACTTGTAATGTTTCTTTGAAGATGACAAGACAAATACACTAATGCTATCAGTTTTGGGCAGCTTTAGGCTATAAAGTGTATAATATCACTGTCAATGATGTCACAATTGATGTCAGTTGCCATGATAATAGAGTATATAATATCACTGTCAATGATGTCACAGTTGATGTCAGTTTGAATGATAATAGAGTGTGCAATATCACTGTCAATGATGTCACAGCTGATGTCAGTTGTAATGATAACAGAGTGTATAATATCACTGTCATTGATGTCACAGCTGATGTCAGTTTGAATGATAATAGAGTGTGCAATATCACTGTAAATGATGTCACAGCTGATATCAGTTGTAATGATAACAGTGTGCAATATCACTGTCATTGATGTCACAATTGATGTCAGTTTGAATGATAATAGAGTGTGCAATATCACTGTCAATGATGTCACAGCTGATGTCAGTTGTAATGATAACAGAGTGTGCAATATCACTGTCATTGATGTCACAGCTGATGTCAGTTTGAATGATAATAGAGTATGTAATAAGATGTCACTGTTGATTATGATAAATTATATTACCCAAACAAAGGCCCAGATGTAGAGGGACTGAGATTTATGTAGTCCAATTGTTTTTCTAATCAAACCTCATCAAATTTCTTCTTCATTACTGCTCTGCTGAGTTCATTAATCACTTGATCAGTATTTAATGATAGGCAGCTGTATCATTACAGTCCTTGTTGTATCTAGTATAATTATATTATGCACATATGAAGTTCTCATTGCCTAACTTTATTTTCATGATGACATCCGTATTGGGTTTGAACATAAAGTCACACCCCAGATGAGTGTTTATGCACTTCATGATATGGGCCTCTTGATTGGGTCTTGTGTTTAGAAAATTATATATTTTCATGTTTCTTAACTTTGTTTGATATTTTAAACCAAACCATTAATTTGTTTATTACAGTAGGATTTATATTTTACAACAGCATCAGAACTATTGCATTTTTAGCTGGAATAAAAATGCTTGGATTTTATGAATGTGTTTATACCATGTACCTGAATGGTATTGTGATTTTAAGACATTTTATTATATATAAACTCTTCATTATATAATCATCAACAAAGTATACAATACAATAAAAATCTGATATTCGGATTCCTTTTTATTATTTCTAGGAAAGCTCCAGAAAAAAATAACAATCCTCAAATACAAAGGACTAGATTTATCTTACAGGGATGAAAAATTTATACATGTAACACTTACCTATAGTGCCATTTAGCTTGGTGACCTTATGACCTTTTACCACCAACCATATACACATTCATACTTCACTGATGTTTTTGAAAGTTTTGAATAGGAATAAATTAAAAAATTAAAACATCCATTTTCATCGCCTCATGATGGAGTCTGCAGGAGGTGGATGTAGTCACCATGTTTGTTATTCCAAACACACCGAAATTCCCAATAAATTTTCATCAAATTGCATACAAAGGTCAAATCTAGGATAACTTTAGAAAAATCTATGGTCTGAGTGTCATAGGGAAGATCAAGGTTGCTGCTATAATTTATATGTATGTTTACATAGAAACTGTAATTGACTACAATATCTAGCAAATTCATTCCTTAATATTTATTGATGAAATGTCACTTTATGCTTGAATAATCTTAGTATACTGATAGACTTCTCTGGTAGTACTGGTGGGGAACTAAACAGACTCTCTGGTAGTACTGGTGGGGAACTAAACAGAACTCTCTGGTAGTACTGGTGGGTAACTAAACAGAACTCTCTGGTAGTACTGGTGGTGAACTAAACAGAACTCTCTGGTAGTACTGGTGGGTAACTAAACAGAACTCTCTGGTAATACTGGTGGGGAACAAAACAGAACTCTCTGGTAGTACTGGTGGGGAACTAAACAGAACTCTCTGGTAGTACTGGTGGGGAACTAAACAGAACTCTCTGGTAGTACTGGTGGGTAACTAATCAGAACTCTCTGGTAGTACTGGTGGGGAACTAAACAGAACTCTCTGGTAGTACTGGTGGGGAACTAAACAGAACTCTCTGGTAGTACTGGTGGGGAACTAAACAGAACTCTCTGGTAGTACTGGTGGGGAACTAAACAGTACTCTCTGGTAGTACTGGTGGGGAACTAAACAGACTCTCTGGTAGTACTGGTGGGGAACTAAACAGAACTCTCTGGTAGTACTGGTGGGGAACTAAACAGACTCTCTGGTAGTACTGGTGGGGAACTAAACAGAACTCTCTGGTAGTACTGGTGGGGAACTAAACAGACTCTCTGGTAGTACTGGTGGGGAACTAAACAGAACTCTCTGGTAGTACTGGTGGGGAACTAAACAGACTCTCTGGTAGTACTGGTGGGGAACTAAACAGAACTCGCTGGTAGTACTGGTGGGGAACTAAACAGAACTATCTGGTAGTACTGGTGGGGAACTAAACAGAACTATCAGGTAGTACTGGTGGGAAACTAAACAGAGCTATCTGGTAGTACTGGTAGGGAACTAAACAGAACTCTCTGGTAGTACTGGTGGGTAACTAAACAGAACTCTCTGGTAGTACTGGTGGGGAACTAAACAGAACTCTCTGGTAGTACTGGTGGGGAACTAAACAGACTCTCTGGTAGTACTGGTGGGGAACTAAACAGAACTCTCTGGTAGTACTGGTGGGGAACTAAACAGAACTATCTGGTAGTACTGGTGGGGAACTAAACAGAACTATCAGGTAGTACTGGTGGGAAACTAAACAGAGCTATCTGGTAGTACTGGTGGGTAACTAAACAGAGCTATCTGGTAGTACTGGTAGGGAACTAAACAGAACTCTCTGGTAGTACTGGTGGGGAACTAAACAGAACTCTCTGGTAGTACTGGTGGGGAACTAAACAGAACTCTCTGGTAGTACTGGTGGGGAACTAAACAGAACTCTCTGGTAGTACTGGTGGGTAACTAAACAGAACTCTCTGGTAGTACTGGTGGGGAACTAAACAGAACTCTCTGGTAGTACTGGTGGGGAACTAAACAGAACTCTCTGGTAGTACTGGTGGGGAACTAAACAGAACTCTCTGGTAGTACTGGTGGGTAACTAAACAGAACTCTCTGGTAGTACTGGTGGGGAACTAAACAGAACTCTCTGGTAGTACTGGTGGGGAACTAAACAGAACTCTCTGGTAGTACTGGTGGGGAACTAAACAGAACTCTCTGGTAGTAATGGTGGGGAACTAAACAGAACTCTCTGGTAGTACTGGTGGGGAACTAAACAGTACTCTCTGGTAGTACTGGTGGGGAACTAAACAGACTCTCTGGTAGTACTGGTGGGGAACTAAACAGAACTCTCTGGTAGTACTGGTGGGGAACTAAACAAACTCTCTGGTAGTACTGGTGGGGAACTAAACAGAACTCTCTGGTAGTACTGGTGGGGAACTAAACAGAACTCTCTGGTAGTACTGGTGGGAAACTAAACAGAACTCTCTGGTAGTACTGGTGGGGAACTAAACAGACTCTCTGGTAGTACTAGTGGGGAACTAAACAGAACTCTCTGGTAGTACTGGTGGGGAACTAAACAGAACTCTCTGGTAGTACTGGTGGGGAACTAAACAGAGCTATCTGGTAGTACTGGTGGGGAACTAAACAGAACTCTCTGGTAGTACTGGTGGGAAACTAAACAGAGCTATCTGGTAGTACTGGTGGGGAACTAAACAGAACTCTCTGGTAGTACTGGTGGGAAACTAAACAGAGCTATCTGGTAGTACTGGTGGGGAACTAAACAGAACTCTCTGGTACTACTGGTGGGAAACTAAACAGAGCTATCTGGTAGTACTGGTGGGGAACTAAACAGAACTCTCTGGTAGTGCTGGTAGGGAACTAAACAGAACTCTCTGGTAGTACTGGTGGGTAACTAAACAGACTCTCTGGTAGTACTGGTGGGGAACTAAACAGACTCTCTGGTAGTACTGGTGGGGAACTAAACAGACTCTCTGGTAGTACTAGTGGGGAACTAAACAGTACTCTCTGGTAGTACTGGTGGGGAACTAAACAGTGCTCTCTGGTAGTACTGGTGCACTTAACAGTACTATCTAGTAGTACTCTTGGGGAACTAAACAGAACTCTCTGGTAGTACTGGTGGGGAACTAAACAGACTCTCTGGTAGTACTAGTGGGGAACTAAACAGAACTCTCTGGTAGTACTGGTGGGTAACTAAACAGAAATCTCTGGTAGTACTGGTGGGGAACTAAACAGAACTCTCTGGTAGTGCTGGTGAGGAACTAAACAGACTCTCTGGTAATAGTGGTTGGGGACATAAACATACTCTCTGGTAGTACTGGTGGGGAACTAAACAGACTCTCTGGTAGCACTGGTGGGGAACTAAATAGTGCTCACTTGTAGTACTAGTGGGGAAATAAACAGAACTCTCTGGTAGTACTAGTGGGGAACTAAACAGACCCTCTGGTAGTACTGGTGGGGAACTAAACAGAACTCTCTGGTAGTGCTGGTGAGGAACTAAACAGACTCTCTGGTAATAGTGGTTGGGGACATAAACAGACTCTCTGGTAGTACTGGTGGGGAACTAAATAGTGCTCACTGGTAGTACTGGTGGTGAACTAAACAGTGCTCTCTGGTAGTACTGGTGGAGAACTTAACAGTACTATCTTGTAGTACTGGTGGGTAACTAAACAGAACTCTCTATTAGTACTGGTGGGGAACTAAGTAGACTGGTCTGGTAGTACTGGTGGGGAACTAAGTAGACTGGTCTGGTAGTACTGGTGGGGAACTAAGTAGACTGGTCTGGTAGCACTGGTGGGTAACTAAGTAGACTGGTCTGGTATTACTGGTTGCTAACTAAGCAGACTACTCCGGTATTACTGGTGGGGAACTAAGAAGACTGCTCTTGTAGGTGGGTAACTAAGTAGACTGCTCTGGCTGAGCTGGTTGGGAACTAAATAATGTTGTCTGGTAGTGCTGGTTAATAAAAACAGAAACATCAGTCTTGATAAAATACAGAGCAAGTGAAATACAATTGAAAATGTTTATTCTAAATAAGAAGATTCACTGTACAACTGCTCTCATAATTATCAAGTTATCATATGACAGTTGCACAGAGTTCAGACATATAGCTCTCAGTCCAGACATATCTTCTACAACAATTGCTCTCAGCCAGGACATATTATCACACAACAACTGCTCTCAGTCCAGACATATTATCACATGACAATTACTCTCGAGTTCGAGTAATTTGAATATAATGAATGATATCATTCCTGACTGTTGTTATCACATAAACAATACTGCAATAAGTGAAGATGGATTCTCTTCGAAAATTTCCAAAACAAAAACAAATGTATCAATTTATCAGGTCAACCACTTCATTATGACTGTTAAGGTCCAGTAGAAAGCTGACAAGATCGCCACTGTTAAGGTCCAGTAGAAAGCTGACAAGATCGCCACTGTTAAGGTCCAGTTAAGGGCCAATATCCAGATTTACTGGATTTCACAATAAAAATCTTTCATACTTTATCAGTCCTTAATTTAATCACAACATTACACAGTAGCAGTAGGTCTCCGTGGATACAAATAATGTAATTATATTGTTATAATAAGTGGTTGTGGTTATTTAAATCAAATAATCAAATCAATGAGGATGTCTTAACTAACATATTATCTGAGATCACAACATAATGGGAAATATAATACTTCATTATAAATGATATGTAAACAAGAGGCCCAGAGGGCCTGTATCACTCACCTGAATATTTAAGTCAGTAATATAACACATTACATTTCTTTAGAAGGAAAATATTTCCACTGATGAGCCTCACCCTACAGATACAGCTTCAAATTCCTTAGGGGTTGGGACAGATATCAGATGTTAATCTCTTCATGTCCAGCAATGATATTAAGTTATGGGATGGTAATCTCAATGGCTTCAAAGATATAATCTGTCCTGCGGTGGGACCAGACCCCAGGACAAATTACCAGTTATGATGCTCAGCAATGCCAATAAACTGTTGAAGGTGCAAAGCAATTAACTAAATCTACTAATAGATTTTCTCTATTGGGCCCCACCCCTCTGGCCACAGGGAGACGAGACCATAGGTTTATACAAAACTGATTTCCCTTCAACCAAGTATGCTTCAGACCAAATAAGAACATGATAGAATTTAAAGAAACTGATAGATCTTCCCCATTGGACCCCATCTCTCTGGCCCCAAATTTGATTTCCTTTCCCCCCAGCTTGCTTCAGACCAATTACGGACAAAGTCCTGCAATTCCTGAAGAACAAGATAGATTTTACAAAAATTGATATATTTTTCCCTATTGGGCCCCGCCCCTTTGGCTCCAAGGGTCTAGACCAATCATTTGTACAAAACTGATTTCCTTTCATCCAACATGCTTCAGACCAAATTTGGGCAATATCCTGTAATTTCTGAAATACAAGATAAAGATCAATTTTTAAGTTAAAGAAATTGATTGATTTTTCCCTATTTCTCTATTTGACCCCATCCCTAAGGCTGCAGGGTGGGGGGCAAACCATTCAACCATTTCCATTTACACAAAATTTCACAAAAAAATCATCTTTCCCTAAAGATGCTTCAGACCAAATTTGATTAAAAGCTACTCAGTTCACAGACGACGGGTGACATACACCGTGATATCACTATCGATCACTTGGCTCAGTTAAAAAAAAAACATACATGTAAATAAAGCATTTTCTCTTTCCCATAAATTTGACATATAAAAAAAAGCATACAAAAGTATTAAGAAAGAAGACAGCTACTGGAATGGTACAATCATTAAATAAGAATGCCTAGATATGACACAAACGCATTCTTCTATAGTACATCTCCAGATATTACCGACAATTTTTGTTTACATACCCCACTGACTTAATGACTGATACATCATGGATATCTTCTACACAACTCAATGTCCCCAATCACTGAGTATATATCTGCAAATGTGTGATAAAGATCAGAGACAGAAATATCATCTTTGATAAATTTTTAAATCATCCATAATTTTTATCTTTTCTTTTGTAATTTAAAACACATTTTGTAAATCTCATCAAAAATAAACTATAATAATCACAGATAAAGCCAACATCAGTTATCATAAAAAACAAATCTTACAACACAGCACTGCTTCTTTACATCATCACTCAGCTCATAGTCCTGTGGACTCTATATCTGTATTTTAGTCACACTTGCTTACAAACAATAACACACATACTAGCTCTAAAATTACTTTTCATTCTTATTTTTGACATACTCTAATACACAAAAACAATGAAAATGACATATCTTTTAAAACGGAGACCTACAATATCGTTACAACAATAATTTTTACAACACAATGGCCAACAAACATTAATTAATATTAGTATCTAGGGTGGATATCACTGACATTATCTCATTGGTGGGTTCAACACAAGAGTTTAAAAACATTCATCAGAAATTCCTATCGCTCCAATTCCTTGACATCAAAATCGGAATCCAGATAAAAAAAAGAGGAGTAACTATCTTGAAGTCCAGAGAAATTGTACAAATGTTACTATTACAGATTTATGTGAGGATAAATGAGAAATTAAAGCTGTTTTGATAAAAATTTTATTAGTGATTTAATAAAATAAATGAAACTTCAATAACAACAAAGAAAGCTTTGCCCCTGAAAGGTGCATTGACCTCGAGTAGAAATAGTAATATTTCAGCATTCTCATCAGCACAACTACTCAGCACCATGGTTCTAAACAACAATGGGAACCTGTGTTGTTGGTCCCTGATGTAAACTAAAGACATGACATTGATGTATAAAATAGAGGTCAAGATTCCATTAATCAGCATATCAGTACAAAGGAATGGAATCTCTTTTGATCATCATTGAAATATGTTATTATGCATTAACAGTGAGGGGACTACTGTTATCATCTTGTTGGTTACTAGGTACATTATGAGACTGTTGTCTTGTCTGATCTGCTGATATGCTTGTGTGTGAAACGATATTTTCTGATTGGTTGCTTGACATGTCTGTCTGTAAGGTCTGTGATTGGCCTGTGGTTATGTCTATCTGTGTGTCCTGTGAGTGGTCTGTGCCTGTCTGTACATCCTGTGATTGGCCTGTGGTTATGTCTATCTGTGTGTCCTGTGAGTGGTCTGTGGACATGCCTGTCTGTACATCCTGTGACTGGTCAGTAGTAATGTCTGTCTGTGTGTCCTGTGAGTGGTCTGTGTACATGTCCGTCTGTGCATCCTGTGACTGGTCAGTAGTAATGTCTGTCTGTGTGTCCTGTGAGTGGTCTGTGTACATGTCCGTCTGTGCATCCTGTGGTTCCATTGCATTAGCGACTGTTTTCTGATTGTCTTCCACCAACATTAAATCAGTATTGTCTGTGTCTTCCTTCTCAGCAGCCTTATCACTTGTCTCAGCGGTATAATTAGATGACCTATGAACTTCAACATTACGACTTTTAATCACCTCTTGGCCATTCTGATCTCCAGGCTTTGGTGCTGCCTCCTGTTGGTCAGAACTCGAACCAAACACCACATAGTTGTTCATGCTGTCTGTTGGGTTAAAGGCAGGCCGTAGACTAGATGTTGTCTCTAGTGATGCTGTGTCCCAGTCAGAGGGATCATTGGTTAAAGAAGATGTACTGTCTTGTGTGTAGCTATTTTTAGATTCTGTAAGGAGTGGAGTTCGCTCACTTCTATCACGAAGTAAGGGTTTACTCACAGTCTTTTTCACTTTGTGACCTGTAACAAGATCAAAGATTAAATAATCAACATTGCCACCATTTACCAGTAAAAATGATACCTGGTTTTTAAAGTAACACATGTTTCTTACGATGTGGGCTGGTATCATTGTATCACCAGTGAATTTAACTAATAGGAACAGGAATTTCTTAGTAAACATTTTTTTTTATCTTTGTACATTGAACATTTTTTAGTTCAGGGGTGAGTGTAATCTACTAGCTGGTTCTATTAACAACTGGCCAATAATTCCAACGTATTTAATCCCATCAGCTGTAAAATGACCCCATCAACAACTCACCTATGACTCTGACATGCTCTACAACATCATCCCTCATGTCAGAGACATCCCACATAGACCTGAAGGACTGCCACCATCCCTGTCCCTCAAAGTTGGAATCCATGAATGGTTTATGTGAGAAGGAGTAGTAGTGGGCAATGGCAGCCAAAAACATCTCTACACAGATACAGAAATCCTACAACATATCACAAACAGAATATTATTACAGATACAGAATCATAAAACACATTAAAAACAGAATATCATTATATCTCTACACAGATACAGAAATCCTACAACACATTGCAAACAGAATATCATTATATCTCTACACAAATACAGAAATCCTACAACACATTGCAAACAGAATATCACTACATCTCTACACAGATACAGAAATCCTACAACACATTGCAAACAGAATATCATTACATCTCTACACAAATACAGAAATCCTACAACACATTACAAACAGAATATCATTATATCTCTACACAAATACAGAAATCCTACAACACATTGCAAACAGAATATCATTACATCTCTACACAAATACAGAAATCCTACAACACATTACAAACAGGATATCATTACATCTCTACACAAATACAGAAATCCTACAACACATTACAAACAGAATATCATTATATCTCTACACAGATACAGAAATCCTACAATACATTGCAAACAGAATATCATTACATCTCTACACAGATAGAGAAACCCTACAACACATTACAAACAGAATATCATTACATCTCTACACAAATACAGAAATCCTACAACACATTACAAACAGAATATCATTACATCTCTACACAGATACAGAAATCCTACAACACATTACAAACAGAATATCATTACATCTCTACACAGATACAGAAATCCTACAACATTACAAACAGAATATCATTACATCTCTACACAGATAGAGAAACCCTACAACACATTACAAACAGAATATCATTACATCTCTACACAGATACAGAAATCCTACAACACATTACAAACAGAATATCATTACATCTCTACACAGATACAGAATCATATATCACATACAAAACACTATAAGACCTACAAAATATAAATAATACAATTATTTTTAACAGCTTTTGCTGAATCTTAAAAAACTTAATACAAGAATTTGAATAAACTGCTTAAAAAAAGCAATTACAGCAAAATTGAACCTGCTGTGAACGAAGTCAGCAGCCTTTCATAGAGACAAGATCATCAGTATCAATGGATGCTCCCTGAATAAACACCAGTTCCAAAAGGACTAATGTTGACAAAATTTAAGTATGAAAAATAACAAAGACAATAATAACTCCTAAATTATGCAAAAGAGAGTTATGGTTCTTTTACACAGATCAAGACCTATCTACCTAGTTTATGTTGACACCTCTTAAATTTTTTATGATATGCTCCAGACAATAATATGATGGACGGACGTACAAACTAATTGACTGACGGTCAGCTGGACAAAGCCGTAGATATATGCTTTCAATTCAGGGAGCATAACAAGCATGTGTATCAGGACCCTTCTTTAAAAACAATTTCACAAAAACCAACTTGATGTACCTGCCAGAATCCATGTAGCTGTCTGACCTGGAACATATAACCCAAACAACTTATTGATTACCTGTAGTCCTGCAGCAACTTGATTGATATTATCATAGAATACCCAATCTCCACCAGACGGGATGGCATCCACTTCCACAAGAACAGCAATGATTACAGACTGCCTATAATACAAAAAAAATAGATCACAGGTAAAATGGCTCCCTATAACATACAAACACTAGATCACAGGTAAAATGTCTCTCTATAACATACAAACACTGGATCACAGGTAAAATGTTTCTCTATAACATACAAACACTAGATCACAGGTAAAATGTCTCTCTATAACATACAAACACTGGATCACAGGTAAAATGTTTCTCTATAACATACAAACACTGGATCACAGGTAAAATGTCTCCCTATAACATACAAACACTAGATCACAGGTAAAATGTCTCCCTATAACATACAAACACTAGATCACAGGTAAAATGTTTCTCTATAACATACTAACACTAGATCACAGGTAAAATGTTTCTCTATAACATACAAACACTAGATCACAGGTAAAATGTTTCTTTATAACATACAAACAGATCACAGGTAAAATGTCTCCCTATAACATACAAACACTGGATCACAGGTAAAATGTTTCTCTATAACATACAAACACTGGATCACAGGTAAAATGTTTCTCTATAACATACAAACACTGGATCACAGGTAAAATGTCTCTCTACAACATACAAACACTAGGTCACAGGTAAAATGTTTCTCTATAACATACAAACACTAGATCACAGGTAAAATGTCTCCCTATAACATACAAACACTAGATCACAGGTAAAATGTTTCTCTATAACATACAAACACTGGATCACAGGTAAAATGTCTCTCTATAACACACAAACACTGGATCACAGGTAAAATGTCTCTCTATAACATACAAACACTGGATCACAGGTAAAATGTCTCTCTACAACATACAAACACTAGGTCACAGGTAAAATGTTTCTCTATAACATACAAACACTAGATCACAGGTAAAATGTCTCCCTATAACATACAAACACTAGATCACAGGTAAAATGTTTCTCTATAACATACAAACACTGGATCACAGGTAAAATGTCTCTCTATAACACACAAACACTGGATCACAGGTAAAATGTCTCTCTATAACATACAAACACTGGATCACAGGTAAAATGTCTCTCTATAACATACAAACACTGGATCACAGGTAAAATGTCTCCCTATAACATACAAACACTGGATCACAGGTAAAATGTTTCTCTATAACATACAAACACTAGATCACAGGTAAAATGTTTCTCTATAACATACAAACACTAGATCACAGGTAAAATGTTTCTCTATAACATACAAACACTAGATCACAGGTAAAATGTCTCCCTATAACATACAAACACTGGATCACAGGTAAACTATTCTTATGTGATCCAATCTGTACAAGTCTGTTACTAATGTACTCCTTATTGAGTTCAATGTTCACAAGTAATTGAATAGATATAGCAAAAGAAACCTAAATTTGGTTAAATAAACGTATTTGTGTAATGAATTGATATATGCCATGATACTCACCAGAATGAAAAGAAGACCACAAATTTCACACAAAGGAACTTTGGGACTGGTTTAATTGGAGCCAATTCTTCCTTCATGGCTTTGTAGAACAAAACAAGACAGTACATTGCCCACTGTAAGAAAAAAAGAGACATGTCCCTGATGATCTACATAAAGAGACACATATAGAGCTTATAGTGCATTGTCTTATGGTGCATGATAACACATACATTACATAGCTTATGGTGTATGACCTCTACTGATAACACACACATACATTACATAGCTTATGATGTATGACCTCTACTGATAACACACACAGGCTGACAATACATGATATTTCTTATGGTGTATGACCTCTACTGATAACACACACAGGCTGACAATACATGACATAGATTATGGTGTATGACCTCTACTGATAACACACACAGGCTGACAATACATGATATTTCTTATGGTGTATGACCTCTACTGATAACACACACAGGCTGACAATACATGGCATAGACTATGGCGTATGACCTCTACTGATAACACACACAGGCAGACTATACATGACATAGCTTATGATGTATGACCTCTACTGATAACACACACAGGCTGACAATACATGACATAGACTATGGTGTACAACCTCTACTGATAACACACACAGGCTGACAATACATGACATAGCTTATGGTGTATGACCTCTACTGATAACACACACAGGCTGACAATACATGACATAGCTTATGATGTATGACCTCTACTGATAACAAACACAGGCTGACAATACATGACATAGCTTATGGTGTACAACCTCTACTGATAACACACACAGGCTGACAATACATGACATAGCTTATGATGTATGACCTCTACTGATAACAAACACAGGCTGACTATACATGACATAGCTTATGGTGTACAACCTCTACTGATAACACACACAGGCTGACAATACATGACATAGCTTATGGTGTATGAAAAAATATTCCAGTAAATATCTTCTTTGCTGAAATTTTATCACTTCTCTCAAAATTTTAGCTTTTTTAATGCGAAGCAGAAAGATACAAATTAGATCTGATTTTGTTGATTTACCCCAAAATTGAACATTTTTACAGACTAGCCATCACTACTCTGCAATTTAAATTATTGCTTTTAAAAGCCATTCTTTCCAACAATGTCAACACTAGTACTCACAGAATATATTTCAACCTTTTTTTTATTGTTATTACAACTCTGTTCTTAATACTTACAATTTGAGATATATTATTTACTATGACCAGATAGGACCACGCTGTTTTAAAGTTAAAATCTCCTTCATCATATTTACCAAAACTTTCACATATTCTGTAAATAAAAAAAATCTTTATTAGAAACGTGACACAGTTATATGCTGTTGTTTGCAATTTGTATATTGCGACACAGAAGCGATTAATTCAAACATAAAGAAGAAAACAAACAATTGTCATATTTGGTAACAAAATACACAGTATTAAATGGCAAGGTAAATTAATACCTAAGAGATGCACAAGTGATCACTGGAATTAAACTACTATATATACTTACAACACACTGGCAATGTGTCTCCTGTATATATACATATATGATACTGTATACACTATTATTTATGTAACCCTGGTAAAATACTAGCTGCAAATTCCACTCAGCTAGATAACCTAGAGAGAACTTCTGATTGGTTGAGCATCAGACTAGTAAGCCAGGGGTACCAGGTTCGATTCCTAGCGGAGGCATTGAAATAAATAATGACCTCTGTTACATTTACATGCAATATACTGTATACTTACAATGCTATTATTGTTGTGACAGGGCGGATAACAGTGTACTGCAAAGCTCCATGTTTACAACGATCTATAAATTTTCTGAAAAAAAACATCATCAAGCAATGCCAATATACACACCTGAGCATGACAAAGCAATATTGATATTCTTGAGGTTAGTGTTGTGGTAATTAACAAGCAGAGTTATGCCCTGGTTTGCTCTAGATAACATCTGCACAACTTTAATGACTCAAAATGGATCTTGTAGATTTTACAAGTATATATTGCTGGAAGAAGTAACACACTTTCGTACCTAAAAGCAAACAATGGTCCAGGCTTTTGTATTGATACTCTCACATCTTGAAAGACTATATGTCATTTGGTTACCCATACATTAAATTCAACTATAAAAGTACTACCGAAGTTGGACTTTTACCCACTTTTCACAAGCTATCCTTGTGAGAGTGCCTAAAACTGGTATAAGATACATGACAAAATCCATAAAAAAACAATCACAAGAAAGAAATTTCTTCAAATGAAATCCGCATGAAATCTGAGAGAATGAACTCAATGTGCAAACCAATTTTTGAATTTATATACATGTAACAGTAACCTTGACCTAACTCCTTTAACCATTTAATTTAACAGAAATATTTAAAATACATTTGTGAAATAAAACTTATTATACACAAAATTGATTAAGCATCATAATACCTCATGGAAGTTTATTCAGTTATACATATACATATGAGACCATATAAACAAACCACTTCCTATCACAAAATGATAACTTGTCTCATAAGGTAGTTTGTTTTTACGTGAAAGCAGGATGCGACAGACCTGAATAGAGGAAGAAAACTTTAAGAGGAGAATCCAGTCAATACCTACCCTGTCATGGGCCAAGGTGTGACCCAGCAGATAGGAAATAGGTGGCGCACTTGTTCCTTGTTCCTGAGGACAAGGTCAAGCTGGGGATGTTCCTCCCATAAGTAGTTCAGTAGGTAAGCCATGAAGTTGTAGATAACATAAGCTTCATAACACTCTCTCACAGTATCCAAGTAGATAGCTGCACTGGGAAAACGTAGTGCAAACCACTACAATTATAAAAGATATAAGATATAACGATCAAAAATGGTATGATAGCAGTGGTGGTGGGTACAATCATCAGAGGATTCCAGCAGCAATAAAAGTAACAAGAAGAGTATTAGTGAACCTGATAAATGCTTCCCAAAAATGATTTTATTGATCCTAGCTTTAATGCACGCAAAGCTATTCTCATGACACAAAATTATCAAAGGGCAAGAACTCTGTACTGAGTGGTCATGGGTCATGACTTTGCTATACAGCACTTTGCTGTGGTATGACTGATGTATACATTACATTTCAATATCCTTGTTCAAATGCAGGCAAAGTAATACCTTGGAAACCAAATTTTAACAAAGGGCAACAACTCTGAAATTAAGGGGTTATGAGCCTTAACATCGGTACACTGCACATTGTCTTCGCATGATCAATATATACACAGTTTCATTTTCAAGCAATATATGCTCTGGACAAGACATTTTTAACAAAGGGCAATAACTCTGTAATTGAGTGGTCAATGGTCCTGAATTTAGTACACTGCACATCGTCATAGTATGATCAATGTATCTACCAAATTTCAAAATCTTACTTTAAACACAAGCAATTTAAGATTGTGTTGACTCAAAATTTGAACAAAGGGCAATAACTCTCTAATCTAGTTGTTCCAGGCCCTAACATTGGTGCACTGCAAATTATATTAGTATCATCAAGTTTCCTTATCCTAGTTTAAATGCAAGCAAACAATGTTCCAAATACAAAATTTAAACTAAGGGCAGTAACTCTGTAATTGAGGAGTCAAGAGGCCTTAATTTTGTACACTACACATTCCCTTAGTATGACCATTGCATATACCAAGTTTCATGATCTTTGCTTAACTGTATGCAAAGTAATGCTGAATGGTGAATGGAAAATAGAGGGACTGACTGACAAGGCGGTGACTTTATCCTCCCCCAAACATTTTCAGGGAGCATAACATTTTCTTTATTTAAGTGTCTCAACACTCACACCTAATTTCAGCTCAATGACACCAGTGGACATGCAGAAGAAGTTTAACTTTTTTTTCAAGACAGTGCTCATGGTGGCCATATTGAATTTTAGACCAAAATGCAAAATACATGTGGTTCCATTTGGTCAAAACTACATCAGGATTAGTCAAGGTTAAGCTGAATCCCACAGGTCGGACTTGAAAAGAAATTTAAAATAGGTGATGTTCAGGAAAAGTATGATTGCATATTCAAATTATAAAATAGATCAGGACATCTCTAGATCATTCAAGGCAAGTTTTAACTGAATCCCAATGGTGGAGTTTGAAATGTGGAAAGTCTTATGGGCGGTGACAATTCATGGCAACGGACAAAACACAATCATAGCCAATGGCTAAAAGTCATCCTGACCTTTAAGATAAGCTTTTTTTTTTTATACTTACAGCATTCAAAGCATAAATTGGCACCATCCAAAGAATTCTAGAAACAGAAAAGAAATAATCATATGACTATATATGAAGTCTCAATGATATGTTGGAGATCAAAAACACCTACACATTACCAGAAATAAGTGTATATAGGTATCATTTTTATTGTTATTTTTTTCTTCAGTTACTGAATATATATTCTGTCATTAAACATTGTGAAATCCCCATTGTGATAAAGCACAAATACAACCTGAAATTGGTCATTCACTATCCTAACCTTCACATTCACCCTATGATCTCTCTAAATCCTGCAGATATTGGACCTTTACAGTGATCGAATTCTACGCTGGTGTGTAACCCTAGTAAAATACTAGCCATAAAATACTGCTTAACAAGAGAGATTTTCTCTTACGCTAGATTGGTTAAGCATAAGACTAGCAAACCTGCGAATCTGTGCTCAAATGTATCTAGTCTTTGTACTTATCAAGAGCTCATTTAGAATGGGAGAGTAAGCTATGGGCAGTTTATTTGTAAAGAGGAATATAATTGTCCTATAGCTTTTCTTTCCTCTTGAGGTCAGTTGGTACAAATGCAATGTCCAGTAAAAGACTGTACTAATTACTTCGAATTATATGAGCAAAGACACTTGTAAACTTCAATCTTAAGTATAAATTTGATCAGCAATACCTGTTTAATATCTGATTATGACATTAGTTACAAACATAAGATATCCACAAATGCGGCCTCAAATTCGCTCACCTGAAATGACACACATGTGCATCAGAAACTTGTCAATTCTTCCATTTCTAGTGACACCACTGAATCACAGGGACACCCGACTTAGTCTAACAGCGACCCAAAAAAGTGCACAAATTTTCCATTTCAAATGGAAATGATATTTTGATGAGGAAAAAATAAACATAAAATCACGTCAAGAAAATGGTGGATATCTGCATCTCTGTATGTGCATATTTTCTAAAAGTAAGATTGAAATTTTTAATGGCATAATTTTTTGCATTACTTACTCAACTTTTTTTTCGGGCATAACCTATTATTCATGGTTAGTTTTAATTCACATGGAAGTGACAACAAAATACTGGCATCTGTGGATGGACTGACAGGCTATTTAATATCTGGGAGGATGTTTGACATGTAAAAATAAGTATTTAGGAAAAGTATCCAAATTTGCTAATAAAACGAATATAATAACATTTTATATTGAATGGATTTTATCACATTTTTTTTTTATATTTCTTACAATTACAGAAACCAAAAAACATCCTGGTTCTAGGTGACGTAGGTCAATAGTATAGTTCACGCAATACAGTTCAACAAAATTGCCGCAACGAAATAGCGGACCGGAACCGATGTCTCGACGATATACAGCAGAGGTTTGGATGTGGGAAATTTCAGAATATAGAATAATTGCTGCGAGAATTTTAGGAAAGAGGTCGACATGTATGCATACCTTATTATGTGTCGTTGAAGATGTGGCTGTGTGTAGTTGACAAGATGTTGAAGAATACCCCATAGTGAGATGGGTACCGCGCACATCACGAATATTCCACCAGCAAACCATGCTTGAACGTGGGTTGGCTCGCCTTCGCTGTGCAATTCAATAATACACAATGGGAGAGCTATTATTGCTAAAATGAAATACAGAGCTATAAAACCAGGACGGATCCATCGTTTCCACTGTCCAATGCAATCCATGACGTTGGCATAATTCAATCAGCACTCCCTTCTACATTATATTTCCAAGTTACAAATGATCACCCAAAGAACAAACTTTGACGTCCACCATTTTTGATGTCATGTGATCATAATGATATGGTACGAGTAATGTCTGAATAATACGCAAGATTTACCAGATATAAATTCCGTGCACTATAATTTTTATTTATAATCATATTCTTCTGAATAGGTTATCAGAAAAGGTGTAGTAAAAGACTAGTATTCTCAATGATAATTATGTAACCTACTCTGAATAGAATATACGTATTTGTTCACAATGCGAATCTTTAATACCTCTATAATCAGGGCAGTTCTGGTGATTGTTGAAGTCTTTAGTAGTCTCTCAATGACAGGGCACGTGATCGGAATTTTTTGGAATTACGTAGGTGAAGAGGTATATTTCCGAGATATTCCGGGCGTGTGATCAACTTTCGGTGATTCATATTCACGTACTTCGGCATCATAAGGAAACATATATTTGTTTACTGCGTGGTGTGTTACTTCATAGATTATCTTCACGAAGTGTAAAGAAGGTAAGACCATATACTAACGATAATCTATCGTAACAGTACGTCATTTGATGATGACAACTTACATATGACAGTTCAATTAATTAAATGCAAACTGTCAGGTCATTTGAACATCATTTCAACATAATGTATGACTTTTAATTAATATATGTACGTTTTATCGGCCAACTCATTGATAATTTGTTGTATGTGAACATAAGATAAGTATATAGATGATTTTAGCCTAAGTACATCAAACTGCTATTTAATCGCTATTAGATAATTAAATTACTGCCACATTGAAAAGTATGGCTAGAACATGACACAATCTCTGCATGCATACACTGAACTTTATTCTTGTTTTAAATGTGTTTAGGAAAAAAACCTATGGAAAAGTGAAATCCATTGTAGGCTTCCTCAAAAGAAATTTTAAGGTAAATTTAATTTCTGTCAGGGAGTAAGTATATAAAACCCAATGAGGCCAGAACTAGAATATACTTGCTCATTTTGGAATTCCAATATTGAGAGAGATATTGACAAGATAAAAACGATACAGAGAAAAGCAGCCAGATTTGTCACTTGACAAACTCAGGGACACATATAGCCTTGGTGGTATGCAGCTTACTATAATTCTAGAATATTTCAATTGGCACTCCCTAGAAAACAAACAGAAAAGAAGGGTCTAACCACACTACAGAAAGTTACATCAAAACAAACATCAGAAAAAAACATTCTATATATATAATTGTAGATGGATGTAGATATAGAGGAAGCATTAGCACTGCACTGCACTGAAGGTCTGAAAATATCATGTAATACTCAAAGACTGCAATGACATCTACTAATACCGCCATTTGGAAAACTGCCTGTAATCATAGTTCCTGATTGAGAAAAAACCTATAAAGAGGGGTTGGCAGATGGATATAATGATCATTTCAATTTTGGAGTTTCCTCCCTTTAATAATAATTATGGAATCACTTGTGACATTGAAACTTAACTTATAATTTTCATTTTTATTTGTGTTTTATGGCAGAGTGTGAAATTAAAACACAAAATGTAAGCTGAAAGTGACCTTCTTTGCCATCTTAGAACTAGATTTTGAAATTTTTCATTGTAGAAAATTATGGCTGAATGCCAGTTGCCAGCCCGACCCCAGAACAGAGAACGACCTACCCGTCCACCTCCACCTAGTTGCATGCTTAATCAAGCAAATTTCAAAACCTTGCAGAAATGTCATGACAAAGCATATCAGGAGATAGAGAAGGGTTTGTCTTTAGATGAACAAGGGCATATTGATGCTGCTATCAAGTCATATGAGAATGGATTGAAAAACCTGTCACAAGCTCTGGAAATGGATGCTGAGAAAATTTGTGAAAAGGATGAGGATAAAGACACAGCAAAACAACTGCAACAGAAAATGACAAAGACAAGGTTACAAATTACATACAGGTTACAAACACTTCAGACTCAAATCATTTCAGATGTAAACAACCACACAAATGGTCATACATCAATGGAGACTGAATGCCCACCTTCATATGACCAAGCCATGTCTATGCCTGGATCCCACATCAGTGATGAGACTTTCATGTCTATAGGCGACAGTATAATGAGTGACACACAAAGTGGATTGGACCCTTTGGAATCAAATGCAACTGAAATACTGTCTATTTCTGATGATGTCCAGATATACTATATTTCTGCAGAAGGATTTGTAAGTGCTCCTTCTTATCCCTCTGCACTAAGAATTGCTAAATTTAATGAGAACTCTTCAAATGAGGCAAGTAACTTACAGCAACCACCGGCCTTCCTCCAGGTCCACGACTGGTTCTATCCCTTGGTGCCTGGGACATCGCCTGCTCTTCGGGCAACAAATGGGGCATATATCTTTCCTGATCTCAACTCAGAGCAACAAGGTATCATTATACATTTTTTCAGTTAAATATATTCAGAAAAATACTGGTAATCAACCATGATGGCTAGAAATCATTGCTAAATTAGGGAAAATAAATGTGAAGTAATTACAAAAACTTGTGATTGTAGATCTCTTGTTCATATTGTTTGATATCTGATATGATATTTATAAGTATTTACAAAGTTGACATAATGTATCAAATATATCAAGTGTGATTTTACATAGGTGGAGCTGTGGGACTTATGTTGCCTGAGAATATTTCTTTTGAGGAAAGACAAAACTTTGAAAGAACACTTGGGGCATTTACCTTACTGCAGGAACAACAGCCCTCACCCGCTACTCCATCAGCCCCGCCCCTCACTGCAGCAGGGGACAGTCAAACAGGATGGTCACCAGAGACCACTGCAAGAGAGAAAGAACAAACCAAGAGACCACAGGACAAGGTGGTAGGGACCCTCACTGACCAGGAGGAGACCAATGAAAAAGAGACTTCTGGACCAGAAGGGGAAAGAACTACAACTGAGAAAATTTCCAAAGGAATTAGTGTTGGTATGCAAAGTTAAAAAGTATTTATATAAAATGTTTAATTTTCTGAAGTTAAGTTGAGGATTGCTGTACAATACTAGTAGTGTGCTGGATTAATTATCATATGATTTATTTGACAGCTGCTGACTGGATTTCTTGGGGAGTAGGAAAAGGTGCTGAAAAGACTAGTAATTTGATCAGATATGGATCTGAAAAAGTGAGGGAAAGGCTGAAGCCAGAGGAAAAAGAAAAGGAGATAGATCCTCGTATACAGAAAGGAGCACGCTACGCCAGGTCAGGGGCCAATGTTGCGATCAAAGTTAGCTCATTTATAGGTAAATATTTTGTTATAACCTGGTAGTAGTTGTACCAGAGTTTTTTTGCTAGTTACTATGAGCTGCAGGAGAATATGGTAGCATATCTTTTTTCCTTTGTCTGTTACTGGTACAGGTTTCAACATTTTAGGCTTGATTACTTGTTTTCTTTTTCAAATTTTCTTATGTTAGGTTTCGACTTTTTGAGATAAACTTGCCTTTTGTTGTAAATTTATATTGATGAAGTAATAAGTGAAAAATCTATGATTCATTTCTTTGTGTCCATAGTAACCAAGTTAGGGGAAGCCACTGTTGCTGTTGCTAAAGAAGTCGCACCACACATCAGGAAACAGGGTCAGAAAGTCTTACCTAAATCTGTCACAGAAAAGTCTCCAGACGGAAAGTCAAAGGTTGATGATGTCATAGAAGTTGCCGCCACAGGATTCAAAGGTTTGTATGATTGTGAGAAGCTGATTTAATCATTGTTATTGTTAGTGTCTACTGTCATAATGAATGTTACTTGTACTGATACAGAATTTATAATGTTTATTTGTTGTTTAAGGTTTTGGAACTGTGTATGTATCCCTAGAATCAGCTGCAAAGGTCTTAGCGAAAAATATAGCTCAGGAAACTGTCCGTACTGTTGACCACAAGTAAGTAATGCTGAAACAACAATGGCTAAAGGTCTTTGAAAGGGCTCATAAGACATTTTCCAGTTGGAAATTTATTAACAAATTCTTGGTGAAAAATGAACAAGGATGTGTAATTGTTTATTAGAATTAAAATTGGTGGATCTTTTTTACAAATAAAACTCAAATTTAAACACCTTCAATTTAAAAGCTGCCTTTTTGCTCAGGCCCTGTTACACCTGAGAATGGACCTTATATGATTGCTAAACCATTAACACAGTAGCAATTTCATGTGTTTGTATCTACTCTATATGCGATGTATGGCTGTATGATATATCTACTCTATATGTAATGTATGGCTGTGTGATATATCTACTCTATATGTTATGTATGGCTGTGTGGTATATCTACTCTATATGTAATGTATGGCTGTATGATATATCTACTCTATATGTAATGTATGGCTGTATGATATATCTACTCTATATGTAATGTATGGCTGTATGATATATCTACTCTATATGTAATGTATGGCTGTGTGGTATATCTACTCTATATGTAATGTATGGCTGTGTGATATATCTACTCTATATGTAATGTATGGCTGTGTGATATATCTACTCTATATGTATTGTTTGGCTGTGTGATATATCTATTCTATATCTTATGTCTGACTGTGTGAAAAAGAGCTGAAATCTTTTGCAATATTTAAGAAGAGAAAGCATCAATAATGTTAGCCAACATAGTAGAGATAAAACATTTGATAATTTATCTGTTGTCCAGATATGGCCCAAATGCTGGCGAGCTGACAGAGAACACACTGTACACGGTGGGAAATGTTGCCATGACAGCATACAATGTAGACCAGCTTGGTATTAAGGCCTTGGCAAAGCGTGCTGCCAAAGCCACAGGGAAAGAGGTAGTGAAGGACTTCTGTGCTACGCGTTCTAACAAAAGCCAGCCCCAGTGAAATACCATCCATCATATATCTGATCTTTGATGGAGTCCATAATTTTATACTGATACTCTGGCTCATCAGGAATTCTGACTGAAGAATTCAGATGTTTGATAGATCAATGTCCATTCGTTTTTTGAAACAACAAAAAGGTCATGTAGGAATCATAAGCCACCCTATGTTAAAATATATCAGAAGTATAGTAAATGAGATTTTCCCCACAGCGTCCTGTCAACCATGTGTCTGAACATTGTATTTCACATATCCTAATATCTATGACTTGTACAAAACTGAATGTTAGTGTTAAGTTTACCAAGTTGATAATTTCATAACATTCTTTTTCAAGTGAGTAGCCCCGGTACATGTATTTATAAAAACACAAATACAGTGTATCAGTATCGTACGTGTATTGTAAGCCATAATTTAAAAGATACATGTAGTTCAAATTACCCTTGTAAAAACAGGTATAACTAGGTATAGGTTACATAAAATAGGGTATCCTTAATAACAGTACTCCGAGGTACATCAAATCCTTAATACAGAGATGTCACTTCCTAGTAGATCACATTTAACTAGATATTTATATGTTGAAATACTGCATCACTGGCTTTAAATGCTTTAGACATTAGGCATTATCAGATGAAAATATCACAAAATAGCTTCTATCTGTTATTACTGAATAAAGATGCTATATGTAATTATTAGTGCTGGGTTTTACCAGAGTTAAATACTCTACCATGATTAGATATATTCAAATGATTGATAAATCAAACATATTACTGCAGAGAAGATTGATGTCTGGTATTATTAATTATAAATACCCTAAACATGATACAAGAGTTATTTAGAGATTTTTTTCTACTGGTCAGGGTTTGATAAAATGACAATTAGATAAATGATTTTTATATTATGTTGTGGATCTGTTGTCATGACGAAGGGTGATGCTGTTCATGGATCAAAGTTGTGTAATTAAACGTGTTAAGTTGCTATTACTGAGTATATCATTAATATATTATTTAAATCCAGACCTGTTGGAAAACATTGATGTTATAAATATTGTTTCTTTAAGTATGTTCAATCAAACTATTTCCATTCTTTTGAATGCTTTTTAATTCAAAATTAAAACTTTCCAGTGCCGTGTCTTTTTATTTATAATTCTGATTGAGGTATTACATTTAATGATGTTCTATAACTTTTTAACACTGTATATAATGCACAGTATGTATAAATTTATTTAAAAAAGATGTATTATATTGTAAAGCTGCTATATGAAAGCAGGGCCAGCCAGCCAGCCCATTGGTTCTGTATAGTCTATTAAAACATACATTTTCTCAACATTTCACTTCCAAGCTAAAGATACTGATGTCCATGTATGTAAGGAAACAATTGTGTTGATCAACCGTATGAGCAGTGCTGTTTAGAACAAGTTACTTTGATAAATATAATCAGAATCACCAAGTCTTGCATTTCTACATAGAACCATTACACATATAGAGTGTATGTTGTCTGTTTCTCATATATAATCCAACATGATGGTGATGAAAAAAAATCAAAATTGAGCTTCAAAGACAGTTTTGTCTTATTAAATGATATTTCTTGAGGATGTTCATGCATCCTTGTTAAACAGAATAACCACTTCATAATATCTTTCTCCCGTCGATGTCATTGTATATAGTATCATGTTATAATAATTTGACCAGGAACCATATATATGTGACAGTGACAGTTACAGATGTGGTTACCTCCCCTTACGTATATATATTATATAAAGGGGCAGACTGCCTCAAAAATTTGACAGTTTGCTTGTGTGTACTGTTGTTATTACTTCATTGATCATATATATATATATAAATGATCAATGCATATATATATGTGTGTATTTTTTTTTAATAGTATTTGTAGTGAAAAATCATTTTAATACCTGTGAATATCATTAGTAAACAACAATGCACATTTGAATGAAATGGTCAGTGACACAATATGTGGGTATCAAATTTATTTGAATTGTTGAATCTGGCTGTACATGTATATAACACCTGTAGTAGTTCTAGTCATGTGACCTCTTTTCGCTACAGTAATATGTGAATAGAATTTTCTTGTAAGCACAAAATGTGATTGATTGAAGTACAGTATAACCTGCCTTAGTGACTACAGCATCTGTTTATGAAACCACCTGCTTATAAAGACCACTTTCTTGATGTCCAAGAAAGGCCATATCAATACAGTGGAACCTCAGTGGTCTTTAAAGACAGGTGTGACTATTTTGATGGAAACATTGATAAGTTAATAAGAGATATATGGATGCTTATATTTTTGTGGGGATGGACATTGATATCTCACCAACTTCAGATACGCTGTACACTGTTTATAGAACAGCTTGTAATTGTCAATTCCACTTGTTCACTTCATACTTATACTTTCAGTTGGTCTCGAGTTGGAGACATGCAAAGTTGGTTTACTGGTGAGGCCCAGTATGTTTTCCTCCATCCTTTTAAGCGCTTTGTTACTTGTGAGAGATAACCGTTGTACTGTTGTTTAGATAAAAGCATGTGCTACTGTGATAAATAAAATGATTGTTTTCTTTAATGTCTTATCATTTATTACTTTCTCTATAAGACAAGAGGAGCTGCTATTATTATAGAAAAAGTGAAAGGACATTTATTTCTTATGAAGGTTTTTTGAGCAGAAGTTTACCAATATATCAAGATAGATTTTCACAATTTAACAAATTTAAAAACATTTTATGTCAGAGCTTGTGAGGAAAAACTAGCGTTGATATCTACACATAGATGTTTCAAATTCCATCACATTATGAGGACAAGTCTTTGTAAGTAAATATGATGGGCATGCTTGATTCTGTTAGGCCATTGATGACATATTCCAATCAAGGTTTTGATGTTGGTATATGTCCAGCAGATTGTCTTTCCCAACAAGTACAACCTGTGTAGGCCCAGTTTGGTTCTTCATACTGAAGAGCAACCTGAACAGGCCTGGTGTGGTTCTTCATGCTCCTTAGTAAAACCTGTGTAGGCATGGTGCAGTTCTGATTGCTATAGTCATTTTCTCAGCTATTTACATGCTGAGAAAGGTTCAATTGCTGCAATTTTTTTCAGGATTTTGATCACCAAACCACATCATGCATTTTTCCCTGAAATTTTACATGATCTCTCTGTTAAGATTACAAACCAGTTGTTATAAAATTTTACATGATCTCCCTGTTTAGATTACAAACCAGTTGTTATAAAATTTTACATGATCTCTCTGTTAAGATTACAAACCAGTTGTTATAAAATTTTACATGATTTCTCTGTTTAGATTACAAACCAGTTGTTATAAAATTTTACATGATCTCCCTGTTTAGATTACAAACCAGTTGTTATAAAATTTTACATGATCTCCCTGTTTAGATTACAAACCAGTTGTTATAAAATTTTACATGATCTCCCTGTTTAGATTACAAACCAGTTGTTATAAAATTTTACATGATCTCTCTGTTTAGATTACAAACCAGTTGTTATAAAATTTTACATGATCTCCCTGTTTAGATTACAAACCAGTTGTTATAAAATTTTACATGATCTCCCTGTTTAGATTACAAACCAGTTGTTATAAAATTTTACATGATCTCCCTGTTTAGATTACAAACCAGTTGTTATAAAATTTTACATGATTTCTCTGTTTAGATTACAAACCAGTTGTTATAAAATTTTACATGATCTCTCTGTTTAGATTACAAACCAGTTGTTATATGGACATGATGTTGCTTGTAGACTTCATTCAATATTTGCCTTGATGAGTGACAGTTTTCATGAAATGCCACCATTTGTATCTTGTTTACATTTTCAGGAAATATGAGTTATCATACTCAATAAATTAATCATATTCTAGGTAAGTATTTTCTTTAAAGAGTAGAAAAGGAAAAAATAAAGAAAACATTTATGCTTGATTTGAATGCAGTACTGTATGAATAAAAGTTAAAGTTGCAATTACGAGACCGACATCAAGGGAGATAAATCTTCCATCCTTCTTATACAGGTTGGACTAATTCATCAAAAGTCATTCTCAGTTGCCTTCACAAGAAGAGACATAAAATGACAAATTTTGTAATCTTTATTCTAATATAAGCCTCTCATATATATATAAAGTTGGAATATACATACTGGTTTTGTAATATTTTTATAATTCTTTTTAGAGATAAAAGTGTGACATCCCTGTATATATAAGGAATGCCCTCAGATTCTGAATGTTGTACTAAACTGGTGTCTGAAGGCAACACAAAGTCCTTTATTCAATGGAACCTAATTGATAGGAAAAAATCACTTAACATTTTTTGCATTTGAATTAATCTGAAGTAATATTTTGATTCTAATTATGTTGAAAATCTCAGAGAGGTTTCAATTAAGTAAAGCATACAGGAAGTTATTTCAAATGTCTTCTTGCAGTACAGAGTCATAATTATCTTTTTATCTGCAGTATTTTTTTTATAAACAAGTCATGTGTGATATTATTACAACAAAACAAAGCTTTGTATATTTTTAGTTTTTATTTCTTCATATAAAATGTTGAAATGTGGATGAGTCTGATATGTGACATGATTAATATTGCTAGAGTGACAGTACATGTATTGTATACATTAGTTTTGGTAAACATTAGGAAAACTTCAACATAGACAACATTACACAGACATTAAAAACCCATGTGCCTCCATCTTTGTAACACGGAACTCCAACTATCATAAGTGATATACACAAAAACTCAAGTAAATAATATTGTAATTTAACATATTCTCTATTCCTTTCAATACTAAAAGGAATAAAACAGAAAAGAATACCAAAATTTTAACAGAATAGAATATTACAAAATTGATTTTAGTAAACATAAAATGTACCTGATGACTATATTTTCCAATTTATAAAAAAAATTTTGGATGAATAATCGCTAATAAAAACTTTGGACAGAGAAGGAAATCTTTGGAAACAGGATAAAAAAGACAAATTTTAATGAAGTGTAATGCTGTATAAATACAGATATATAAACTTATATATGGGTGGTAGCATTGTAAACAAATTCTAAGGAAGGAGAAAACGTCGTGGATATTTTATCCTTTTGATTTGTGTGAGCATTATTGTAATGGGAGGTTCTGAGTAGCTACCCAGGTACTCCTCAGCAGTGAGTATGACATCCTACGACAATCAGCAGATATTTTTGATTTTATGTGTCAACATGTCATATTTCAATCTATATCAGCACTCATTTTTGTAGAAAATTCAGAAGTAAATTCCAGGAAATGGAAATGTCAGATAAAGATGATATAATGAGCTATCATGTTAATTAATCTTTGCTAGTCAAAACACGCTATTTTTAGAAAGTACAGGTACACTCTGAAATCAGGATTCAACAATGGGATATCAGATATATTGGGGACCAAAAATGGGATAGCATGAGTTGATCCCTAGATTTGGATCCCAGTTGAGAAGACAAATAAAAGGGACCTAGCTGACCACAGTGACGTTATACATTTGTATGAGATAAGTCCAGCTAAGCACACTGGATGAATGTCAGGATGGAATGTTAACTTTATGGTTTTGCTCCTTGGCTATATAAGAAAGACTTGGACCTGGTATAGTAGAGATTTCCAATTATAACTGCTGAAAATCTCCATCAGAAAACACAATATAGATGGCAACAATATCAGAATCACAGCTCAAACACTCAACTGACACAGAATCACAGCTCAAACATACAACTGACACAGCACTTCCACTCTAATCTAAGTCACACAAACACTTGTATCAGTCATCTTATGACTATGTTTTTTTCATTTTTACACACACCACACTCAAGTACGCAAGTAAAGGAATGGAATTCTTTACAACTGGTATAAAATCTGTACCTAATGGCAAAAGATTTTACAATAGAGATACTCAATATCTGCACCTTTATGGAAATGTTTTATAAATGATATAATTCTAAATTGCACTTCAGATATTTTGCTATCAACTTGGTTCTTTTCTTTGATCTTTCCTGATTCAATCTGATTCAAATCTAAAATGCATGTAGTATGGAGACAAAAAAAAGGAGCATGAAACAGATGAGCCTTTTAGTGAGATACAGAGAAAGAGTTTGGTAAACACACCTAGAAAAATATCGCAGCACACCAAAATCAATTAACTTAGGATTATTTTCCATACAATGTAAAAATATTATAAATTCTATCCACTCAATCATTTTCACTAAGCCTTATTCCATTGACTCGCTCAAAATTCTCAGGCAAATAAAAACCTTTTGTTGAATAACATATCTTACAATCATCTATGTACAAATTTCCTTCCTTTTTATATCATAAAAATGACTTAGGAACGAATTTACAAATTTATAAAATAGTTTATGCAAATGTTATTTAGTTTTGCATGATCAATTTGAAAAAATATGATAATAATAACTGAATGCTTCACAGGAGATAATCCATATGTCACAATAATACAGATATAAATAAGACAAACATATAGGGACCTGAGATGTTATACATATTCTTCCTCCTCCTGGGCAACTTCCACCTCGGTCGACCCATCAAGATTGTCACCATCTGGGAGGGATGCTATATCACGAAATACCCCTACTAATTTCTCAAAACTTGGGCCCCAGTTTAAAAATTCATCCCAGTTAAATGAACCGTTAATTGGCTTAGCACCATTTGTATGACCATCCTCTGATGAACCAAAGGAATCGCCATTAGAAGTCCGTCCATCAGACATAAACTTTCTATGATTATTGTTGTTGTGTATATTATAATCTTGATTCTCATTATCAACCTCTTGCAGTTTTGATAAGATGATGTTTGAGGAATCAAAGTCATTTCGAGGCCTTTCACTCTCGTACTCAAACTCGGAACAAGTGAAGGAGTCATTTGCACTTTCTTCAGAACTGGAATCCGGAGGTTCCAACACAGAACTGTTGTGAATGTATGGTGCACGATGTCCATGACTGGCACTCGATGATGACACCATCTCCACCATGCTTTCAGGACTAGGTGGCTGGGGGCGTGTATTAAGTTTTTGAATTTCCCCAATAGTAAGGCCCTTTACCTGGCGTGGCTGTGGTGGCTGAACCTTTAAAGGCTGCCCACGGAGCTGGGAGGGGTGGCCCTTAGGAAGGGAAGGTGGACGGGCCACTGATGAACTGGAGCTATGACTGTGATGGCTGGCAAGACTGTGGTCAGAGTCAGTCCGACTGTGATGTATGTGATCTGACTGCGGTGTCCCACGCACATTAGGGTTGGTCATTGGACTGTACCGCATATGTGGTGACATCCTAGAAAGGTGGTTCATGGGGCTGTTCCGAGCCCCAAGTACTGCGGGACTATTGCGTGATGAGTTGTGTAGTTGAGAGGGGTCAAGAACAGCAGGACTATGAGTCATTGCCTGACGACCGTAGGGAGAAGGACTCTCCCTGATTGGCACAGAGTTACGGCCATGCCCAGATATGGTCTGCGGACTCTGACCATGCCTAGAGGAATGTTTATGAGGTTTATGGTGCATGTTGTTTAGGTGGGTGTGATGGTGATAGGGATGTTTGTTCACCCCACGGAAATCTCGATAGTGTGCCACCACATCAATATCTGAGGGAGCAATACTACTGGCATTGTCTATATCATAATGCTCTGGAATGTCATCATTTGTCATATGCATGTTAATAGCATCTCCATTGTCTATGATGACTGTTCCATCGTCAATCTCCAGTGGTAATTGTTTGCGATGCTGTCTGTCTGAGCTTATGATATCAGGCCTGCTGAAGTGGTTATTGCTTTGATTGCGTCGTCCAGAAAGTCCCTGATCGATGTGGGAGCTGATGAAATCTTCTTCTGTTGGGTGGTCACCGTATCCGGAGCCCTGATGACCGTGGGCACTGTTATTGGTGAAATTCTTATTCACATGAGCATTGCCATTTAGTTTGGCTTCTGACTTGGATTTACTCATCTGCCTGCGTTTGAATCGACAGAAGATAAACACAGCAATGATTACAATGATAAGCACTCCAAAGAAAGCGATCACCACAATAACACCGATCCCGATACCCGAATCTGAAACATGGACAGCACCACATTTCACTGTCTCTCCCACTGGAGTACACACGCCATTCCCACACGGGGAGTTAGAGCAGAGAGCAGAACAACCATTCTCCACACCTTCTGATGGCTCCACTATGAATCGGTCAGTTGTACCATTGAGTGTGATTGGCTGATTGTCCAGACGGAACACAGAGATACACCCGCCAAAACCTGGGAAATGGATCGAAAGGTTTGATTAAATATGAACTGGTCACATCTGCTTACAAATATAAAACATGTGCCAACTTTTCACGATGATAATTAATTTTACAAATATGAGAATATTATAAAGCTGTTCAATGTTGAAACTACACTAAGAAAGAAATAGATCATTAGTTTCAGGTCATGATATATGTTACCTTATTTAGCATGTCATTGAATTAGTAGGATCTTTTTAGTTACATCTCATACAAAAGTAATTTTACATAAATCATCATGATTCAGAGTCACTTTCATCAAAGCATATATATGTCTAAAGTAAACAGTATATTACCAGCAACTCTTGTATTGTTAACAAATCAATCACAAATTGGAAACTCAACGGAAAGAAGTAGTCTTTAACAGCAAGATAACATAACTCCTTAAGGTTTTATGTCACTGTGGTACATACCTTGTCGACTAACATCACCAGCGGAGGAGGATGAGGGATCACCTCCCAAGACAAGGGTAGTCACTTGAGGGTCGGAGAATAGGAAGGCAGAGCTGAGATCCTTGGTAGTCCCTGGGGAGCCCTCTACTGCCAATCTCACCTGTGTACCTATGTAACAAAGCAAAAAATTATTCGACAAGATATTTAAGATATTCAATTCATTCATTCATGCTAGAATTTTTCAGATCTTTAGTGATTTATTCACAGGATTTCAGAAAGGAAACAATCAGCCAGTTATGTGTGTGAAAACATAAACTTTAGTAACCTTCCCTCCTTACATATCAGTATAAACGGAGTCTGATTATAACAGGTTTTATGTTCACTATTACAACGTTTCGGTCGTTCAGCAGACGAAAATGGAATCTTACATTTGTTTCCATTTGTTATGTTATCTATGTATCACATTTAAGAATTTTTTATTTCAAAAGTGAGCAAAAAGAGAAAAATTTGTGATGAGTTTCAAATGGAAATGATTTTTCATCATGTGATTGATTATTCAGGCAAATATTGTAGAAAATTTCCTTATCGATTAAACTTAAAGTAGTTTCTGCTCTACATCAATAGTTACATCTCAATGGAATCTGTGAGTGGGTGGTTTCATTTCACTATCTAAACCTGACATCACAATAAGGGATGTTACACATTTGTAATACACAAATATATTGAGTCTATTCACTAAATAACAAGACAATCATGTGATAAGTGATTTGCCATGATTTTTACCTGTTGACATACTAGACTTAAGTACTTACCTGTAACAGTGATAGTGACGTTGTACCAGTTTCCGTTGGACACTTGGACAGATGAAAGTTGAATGGTCTGTATTCCCTGCCTTAGTATGCTGTACTGCAGTTTACCTTCAATGACCTGTAGGACAGATACAATTTACACATATGAATTACAACTATGCCAGTATATCCTTAATACATGATGATAATTTAGTTTTTGTGATAGTCTCATCTCGTCATCTGTACTTTACATGTTTATAGTATTTCTGATTTGACAAGACACTTACAGAGAGAAGGGCACTGTAGTCTGAGCTCTGAGAGGCGTAAAACAGGAGACCATTTTGTGTTGTAGTACGGAATCTGATGAACATGCTGGAAGTGTCCGTAGCTCTCCTCTTCCTATTGGATGCAGTATCAACAACACTATCCCTATAGTAACTATCCCTCTGAGTAAATTGTACAAATGTGTTTGCACCAAATCCGAAAGGTTTCACCTCTGCAAAAAACAAAACAGACATCAGTTCACCATCCATAACAACAAAAATCAAAGTATCATGGCAACTAAATCCACCGAAAAACCATGGATACATTGTAAAAGATGGAAACAATTCTTTTAAAGACTCACCAATCTGGCATAAGGCACCGCTGTATTTTTCTGGGCATCGACAATGTGCCTTGCTCCACTCATCCACACACACACCACCATTGCGACAGATGAGACCAGTACATACACTCTGCCCTTCTGACCTTGGGCAAGTGTCTGTAACCTTGACTTTGTCACGGAAATCTGATCGTGTTAACAAGTCACTTTCATTGCAGTAGAAGTTCCTCATACAGCCAATGAAATCATGTGTAACAATTTGGCTTCGGCTTGTGATTTCTGTGATGTCTCGAATTCCACCTATACTCAGCTTGTCTCCTAGGGACAGGCTCCTGTTTACAGAAGACAACATACATCATTACTGTTGTTAAACAAAACATACAAAGACTTCAAGTCAAAAAAAATATAGTCAGTTATTTTTATTTTTTTATTATATTTTTTTCTAGTATCGATAGGGCTCACCTGATTTACCATAAAACCTTAGTTTGCTACTTTAAAGAATGAACAAATTGTTCCGACCTCATGCAATTATCAACTTAACAACTTCAAATGAGGCCAGTGACACCATTCGGATACTGCTGATAGTAAGCACTTTATACATAACACACACAAGACATGGAGAGTGTAGAACTTGAGCATACACAAAACATACAGATTTAAGAAGTAACTTGTGTATAAGTTAACAGTGATGAAATTCATGATTAATTAAGAAGTTTATGGAAACTATATTCATTATCCTTGTTACTCTTATACAGATACTGCAATACAATGAGTTTCTCCTAAGAAGATTTCATACCATACTTAATCTTTCTAACATATTCAGAAAAGGAAAAAAAATGTCTTCAATATTTTAACGAAAACTGAAAGAATTCAACTTGTCACATCAAAATTACATCAGGATTATATACAACACACAGAGGTCAAACTAATTCTTTAATTCTTTAACAATCCCCAGGCTACATAATGGAATACATTACCCTGTTGTAAATAACACCATTGACTCAACCCAACATTCTTCTATTACATCTACACCAGTAACTTTACACCTTAATCCATCCAGGTTGACATCAAATTTCATGCCAACTGATGAAACATCCACCCGAACAAGTGATTCACGTCCCAAACTAGAGGTAGTCTTTCAACTGAACCCAGACGCACATAACTATGGGTATGATACCTCATACCGAGGAAATGCTGTTTTATGACAAATCGTGTGGAGCTAGTAACTAGATAGCCTAAATATGGTACAAGACAATACTTCATGGCCTTATAAGTGCTACAATTGCCACAACTGTGCGTGTATTCCACCATTAAGGTGGTGACCGTCTTACAAAACCGCCCAGGCATGTCTACAGTTTCCATTCACAGACAGATACAATGTAACAGTTATCAAACTGTACAACTGCTGTAGGAAGTTTTCAAATTACATGGTGAGATTAATGAACAATCAAATGGCCTGATATTTGGGTATAAAATATCCTCTTCTACTTCTGTATAATACAGTCTCCATTCTATTACTTCAAATATCCATACAATTTTAATGGAAACAAGTTATTTTTGTTATAACAATGCTAGGATGTATCAATTATGTGTTTATCTGTATGGCCACTTTTTGTTGTGGTTGTGAGTGTAATTGACGCTACTGTAGTGTGATTGTTGTGAGTATAATTGACACCACTGTAGTATGTTTGTTGTGAGTATAATTGACACGACTGTAGTGTGATTGTTGCGAGTATAATTGACATTACTGTAGTGTGATTGTTGTGAGTATAATTGATATTACTGTAGTGTGATTGTTGCGAGTATAATTGACATTACTGTTGTGTGATTGTTGTGAGTATAATTGACACTACTGTAGTGTGATTGTTGTGAGTATAATTGACACGACTGTAGTGTGATTGTTGTGAGTATAATTGACACGACTGTAGTGTGATTGTTGTGAGTATAATTGACACTACTGTAGTATGATTGTTGTGAGTATAATTGACACGACTGTAGTGTGATTGTTGTGAGTATAATTGACATTACTGTAGTATGGTTGTTGTGAGTATAATTGACACCACTGTAGTGTGATTGTTGTGAGTATAATTGACACTACTGTAGTGTGATTGTTGTGAGTATAATTGACACCACTGTAGTGTGATTGTTGTGAGTATAATTGACACTACTGGAGTATGATTGTTGTGAGTATAACTGACACTACTGTAGTGTGATTGTTGTGAGTATAATTGACATTACTGTTGTGTGATTGTTGTGAGTATAATTAACACTACTGTAGTATGATTGTTGTGAGTATAATTGACACTACTGTAGTATGATTGTTGTGAGTATAATTGACAGGACTGTAGTATGATTGTTGTGAGTATAATTGACACGACTGTAGTGTGATTGTTAAAATTTTCCTTTGGTATGAATGATTCAGATTATTAAAACAATTTGAATGTACTGTCAATATAAGGACAATGGTTTTTAATCACACAAGTATCCTGCAATAATAAACAGATAAGTGTCATGTTTATCTGTGGTAACACATGCTGGTTTAATATCTGACGAACACTTTCTTTCTTTTGTTTCATTTTCATGTCTTCTGTAAATGATTCATTCAGAAATGTATTATGATATTAGTATTTCACTAATCATTAGAATCTCACTTACCCTGCATTCTGTGAGTCGAATCTATGACAGTTGGAGTTACCATCCTCACAGGGTTGGCATTCTTCCCCAGTTGCTGGACAGTCATGGACATAGACATCCACCCTCTGTCAAAATGTAATACATAAGATAAATGCAGTTCCAGTTTAATAAGTGGCGGATGTAATTTATAGAGATAATTTTTGAATTACAAAATAGGAAACCCATGATTCATCTTCTTACAGGCATTTTACTCTAACACAACATAATAAAGACTTCTACTGACCTGTCCAGCTCTCGTGACCTTGACCCTAAACCATTGGCCAGTTGACACATTCTTGTTGACCATGACCTTGGTGGTTTGTGTGCCACTGTTGAATGAGAACTGTACAAAGCCTCCTATGATTTCCAGGGCTACAAACTTCATGTTGGTGATGGCAGGATTGTATAGGAGAAGGGCATTAGGCCTCAGGGTGGAAAATGTCACATCAATCAGTTTGTTATATTGGACAGTCGTGAAGGAGAACTCAATGTAAGAACCTTCATTAAACCCTACGCTGGTAAACTGGCAGTTGTCTCCCCAGTAGGTAAAAGTACACAAACATATATGTCCTTCTTGTTGATTCTTGCATGTGCCTCCGTTCTTACATGGGGTATTCCTACAGTGGTCCTGTCCAATTTCACAGTGTTCTCCATAGAAGCCATCAGGACACTGACAAGAATAGGAGCCAGGACTCTCCACACAATTACCCCCATTCTGGCAGGGTTTGCTAGTACACTCCAGCACATCTGTATCGCAGTATGCACCAGTCCAGCCTGGAACACAGGCACACACAGGGTTACCAAAGTTGTCATTTACACAGGTACCACCATTTTGACAATAGTTCCCACCACACTTTTCCACAGGCTGGGTACACATGTCCCCAGACAAATTTGAAGGACAGATGCAGTAGTAGCCAAGAGTGAGGCCAGGGGAGGTAATAACCAGTTGGCTAGATTCAGACACTGATGCTCCACTACCAACATTGATCTGGTTCATACATTGTCCACCCTGGTCACTCGCACAGGTAGTCGAGCCACACACAGAGTATCCAACTGTTGATATGATGATTCCCACTTCTGTCTGTAGCTTAGCAACGTTGTTGGCTATCTTGTCACGGAGGATGTTGCCCTGGAGGTAGCTACCATCTAACCTCTGAAAGGCCACAAAAAGCAGCATGTCGTCACCCAGTGAGGTCAGGTGATGTACCAGAACTGTGTCCCCCATAGACAAATGTGACATGGAAATGAGAAATGGAGTGTAGGAATTCTCTAGGAATGATCGTGGTGTGATGTTCTCAATCCTTAAAATGACAGTATTTTGGAGCGTGGCATTGTCAATGGTGACTATCTGAATTCCCACTGTATAATTAGCATTCGGAGAATTCAGACCATCTGATCCCATCACATCTAATGTGTACTGTGATGCGGTTGGTTTGTTTCGTATTCTGAGGTCACATGTACCTGAAGGAATCTCAAAATGATTATCACCATCACTGTGTAACCAACATTGGTAATTGCCTATGGTATCTTTGTCTAAAGGACGTACATCAGCCACAGGCATCACAGGAAAGTCACCTTCCATCACAGAAATCAGAACATTCATGTTTCTCGGCATTGGTGGCTCATCGTTCATATCCTCTACAATCACATGGAAGGACAAGGTAGAATTAAGCTGGTTGGGACTACCTGAGTCAGACACAATTACAGGGACACTAAAATCCACATTTTGTTCTCGGTCAATGGCAACCTTGGTTTGAACCAGACCTGTGGTGGGGGAGATGGAGAAGAAATAATTGTCCCCTGTCACTGCTGTAAAGGTATAACTTCCAGAGTTGGGAGGTAGATCCTTGTCAAAGGTATGACTCAACAGCATCATCACTGAGGACCCTTCAGCACTGTTTTCCTGAATATATCCAACTGGTATGACAGGGTCGAAGTAGGGTGCGTTATCATTAATATCCTCCAGAGTTACCTGAACCGTTGCGGATCCTAGAAGAAAAAAAGTCGTAATCCTCAACACCATGAAACAATAATGCTAAACGAATATTTACAACAGAACTAGATCAGATGTAATTACAATACAGAATGTAAATCTGAATACATATTACCACAGTACTATGATAACTAGATAACAAAACACAGCATTCTAACTTCAATCTAAATTTTAAAATTCTAAAAACATTTTCAAAAATTTCTTTTTCAAGAGAAACAGATTTTTCCCGGGGGCAAACTAAAACAGTACACTACACTTCTTATGATAAACTTTTATTGCTAAAGCTAAGGTAACAGTATTGATTTTTGAAAAGCACAGAATTATAAATAAAACTATATGTAACAAACCTGTCTGAGGCGGTATGCCGGAGTCAACAGCACCAACAGTAATGTTGTACATGGCATCTACTTCTCGATCAAGGTGTCCTGATCCAGATGTGCTCACGATTCCTGTAACTGCATCAATCTTAAACGCATTGTTAAGGTTTCCTCCTAGAATGGTATAGTAGAACTGTGGGTCAGATTCTTTGTTGTCATTGTCAACAGCAAACACCTGTGTAACACTGACACCCCCTCTGGATCCTTCCTTCACGGTCGCCATGTACACATTCTCACTAAACACAGGGGCGTCGTTGGCATCGGTCACTTTAATTGACACAGTACATTGGTCAGTGTCATTACCCTGGATACTACCCCAGTTCTTTGCTAGGACTTTGAGGTCAATCTGAGGTGAGCTCTCATAATCAGGACGTCCAGACACAGTGAGGAGGCCTGAGCTGTAGTTTATTTTAAATCCTTTTGTATTACTGGAGCCAATCAAATAATAGTATACCATTCCATCCTCTCCTTTATCACTGTCACTGGCATGCACACTGCCAACAGGTGACCCATCTGCAGCAGACTCTGTGATGGTGAAGGAATATTCATTCTGCATAAACTGTGGGAAGAACTCATTGACCCCAGTCAGATGGATATGGATGTTAGTGGAGCCCTTCATGGTGGTGCCCGGATTGATAGCCATTACTGTAACTGTGTACAATGACTGGGTCTCATAGTCTAGTTGACCCTGGGACCGAATGATTCCGGTCTTGGACTCGATACTGAATCGACTAGTGTCACCAAGGTGGTATTCAATGGCTGCGTTAACCCCAGTGTCAGCATCTGTTGCAGTCACCTGAATCACTCTCTCACCACTAGGAGAATTCTCGGCAATGTAAGCATCATATTGCGACTGGTTGAATACTGGGACCTGATCATTCACGTCTCTTACAAACACAGTAAAAGTCCTGGAGATTTCCTTATGCAGTAGACCCTGGTCCCTCACTGTGATATTAAGGTAGTGTGTCGCTGTTGTTTCATAGTCCAAGGCTTTCTCTATAGTCAGGGCACCATTCACACTATTGAGAGCAAACAGGTGGTCTGGGTTTCCACTGGCAATACTGTATTGCACTCTGCCATTAGGTCCTGAGGTATCAGCATCTGTTGCAGTTATGTTTGCAATCTCTTTGCCAATATTCACATTTTCATTAACAGTAACCTGAAATATAGTAGTGACAAATACTGGTGCATGTTGATTGACTCCTGTGATGCGGAGCCTCACTGTGGTAACAGAGGACATGACAGGCGTACCCTTATCACGTGCCTCCAACATGAGAATGAAGTCAGTGTCCTGCTTTCCAGCATCCAAGACAGCTGCCACTGTGATGTACCCTACAAAACAAAACAACTTTTTTAAGCACTTTTAAGTACTCAACCATTCCAAGGAGTAAATATCTAAGGTAAGTATGTTACTTTTTTGGATTAAAAGCCAGATTTTTGTCATTATTTCATACAAAAACGATTGTAATCAGCTGATCCTGAACATTTGTAATAGCATTTCCTGTAATTTTGATACAATTTATCAATGAAAGAGTAAATGGAAACTCCACCAAGAGAAGTCATACCTGTAGATTTTTCTACTGTGAAGTAACCTGACCCATTGCCAGACACCATGAAGTACTCAATCTCAGCATTGACCCCAACATCAAGTGTATCTGTGGCTTTAACCTGGAGGATTCTTGCTCCATGTTCCACTGTGACTGGAACAGCTGAGAAGTAACTACTTCTTTCAAATTCTGGTGCATGGTCATTGGCATCCAATATACCAATCCTGACCATAGTCTCTGAGGATAATGGAGGAATTCCATGATCTGTTGCTATGACAACAACTTCCAGAACATTGGCATGTGCAGCAGTGATGTTCTGGTCATATACAAGTTCACGCTTGGAGGACAGACCACCATCAGTAGGATCGATGACAACATCCTCAGATGGGTACTTGAGTGTGTAGTAAACCTCATTGTTTGGAGAAGTGCGGTCCGCATCCAATGCAGTTACCGTCCCAATAGGTGTTCCAGATGATTGGCGCTCCGGGAATGTAAATGTCGGATTCTGAGGCTGGAAGATGGGTATGTTATCATTGACATCCTTGAGATATATAATGACCCTGCTGACAACATCATTGAAGCCATCAGTGGCTGTAACATCTAACATATAAAACGTAGAGGTTATCTCTTCAAGGTCAAGGTCACTCTTAGAGGAAATGTTACCGCTCAATGTGTCAATAGCAAATTTGTCATGTGTCATTGAGTAAGAGACATTTGCGTTGATGCCAATATCAGCATCTACAGTGGTCACTTGTAGTATGAACACACCCACATCTATGTCTTCATTAATCGTAGCGCTGAACTGACGTTTAAACACGGGTGGGTTGTCATTTTGATCCAGGATGGTGATCCGTACAGTGGTAGAGCCTGTATTGGAAGAGGAACCCTGGGAAAGAATCGAGAAAATCATTTCAAAGTTAGAAATCAAACAGATTCAATTAAGCAATTACTATACATTAGGAACTGTGTATTCAAAATTTTATAAATGAAACAGAACAGAACCATTATAAGAGAATTATTTTGATAAGCATATTTCTTTTTCAGCTTTAATGAAAACATTTCAAGTGATTCTGTTGTTACTATCAAGATTTGATTGTTCTTACATGATCCACAGCATAGATGATCAGATTGAAGGTGTCTGTGACTTCTCGATCCAACATTGTCCGTGTTTTAATAAGACCGGTGACAGAATCGATGGTAAAGTTGTTGTGGGGGTCGCCACCCTGTATGGAGTAGGTTATCCTTCCATTTTCATCATCGTCAGCATCAGAGGCAGAGACTTTGATGACTGATGTTATGGTAGGTTGATTTTCAGAAATGGTGTGAGAGTACACTGTGAAGGTGAAGCGTGGAGTGTTATCGTTAAGATCTGTCACATCCACATTAATGCGAGCATAGGATGACAGAGCGGGATTCCCTGTGTCCCGCGCCTCTACCCACAACTGAAAGTCAGCTGCCATTTCATAGTCAACCTGGTTATTGACTGTGATGTCACCCGTCTGAGCGTTGATGGTGAAAGTGTTTGCTATGTTGCCCCCAGCAATGTGGTAAGTAATGCCCCTATTGATCGGAGACGAAGCAGAGACAGAAGTCAGTGGGTAGCCACTGATGACATTCTCATGAATTTGAAGGTTGGAGGGCACACTGTCAAATGTTGGTTTGTTATTATTTGAAGAAGCCACTGTCACATCAAGGTTGACCAGTGACCTTCTAATCTCACTGCCCTTATCTGATGCCTCCACTGTACACACATATCGGGCTCCTGTCACTGTAATGTCCTGGGCCGCTGTGATGATGCCACGGTCAGCATCTATAACAAAACGGTCAGCATTGGTCCCACTCAAACGGTAGGTGACCAGTCCATTTGAACCGGTATCTTGATCCACTGCAGTTACTCCCAGTACAAAGCCTCCTGTAAATCAACAACCATAGTCAATATCAGCTTTTAGCGTTTACCCTTTTGCAGTGATACTGGAATATATTACAGTACTTTTATTTCTCAACTATTTCAAAGAAATCATGGAAATCAATATAACTGAAATAACAAAACTAAAGCAAAAAATTATTTGAAGTGTAAATAAAGTCTGGAATTAGTAACACCAGTCAGACTGTTGATAAAAGCTATAAATTTATCGGTGATGTAAAGTTGTGTACCTGCTGGTGTGGGATTGTTGACCATTTGAGTGTAGCTGGGCCGAAGAAACATTGGATCATTATCATTAACATCGTCAACATATATCACAACATCAGTGGTTGTAAAGTGTGGCTGAGATCCACCATCTGATGCAATGACCTTGAGATTGTACTGGTCAAGGACATGTCCAGTGGTGGGGTCAATCTCTTCTCGGTCCAGTGCCTGTGTAGTTGACACCACTCCTGTGATAGCATTCACAATAAACTTGTTCCCGACAGAGTTCTCCAAGCGATACCTGTAACATACAACATACGAATGTAAACACTCCCAGATAAACATACCAATATAAACCAAACACTCCCAGATAAACATACCAATATAAACCAAACACTCCCAGATAAACATACCAATATAAACCAAACACTCCCAGATAAACATACCAATATAAACCAAACACTCCCAGATAAACCAAACACTCCCAGATAAACCAAACACTCCCAGATAAATATACCAATATAAACCAAACACTCCCAGATAAACCAAACACTCCCAGATAAACCAAACACTCCAAGATAAACCAAACACTCCCAGATAAATACCAATATAAACCAAACACTCCCAGATAAACATACCAATATAAACCAAACACTCCCAGATAAATATACCAATATAAACCAAACACTCCCAGATAAACATACCAATATAAACCAAACACTCCCAGATAAACATACCAATATAAACCAAACACTCCCAGATAAACCAAACACTCCCAGATAAACCAAACTCCCAGATAAACATACCAATATAAACCAAACACTCCCAGATAAACATACCAATATAAATCAAACACTCCCAGATAAACATACCAATATAAACCAAACACTCCCAGATAAACCAAACACTCCCAGATAAATATACCAATATAAACCAAACACTCCCAGATAAACATACCAATATAAACTAAACACTCCCAGATAAACCAAACACTCCAAGATAAACCAAACACTCCCAGATAAACATACCAATATAAACCAAACACTCCCAGATAAACATACCAATATAAACTAAACACTCCCAGATAAACCAAACACTCCCAGATAAACCAAACACTCCCAGATAAACATACCAATATAAACCAAACACTCCAAGATAAACATACCAATATAAACTAAACACTCCCAGATAAACATACCAATATAAACCAAACACTCCCAGATAAACCAAACACTCCCAGATAAACATACCAATATAAACCAAACACTCCCAGATAAACCAAACACTCCCAGATATTATTGCAGTACTCCAAAGATCTTTTTTATAATTATACGTAAGTATCATGTTCATTCTGAATTCAACACACATACAAAGTTAAACACCTCTATTCAAAAAGACATGAATTTACACATTCAATGTTAATGTCATAAGCTGTAAGAAAATTTTTTAAAATATTGAAAAAAATTTTAATAAACTAAACAAAAATACATTTAACTATACATAAACAGATCAATTATTCAGACAAACTACACAAAAGACAGTAAATCTATTCCAAACACTAATAAACCATGCATAAACAGAAAACTATACAAAAACAATTAAAATAAATTACAATCGTCTGATAATAAAGTACAAAAATCTTTAATATACCGAGGGACGGTGTAAGTTGTTACGTTTACACTCAAACGGGAAAAAATCATTTGATTAACAAATAATTCAAAATTAAAACTGCAATGTCACAATGCAAACTACGAAGTTGAAGATCATTGAATAAAGGTCATCAAACAATGTGCATCATGACCTAAATGCAAACAGTGTACATGACGATCCCATACATAAAATGCATGTATGGTAAACATTTGGACAACTTTGAGTGGATCTCTGTCAGTGAGAAACTTGTTGGTTATTAAATGTGACCAGGGAGGAGGGTGAACCAGCCTATAGTACAAACACTTCTCAAAGCGTGACATGGAAGAGGATAATTTAGTTATCTCATCCACTGAAATTGTGAATAGATAGGATATAAATAAATGTAATGCTTTAAATGATGTTTACATAGATAGTGTTTTGGTGGGGCAGGTTAACCTTACTATCCCACCATTGTGCTTTAGTCCATTCTATGGTCTACATTTCATTTTTTTCATTAATTTCATATCACAGTTTTATCTTTAACTATGATATTCAACATCTTATTTGAATGAGCAAAACCATAAAATTTGTCTTTTTAAATCTCTAAGCAATCAATGCCATTTACATAGAGGTCCTGGTTTTTTTTCCTGCTACCATACATTGTCCTGTAAACAAAACTTCAAACATCTATATCTGTCAACCCATCATCCCATAATTTCACCGCGAAGGTTTTACTAAACACATGATCACGCCAGAACTTACGTGACTTGGCCATTTGGCCCATCATCAGCATCAGTGGCTTTGACAGCCAATATTGAAGTCAATGGATTTTCATTTTCAAGGATATGTCCTACATATGTTCCAGTATGTTCAAAGATAGGGGAATTGTCATTGACATCAGCGACAGTGACGATCACCGTCCCTGTACCAGTCAGTAGTGGACCTGGGTGGTCTGTAAACATAAAAAACAACAAGTTTATTAACATTTTTAATTTCGAGACCATGTATTAGTAGAATATATCAATCATAAATACATCTTATCACTTCTAATGTGATGAATCAACAGCCAAGGAAATAGAATCTTGTCATCAGTCTAAATGAAGGATGACATGTCACATGCAGTATAACTCAATACAAATTGATTCTATCCCAACAACAGACAACTGTTCTAGAAGGCAATATATGCATCTGGTTTGCAAATTACCTGTCAAGTTCATGTATTCAAGGAATACCAATAAGTATTTAATATCTAAAATTTAAGATAATAATAATTTTTTCACTTATATTATTACATATTGTGGGAAATGTTAATGTTGCATACAACTAACTTTGATATTGATCAGAACAGTGACAGGAAACTGTTCAACCATAATTACTGTTAAAGTATTTATTTCTCTTGATAATCAATGAATGCCTGATACGAGAAACAGTGGCTGTATGATAGGGTACAATGAACCATCAGTCAATCTACTACAAAGTTCATTCATGATCCCTAAATGACACCCAAAGTCAGTTTTATTGATTGTGAATGAAATACAGAAAAAGTTCACATTAAATTATTACTTTTGAAATATGTATTAAATCTGGCCATTCACTGATACAGAGGCCTGCCTTTCCTATAGTGGAGACTGACCTCCCTACCTTACCCTACCATACCCTACCATTGAGACAGACCTCCTTTCCCTACAGTTGAGACAGACCTCCTTACCCTACAGTTCATGTAAACTTTCCTATCCTAAAGTTGTGACAGACCTCCCTAACCTACAGTTGAGACAGACCTTCCTAACCTACAGTTGAGACAGACCTCCCTAACCTACAGTTGAGACAGACCTCCCTACCCTACAGTTGAGACAGACCTCCCTAACCTACAGTTGAGACAGATCTCCTTACCCTACAGTTGAGACAGACCTCCCTAACCTACAGTTGAGACAGACCTCCCTAACCTACAGTTGAGACAGACCTCCCTAACCTACAGTTGAGACAGACCTCCCTACCCTACAGTTGAGACAGACCTCCCTAACCTACAGTTGAGACAGACCTCCCTACCCTACAGTTGAGACAAACCTCCCTAACCTACAGTTGAGACAGATCTCCTTACCCTACAGTTGAGACAGACCTCCCTAACCTACAGTTGAGACAGACCTCCCTAACCTACAGTGGAGACAGACCTCCCTAAGCTACAGTTGAGACAGACCTCTCTACCCTACAGTTGAGATAAACCTCCCTAACCTACAGTTGAGACAGACCTCCCTACCCTACTGTTGAGACAGACCTCTGAAACCTACAGTTGAGACAGACCTCCCTACCCTACAGTTGAGATAAACCTATCCTTAATGCTTTGTGTCTATCCTTGTAAATTTAGCTGAGCTGCATGATGATGACTTGTTTGTCAGTTTTATATTACTTATATAACACACAAAAATATCTGCTGTCGCATAAAAAACCAGGTTATATAAGTCTTATCAGATGAAAATATCTCAAATCCAGAAATATGCATAATAATTAGGGTCCTACCGGTGAACTGGGAAATATGTCTGATACATATATCCCTATGTATGTTACCACTTATTAACGGGTTTTACGTCCACCATTACGACCTTTCTGTCTTTCAGCGGACGAAATGTGTTCCCACAGGTAAACTTAAAACAAGTATTGAGTTGTCTCCCCTTACCATATTTAACCTGACTTTCAACAATGTCCCACTGTCTTGATATCTATACATATTTATTCTGGGTAAATCAAATGTGATATTTCTGGTGTCAGCAATTGTTTTTCTTGCTACATTTGTATTTCACAACTTGTACTTTTTTTCATATTTGGACAGACCTCACAGCTTTCTTGTTCAGCTTTGAAAGGTTTCACATTTTGTATGCTGTGTTCAGTTCGGCCAGGTTTTCCTGCACCCTAAAATATCTAATATTTGGGATGTAAAATGGCCTTATAAAACAGGTGGTCCTAATAGAACTTCCCTCATAACCTATTTTTAAATTGACAGTAAATGATCAGAATGAAATTCTCATTTTTTTTTTTTATCTAAAGCACACTTGAGATCCTGACAGAGACTTCATACTCTGTAGGAGGTCATTTTAAGATACCAATCATGTTTGCAACATTTTGTTTAGAATACTTCATGGTGTTCTGACCTTCAATTTTTTGTTGACTTTTTTCGCCACAGAAATATGTAGTGGCATTACTATTAGTTTCTATAGAAAGTCATACGGTGCCTTATCTTACACAATAATTTTTTATACAAGGATTATTAAGTTTTATAATAAGTTTGGAATTTGATTTGATGAATAGTTTTTATAAAGCAGGGAGTTAGTCTATACCAAGCATTCTGTAATGGGGATACAAATTTACCTGGGTACATTACACAAATGAGATACATCAAACTTTGGCCTTTGTCACACATCACCTGCTAGTACCTACAAGGTACCTTAACGAGCATGGTTACAGATCTATATCCTCACTTTGTACATGATCGACCACATCATTTTTACTAATTCTGAATACAAATTCTGTCATTATTTCTGAAAAAAAATGTAACTTTTCACAAAAATCAAGCTATATAGAAATTACGTCATGCAGGTATGCCTCTATACTAATTAAATAGCAATAAAAATTGTTCTTTATTAAAAATTTCATCACAACAAAAACTATATCAATTTATACACTAGTGTGATGATGCAGAATTCGAAGAATTTAATTTACTATATTTTTTGCAAACATGATTAATCCAAAATCAACTTAAATTATGCAAATGAGTTTAATTCTGCTTCAAATAATGATAGTCAGTCTGGAATTATGTGTGATGGTAAGTTAATATCAAATAATGATAGTCAGTGTGGAATTATGTGTGATGGTAAATAACATCAATATCTGTGATAATTCAGCACATTATATAATTTCTCTATAAGTTCTTGCTTTGATTTAAATTTACAAAAGACAATAAAAAAATATTTCTTATATAGAGTAAAACATGAATCATTGTTTAACCCATGATTTACCACATACCCAGGAATAAACTCAGCAGCTTGGAAACTTGTTCATCATTAGAAATATTACAGTATGTACTAGATTAAGTGATTTGATGTAAATATATGTACGATATATTATGTATATACCACTATACATATTACATGTACCATAGTTTATTAGGTAATAAGCTCACCAAGATCTATTGGAATTTAATTATCTATGCTAACAAATTCTATACATTGCACTGTAATACCCCATCCCTCTCTACTTTACATGTGTGCTCTAGTGTTTTCACCAGTAACACAAAAATATACCACATATAGCCTTCAGTGATTGTTTAAGGCACTACTTCAGGATGCTAGAATTTCTAACAGTCCTGAAATCTTTTGTTTATAAAACATGCCAACCAAATAATAGACAAGTAAACAAGTTCTCATGACCTATTTTGACTGACTAAACCTCCATCTTTACCTGCAAGAATCACTTTTTGGAAAAAGTTGAAAAATAGTGAAATTAATACAGAAAGTTCTACCAGTCATAAGGTCCAGTATTTCTTAAGGTCATCACTGTAGCAAGGTATAGGGTAACATCTAGGTTTTTTTCTTTGCAAATATTCATTCATTTGCCTCCTGCATACTTAAATATTTCTATCATTAAAATTACTGGAATAATTGCCTGAATCTCAATCATGCCATCAGCTAAGTACCTGGACTTCTTTTTTTCCATTGATTTTAATAAAATTCACCTGGTAATCGATTACATTTTAAATGATATTCAAATTACATTCCTAGAGTTTAGCATGACCTGACTGTCTACCTAGCTATTGCATTTCTCAATGTTTTTAGAATCAATATTTCACACCCTTGAGAAGGACACTTGTCTTTGTCAATGGCCGTCCTGATAGACAACTGAGTGCTTTTTGGGGCGATTTGTTTGGATGTACTGGTTCTGTCTACCCACTTCCACTTATCTAAGTTATTCTAACTCTACCTATGATACCAGCTATTGACACTCTCCAGTATCAAACATACAGACAAAACATACTAAGTATACGCATTATCTACTGTATGTGGTTTTCATTTTCCATTAAACATGTACATTTTAAACAACAATTTGGCAGTTATATTTACATAACACTGATAATTTAACATATTTTCTTGTTAAAGTTTCATCTATTTCATTAAAATTTTTTCTTTTTGTTAACACTATATAAGATTTTGTGTGTGACTTTCATGTCACCTTGCCATAGAACAGAGTTTCCACAACCAAGTTTCCTTGTTGCCCATTCTGCATTTCCATTTTTTTCTATTTCAAATGATTAACAGAAACAAATAATTACCCATGTTGTAACAAAAAGCCTTAAACAGAAATTTTTGTTAATAATGTTCCAATATCCATAATGATGTTGATAATTACACCGAGGCAGAAGTTCTGGAACACCATACTTCTCGTGATAGACTAACAATAATCTCCAGTGGTTTTGTTACATACCAGAGGCAGCAATACACACACAAACAATTATAAACAGCATGTATTTCACTTAGAAATTAATGCTTTCTCATCTAGTAGTTCTGCTGCAAGATTCCATTTCAGTGCACTATGCAGAAAATTACATGCAAAATGTCGAAATAGATTACGTAGGTGTAAGTGATGGGAAAGGGAAGGAGAAAGAGAGATGGGGAGAAGGAGGAGACTGGAGTGGGGAAGGGAATGAGAGGGATGCTCAGAAAAGCAAAGAAGTGAGTAAGGAGACGGGAGAGAGTGGGAGGAGGGGAATAAGATCAGTTTAAAATGGGAGAAAGAGAGAGTTAGAAAAGTGAAAGATGGGAGAGAGAGTGGTGGGGGGGGAGGGGGGGTAGGAAAGTGAAAGATAATAGAAAGAGAGGAAAGGGTAGAAAAAGCAAAACATGAAAAGAACAGGGATGAGGGAAAAAAGTGAAAGATGGGAGGGGGGAAAGTTAAAGATGAAAAAGAGAGGGATGGAGAGAAGACTAGAACAAGGAAACAAGCTGTAGGTCTGTGTAAAATCCTTTAAACACATCAACTGGTTTAACTCCAGACATATACAACCTGTCAGCATGGGTAACACAACTATAACTATTTATGTAGGACTGCTGACAGAACACAAGTGGTTCTGTCTGTTTCCACCCCAAACTACATATGTAGTCATTAAACATGCCCCAGCATTCCAATATTCATTAGCTGGCATTGATTAGAGAGTTCCACTGACGGTAGATTTATATAACCAGGTTGGATTTCCTAAAGGCCAGACATGCTATATGTGGTTATGACGTTTATTATCTGTTTTATATCAATGCACTAGATCTCCTGACGACTCATCAAACAGCCAGGGTTTTGAGGAAACCACCGATTACATGTGTCAATGGTTTTCTAAATGTCCCATATCTTACATGGTCTTTCCTAAGCCCTTTAACCTTTTATTCTTCCTGTGAGCTTCAAGGTGTTATTAAACTTTCTGAACTTACACTAAGGATACACATAAAGTTCTCTATTTCTTCAACATTACTGTGGTAGTAATTATAAGAATGACCATTTTAACTAAAACTTCCCTTATATCTGGTTAATCCCATCTGCTTTAATCATATCAACAAATGTTTCAAAAATTTGAAAGAGAAAAACCTAATTTATGTCCATATGGTTTCAGAATACTTCACTGTATAAACTAATTTCACCAAAATGCTTCACATAATATACAGAGGCCTTACAATTTTAAAATAAACAATAAAATACATCTTGATATAAAGTAAACATATTTTCCACATAGACATTCTCCTATAAACAAAACAAGCTGCTGAGACTGACAGATCTGCTTGGTCACAGTGTAGGTAGCATATACCCTTAAACAAGCAGACTTAAATCTTATTATAAACTCAAATGAATTTTGGCATTTGCATGCAACAGATGCAAAATCTTTAAATACTACATAATACAAAATATTCCACTTTGCTAATAATCTTTCTTAAAAAGGATATTATAGCTATTTTCATTTTTAGTTCTAATTCATTTCTTGTTAAAATTCAAATCACAAAATGGCTACAAAACTTTTTTTCAAAAAATGCAAAAAGATAAACAAGAAATTCTTAAAATCTGATTAAGTCATCCACCAAAACATTTTGTTTAACATATTTTCTTTATCATGTCTTTCAAAGCAAGGAAAACATCAGGCTTATTGAGTCTGTCTTCTATCAATTTTATGGAAAACTAATTCAATTTCTATCAAAGTTTTCATCATTTATGAGATAAAATTTGCAAATATAAAAAACCGAAATACTATTTCAAACAATGAATTAACAGCAATACAGCATGCCTGTTTTGTGTTACTAATGAGCTTGGTGTATTAAAACTGGATCACATAACTGATCTAATCTGTGGCCATTAAAATCTTATTAATTTCTGGTGTCAGTGTGGTCTCTGAGAGAAATTATCCCAGAAAAATGGTATTCTGGAACATTTCAATAAAAAGAAGCACACAAAAAACTGATGTTTATCGTTTATCAAATTGAAAAAGGTACCAGGTCATAGCGCCCTTTTTTATGACCATCCAAAATTTGGTCTGTGGAGAGTAATGTCATAACCAGAAAAAATTCAAATTTTTCAATTAGCGTGTTGTGTTTCTATAAACTTATCTGAAATGCTGATGTTATCCGTAATCATGAAAACAGTTTAACAATTAGACAATCTCCACATCTCTATACCTTATGGTAACAAATGACACTCTACATTATACCCTACAGTCAAAACATACACCTCAATTTTCAATTTACATGTTTTGTGTTTCATTAAAGTTTATCTGATAGGTAAGCCTGGCCCCCAGCCCACAAAAACACCTTGCTACCTGTCTGATTTCTACCTGATCATCCATGAGATAAAGGCTTAACTGTGCTGCCAAACATTTGTAGGAATACATGGGGGTATCACGACGTAATCATAATTGGTGGAGACCAAAATACATCCGTAACAGACTAATACAGATATAATCCACACATAAGGTTCTGGAGCCAACGGCATTTTGTAAAAATGAGATAGTGGTAGAGAAGTATACACAAAACATGTTAAGTGTGTGGGCCACAGAAAATTGATTACAAACAGTGTTATCTGATAGTTGGCATTCCCTGCCTATAGCTTTTCTGACGTCTGCATAATATACATTTTTATTTTCTGTGGACAGGTATATACCTAGTTTATAACGGAGCCTGATAACATTGTTGTCCTTACCTAAACCTGGACAAACACAGACTTAATATACCGATACACCAAATACAGTGATCAAGTTCACAAACAGTTCAAGAAAGACCAACAAGATACAAATTCCTTTACGTGTGTGAGACCTTTGTATGTCACGACCAGCGAGTCCTTTACCTGTGTGGATTTCCTTTATGTATCAATATTTTACAGTAATTTTACAATCATGATGGTACCAAAAACTATGTACGCACAACAAAATAAGAGTCCTTCATGAGAGTTATCTTCATCAAATGACTTGTCAACTAATTAAACCTGGATACAATTTATGTGTATTTCATCATCAAATGTTAATATCAAGCAACAATAAACACAATATATAACGATCAATGTAGCCAAGAAAAAGGTGTCAAGACAGCCATGACAAATGCAAAGGTCAAGGTTGTCCTACTATCAAACTGTAAAACATTTACTATATACCATGTCCAATTAATCTAAAATAAAGTTCAAAGTAGAAATAATATACACTTAAGTCAAGGTCCTATCTCAGGTCATCATTGCCCGATACATACACATCTAGGAAATTCAATTCTACATCAAAATAGTAAAAGTCAAAGGCATGAAAGGTCAAGGCAATCACCATATAGCAGACTCCTGATTATAAAAGTAATGCTGTAGTTATGTAGATCTCACAGCTACAGGAGATTAGTGACAGACTTTAGCTTATGTTAAGAAGTATTTCCTAGGTATTACATCATTTCTGACTCGTAACAGGAAATGAGCTGGACATCAAAAGCAATCTCTATCATTCATCTTTAAATAAACTACATTCGCTTTTAAAATGTTAAATGCAATGAGGTTATTTGAATGAATTTCCCTTCAACAAATGGTTGATAGATTCAGTTCATGTCTACCAGGCTTTTAAAAGGAAAAGATGGAAAAATTAGTCCTCATATCAAAATACCTTTACTGAATGAGAAGAAAAAAATATTCATTAAGTTTTATCAGATGAAAGCCATAGCACAGAACTATCTTGTGCTTGCTAACACAGGTCATTTTATAAATAGACAAACTTACCATAATCTTTTCCACGCACAACAAGTTGATATGAATTGACAACTTCACGGTCCAGTGATTTATGACAAGTTATCTCCCCTGAAGTCTCATTTATCTGAAATATTTGTTCATCATTTCCACCTAAAAAGGAGTAAGCAACTTTGTTGAATGGAGCCGAATCGTCATCCCTTGCTGAAACAATGATAACCCGGACAGGTGGTGTGGCATTCTCCAACACAATAGGCTTATAAGGAGAATTCACAAATACAGGGGCTTTATCATTGATGTCTGTGACTGTGATTTTCACAGAAGCCTGGGCATATCTTGTATCAGAACTACTATCTTCTGCCTGAATTGTGATGTCATAAAATGTCCTTCGTTCAAAATCTAAATTTTTCTTCACACGGAGAACTCCTGTGCTCTGATCCACACTAAAATCAGAGTTATCTGTTCCTGCTATTATAAAGTAGCGGACCAGGCCATTTGTGCCTGCATCTGCATCTTGTGCATTAACGGTAAGGATAGTAGATCCGACAGTAACATTCTCCTGTACTGTAGCAGTATATTCAGTCTGGCTGAATACAGGACTGTTGTCGTTGACATCCTCAAGGTGAATAATCAAGGTCTGATCCGTAGACCTTTGGGGGGTCCCATTGTCAGTGGCCTTCACATTCATAGTATACTGAGGCACAGTCTCCCTGTCAAGAGCTTGTGTGACCCTAAGTTTACCACGGATATTTTCAATGGTGAAGGGTAGATTTGTACTGGTGGTACTGTAGTAAACTAGTCCATTTCCTCCTTCATCTTTGTCTTCTGCAGTTACCATGGCAACTACATCGCCAACCCGAGCATTCTCCTTGATCCAGATCTCAGAGGGTGACACAAACTTTGGGTAGCTATCATTGACGTCTTCAACAATAACTGTTATCTGATGAGAAAAAGACAGCATATTTCACATTTCTGTCAGTTCATAAAATATCTAAATTATCATATTTTTTTTCTGAATTACAGTAGAAAATAAAGCTGCTCCACGAGTAAGGGAGACAACTGCGGTGAACAGAATTATTGACTTCATGATGAATAATACAATGGGTCAATTGGCTAGGTTTGTAACCAGTAACCCATTTTTAACGATGATTGAAGGAACATTTTTTGCATCGCAAGGACACAGAACTTGTAGCGTAACATACACTATAGGACAATCAATTAACTATAGTTACCTTGGTTGTGGCAGTGTTTCTGATACTGTTTGGGATGGCCTGGTCAGTTGCAGTCACCTCCAGGCTGTATAGCGCCACTTCTTCTCTGTCCAGGGGTCGAACTGTCCTCACTTCACCAGTAACAACATTGATGGTGAACTGGTTGTAAAGATCTCCTCCACTGATCACATATCTAACCTCACCATTTATACCTGTAACACAGGTTCGTTAAAACAAATTAAAAAAAGTAACATAATTAACAGGGATAATTGATATAATTATCATCAATTTCGGAGAAATTATAGACATAGATTTATTTGTTGTAGCATGTTGATTAAGAAGCTAGAGTGCAAAACATTGGACTGAAAAGCTAGGATGTATAATGTTTGAAAGAAGAGCTGGGATGTAGAATGTTTGACTGAACAGCTAGGGTGTAGAATGTATGACTGAACAGCTAGGCAGAATGTTTGACTGAACAGCTAGGATGTAGAATGTTTGACTGAACAGCTAGGATGTAGAATGTTTGACTGAACAGCTAGGATGTAGAATGTTTGACTGAACAGCTAGGATGTAGAATGTTTGACTGAACAGCTAGGCAGAATGTTTGACTGAACAGCTAGGATGTAGAATGTTTGACTGAACAGCTAGGATGTAGAATGTTTGACTGAACAGCTAGGATGTAGAATGTTTGACTGAACAGCTAGGATGTAGAATGTTTGAAAGAAGAAACTCTGGCTGGATAGAGGAGAAGTAGCTCCTACAAAGATGAAGAGTTTACAAATTAAAACCAAGCTGTATCCTATAAGGAGATATTGTGAATACTGGAAGTAAAGTCAATATTTGAACAGTTGTAGGAATGTAGTGTTCATTAAAAGCTGATTTGTTTCTACTCCAGAGTGTTTGACTGTTCATCAACAACACTCTGCAACTATGTACAGACTGGCCATCCTATACCAGATGTTTCCAGCAGTGGATACATTCAAACTAACCTTATTCACAAACAATCAACACAGCAACTACCCTATAACCACCAGATATTGACTCCTTCATTCAGGAAAGTATTGTCAGCTTGCAGCTTAGTCAAACACTGTAAGGTACTGATTTTTAAGGTCTACTGACAAAATCACTTATCAGGTAGCCTGACAATCCACATCATCATACCTATAGAAAATTTACAGATATGTATTAAGCACAACACTCAATCCTCCTTAGTTCAAACTGTCTGTTCTACAATATTTTTTAACATCTAATCACCACACTGATGTTTATTACATTCTTCCAATTCTGTTTTATTAGTTAAACTGACAAATCTTTTGGGTATGTGTCCTGACTAGGAAGTGGGCTGTCCAGCTGGACTTATACATATCAGTTGTATGGACCAGCACCCACACAAATCAGTCCCACCAATCGATACCTACAGTCCTACTGGAGGCTTCAGGTGAACCAGTACACACCTTTAAATCAATACATCGTCAGATTAATGTTTGTTCTTTATTTATCCTATCACACAAAATTTTCTTTTTTAGTAATTACTATGTAAGTTCTACACCAACTGATTCAAGGGGAGATAACGTGGGAACATTATTGACAAATCTTAGTGATACGGTATATAATGGAGAAGAATTTATGTTACTATAATGAATTTAATTCATCTAACCAGATAATTCCTAGGATTGTCAATTATATATATAATTGTGTTATCTTGTTAATATATTGTATATTTTTGTAGAACTGATAAATTCTAAGATAGCAAATGGCATTCAACACTGCAATGTTTCCAGCTCTCTCTGATAAAGATAAAAGAAATTAAACAGTGGTGGGTAGAACGACACATCCAATAAACAAATTGTTAGAAATTTTAATCATCACTGAAACCAATTGATAACAAAATAATTGTTGACTTTACAAGACCTTCCCATGTAAAATAATAAAATCTAAATATACTATTGCAAAACTGATTTTTCTCCTGAAGTGCCCAATTGAGAAAATGCTTTGTGTATAATCACTGTACAACTCAACTTCTGTAACCACGGCAACTGTTTTACCGCAGACTGGATAAACTAAGAAACATTAATATCCTGCAATTCCCCCATCTATAACACTCTAGATAAACACCCCAGGAAATCTGACACACATTTAACACACTTTTTAAAACTTTTATCAAATTTAAATGAATGTTTTTTCTCTCAAATTATTGATAAGGTTTGTACATAATTCTCCACTTGAAGATAATGACTGTCAAAATTGGCAAAGGTTTAGATGGCGAGGTGTGATAAGATGTAACGTTTTGAAGGTCTAAAGCATTTTATTGCTGAAGGTTTAGTGTAGATTAAATGATGTGTAATAGCGTTAACTTTGGCTAACATCACAATCTCTAACACTTAATATCTCACCCTCAAACAGTTCCACAGCATTCATCAGACAGCCATGAAATCAAGTTTAGTCTGAATAAACGACACTTACAATCCAGTGATAAGGAAGTTACCTTTTTTTTTCTAAATTTCATTCCATGTTATTTAAAAGTGTCATAAAGATCTTGACATGGGTGAAAAAGGTCAATAATTACTGGAATACTATATCACTGACCCTATACAACTCTCCCAATTCATGGTTTTCTAGCTTTGGTAGGAGACAAAAAAAACAAAAACATGACTGTAATGTGAATTTTAGAAAAAAAAAAATAAAAATTTTCAGTCAAGAAATAATCATCTCAAGTTGTAAATTTCAAGTAAATTGTGGTATATCTTCTGTAGAGTGAACAGAAAAGAACTGTTTATTATCCTGATATCTGTAAGGTGATTGTAGACACATTCACTGTCTTTTCTGTCTATACCACTGAACAATGCACTTCCAGACAGGGTGAAACTGAAGCTGTCAACCTCCAACCCAAAAAAATTTATTTTGAGTTTCTTTACAATAATGTAGTGACTATGTCAAAATGCCCCATATAGACAATGCAACCATGCATGGTAACCCTTTGTGCTTGGTAAAAGATGACAAAAAACCAACAAAACAGATTCAAATTTATCATCAAAGAAAACTATTGAATACTGTTTTTTGTAGTTTCTTAACATTTATTTTCACTGAAGCCTTGAAGGACAATAAATCATATCTGTAAATCTAAACGCTACCAACTTTTTCTCTGTTTGGTTTTTTCTTCTCTCTAGTTTGCTTTCTTACTGAAATAATGAAACGTTATTCTTTGGGGCACATGCGTTTCTATAAGATTTTAAGCACATAAGGAATCCTTTCCTCTGAGAGCAAATAGACATTTTGTATTTAAACAACTCTTGGTTGTACAAATATGTGACCTGTCAGTCGCTGTCCATTTCCTAAATTACAGATTTACATACCAGCAATGACTGTCTGAATGTTTCGATATGTCTACCCCAAGATAAATGCTGATTACGACAGACCTAAAATGGTTATGGCCTCTACATACCTATGTTAGTAATAATCCCCCTAAAACGTTTGTGGACCCACATACCTAAATTAGTATTACTCCCCAAATATCCACCTGACACAGCCAACCCAAATGTACAGCTGCACATCATACCTAAAAATGTGATCAGTGTAATTAATCAGCATTGGTCATGATTCAGGTGAGGAGAATGTATTTACCTACAGGTAAAATCTGTGTCACAGGTAAACTACCCAGGTACACATATTTTATTGATCAATTGCCAGGTGGATTGTCAAATGAAATATATCTGGTATTCAAATATTTCCAGTAAAGCAGCATTTTTATCAATTTTGCATTCATATCACTGTCACTGTACCAGCTACCTAGGGTACCTAGGGTGGTGCGTAATTACCTTTATAACTAAAAAGTTAACTTTGGAAATTTGAAGTAAAGAATGAAATAGTAATACAAACATACACAATCATTGACATCTGAGCTTTTTCTGTCACTTTCTATAGATCATTTCAGGAGTCCAATATCTAGCAAGGACCACAAAGACAATATTTTGAGACGAATGCCTTATTATCACTTTTAAAGAACAATCAACCTGCAAATGAGGTCCATTAGACATATCAGAACGGAGTCAACATCATTAAAACGGATCGCAGGCTATCCATCAGAAGAGCTGGCCATTCTTACACCACTAATACTGATGGACTACCCTGGACAGGGAGTTCTTCCCATCAGGTTCACAGCTTGGCCAATCTACTCGCCCACAAATCAATCGTCTCGGCCATTGCTTTCTGTTTGTTTTATCACATACAGATAAGGGTGCCTAGCAAGTGCCCTAATTTTACTGTGAGATCGGCAGGAATGGTTCATCTTAGCCCAAATATCTCATCACCACCCCATAATATCACTTGGTGGACTAATAACCATGATAACACAAACAATGAACTCGCTCACCCCCAAAATTCAATTTCCCCAATCAGACCAAATGCTCATCAGAACTGGTGAAGATTTGCAAGTTGGATTAAGGCAATAGACATAGAGATGTTCACTTAATGAATGAAGTTTCCTCCAAATTGAACTAAATGACAGTAATGGGTGTCCTGAGAAGGTCTATTATAAATACATTTGCTCTCTGATTGATTTTTCTCTCAATTTCCTGGCTGACTTGTTCTTGACAGATACAACAGTCTGTGTTCCGGTGCATCGGCTGAATTAGCAGTAGGACAGGCAGATGTGACCGGCTCAGGGTGATGCTTGGGTCACACTATAGAGATCATTCATGTAACCCCTTCCTATTTTAACACAAATTAGATCTCTAAAGATCCACGATTAATAGTCAGTCTTTAAAAACTGTCTTCAGACTTCATATAGGTTGGTATTAGCATATAATAGATTGAGATGTAATGGTCTCGGTAAAGACAAGTGTAAGGTTTATAGGCTTTGTATCCGACCAGACACATCCCATTAGTTAACAGCCTTAAAACAAAACGTCACCAAAATTTCTAATTGAAATGAAATGTTCCCAGCTTAAAGGTTTAAATCTAATTTGTGCCTTATTGTGCTGTCATGGATTTAAAGTCTCTCTGTTTGCTACATGAGAATTTATAAGCATGTTTCACCATTTCTTTAATAAATATCTTCATCAGCAAATTCCTGATTGTCTGATCACCATTAATCTGCCTACAGACTGACTGGTAATCTGCTAAACCAAACAGGAATGGTTCACATTTTTCTAGGTGTCTGAAAACAATTTTCACATGTGACGATATATGTTATAATTTTCTTGTCACTTTTTATTATGGTTAAAACATTCTTAGGGACGTTACTTTTATTAATATATTAATCAATTAAAGTTTCATGTACTGGAGACCACAATTTTTTAATCTCTTTAGCAGTTAAAGCTCCAAGACCATTTTCCAAATAACAAAATATTCTATGAAACCTGAGAAAGTTTTGAGTAGTTCCTAATGTTTTTCATTAGTAAGATTTTCCAGTACATTGCTACAAACTTTGTTTGGCTATGATGTCATGCCTAACGTAGCTGGGGACAGGAGGTGATTAGTTATCTACAAAGCACTGCAGTCAGAGAAACTAATTGAGATATCCCACACGAAGGACTCTGCTCCAACACTTACCACTCAACACACATACACACAAATTGGGCAGAAAATTATCAAACCATTTGTCTGCTGTTCAGTTTACCATCTCTGTTATACCATGCTGCATATGTAGCCAAAACCCAACCAAAACAAACATGACACCAAACAGAAATGCTCAAAGCTCTTTCCCAATATCTAGCATAACTTTAGTATGTCAAACAAATATGCATAAAAAACCTATAAATTACACAAATTTAAGAAGGAATTGACTAAAGGAGTTCCATCAACATGCCACTTACACTACAATGGAAAGTATTCAGTTATTTGATTTTCCTGATAAATCTCGACGACTGTTTTATACCTTACAGACAGAGAAGAGTTCGACTCTGGTTACAGTTAAGTGGTCTGAGTTTTCAATCCAGTAAGTGTTACATATCATTTACCTTTTCAACAACTTGTAAGTACATTAAGGCCTTTGTCATATGGTGTGTGATTCAGGAGTTCCCCTTGTATTATAGTCTCAAATTCACAGAGTAATGCCGGAAATTCACAAACTGTGGCCTACTGATGCCAAAGACATAGAAATTGTGGCTTCCCAACCAATGCCATAAACACAGAAATCCTGACTCGACTTAAAAAGCTGGTGCATCAAACAAAAACATTTATTTCATGGCTCGATTACACCACATAAAGTGATAAACATTCATATTTGCTTTTACAAATAATTTTCAGATATATTTTACAAAATAAAACAACACTGTAATATATATACCTGCATATATATATATGACAATAGCAATAATTATGTCAACCATTACGCGCCAATCAATATCTATAATTTCATGATTTTATCAACTTTTACTTACATGTATAAAGAATTCTGTATTACTTGTCAAATTTTTTTTTTTTTATTTTACCCATCAGACTTCGTGGGTTGTCATTAATAACCAAAAAAAAATGTTATTAACCTACAGATGATAAAATGAACAACATCTGCAATACAGTATACAATGCCTCTAACAGCAGCTAGTCATTTAAGAAAGGGCTTATAATGCACTCTACTCCAATATCTACATCTCTGTAAAGGTGTTTTACATATCAATATGAAAAATTCTCTCGAGGACAAAAGTTCTGTCACCGAAATTTCATGTTTTGATAAATAAAATGTAATGGAAGGTAATTGGTTTGGCTTATCGGCGATGAAATCGGGGCTCCAAAAGACCAGAACAGTGCTGTTACCAAAACACTGTCATATGTTAATTCAGTGTTTAATTGTGCATCATTGTGATGGTGAAATACATGCTGCTCATGTGACTTATGCACAAATCAAGAATGTTGAATCAGCATCAGTCAGAATTACACAACAATCCTAAACTATCATTAAAAATAAAAAATCATCGTGACAAGGCTAAAAATTAATCTGACAAGACATTTTTTAACACTGGGGTTTCATTAAATTTGCATGAATTTTTGTAAAAGTCCCCATCTTACATTTCCAACAACATCATTCCAAGCAATCTTCATTTACAGATATGCATAATCATTATCAGATATTTCATGGTGATCTGAGTATGTGGGTACATGATGGGTGCATGTCATATAAATCATTTAAGAAATGTCTGACGGGCATGTATTTATCTGAATTTACTGGGGAGATAATAACAGACTTGAAAGCCCACTGCAGAGCTAACACAATCCCAAGCATGCCTGTTCACTCACAAAGCTTTGTGTTGCCTGCTGCCACATTAAACATTAGAAACAACTCCAGCCATAAATCACAAACGTAATACCCAATAGGGATACAGCTCTTATTTGTACATACATCTTCATTTCACTACTCAATGGTCAAACAGATGTCTCCATGTAACCCTAATCACAGACCACAACCTTAATTAAGGTAAACTGGTCAGTCATTCTTCAATGTTCAAAGGACTGAAAGAATTTCTAAAACTTCCACAGAAAGCATCCATCCATGGAACTCCTCTTTTTTTTCAAAAAGTTTTCAACAATTCATAAAATTTGACATCAAGGTTTAGTAAAGGATTGGATTACTTACCAGAATCACTGTCCGATGCAGACACAGTGATGATGCTAGAATCCACGGTGATATTCTCTAGAATTTTAGTACTAAATGATGCAGGGTCGAAGGTTGGAGAATTATCATTGATGTCCTTGACATTCATAAATACAGACACAGTACTGGATAAAGACGGGTCACCATGGTCACGAGCTTCTACTGTTAGAATGTATAACTGCATCTGAAACAAGAAGAAACGGTCAATGTGTGTCATTATCTTGTTATAAACTGTGGAGTTCAATTTTTCAGAAATATTTAGACTTTTCTGTCCAGTTTTATAAGGCCAAGGTAAATGAAATTGAAAACTTTTTGAGACACAAAGAAAAAGCTCTAAACACAATGCACACATTAAAAACAATTTTTTTTTACTTTTTAATCAGGAAATGTTGAATCTTAGAAAGTCAAAACTTCAACAAAGAAACTGAAAGTTGTGGCTGAAAAAAAATAAATGAGTTTCCTTGATTCTAAAATAATGTACAATCGATGATTCTAAAATAATGTACAATCGATGCTTCAATTATTTGTTTGCTGGGTGTATCAACCTCTGAAGTGTCAGGGTCATTTTCAAGCTGTACCTGGTGGCTATATACCTCAATGAACAACATACCAGAGGCCCATCACATTCGATGAAGAGCAAGAACAGTTAAGATAAATCATGCTTGACTAGACCAGTCAATTTCTCAGCTTCCAACAAAACACATAGCCACAGGTAGGGGCCATCAAACGATACAATGCTTTAACGACTGAACTATTGTGTCCCTCTATGTACGACAAACTATTTTGCGACAATGTCAGTGATAACATACACTGTACAGTGATACCTATAAAGAATGAACATTTGTGAGTCTCTTGATTCAAAGTATGCACACTTTTTAATTCCACATTAGTTTATTATTCATAAAGAGACCAAATGGAATTTTTTTATGATACAGGTTTTTGATAAGTTGAGACTTGTTACTAAACCAGAAATGTAAATCACATCAACAAAGGTTTGTTGTGACTTGACTATCCTATAAAATTAGATACAATAAATGTTATCACAGAAAACATAAAGGGTCACAAAAAATGTCTTATAAGGTCACAAAAAATGTTTTATAAGGTCACACAAAATGTTTTATAAGGTCACACAAAATGTTTTATAAAGTCACAAAAAATGTCCTATAAGGTCACAAAAAATGTTTTATAAGGTCACACAAAATGTTTTATAAGGTCACACAAAATGTTTTATAAAGTCACAAAAAATGTCCTATAAGGTCACAAAAAATGTTTTATAAGGTCACACAAAATGTTTTATAAGGTCACACAAAATGTTTTATAAAGTCACAAAAAATGTTTTATAAGGTCACACAAAATGTTTTATAAGGTCACACAAAATGTTTTATAAAGTCACAAAAAATGACTGGTCCCTGTCTATAGAATATCAAAATTATAGATAAAATTGAGCTTTATCCTTTTGGTCTCTCAGGTATGTCTGATTCTAGTTTCAAAGTAGGGGGAGATAAGCTAATGTAAGATTTAAGAAGAGCAATTCTTTGTAAAAACTTAGGGGCTGGCAGCCAGTGTAGTTATGGTCCACCACTGATTGTTCTGTGGTGTGTAATAAACATACTTAGTCTGTGAAAGAAAACACAATGTACTGACAATAATAGCAGTATTTCCTGTCTAAACTAAAGCTGTCAAACATGACATGTCTAACAATAATCTTGTCAACAGGTGACTGCTCTCACAAAAATGAAATATTTCCTACATTCAAATTTTAAGAGTATATACATACAAGAGTTCTGTTACACATAAATGTAAACGATCATGAATCATAAACACACCTTATCATGGTTTGGAGTATTTTCAAAACAATGTTTGTGGAATTTAGTGTGTGTACTAATGTTCCTTCTGACCTGCCTAACCCTGTCACTACCTGCCTAACTCCTGTTTGTAGGACCCTGCCAAACTCTAACAGGACTACCTGCCTATCTTCTCCAGGACTCTATGCCTAACTCCCACAGAACCACCTGTATAAATAATTCTTGTAGGTCTACCCTCCTCTAGTAGGACTACCTGCCTAACTTTTGTAACAATACTTGCCTGTATTCTCTCGGCCTACCTGCCTAACTCTAGTAAGGGCTACCTACCCATCTTCTGTAGGACTAACTGCCTAACTCTAGCAGGACTATCTGCATATTGTCTGTAGGACTACCATCCTAATAGTAGTAGTGTTACTTCTGTCATTGGACTGTTATTGATGAACCAACAACAGGTCACACTGTAAAGAAAGTAGAGTAGATCATCTTGCCATTTCAGTACTTACTTGTTCAAAGTCAAGCTGGTTCCTGAGGGTGAACGTGCCTTGGTTTGGATCAAGGTCAAACATGTCACCCCCAAACTGGGACAACAGGGTGTAGCTGACCTGTCCATTGACCCCAAGGTCATTGTCAGTGGCATCAACCCTTCCAATGGTGGTGTGTGGTGCCATGTCCTCCGGAAGGTCAAACGTATAGAGGGCGCTGTTAAAGGATGGTATGTCATCATTGACATCAGTGACAATGATGGTAACAATACTTTGCGAGATGTTGATGCCATCCGAAGCATTGAGGGTGAGGTCGTAGACATCACGAGTTTCACGGTCAAGTCTGTCAGCTAGAGTCACAACTCCTACAACACACAGGATACAAATACAATAAAGACGTTTCGATACCTGCCAAGCTGCATCATTTATGAGGCTATAACTTCCATATCAAGACAGTCCAATTGTAATATTTGCACAATTTTGAATAGTCTGCTTCTACCATCCCTTGGTTATATTATAACATTACATATGAATCTGTTAATTATGTTATGTTGTCTAACAAATTTTACTTTGATCTGGCAAGTTTATTTCAGGAGAATGTGAACTATGAGAAAAAGCACCAGTTATTTAGTTGTCATCTACATACCTGTCTGACTGATCCTGAATTGGTTTCCAATATTACCAGCAGTGATACTGAGGGTGACTTGACCATTGAGGTCCTGGTCTGTTACATTCACACGAGTCACCTCCTGGCCCACAGGTAAACTTTCTAATACAGACACTCTATACTCTGAACGGCTGAACTTGGGAGGGGTGTCATTGATGTCAGTTACAGAGATTGTCACCTGTAAAATAAAACAGTAGCATTAGCAGTGTTACTGATGGACAATTTACAATCACATGACCTACAAAAGTGAGAAAAAGTTCTCAACCTTTTGGTAAACATGATGAATTTTGTCTTACCATCAATGATGCATGGTAAAAAGTATGTGGTGAATTTTTTAAGCTATATTACTTCTACACAAAAACACCATAGTATTTTCAAGAAAGTGGAAGTCAAATGGAACATCATCGCTTCCTAAGAAAAATTGGAAAAATAATAAATTCTTTAAGTAATCTTCTAAATCAATAAGTATGCATGGACTTGGGTAAGTCTAGGATCGTGAGAACATTTGTGGCAAGCATTTTGCAAAAGTATTATGTCAAATCATCCTTACACTAGAACTTTCCCAACCTACAGGTCACTGATTGTTTCGTGCACGAAAGTTTAGTGTTACTTAATTGAATAGGAAACATGAATTTGTCACCTGCAGGTGTTTTCCAAGAGGTACACAACAGATTGAAATTTCACAAAATGTCCAATCCCATTACCTGTCTATCTAGGTATATACACTAAATCCATTATGTAATTTATTACAGAAAATACAATAAGATTGTAGAAAATTGATTTTTCTCTAGGTTTTAATGACCGATCATAAATCACAGGTATTATATGACGTAGTTTGGATTTTCAGACAGGTATATTTGTTGTATGTAAATTTCTGTAACACAGAAACAAATGCTAATCAGTAGATCACAAGGTATCGTCCCCTGGTGAGATCGCCCAGTATTGTACCCTAGTGTCACACCACAACCCCTGGTGTAGGTGGGACTCCAGGACAACAATGGGAGGTGAGAACTCCATTCCATGTGAAACCCTAGCTCACAATAAACTATGTCTGATAGCGGACTAAACAAAAACCCTTCTTACCAGATACAATTTCCAATTTAAGGGTTATGTCCCCATAAATCACCTCTCAATCATTTGACCTTTGAAAAAATGTGTGATCTTAAATGAATGTAATGAAATACAATATCACTAGAAAATCACTTACTGTCGTAACAGCAAGGACGCTACCTGTACTTTTGTTAACTTGATAAAATGTCAAGACAACTTTCAAAAAAAAAGGAAAATTCTTATGTATTTAAAATAATAATGTCCTTTACATATGTTATTCATTGATTCAAATTGAAAATCAAGTATATTATGATGAGAGTAATTTGTGAATTCAAGGTCACCAGAACACGACTGTTATCAAACGTATATACACATGTAGGTAAATTCTCACGCAATGAAAATTATCTTCCTACATAGTACTGAGACCAGTAAATGGACTTATAGTGTCATTTTTAAGCTGGATTTTGTTTGTTTACAGGAAAGTTACAAACAATGAATATCCTTAGATCAGTCAACATAATCCCAATAAAGCTTGTGGCTCTGACCTTCCCGTCCACAACCTAACCCCGACACCCAAACCCTTTATTAGGGGAGATAATCCCCTATTTCCAGCCATGACATTGGATCAGTCTTGACAGTGTTACACAATAACATATTGTCCCATTGGAAATCAAAATTTTGAAATGATGTAATAATATGCTAGTCTGTAAAATGTTATCTTTATAAATGACAATTTGACTGTACACATTAAGTTTACACATACATCCCCATTCCTGAATTGGGACAGCTGGTCACAATCCTTGTGATTTGTATATGGCAATGAGTATAATTTAAATTCCATCGAAGGTGTTGTATACAGAGTTTATTAAATATGAAAGATTCAACTTGATCCTAGTTGTTTCCTTGTTTTCTTAATAATACAGATGTACTAAGATTCATGTTTGAAGTCACTTTTAAACACATCTACGGTTAGATCTAACATTCTCGATCCAACATTTTCAACAGAATAGGTTTGTTCTCAACCATGTGATATCAGCCATGTCGTAAAGGTCAGCCAAGCAGATCGGTATTCGTGAATTGTCATTACTTAATGGAAGAATAAACATCATCACTTTCTATCAAACTTTTACACTTCCATCAGATCATGTCTATAAAAACATATGATGCAAATAGCGGGTTCTATTAGATTCTACGGTCTATCAGCCACGTAGGTAAGACAACCTGGAAGATGTCACCTCGCTGATCCTGCCCATATCAAAGCAAGTTTGTGGTTTTGATGTATGAAAGGTACAGTTACACACTGTTATAAACCATTAACGCACCTTCACCTCACTGACAAACACATCACACGACATGACGTCCTCAAGATTACAATGACTTTGAATTATTTGCTGAAGATTATGAATTGGTTTGAACCCGAGACCTTTCTACTGTCTTAATCAAAGAGGCATTCTTTACCAAGTTAATATATTACAATGAAAAATTAAATTTTCACCTGACAATAATGATGATGTATTAATTAAACTAAAGTATTCTAATTAGTAATATCAGATTGAGGTCAAGGACATATTTATACTTTTTTCAATCTCCTAGTTACACAACAATCAATATTTTCACAACAGCTGGAAAGTTAAGTTTACAAATGTCAAAACAGACAGAAACATTTTCATACAAAAGATTTACCGACCAGTTTGAAAAAGAAAGGAACCCAATACATCTGTGTATACTTTTGACTAAGATTGAAGCATAAGAGCCGGTGATTAACATAAATGCACCATTCATTATCAAACAAGTTCCTGTGAGACAAAATAAAGATATATTAGTACTTGTCTTTGTCAGGTGTTTCCTCCGGCTGTGTACTTTAGACTTGGCTAAAAATAGTTTTCAGATTTCATCAAAGGATAAAATGAAAACTTGATACTCTTTGTAAAGTTTGTGTATCTATTCTAATTAACATACATGTACCAATATAAATTATGAAGTATTTGAGTGTGTACAAAAAACATTAACAAAAAATATAGAATTTGAAATTTTCTGGATTATGAGATTGAAGTACCTAATTTTCCAAGTTATGAAGTAATGAATACTTCACACCTAAGGTTATTTACTATCACTAATTTATATCCAACGATGCTGTAATTACAGACACATAAAAAGCTCAAACCATTTATCATCTGAAATTAGCCAAGTTCTGGAGAAACACCGAGCTGGTCCAATATAGATACAAAATGATAGAACCCCACGGGAGATAGCAACAATGTCTGACATTTATCACTTTTCAGAAATGTGACAGGCCTTCAAAATTTTATGCCAAAATCACATGTTTGGAATGAAATGTGTGACACCAATGTTCCATTAGAATTAAGTGATGTGTGTAAAGAGCACCCAGAGAATACCTTTACAAATTAAAAACTCTCTGGTTTTTTATCATCTGCAACAGAACTTCACTATACCGTTTAATATCTCTGGGGACCTTGTATTATCAAACACTTTATATCAATTTACATCAATGCTAAACACACAAATTTTATATTTCGTTTTGTCTCCACAACCACCTTAGCCAGAAAACAAGGTCAGGACTAGTGAGATTAGAAACTAAAACTTACATTCTTATCTACAGCTAGTAAAAATTTCTTTAGATCATAAAATTTTTGACAGGTTTTGTTAGGAAACTTCCCTTCTTTTAATGAGAAGACTTTAAATTTTACCACACTGTTTTAACAAGACAACCTTTACCAACGACAAATACAAAGCATTTACTAAGTAAAATGTTTGTTGATAGAACCTACAGACGTATTTCTATCAACAGCATCAACAATATATCCCAACCACAAGGGCCATTATTTGATTTTAAATGTCGAAACTTTGCTACGTTGTAGGCGTATAAATTTCCATTGTCATTCAAAGCCGAGATATGTATTGTTTGACTACCCATCCTAAAAATTACCACCGTTCCAAAAATAACATTCTTATAACCAAGACTGTTCCGATTCGATCAGTAGACGCCATACACAATACCATATTACATCCTAATTTTTGTTTATACAACTCAACAGCAGGGTAGATTTGTTACTGTAGAGGTGCTTGACATGATTTTACAAAATGCTCCGATTTTATCAAACATTACATTAATAGGTATTTCAATCCTTTGTTGTTTGATGAATGCTCATGATTTGGGCTATAAAGTCACAGGTATTGGACAAGTTTTTACCTTGTCACAAACTTTGACATGAAAGGTGTTGCTTTCGTGCGGATTAAGTTTGGGAGGATTATACCTCTCCAGGTAGATATAATCTGCTAACAAGTGGCCATGAATTAACACTAACAGCCAAAGTCTGATCACTGGACCAATGCCAGGCACTGTACACGTTACCATATTCATTATACTAAATGTTCCCCCTTTGTAAATACTATCAATAGTGTTCCCTGTATAAGGCATCCATAAAAAAAACCTGTTTTTCTATCACAATTACTAAACTTTACATAGGAAACATATCAACCACTTCTTAAATATATTCCTTTCTCACCAGTTAAACTTTACAACACCTCAGGACATTATTATGGTAAATACATTTGTTATCGACAGGTGTCAAATTGTCTAGTCATGACCAAAAGGTGCTGACCAACTGTTACTTGCAGGTCACACATGCTCTTAGAGAGTTCTGTCAAGGTGTTCTCAATCACATATTTACTGAATCATGTACATATGCAATATTTACAGAACAGTTGTCAACACCATGTTCATGCTAGATAATTTGGTTCCCAGTAAACATAAAATGTCTTGTATGTCAATATACAATCGGTTTTAAAAGGAATTTAGCATTGAACAGTTAACAGTGACTACCTCTTTTTGTCATGTAGATGGAGACATCGACATTGAATTCCATATCCAATCAGATTCCATTTATTTACTTATCAAATCTATGTTGTGGAAACTTAATCCATTTACTGACCTGTAAGTTAAAATGGAGAACATTGCAAGATAATACAAACGTTTGATCCACTTACCAAGAATTTGGGATAATAAAGGATGGTTTTACCTGATTTATTGGCAATCAAGAGATAAGGATAAACAAACACTAAGGTAATTGAAAGACAGACCGACAAAGGAATCCTTTTCAGTGGTAT